GTGCCTCGTGGATTTCCCTTTTTTTTGTGGATGATCACCGTTTCCCTTTTTTTTGTGAAAGTGTCTCAAATTGGGACAATCACTGAGAAAAAAGGAAAAAAAGAGATTTCACTAACAAAATCACCCGTGAAATAGAGCGAACGATCGTTTATTTCATTGTAGATTTCATGGCTTTCAGTTTTTTATCATCCCCTTTTCAATCTGGGGTTGATGAAATCAAAAAAAGCATTGAATATCAAACTTGTTTACAATTTGATGAATTTATGAGTACATGAAAGTAAAATTCGGATCTGTATTGGATTGAAAAAGGGAAATGCCAGTTGAATGTTCAAAATTCTTGTTAATCTTCTAAAACACTTTGAAAGAACCTTGGAAAAACTGCTTTGCTACTTTGTGGAAAAAATTGGATAATGAACAAGTCTCATATCAGTTTTGTGACTTGATTAATCCTGATATCCCGCAATCGGGACTGATAATGTAATGTTTTTTATTTTACCTTTTCAGATATTCTGTAAACTTCCCTCAGAAATGCCATTTCTTAGTTGGATTAGCAAGTTAAAGATAAAATCCTGTTTTACAGCTTTTACTAGCTTTTACTACGGGAAGTTTTGTAAGGATCCAGATTGAAACTGCCGATCACTGCATGTACTCAGCTACAGTTCAGTTATTTGGCTTAGGATTTGTAACATTTTTAAACTCTGAAATACCGTCTTGACCGTCTTTACTTTCAGTTTTCACTAGCGTAGGCGGAAGCAAGATTAGAGTTTCTTCAAAGATGGCTTGTAGTTAGAACTAGATTCCTCAAAATTTTTTCCTCAAAATGCTGACTTTCTTGTCATTCTTTGTTGGTTTTTCGGTTTATTATGATGCAAAGCTTGTCACCGTTTCTTTTTGATAAAGTCTTTGAATGGAGTTCGGGTGTCTTATCACATTGAATTTTGTTTGATGCACCGATTCTTCCTTTGCAAAGACTTGATGCCTTTCTGGTTTTCGGTCTTCCGGAAACCGTTTCTCTTATCAATTCTATAGTTGTTGATGATTTGAGAACAGGACGTTCGAGATTACGGAGATCAGTTCAACTTTGAGCTCTTTGAGATTTTTCATAATGAAATCTAATCTAAATCTAAGTAAGTATTTAAAGATCATCTCTAAAAGTTTCCTATCTCTGCTGCTGACTGCTTTCAATCTTTATCCAATCTACCATAATCTAATTTATTCAAATTCTTATGGTTCGTAAAGGAAACTAAAATATACATGAAAATTTGATAAAGTTAGAGATGTTAGAGATAAAAATGGTAGTTTTTGAGTGTTGAGATGGTTTAGAAATCACAAAACCTTGAGAGGAAGACCAGACAAAAATTCAATCTCAATGATCTCTCCAAAGTCTCCAAAGTTCGACTTTTTGGTTCACTTTCTGCCAGACTCTGATCTCATCTTTGTCTCGATTCTCGAAATATTCATCGCACCTCGATTTCCAGGAATGGAAGAGGTGCCTCTTTCCCCTTCATTCATCTCTTCTTTTCCCATTCTTTATGGCTTCTCTCTCCTTTCCCCTCCAAATTCCCCACTATTCATCGATTCTTTCTTTCTCTTTTTGGCCTCACCTCACTAACATTCAAAAAAAGCCACAATTACTCCACACAAAGTTTTGTCCCTTGTGCAAAACGTGGCCATCTGTAATTGATGTGCTTTGATTTTTGGCCTCCAATACCTCTGATGTCAAATTCTTTTTTGAAAATTTTCAAACATTTGAAATTTATCATACAATGATCTTCTATAAAGTAAAGTTTTTTTGCTTGATCTTTGCTTCATTGATCTTTTGCTTGAAACCACTGCTCATTAACCATTTGTAGCTTCAATTTTTAGTTTCAAAATGAATTCTAACTTTGGATACTTATTTTGTAGCCATATCTCACCAATTAGCTTCCTAGAGCTTTCAAAAAAAGTTTTCTATCGTTTTGCAAGAAACAAAATTGATAGCTAGAGATCTAGAGATCTCGTTTATGAGTTACACATTCTAAGAAGTCACAAAAGTTATGCAACTTTATGGCTTCTTTGGAAGTGAAGCACTGATTTTCTTTTCTAGTTTTAACAAATTCCTAAAATACTATACAGAAATTAGCATAATTCTCATCGTGCAACACAGGAATTCCCAAAATGGTCATTCGATACCATTAAACAAACAAATTTTGTGCCTTTTTCTGATGTTCCCATTTTGCACATTCATCCTTTTTTTGCACGAATTCCTCTTTCCCATTTCCAGCAACTTCCCCAAATTTGCACAAAGTTCAAAAGCAGATTTTTACAAAAGAATCAATTCAATCAGTGAGTTTAGGTATATCAAAAGCTTAGCAATTCAAGAAAATATTTTATTTGCGCTTACGATTATCTAATTCGCTTCTATTCGCCCCTGAATAAAGCATATATATATATATAAAATTTTAAAAGTGCCCGGAGAATATCAAAAAATAAGAACAACAAAAATCAACAGCAAAACTTGTGTCCTTACTGTGCTTTTTAAAACTCTTCAATTTTGTGATCTTTGAAGGGTAACCTGGGTAACTGAACTAAACTCCTTTTCCTACTTTTCCATTTCTTTCACACAAATTTACCATAATCTTTTAGTCTTTGCGATTTCTAGGAAAAATCGCCTCTTCAGCTGAATCAGAAAGAAACTAATTTAGGAAAATTGAGAGAAAAATCTGAGTTTTGTACCGGTAAGCCGAAAATAGAAAGTACGGGGGATTGGAAATCGACACTTTTGCAGCGCTAATCAAAATTGTCGACTTTAATTTGGTTTCCAAAAATGCTGCTTCTACCAGTTTGCAATCACAAAGCATAGCATTTTCAATTTATGAGAATTATACCCAGAATTATTGGATCAGACCCATACCTCGAAAGAGACAAATTGACTCCATCGACAGGGAAACGATTCTCGGTAAAGTCTATACTTAGGATGTGAAGCATTTCACTTACAATTATTATAATAATTAGTATTTTCATTGAGATCAATCAATTAGGTCTAATTTTAAGAATTTTTGTCTTGTATTTGAACCACAGTTCTAGAATTGAGCCTGTATACGATCTATTTTGAGTTGCGATGTTGATAATCTCAGAGCTGATTCGGTACCGTGTATTAAGTATTATTTTCTGATTCACTCAATGCAAAGCTGAGCGGATATCCGAATATTAACAGAAGCTAGAGTAAGGCACAAGGCCCTACCTCTCTACAATCATACAGGAGAACGGAGATACCTGACACTGAGTCAGTAAAATATCCCTACCCTGGCAGTCGTTCTGTTCGTTCGTTCAGCATTCAGAATGCAGAAACAGATACGTAATAGGGTTTTGTAATATTGGCAACTATCCGCGCTAGAGTTGGACATCCTTTTATTGGTTGAGGCTGGGAATATAAAACATGGTCGGCGCCGGGATTTGAACCCGCGACCTCTCGCTTACCGGGCGAACACTCTACTAATGAGCTACACTGACGCGTACTCCATTTCCGTCAGGGGATTCATTGAGATTTAAAGGAATACTTGAACTGTTACACATATAAGTAAAATAATAGTACCGTTACAGCACTTTCTGATAGCTTAAGTGATAAAAGCCCGTCTCTAGATGCTGCTCTCATTCTACTCTCATTCTATTCTACTCATTCTACTCTACTCATTCTACTCTACTCATTCTACTCTACTCATTCTACTCTACTCATTCTACTCTACCATTCTACTCTACTCATTCTACTCTACTCATTCTACTCTACTCATTTTACTCTACTCATTCTGCTCTACTCATTCTACTCTACTACTCTGATGCCCCTCGAATCCTCGAGAGCTCTTCTCATCCAATCACAAAACACAATCCATCATCATTCAATCGCCTTACTATATCTTAAAAAGATTAAAAAACTATAGTTTTTGCGATATACCAAAATATACCCAAAAATTGATCTGCTTTGTATTCACAAAGATCAAAAAATGTTACCTGATACATTTATTCCACGAAATCCCCTTTCCCCTTTTCTCTCAATAGGCGCTGATCTCATTTTCCCCAAAGAATTTTGCGTAGAAAAGCAAAATTCTCTCATTTTGCTAATCTTGAGAGCACAAAAGAGCACAAAATTCGACGAGAGCAAAAGTTACAATGAAATGGGAATGGAAAGGGTAAAATTATTGTTCTCAAGTATTGTAGACTACAATAATCTTTTTCTAAATACATCTTTTAATATCTAAATCTAAATACATGCTTTGACGAGTTTGTTCATGCGTTTTGTCAACTTTCGAAAGTTACCGTTGTCCTCTAGCGTTTATTCAATCTCTTGATTTTATATCCTACGATATTCTAACGAGTCCCGAATCAAACCGAAAGCAGATAGATGATTAAACTAGATGCTAGATTATGGTAGTTTTCGGAGCTTGACAGTTTTTAGGAAATGTTCTAACTGTAAGTGAAAGCATTTTCTGCTACAGGATCTCTTTCTCAAATTCCCCAATTCTCACAGTAACCTGTTTTCTACCGTACGGTTTTCTACCCTTCCCCCTCACCTCATCAATTTGACATTTGTGCTTTTACCTTCCCTATTTTCAATTATTGTAACAAAAATGTCTTTTTTAATCTTATACTCGCCTGTCTTTTCTACCCAAAAATCCCGCAAGTACGGCTATTTCACGAAATCTGTACTAGCCGAGTCTTTGATCTTTCTTGGTTCGTTGTACCTGCAAATATCTTTGAATTCAGTGCAGTAACTTCAGAAAAACTGAATTCTTTGAATCATCTGCAGTAAGCAAGAGATTTTCCTAAGAGGCGGGCCTTTTTGACTCCATAGATTACGGTAAAGCTGTTGATCTCATTGGTTTCATTTCGTGGGAATCATTAGATCAAGCGCGACTTGTTTCAATCTATTTGTAGCGCATAGCTACAGTAATTTGAACGGAATTTGATTCCCTGTCTTACTTTGATATTTGATAACATCTTGGCAATAAAAGTATTGGAGATAAATGGACGATCTCTCATCGGATGGAAGTCTTCCCTCATTGGATAGTCCACAACCACCGGAGGATGATGTTGAAAAGTCGGGTTTTAACAAAAAAATTAGTTTTTTTTACATTTAAAAGCCTAACTCTTTCATTTCCAGAGATTTCTCTGCTTTCCCTTTCACGATCACCGAAGGCACTGACCATCCAACGAAATCTCAAAGAGCAAAATTTGGCTCCATCCGAGTGTGCGATTTGTGGTGGACCGGCAAATGGATATCATTATGAAGTGAGATTTTTGAAATTTTCATCTCTTTCAATTGAATGATCAAATTTAGGCTCCATCTTGTAATAGCTGCAAGACGTTCTTCAGAAGGTTCGTTACTCTAATGGAAAGTAACAAGAAGTTACTGTAAAAGCTAAAACTATTAATATAATCGTTCTAAAAGCAACAAAGTATAGAGTGATGCTCCGTGGTCGACTACCGATGTGCAAAAAGTTGAACGGAAAAGAGGAATGTCCACAGAGGAAAAATGGAAGAGCTGTTTGTAGAGGATGTCGATTTGAAAGATGCATTTCAGCTGGAATGGATTGTAGAGGTGCATTCAAAAAACTCAATAAATACATTTCAAAAAGTTTCCTAAGCTTTCTTCTCGTCATTCTCTCAATTTCAGTAATCGAATCTGCAACGGGTGCTCACCGAAGTAATCAACTTTTTAAACTCGTCATGAAACGACAAGGACGTCAAATCAAAGAAGAAGAAAAGCAAGAAGTAGAAAAAGAAGATATACACGAGCAACCGAGTACATCAAATGCACTTGTACATGTGTCGACGGTCAGTTCAAAGGGAATGATTCCGCATGAAATTTGTGGCATTGATTCACTTTTAAAACAATATCCATTTCAGCCGCTCTCCACCGAGGCTGATCACTTCAAAACTCTAGTTTTCCTCAAAACAATGGACTCGGATTTAAGGTAAGTTATCGTGTTATTAAACTAGTGTACTGTAACTGGAACAGCACTTAACTGAGACTGAGACAGTACTGTAGCTGGAAAAGTAGTGTAGCTGAAAAAGTACTGTAACTGGAACAGTACTCTAACCCTTTTTAGTTGACAGTAAACTTTAATATTCTTCCCAATTTTTCAAGTTTAAGGAGTCGAATCGAAGGACCGGATGGTTTAGTCCCATTGCCGAGTCAGAGTCTTTCCGCTTATATCATGGGTGGACAATATTCAAAGAAAACTATGGTAGGCTCTATAGTTAGTCCTATAGCCAGACAATTAGGCAAAAACAATCGACGAAGCCCAATCTTTCATGGGAAGTTTTGCCTGTACACATTACCTCATCGAATATGAGAGAGCTAGTCAGATGTGCTCACGATTTCCATTCTATGAGAAACTCGGATCACAGGATAAGGTTGGTTTTTGGATTGATTGATTGATCAAAAGTTTATGTGTGCTGTTCAAAGTTGAATCTCAACTTTCAACAATCATTTTCTATAATGTTTTCGTCGTTTTACGTCCTGTTTACTTCTTTTTAGTATTTCCTTTCGTGATCAACAATAATTTATTTAACTCCACAAAATCCTTGAAAACAACAATAATAAGCCAGCAATAGAGCAAAGCTCAGGGTCAGATGAGATAAAAACTATCATAAACCTATACAAAAACAACGATGGGGAAATGAAATCAACGAATCATCGATTTTGCTAATCTTGAGAGCACAAAAGAACACAAAATTTGACGAGAGCAAAAGTTACAATGAAATGGGAATGGAAAGGGTAAAATTATTGTTCTCAAGTATTGTAGACTACAATAATCTTTTTCTAAATACATCTTTTAATATCTAAATCTAAATACATGCTTTGACGAGTTTGTTCATGCGTTTGTCGACTTTCGAAAGTTACCATTGTCCTCTAGCGTTTATTCAATCTATTGATTTTTATATCCTACGATACGAAAGTTCTCAAGTCACTGTAGCGCATAGATTTGTCTATTTTTAATGTTTGTTTGTCAAGAATGAATGACTCAATGTCAAAACTTTGAGGATCTAGGATGAATAGCTACAATTCAAATCCACTTTGAATTTGATCAGAAGATTGATCGAATTGAAGGTGATCTCTTTCCATTCTCCCTTTTGCCTCAAATCCACATCGAACTCGTTCAATTTCCCCTCAAAAGCTTTGTTTTCCGCCTCAGAAATCTCTCTCACTCGATTTCTCTTCAACGGACCATAGAATTTTTGCACTAATTGCACAATTTTCTCAGCTTTTTCCGATTCTTTTCCTAGATCCGAAATTTTCCAATTGAAGAGATGAATCTTCAGCAAATTCTCCGCTTCACTCAAATCGATTATCAAAAAGCGTTGAAAGGCGAAATCGTGGAGTTGAAAGAATCGACAACTTGATGGGATTTTCAGGGAAATTTCTCGAGTTTCCGGCAATTTCTCGGTGAACACGCGTAAACGTCGGACATCGATTGCACTCAATAAAGGCTCCAACTCGAAATCCACCTCACCCCACGGGATCTCCATCGTATCGGCAAAGACCTTTCGAGAATGTAGAAAGTTTTGCAAAGCCTTTATTGGCTCTTTCGTTTCGAAAAATGCAAATGACATGAAACCGGGGTTAATCTTTTTCAAGAAACATCTCCCCAACCTTAAATCACGACAAGAAATATTTGAATTGAATGGGGGAGACTGTAAACATTCTTGTAGATTGAGTGACCTGTCCGGGGTACGGTAGATTTCATTTGTTTCCAGGTCTAATTTGTCGAACTCAATGCAATTCAGCCGGGGATTACTGAAGATGATCCGCGCGAATCGCAACGAAAGCTCTCGTGATTTAAGGCGATCGGTTGAGTGTAAATTCTCAAGAATTCCTTCAAGAATCTCGTTGGGTAAAGAAGTTAGGGACATGATTTCAATAAATCAAATAGATTTTCAAAGCATTAGATAGTTTTTCGATGATCTTTTTCAGGTCAGCTGATCGCTCTGATCGGGGAGAGGGGGGAGGAGAGGGCGGAGGAGAGGAGGGGCGATTTGGTGACTTGCAATCTTTCACATTTCCCCTATTTCTCTTCTTTTTCATCTCTCATTCACGTGAATGACAGTCCCCATTTGTTCATTGTATTTTGGTGTACTTGGGTTATTTTGTATTTTGTATTTCAATCGAAAACCAATCTTTATTAACACTTTCAAAGAACGGAAGGCTTTCAAAGTAACGGGAGGCTTAAAGATCATTATCTTTAAGCCTTCCGTTACTCTGATGGCTTAAAGATCATTATCTTTAAGCCATCAGAGTAAAAGTATTCAGGTAAGCTATATTTAGACGTGAGTTTAAGGATTTAGTAAATCTCCAGTTGTTATCTAAATACTTTTATAACTGTAGTTAGAGTATCTTTAAGTACAAACAAGTAGATAAACGAAAAATTGGTCAAAATGGGGAAAGAGCTAGAAAGAAAACTAAAAAATGCAAAACGATGCAAAGCAAAAATTGTACAGGGTGCGGCATAAGTATGGTTACAAGGTTGTAACATTGATTTAAGAAACTGATTGATTTTTATTTGTTGCCAAAGGATTATTTTTTTTAATTTGAATGCTTTTTTTATATTATGTAGTAGTTTTTAAGTAAATTTTTAAGTTTGGACATAATGATGAAGGCTTCTCCCAACCGTGCCGCTATTCTTAAGCTTGGAGCACAAGGACGATCAACTTCGGATATTGCCAAACTGCTGAAAATGCATCGGATGACGGTATACCGGATTTTGCAACAAAATAGAGTCGAAGAGCTTCCTAAAAGTGGACGTCCGCCAAAAATTGATCACACAAGACTCAAGAAAATCATTAAGAAACGAATCAAGCGCAATCCTGCCCGGAGCATGAGAAAAATGGCTCCCCAATTGAATGTTTCTGATAGAACTATCCGTCGTATCGTCAAAAAGGATCTGGGCCTTCACCCTTACAAGTTAAGGAAGCATAATGGCCTGGCGAATCTTCAAATGAAAAACAGGAAGCAAAAATGTGCTCTTCTTCTTGCAAGGGCCGCAAATGATGAGCATCTGACGACGCTTTTTACCGACGAGAAATTATTCAACATTGAGCAAGTTTTCAACTTTCAAAATGATCGAATTTTGGCTCACAGTCCTCAAGAAGCAAATAAAAGTGGTCGATTTGTGGACAGGAACTCACATCCAGCAGGAGTCATGGTTTTTGCAGGGGTGTCAGCAACTGGTCGCACACCGTTGATTTTCGTGGATAAAGGGCTGAAAATTAACACAGACGTGTATCTGGACGTTCTCACAAAACATGTACGGCCGTGGAGTCAAGGACATTATCAAAATCAGCGCTGGACATTGATGCAAGACGGTGCCCCAGCGCACAAAGCAAAAAAACTCAAGAGAGGTGCCGAAACAATTTGCCCGACTTCATTTCCGCCAATGAATGGGCAGCTAATTCGCCCGATCTCAATGTTATGGATTTCTGTGTTTGGGCAATTTTGGAGAAAAAAGCATGCACAACAAAACATGCAAACGTTGAAAGTCTGAAAAAGGCTCTGAAGAAAGCCTGGGCGGAAATTCCACAAAGTACCCTGCGGGCCGCCGTGGAAAGTTATCCAAAGCGTCTTAAGCCGTTATCAAGAATAAAGGTGCCCATATTGAATAATTTGTTGTTTTTTAAATGAATATGATTACTGTTGTTAATTTTAAATAAAGTTTGCATGAATCCGTTCATATTTCGTTACGATACACGGTTCTGAGTCTGTAACCATACTTATGCCGCACCCTGTACTTATTTGATTTTGCAATAATTTTTCAAAAGATTGAAAGATCTAGAAATCTAGAAGCTCAAAAAGCACACTCACTCAGAGATAAGGCTAGGGGACTTTTAGAGGAAACGGAAAGGTTGGCGTATTAGACCTTCTTCTGGCCCCGTAGAGGCCCCGTAGAGGTACTGTAGAGGCCCTGTAAAGGCCCTGTGAGGCCCCGTAGAGAGCCGAATTCAAAGAGACCAGGGAAAATGATGAATGTCTTTAACAATTTGAAAGCATTCCACTAAATCACTAAATAAGGCGGCGTTGTTGTGAGAAAGTTTACTACAAGAGATCATGTAGTTTTTTTGAAAGAAAATCATATTTATTCACGTCAATCAGTAATGGGAATCTCAGAAATCACAAATTCAATTCAAAGAGACCAGAAAAAAGGGGGTCGGGATGAATGCCTTTAACAATTTTAAAGCATTTCACTAAATCGATGATAAGGTAGTATTTATTAAAAATTATATATGTTGTGTCCGATTTAGATTTCCGTCCGATTTAGATTGAACTTATCGCGGACGTCCGATTTAGATTACAGTCTATATAGGACGTCCGGTTTAGATTACAGTCTATATAGGACGTCCGGTTTAGATTACAGTCTATATAGGACGTCCGGTTTAGATTCAATCTAAATCTTATATAGATTGAACAATAATATAAACATGCTTAATATATGTTCTTAAGCGTTTTTTTTTGCAATTTTCTGCGCTTTTCAAAGAAATCCGTTTTATTGTCGATATTAAGCACGTTTATTATTGTTCGATCTGTATCGGACGTCCGATATAGACTGTAATCAATAAAAGACCTTTGAAAAACGCAGAAAACTACAGAAAACGCTTAAGAACATACATATTAAGCATGTATATTAAGCATGTTTATATTATTGTTCAATCTATATAAGATTTAGATTGAATCTAAATCGGACGTCCTATATAGACTGTAATCTAAACCGGACGTCCTATATAGACTGTAATCTAAATCGGACGTCCGCGATAAGTTCAATCTAAATCGGACGGAAATCTAAATCGGACGGAAATCTAAATCGGACACAACATATACATTATCAAAAAAGCTATCATTTAATAACATTTCAACAAAAATTCACAATAAATTTCACCCATTTACAATAAACTTCCAACCTTTCCCCGATCATTTCCACTTCAAATTCGAAAAATTGAATTTTCCTTCTCAAAATCTCCAATTCTGTATTAGAAATTCTAGGGAAAACCTTGCCGGCTTTGAAAAAACCAAAGAAATTCCTCAATTCTTTGAAAACATCCATGACATGACGAATCCCAGGAATTTTCCTTGGAGAAATTCCATCAACAAACGCAATTGCTCTCAAATCTTCAGCTCCATTCAACTCCAATATCAAAAATTGTCGAAAGTTGAAACTGGGCACTTCAATGAATTTGCATCTTGGCGGGATTTTTGCGTGTATCATATTCTTTCTTCCCCCAACAGTACCCTCAATTCGCAATGTCTCGAATTCGATTAATTGCAGAATATCGTTCGGATTCGAGTGATAAAATGTCAAATGGAGCTCCTTGGCAAAGATTCTCTTGTAAACGGTGAACTTTAATTTACCGTTTGGTCGATCAAGTTGCACGACTTTTTCCCCAGAATCTTTCTTCATAATTTTCACATCAATCCCTCCGACAACGACTCGTTCGAAATAGAAATTCTTTCCCAAATCTATTCTTGGGAATGGTAACGATACACAATCTTCAGCGTTGCTTTCCTTAATTCGAAAATATTCAAAATTGAATTCATAAAAATCGATACAATTCAGTCGGGGATTTCTCTCGATTATATTTTTGAAACGTTTAGAAACTTGCAGAAATTTAAGACGATCTGTCGAGTGTAAATTGATGAGAATAAGCTCAAGAATCTCGGTGGGTAAACTCGAAAGAGGAAGCGAAAGGGACATTCAATTCAGATCGATCTTAGTTAGGTAGCTGATCGTATAGTGAGAACGGATTTGACCAAAAAACGGGGGAAAAGATGCAGAGGAGAAAACTTTGAAAAGAATGGGCAATGGGGAGGGGCAGAGAAGAGGAGAAATGAGGAGAAGGGAAATGTGTGCGAGGGACCACACACAGCACTGGACAATGAAATATCAATATTTGAAAAACGATCGTCACTTTCACGCGTCTGTAACTTCCTTGTCTTTGAGTTTAAACTATTAGTGTTATACATTTTCTGAAAGCTCTTTTCAAGGGCTACACAATGGTAATATTAATATTTAGAAATACGGTAAAGACGAGAGAGTTACAGGCGTGCGAAAGTGACGATCGTTTTTCAAATATTGATATTTCATTGTCCAATAGTGTAGCTGAACGGGGTGATTGAAGGTTGATCATTTGACGTTAAACTTTATATTTTTATAGATATATAAGAATTGAAATAACCGATTTCCTTTTGCAGCTTTCCCTCTTCCAATTTGCTGCCTTTGCCAGCAAGTTGGCCACATTGGCGTATCGAGCGAAATGCGTGAAATCACCAAGTATTTTGCTGAGAGACGGATCATTTCCACCGATTTTGCCACACAAGTAAGACTTGATAAAGACTTAGAAAACCTATTATTCTAACATTTGCATCTTCGTTTAGTCCTTGGGGATTTCACGAATTGATCTTCTACCGACCAGTCTCTTTATGGAGTGACGCTGATGTGGATGATGATGAATTCTTGTTATTAAGAGCTCTTCTTTTATGCTCTACTCGTAAGTTTAAAGAAAGATTTTACTATCAGAAAGTTCGAAGTTACTTAGCGGTTGTTAATCGTTAATTTTAGCTGCTGATCTCCCCGAATTCGCCATGAAAGAACTAGAGAAAACGAAGCTCCGTTTTGCGAGAACCCTTTTCGCGTATGAGGCGACAAAGCTCGGGCCAACAAAAGGAGCTGAACGGTTGGTGAAGAACTAGAAAAGAAATCTAACAAAACCTTTTCAGCTTTCAACTCCTTCTCTCCACGTTAAATTCATGGATCTTGTTAACAGCAAAGCACAAAGAATTATATGTGATGGGGAGATATCGAGCACTCAAAAGAGGACCACCCGAGAGTCTTTTTCCTGCTTATGTTGATCCACTTGTCGTTGAATTGATGTCTGGTTGAGTAAATTGAATTTATTCACACGAATAATGTGGTACAAATAATACACAAGTACTCTACACAAGTAGAGGTTGTACAACCTCTACAGGGTGCGGCATAAGTATGGTTACAGACTCAGAGCCGTGTATCGCAATGAAATATGAACGGATTCATGTAAACTTTATTTAAAATTTAACAACAGTAATCAAATTCATTTAAAAAATAACAAATTATTCAATCGGGGCACCTTTATTCTTGATGACGGCTTTGGATAACTTTGGCAAGAAATAAAAATCAATCAGTTTCTTAAATCAATGTTACAACCTTGTAACGATACTTATGCTGCACCATAAGTAAACCAGTGTCGAGAAAAACTCGTTCAAAGCTAGACTACGCAACACCGTCATTATGGTTACAAGTCCTAAATGTAGAGTTTCAAATATATGAGTTTTTCCCATATATTAGGTTGATGCAAAAGTCTTTTTCATTTTTTTCGTACTTCTTTTGAAAAATAACAAAGTCATCAATTAAACTATGGTTTGCTCTAAATGAAAAGTGTTTATTGTTCAATTTCCCATCTTTTTAAGTCAATTTGGGTTCACTTTCAAGAAAAATTCGAGAGTGAAAACGGGTTTTTCATAAAAATCTATAAAAACCTCTATAAAGAAATTGGCTGAATCAATTTCTCTGAAAATCTGAAAAAATATCTAACTTTTTGTGCTCTATCTTTTATTTATTAACATCAAGATTGGTTTCCTTAGCTAAAGCGTCTAAAATGCATCATCGAGCCGTCGCCTTTTTTGACTACCCGACTTCAGGCTCTCAAAAAAATCTAGACATAAGACATTTTAAACTCGTTTTAATGTCATTTTGCAGAAAAATAATTGGCCTTTCGAATGCAATAAACCGTTGTTCAATTGGTGCATTTGTTACTTTTTAACGGAAGTACGAAAAAAATGAAAAAGACTTTTGCATCAACCTAATAATAGGTTGATGCATAAGTCTTTTCGTTTTTCTCGTACTTCTGTTAAAAAGTAACAAATTCACCAATTAATCTATAGTTTGCTCTATAAAAAAAGTGTTTTTTTGTTCAATTTGCATCTTTTTAAATGAATTTCGGTTGACTTTCAAGCAAATTCGAGAGTGAAAAACGCCTTTTTCGTAAAAATCTATAAAAAACTCTACGGAAAAATTGGCTGAATGAATTTCTCTGAAATTTTGGGGAAATATCAAACGTTTTTTTTCTCTATCTTTTATCTATTGACACGAAGATAGGTTTTCTTTAGCTAAGGTGTCTAAACCGCATCATCGAGTTAGCCCTTTTTGACTACCCGACTTCATACTCTCAAGAAAATCCAGGCATAAGATATTTTTAAACCCGTTTTAATGTTATTTTGCAGAAAAATAATTGGTTTTTCTAATGAAATCAACCGTAGTTTAATTGGTGCATTTGTTGGCTTGAAACGGCAGACGAAAAGGAACAAAAAGACCTATGCATCAACCTAATATTAGGGAAATAGATCGGTCTCATCTACTAGCCTAACCTGGAATAATATACCGTCTTCTCTCTAATAGTAGTGTACCCAAAGCTTCCCCTAAATTCCTCGAAATCTCGAGAACCGCTTATCAGAACCTATCGATGTGGGGTCGGAAAATGTAGCTGACGATGAGATCTTGTGGGGGATTTGAGTGTTGAGCTTCTGCAAAAGCTTGAAAACCGTAAAATAGTCACCAACTCGGCTCGCTGGGGTGCACTACTATTGTTGGTGAATTTGTTACTTTTTAACAGAAGTACGAAAAAAACGAAAAGACTTATGCATCAACCTAATATTTGAAAAAAGAGAAACAATAATCTAACCGGCGGGATTGAGCCATTGACCTCCCGACTAAGATACAGGGCACTTAACCAATCGGCTTTGGGAAATGAAATTAGCTATCACAAATTCAGGACCATTAAAAGTCACTCTAAATTTGATTTCTGATGCAAATGTGAGTCAAATGATGCCCATTTCACAGTTCTCAACCATATTCCGGAAACTGAGCACTTCACAATTTCCTCCCAAGGTCACTACCGTTATAGTCAATCCTTGTTCTTCAATGATCAAGTTCTTTGCAGCAACTTTTACAAATTTCCTCGAACTTCTCCCAGTCAAACACCAGTTTCAGACAAAAACATTCACCGTTGGCGCTAAAATTTTCCCAATTTTTCGCGAAAAATTAACGGGGCGACCTTGAAATTGAGAGAACTTTCATGATCTTTTCCCGTTCTCGAGGTATTTGACGCAGTTTTTGGCGAATTTGTGGGATGAACACAGCTCGATTTGATAAGTATTTGTGGAAATCTATAAGATGGATCGGTTCCGAATGACAAAATAGACTGCTTTCGATTAGGGGATGCTGTTCGACCATTTGCTTTCTGATTTGTTAGACATAGTGAGCTGGCTTTTTTCTCATTCATTTACCTAGTGAGTTTTATTGTCTAGCTATTATTGGAGTAGTGTTTGTATTCCATAGGCCCTAGGTTGACTTTGGCCATAGATTAGTTCAAGTAAAGTAGAGAAAGACAAGCTTGTATTGTGTTACACAATCGTGGAAAGATGTGGAATTGGTGAGGTGAGTTAGCTTCTAGTATAAGTGGACTTGTACTCGCTGAATGTTCAAAACATTTTATTTCCTGCGGTATTTTGATTGAAATGAGTGCTCTCTTATATAGAAAATATAGCATTTCTTTGTCACATTTGAGAGAGATTGGCGTGAAATTTTTTAAACTCACACAATTTGTGGAAATCTATAAGATGGATCGGTTCCTTGTTTTATTTTTTTGCTTTACTTGCTGTGAATTCATCTTGATCTCATTGTTACAGCTGTGAACATATTATTGACAAAAATTGTTTAAATTTAGATGCAAAAATATTTATTGCTGACTTTGTTTGCATTTGTGCCAATCTGTTTGGCTCAATTCGGAGGTGGAGGAGGGGGAATGGGACGAGGAGCGTGGGGACAGAAAATGGTTTTACATTTGAAATATTTAAATAAATCAATAAATTAAATGCTATTTTATAAAATAAATGATTTAAATACTAGTTCAAAATGCAGGTAAAAGCAAAATTTTAAAATTAACTTCAAATTCAAATTAACAAATTGCAGTTTGAAGGAATGATTGCTGAACTCCCGCCCGACGTTCAACAGAAAGCTCGCGCCATTCATGATAATCAGGTTTTAGTTTTTGATACTAAACCATTATAATTCACAATAGATCTTGTAGTTTTATTTGTAAGTTGTAATTTTAAAGTTTATTTCATTCGTTTACCCACAATTTCCAGTCCCTCCGACCCGGACAACGACGACAACAATTGATGAAACTCTGGGACACATTACCCATTGAACAGGTTCGTAATACTAGTAAAAAGAGTTTTAAGAATTATCCAGACTCTTCGTTTTGACAATATCTTTGCTTTTTTAGCGTCCGATGCCCCCATTCATGCGTCGCTTATCACCCACTCTTCAGGAACAAGTCCGAGGCATTTGGGGGAATACGGTGAGTGATTGGATCCAAAAAAAATCAAGAAAAAACTTTTGTTGCTAGTAAAAAATCAACTTTGATGATTTTTTTGCAATATCAAATGCAAGTTCTACCTTCCAGAATGTTCCTTGGCGTCAACGCCAGCGTCAATTCCAACAATTCTGGCGAGCGCTCCCCGCCGATCAACGCCCAATGCCACCATTCTTGAAAAGACTCCCTGAACCATACAAGGTAAGAATTAAACATTTCAATAACCTAAGAATTAAGATCATCAAATCAAATCAAATTTAGAGTCAATGGCTAGCGCTTAGAGGTCAACGCGGCCCGGGGAGATTTGCGCAAATTCAGGTAAGGAAACCCTTAAACAGGGGCTAAAATCAAGACCGATTCGTACTAAAACCAATAAAATGAATAGCTCCAATCGATTCGCCGAGCCTGAAAACCCCTGGGTACAAATTTACAGCTAAACATCTTTTTGTACAAACCACAAAGCAAAGAAGAATCTCTATGTAAGATGTTCTTTGTGTGGACGCTAATCGCTCTCTATCTGGCAAACTGCCCTGGTATAGGGGCTTTCCTTTTCCATCATTATTTGATAATAATGGTGGATATCTTTTGTAATAAAGTTGTTTTCTTATTGATTTTTGGGTCGTTCGAATTTTGGTTATAATCTGCAGTTTCTTTTGCAAGTACCTAATATACCTACTGGTAATTTCCTTTTAATGAGAATCAGTCCCATCTTTAAGTCACTAAATTTTGACTTTTCAACTCTTAGATAATTTTTAGCAATTGATTCAAACGATGCCTCAAGATGTCCGCTCACAATTGCCTTTTGTGAAATTCGGTGGAACTTTACCGGCAACGAGGTGAGCCTACAAGTCTCTTTAGCTAAGGATTAGACAACGAAATAAATAAACTTAGATCTAAAAAAATATCTAAAGACATCTTTTTAACGAAATTCGCTTTAGAAGGGCCCAGAAACCACTGCCACACTTCCTCGAAACCCTTCCCGAACCATATAAGGTCGGAAATCACAATTTCACAAAAACCAAAGACTTTTAAGTAATTTTTAAATATGAATTTCAATATATTTTATTAAAATCTAATACTTCACTTAATATTTTAACTTTTAGAGTCAATGGATGGCCATCCGAGCTAAACCAACGGCTACAAGATCTGAGAAAATTCAGGCAAGCCGTAATAACGAATCGAGTCGTAACTTTTAATCGTAATAACGCCAGGTCGTAAAAAAAATACAAATTTGAGGTTACTAGCAAATAAATTAATATGTTGTTATCCTTTTAAAGACAAATAATTTAATTTCAGGAACTAATGCAATCGTTGCCGCAAGATCTTCGCTCGAAATTACCTTTCCAGAAATTTGGTGGAAGTGAGGGAGGAAGGTGAGTTTGAGAAAGCTTTTCAAAGTCGAAAATGGATACTTTTAAGCAGATAAATAACAAGAATCAGCTAAATAACTCAAAATGAGAACTTTAGAGCCGGCGCACCACAGAAGCCACCTCCACACTTCCTTGAAACACTCCCAGAACCGTACAAGGTAGGAATTTCAACAATTAAAGGAAATTTCGATATACTTGAATATAGCTTTTCAAAAACAAAACTCCAAAGATCGAAATTTGGATTAGTTTGCCAAAATCTAGAAGAAGATTTTTATTTGAACTTTCAGAGTCAATGGATGGCCATCCGGGCTCAACCATCTGCCACAAGATCTGCACAAATTCAGGTAAACCAATTCCCAGATTTTAAAATGGAAACAACAAATGAATATGCTATAAATACGATGTTCTAGCTTGTAAAATTAAAAACTAAATTTTTGTATCAAGCAAAAACAATGCTCAATTGCAGCAACTAATGCAATCGATGCCGCAAGATCTTCGCTCAAAATTACCTCTCCCGAAATTTGGTGGAAGTGAGGGAGGAAGGTGAGTTTGAGAAAGCTTTTCAAAGTCGAAAATAGTCACTTTTAAACAGATAAATAACAAGAATCAGCTAAATAACTCAAAATGAGAACTTTAGAGCCGGCGCACCCCAGAAACCACCTCCACACTTCCTTGAAACACTCCCAGAACCGTACAAGGTAGGAATTACAAAGGAAAATTTCATTAAAGGAAATTTCGATATACTTGAATATAGCTTTTCAAAAACAAAACCCCAAAGATCGAAATTTCGATTAGTTTGCCAAAATCTAGACGAAGATTTTTATTTGAACTTTCAGAGTCAATGGATGGCCATCCGGGCTCAACCACCTGCCACAAGAGTTGCGCAAATTCAGGTAAACCAATTCCCCGATTTTAAAATGGAAACAACTAATGAATACCGTATTTTCTCTAATAGTAGTGCACCCCAGCGAGCCGAGTTGGTGACTATTTTACGGTTTTCAAGCTTTTGCAGAAGCTCAACACTCAAATCCCCCACAAGATCTCATCGTCAGCTACATTTTCCGACCCCACATCGATAGGTTCTGATAAGCGTTTCTCGAGATTTCGAGGAATTTAGGGGAAGCTTTGGGTACACTACTATTAGAGAGAAGACGGTATATTATTCCAGGTTAGGCTAGTAGATGAGACCGATCTATTTCCCTAATATTAGGTTGATGCATAGGTCTTTTTGTTCCTTTTCGTCTGCCGTTTCAAGCCAACAAATGCACCAATTAAACTACGGTTGATTTCATTAGAAAAACCAATTATTTTTCTGCAAAATAACATTAAAACGGGTTTAAAAATATCTTATGCCTGGATTTTCTTGAGAGTATGAAGTCGGGTAGTCAAAAAGGGTTAACTCGATGATGCGGTTTAGACACCTTAGCTAAAGAAAACCTATCTTCGTGTCAATAGATAAAAGATAGAGAAAAAAAACGTTTGATATTTCAGAGAAATTCATTCAGCCAATTTTTCCGTAGAGTTTTTATAGATTTTTACGAAAAAGACGTTTTTCACTCTCGAATTTGCTTGAAAGTGAACCGAAATTGATTTAAAAAGATGCAAATTGAACAAAAAAAACACTTTTTTTATAGAGCAAACTATAGATTAATTGGTGAATTTGTTACTTTTTAACAGAAGTACGAAAAAAACCGAAAAGACTTATGCATCAACCTAATATTTCCCGGTGAGCCGAGTTGGTGACTATTTTACGGTTTTCAAGCTTTTGCAGAAGCTCAACACTCAAATCCCCCACAAGATCTCATCGTCCGCTACATTTTCCGACCCCACATCGATAGGTTCTGATAAGCGTTTCTCGAGATTTCAAGGAATTTAGGCGACCCTCTTGGTGCACTATTAGAGAAAATACGGTATTCTATAAATACGATTATCTAGCTTGTAAAATTAAAAACTAAACTTTTGTATTAAACAAAAACAATGCTCAATTACAGCAACTAATGCAATCGATGCCAGAAGATCTCCGCGCTCGATTGCCTTTTCCAAAACTCGGCGGAAGAATGGCTGGTGGTAGGTGAGCTTCGAATTACTGTAGAGTAACAAAAAAATTACTGTACTATAAGAAAATAACTTTTACAAAGTTTGATTTAGAAAGGGTCGAAGATTCGGTGGCCAGCAACAACCAGGACAACCGCAGTTTGGGCAATCCGCCGACCAACTAGCCCAGCCAGTCACCGGGCAACAAATGATGATGCAGGGATGAACTTTGTTTTTGATTATTGTTTTGAAATTACTCGAGCTTTATTGCACAAAGCATAAATTGTCAGAAAAACGATTGGAAATGCACAAAGCTTTAGTTTTTCTATAAAGGTATGCAGTTTTATAGTTCTTTTACATTGCAAATAGTATTTAGACTTACAATATTAATTGTAAACCTTTTCAAAACACCCAAGTCAAGGCCAACAATGATTGTTTCTTCCATCGTCAGTACAGATCTTCGAAACTCAATCAATATTTATAGAATGTCCAAAAGTTGCACCATTTACAAATAAATCTTTTCAAATAAATGAATGAATAATCTACTCCTTTTGATTTCAGAGCGATAATCGGACAAAAGGCAAAATAAAAAGAAGAGGAAACTCTTGTAAAAAGCTCCTTTTTTTAATCCTTCATCTAAACAATGTGCCAATTTTCGAATCTTCATTGGAGCTAGAGTTTTGTATTCATTTTTGATTTATACGTATTTTTCAATTACTTTTAGTCTATCTCGTTTCAGTCTTAACTGTAAATCTTTTCAAAACACCCAAGTCAAGGCCACCAATGATTGTTTCTTCCATTCATTTGATTTTAGATATTCTTGATTTTCCATTCCATCACCACAACAATTCCTCGATTCAACCCTCATTCACCGTCTATTCAACCATTTCCTCATCTTCCGATTTTGAATAAATATTTCGATGAATTTCAATGCAGAACAGTGTCTTTTTGCCACGTAGTGATCCTCTATTGACATAATCTATCCACCACGTAGTGATACAAATCTATCCTCCACGTAGTGATCCTCTTCTGACCATCACGCTCCGGTGATAGGCCATCCGTTGATCACAACTGAAAAAAAACAACGATATTTTGGGAATTTCAGGTAAAATGACTAGCTAAAGTGAATCTCTGACTAAATAACTATAATAGACAAGTTTCTTCCACTAAGAAATAAGCCATTCTTGACGCAGAATACACGTAAAGTAACTGCGAATGCCTCTCTCATTCGATCCCCATCATCTACCGTCCATCCTTCATTTTTCTCTTCTAGATGAAGTACTCTCCATTTTCCAAATTCATAAGCTGTATCAAGTGTTTCAATTGCTTTAAAACGACTTCCCTCAATTTTTGTCGCAATCATTTCAGAAAGTCTTCTTTCGCCGCTTTCATCTCATCGAGACACATTGATAAAACTGTTTATTGATTAAGAAGTAAAAAGTAAAGCTACGAGAAAAGCGGCTGCAATATTGGGAATTTCTGGCTGACTGGTTAAGTGTCTTTTATCTTAATCGGAAGGTCGAGGGTTCGAACCCCACATGCGACATGGTCACCCCCTTCGGATTTCCTTTCCCTTCGGGTTGAGAGGTTTTCTGGAGGGCAGTCTGGTGGTTGTGGCCCCAGTTCTTTAAAGTGACAAGCCACTCCTTCATCGTCATCTTCCCTTCACCACCAAAAAAGCTATTTAGTTCCCCATTGAGCTTAGGGTTAGGGAGCCGTCTGTCATGACGTGGGTTAAGTTAAGATATAACCTAGTATTGTGTGTGTCGTTGTATTGTGATTGATATATTTCGTGTATGCGATAAATTAACCACTGGTAGCCCCAGTCGGTATTTTTTTTAATCATTTCAGAAAGTCTTCTTTCGCCGCTTTCATCTCATCGAGACACATTGATAAAACTGTTTATTGATTAAGAAGTAAAAAGTAAAGCTACGAGAAAAGCGGCTGCAATATTGGGAATTTCTGGTAGGTAACAACAAGATTTTTTGGGTATAAACTACAAAATTATCATCATCGGTAACAAAATGAAATCGAATGATTTGTGGAAAATTTGAAGTAAAAAAGAGCGAAAGGGAGAAACGAGGCGGGAAAAGAAAAGAAAACCATAGACAAAGAGGGAGAAATCTGAAACGGATTCACTTTGAGTGTCTGATGATTAAAGAAAATAATTTAATCTGCGCAATTTTAATGTTTCGATATGTTAGCTTGTAAAGTTTGGTCTTCACGATGTTTATTTAAGAACAAAGATCACTTTTACATATTAAAATTGGTTCAAAAACTGATCAGATGTAAATTTAAGTAATCACAAATGAAAATAGTTAACACTCTTAACGTTTTAACACAATCTTTAAAGGGTTCAGTGTTCAGAAAAGCAAACTCTTAAGTACAGGAGATGGAGTACAGGAGATTTTTAACTGATCTCAATATTGTGATGGATTGTGAGCAATTGATCGACGTTGTTGAATCAAGAGAACAATCATAACAATGCATTCAATCACAACATTGACGAGAAGAATGAGAATAGGCCATGAGACATGGAAATTCTGAACGATTCCCGCGATTGAACCCAGTGTACCAGCCATCAAACAATTCTGAAATCATAAAAAGTCTCTACAGTTTTTCTTGATGATTTTCTTGATCTATAACTGACCACAAAAATTGTGTACCCACGAAGACGGCGAAGATTGTCGGAATAGATGGCACTGATCCCGACAACGGTCATTGAAAGCATTACTAAAATTTATTGATTTTCTTTCAGTCTTTCAGTTGTTGCAAGTTTAAATCCATACCAAACTGAAAAATCATTGTGCCGAGGAAGTATACGAGAATCCCACCGTTTGCGAACATCGGACGATCGAGATTTCTGAAAGAAAGTGGAACTACAATCTAATATACGTTTTGATCAGTAATGATGTGTTTTTATTTAAGGAATAAATTAGTGCATTGTAGTTCTCACGTGTTAACTTGTCTCGAGATTTCCATTCCTCCCCATGTAAGCATTCCTGAAGCAAGCACGACCACGTAGACGCCATGAGCTGCTGTCCAAAACTGAAAACAAATTCAAATTGCCTTGTTAGCTTTTTGTTTGATTTTGATTTGAATCAAACAAAAGCCAACAAGCAAAAATCAAATACCTTTCTCTTTTGATTCGGTGTGCTTCCACAACAACGAGATGTGGTCACCGGTGGGAGTGGGCCTTGCATTGTGGACTAAAGTCTACATCTTACTAAAAAAGCACAAATCCAAATAGTTACAAAACTTGTTTTAAGTAAATTTTTGATTAAAAAGTTCAGTGATATTCAATGGCTCACCAAAACAAACACCGATTTTTACGCAACTTCTCCAGTTGCCCGGACAACAATCTAATTGGGGTTTCTTTATGAAAAATGAAAAAAGTGATTTGTAATGAGAAAAAACTGGCAATCAACCAACGAACATTCTAGCTTTAATATAGTTTTTGATTAGTTGAATTTTTGGTGATTGAAAACATACATAAGCCGGTGGTCCATCCGGTACTTGGGGATCTTTCTCGGAAGAGTTCATCACTGAAACAAGAAGATTCAACTTAAGAATTACATTAACAGAAGAATACAAGATTAAAATAAAAATATTAGCTCTTGCGTCGAAAAGTTTTCTTTTAAAATATTTGTTTTTTATTTGAAAAGATCACAAGGGAACGAAGAAACACTCGGGAAAGCAGGGGAAACTGATAAAATTGGAATGACGAAAGTTTGGTGATCACATAATTGCATAGCTTAAGAAATGAAAAACTTGAACAGATTCACGACAAAACTTTTTGTTTTGGCAACTATCTATGTTAGCTGTAGACCTGAAAATTTGGCATTCTGTGATAGAGAATCTGAATTCGTGATCAGCTTTTGAGCAATTTTCATTTCCAAGCTAATCACAAAACTCTCTAAAAAATTGGGTAATTAAACCCGATAAAATATCCAAAAATAGAGTAGCTTTCTTTAAAAACCAAGTACGGACTCAAATTCATTGACCCTGAAAACCCCCCGGGTGCAAATTTTTAGCCGAATTGGCTAATCGGCAAGTGCTAAATTCACGTACGGCCCACCGATGGGCCGTATCGAATGTGTTAAGATTAATTATAAAATATGAAAATTAATAGCAACAACATGAGATGGTAAAAGTTGAACGCAAACTGAAAACCTGTTTTCAATTCGTTTTGAAAACAACGGGTTTCCTGTATTTTTGTGAGTAAAGAGTAAAATGTTTTAGCTTTTCTTGAGGATTTTTACTTTTTTTTTATTATTTACTTAATTTAGTTTACCTTTCGCAAAAGATTCAAGCATTAGATAGAGAATTGAGAATTCGGTGAGGGGAAAAGAAAGAAAAGAAAGAAAAGAAAAAGAAAGAGAAGAAGAAGAAAGAAAAAAAGGAAAAGAAGGAAGAGAAAGAAAAGAAAGAAGAAGAGAAGAAAAAAAAGAAAGAAAGAAGGAGGAGAGAGAAAAGAAAGAAAAGAAAGAAAAGAAAGAAAAGAAAGAAAAGAAAGAAAAGAAAGAAAAGAAAGAAAAGAAAGAAAAGAAAGAAAAGAAAGAAAAGAAAGCAAAGAAAGAAAAGAAAGAAAACAGAGAACGAATGAAATGGTTAGAAAAGGAGAAAAATGAAAATGAACACTGCAAACTCAAAGATTTCTAATATAGCGATTAATCGATTCAAACTTCAAACTCTGAATTACTTCTTGGATTGAATCTTTTTGCAACTCGTTTACAAACTCTAAAAGATACATTGCATCAAGATTCAAGGCACCAAACTGATAAGAAGTCACGCGAGCAAATTTACAAGAAAGCAAGATTTAAGATTTTGAGTTTATGAAATAAAGTTAATACAAATTTTTGTTCAAAAACTTGTGACCAAATTTCTCAACCTTCAATATTTACCCATCAGGTGAGCAAAGAAACATTGCCGTCGCTGAGCATAAAGAAAAAGAAAAGGGAAAAATGATCTTTGAGATACTGCAAGAATTTAATTTATATATATTTTATCCAGGAAATGAAATAAAGTGATCTTGAATCTTGAATTCAATTGTGTAAACTTGTCAATCAACATGTTATTGGTATGAGAAGATGATCGAATGTAAAGCCTTTTCATAACTGTAATACAATGGAAGAACAATTGAGAAATAGGAAAATCACCAATTTGAATGATTTACGTCGAGAATTGATCAAAATCTGGAACGACTTAGATGCAAATTATCTCCGCCGCACCGTCGATTCTGTAAAGAAGCGAATTGAAGCCTGTATCAAAGCGGATGCTTTGATACAGGATATCAAAGCGGCCACTTCGAAAATTTCTTGTGATTATTAAATGCTTTTTTTACAACTATTATATAAATAAATATTTTTACATTTTCTTTGAAAGGAAATTAAATTATGGCGTTTTCTTTGGTACGTTACGTAATTTTCAGCCACCCTGTAGAAAATAACAGTAATGTGTCAGAAAATGAAATAAAGATTAATAAGGATTGATAGAAAGCAATACTGGCAATAGCAATAGCAATAGAAAGCGATATAATGTATGTAATAATTGGGTAGGACAGGGATCAACTAGAAGGTCAAGAATCAACTAGAAGCTATAAGCCATCTACAGATAATTTAACGGCTGACTATTGGACTCTCTCAAAACTCTAGGGTTTAGATTCAAAATTCTGTCAGTTTTTATTGGAAAAGAGTTATAAACAAGATTATTGGAGATGATTGAAATTTCTAAAACGAAAGAAATTCTCCTTGAATTGAACTTTGAATAAATCTAGAAAAAGAGGGATTAATCGAAATAATTTCCATTATTAGTGACGATTTCTGCTCATTTTACTGACAATTTGCGGATTCCTCTTTCGTAGTAGGATTTTGGTTTGTGTGTGAGACAAGTGTGAGACTCAAAAATGGAGGACTGGAGATGTCCCAGTTTGAGCACTTTCTTCAAAAGAAACCCATTTTGGTGTCAATAGAAAAGTTGTAGAGAATTTTACAACTTTCCTTTTACAATTTTGAAACATTCTATTGACCAAGCGACGCTATCTAATGGATTTAAGAACAACAACGAAATGGTTTAATTCTATTGACCATTCTATTGACCACTAATGGATTTAAGAACAACAATTTTTGAGTAGAGTGTGCTCCTCTCGACTAATGCGTTCTCTAAAATGCACCTATTTGAGAAAAGTACCGTAGTCAAACCGTTAGTTTTCATTAGATCAATCCAATTTTTAAATGATTGGCTGAGCCTTGTAATTCCTCATCAAATGATACCAAAATTGAGCTGATCGGATGTAAATTGGCAGTTTGACTGGTGGCTTTTTCAAATAGGGGCATTTTAGAAAACGTGTTAGTCCAAAGGAACACACTCTACTCAAAATACTCAAAATTGTTCTTAAATCCATTAGTGGTCAATAGAATGGTCAATAGAATTAAACCAGAAAAGAGTTAGCACTAATGTGATAGCTTGGTCAATAGAATGTTTCAAAGGAACACACTCTACTTTTGAGTCTATCTGTGTAACTAGAGTTTAAAAATTAAAACAAACTCTATTTTTACTTGCTGAAAAACTTGCTAGAAAATGACGGTGCGATAGATTCTTCTAAATTCTTTTTATTCTTTTTAGAAAACGTTTTATTCCAAAAGAATGAGTCAACTCTGTTGAGTAAACTTTAATCAAAGATATGGCTGAAAATCGAAAAATCTAGTAACAAAACCAGACCCAAAAATATAATAACTAAGTTTCCCCCAACTGGGATGTCGTATCAACAAGTTTTTTTTGTTTTTTTGCTTTTTTTCCTGAATCGTCTCAAATTTCATTCATCTAATATGTATTCTTTTTAGTCTATTTGTTGTGATTGTGATTATGAAATATTTCCTGTTTCATTTTACAATCAATAAAATCCTTTTTTGGGTTGTTGATTGTTTTCGAGTGAAATTTGACTCCAAACAACAAGGGATTCCCATTTTCGTACCATTTTTCTTTTCGGCACCAATTTGTGAGAGATTTGCTTTTAATTGGTAATTCAATCTCGAATAAAAATCTTGAATTCAATTGTGGAATCAACATGTTATTGGTACGAGAAGATGTTATTGGTTATTGGTGTTATTGGTACGATCAAATGTAAAGCCTTTTCATAACTGTAATAGAAAATAAAAGTAATGTGTCAAATTCATCAAATCTGATGCGATCTAATGCTAGTTGATGAAAAACCAGAAAAGTTAAACCAGTTAAACCAGTTAAACCATTTCGTTAAATCAAAAAAGAGTTAGCACTAATTTGATAGAGTACTACCCTGGTTCACTCAAAGTCAAGTCACTCAAAGTTTAGATCTGTTCTGACAGTTCTCTAAATCTCTCTTCTTTTCTCACAGTTCTTTAAATCATTATTTTCGAGACTTAATGATGTTTCTAGACTCAAGTTTTCAGGCAAGGCAATCCTTGTAATTTCTCATCAAGTTTCCAGGCAATTTCCAGGCAATCTAATCAATTTTCCATCAATAACAATTTCATTTCATATTCATTTCAAGAAGGTTTAGTCTAGAAAGTTTAGTCTAGAAAGTTTTTCACAGCTCACAAAAAGTAATCTCCTTTTTTCATAACTCTATTGTCGATTATTGTTGGTTTGTGCTGTGAGTTGAGAGACGCGAAAATCTGTTAATGAAATTTTCGCCGAAAAGGGCTGCAGATTTTTCGGGATATGTATAGAAAATAGGAAAATAGAGGGACATGAAGGGGAGGCTATATGAAATGCAAAACCTTTCCTTTCCTTCAAAACCTTTCCCCCCTACGTTCGATGTCACCCATCCAAAAAGCACACCGACAATATGGAAAAGCTGGAAAGGATTTTCTAAACTTTTGAGATACCTTTTAGTTTTAATGGCTATCATTTTAGATATAGACTTTGTTTTAGATATAGGCTTTGTTTAAGCAAAGAATAAAGCTCAATGATTCATCCTGTTAAAGCTGTGACACCTACTTTTGCATACTCAAATTTACACGTGCAACTCTCTCCAAAACCCGATTTCTCCCGTTCGCTAGAATGTGCAAAAATGAATTTTCGAATGTTTCTTTGCTTTTTGCCTCTTTCCTTTTCCTTTTACCCAACTCGATATGCAAATGAGTGAAAAGAAAAAGAAAAAAAGTGGCCAAAATGTCTTGAGTTCAAAAACTCACCATTTCTCTTCTTTTTGGTGGATTTTGATTTGGTGACTGAAAAGACAAATAATTTTTTTTTTCTTTTGAAATCTATTCGATGAAATTGGCCACTATTTTCTTATTTTCTAGATGGCGAAATCAAAAAGAAATGCTGGTTGATGGTTGATATTTGATGGTTGATATTTGATGGGTGATGGTTGATATTTGAGTTCATGCAAATGTGATACAAGAAATTCCTTTTTTAAAGCATTCGAAACCTAAATCCTCATCTTCGTGCTCTGCTTAAAAGCATAAATTTTCAAAATTTCCATAGCGTTTCACCACATTGCTTTCATTTTTCACTTTTCTTTTCTTCTCTTTTTCTTCGGAATGATGGAATCATGCTGTGGGGTGGGCTCTAGACCAAAAAAAGGATGAAAAAAAGAGAAATACTTACCTTTTTCGAGATGGACTCACCCTCACGCTTACCCTTTCCTTTACTCTTTCTCTTCCCCCTTTTCCCTTTTCAATCCACCCTCGAATCGAGTCGATCTTCCTCCGATTCATCTTTCTTCCTCCTTTCCACATATACCTCACTTTTTGGCACCTCCTTTCCCTTTCTTCTTCCACTTTTGAGAATTGTGAGTAAAGCGCTTGATTGCTATTTCTATTTGCTATTTCACCGTTTGTTGTAAAGTTTATTCAAATTCATTTCTTTCATTTAGATTAAAGAATTAAATTAGACCATAGGAATCCACAAAGTTTATAAAAGATAAAGCTTTTTATTGGGAATTCAATTTGCAGCTATGAGTCACTTTTATAAAGAAGTAGTATACAAAAATGAGTCTTCAACTTCATATTTCATTACATCGATTTCCAGCAATTATCCCCCTCATTCCCTCTTCTTCCACCCCGTTCATATATTGTGTGAAAAGTCGAGATTTCATCCATTATGTTCGTTTTCTTCCTTTTCATTTTCCTCTCTTTCTTCTTCCTTTTCTTCTCTCCCTTCTTCCTTTCACTCATATCTCCTTTCCCTCACTCGATTACACCATTTCTCTCACTAAATCCCATTTCTTTCATTCACTTTTCCAGTCTCAAGTGTCATCGACTTTAATTTGGGACCTCTTTATGGAGATGAATTTCATTGTCAATTACTGCTTGATTTAAACTCTAATTTTACTAGTCTTAAGCAATGGATTTATAGTTAGCAAAAAGCAATAAATGACTTGCTTGTGAAACTGAACCCAAACCATCCATTGTTTTCAAAAGTTCGAAAGAAAACTGAAATTTGAAGCAGAGAATTTGGAAACGTTTTTGTTTTTTTCTCAGAGAATCTCAGGTGTTTCTGGTCTTTTCTCCTTTTTTCCCTCTTATTGAACTGGTGCTAAGTAAGTGGGAAAAGAGGGAAAAGAGGGGAACCTCTTCCTCTACTTGATTGATTAAAATGTGCTTTTGAAAGAAGCACATATTTGTTTTTGTTTTTGAGAAAGTTTAATCAGCTTGCAGTATTGGATAATAACTTGTAAAATGTTCTTTTATTTGAGTTAACTTGTAACTTTACAAGTACATGCTACTTTTCACTGAGCAACTGTGTAGTATCCATCTTTCCCTTTCTTTCCCCTTTTTCTCGTGTGTGAATCGGTCCCGAGGGGAATTAGCCAGCCCTCTTTTGATAAACGAGTAAAAAGAAAAAGCACATAGTATCTCTTTTTATTCTTTCTTTTTTTTTCTTTCTCTTTAGATCAGTTGTTGAAAGAAATTTGGTAAATTATGACCTTTTGCTGAAAGGATTCTCTTCAAGAACAACAAAAAGAACACTCATTTATCTTCAACCATAAAGAGTTTCATCTAGACCCAAAAGAATAGCTTTGGCTCTGGAAATGATTCTTGAAAACTTTTCTTTTCCTATAGCTTTGCAATTGATTGTAAGTTATGATTTGATCTGTGTAATCATTAATCTAATTTGGCTCAATTTTTGTTTAACACTTGATTGAAAGGCTTATCAGTTGATCTCTACCAGTTGATCTCTACCAGTTGATCTCTACCAGTTGATCTCTACCAGTTGATCTCTACCAGTTGACTTCTACCAGTTGATCTCTACCAGTTGATCTCTACCAGTTGATCTCTACCAGTTGATCTCTATCAGTTGATCTCTATCAGTTGATCTCTATCAGTTGATTTTCATCCAATCTTTCAATTCCAATCTCTGTTTGATTTGTAATTCGAAATTGACTTTTTGCAGCTAATACTATTTTTGATCTTTAGAAAGTGTCGTCAAGCTGGACTCGTTGGGGCGCGAGGCGACGCTTCGGCGGGTGCAATTTGTCGAGAAGGAGTTGAGGTGGGGAAAAGATTCAAAGAAAAGATTCGATTGAATTGTCAAAGAAACTATAGATAGTTTAATTTAATATCAACAAAGTTAAAGTATAAATATGCTATGACTTTATGAGTTTTCCAACAATTGACCTACTAATGTTGCAAGTAATCTTTTCGGATGGTAATCAAGTAATCTTTTCGGATCAACAACATCAACAAACGTTTTTCTTAGAGTTGGGATTAGAGATTGATTGAAAGGTTTATCTCTACCAGTTAAGATGATAGAATAAAAGAAAAACATTATTATTTGTTTCTTGGGGAAAAGAAAAGGAAATGGATCATAAATCATCCGAAAAGAACATCTAAATTGGGTTCTTGATTCCATTGCCATTTATTCATCTCAATGTACTTAATCTACTCAATCTACTTTCTCAATCTACTTTCTAGCTATTAAACACCTCGATTCAATTCTTTTGTCGAATAAATCATCGAAAAAACTCGACAATTGCTGGATTTTTCGTTTGTTGAACAAAAAAGCAAAGAGAAATAAAAAAAGAAAAAGAAAAGATTGATGGAAAATTGAGAAAAGCCCCCTTTTGTTTTCGTTTTTTCACATACACATGACAGAGGAGAAGTCAATGCAACTAGGTCATAAATTTGTCCCAACAAACATCTGTTTTCTACTATTTTTTTTGCTTTATCTTGCTTCTGTAGGAAGCTAAGTCTTTTTTTATGATTTAATATGCTAATAGATCCGAAAAGATATACTGTTTCATCTAGCTTTGTGACAAGCGAATAGCCCAAATAACATGATACAGCACTGGACAATGAAATATCATATTTGAAAAACGATCGTCACTTTCACGCGTCTGTAACTTCCTCGTCTTTGAGTTTAAACTATTAGTGTTATACATTTTCTGAAAGCTCTTTTCAAGGGCTACACAATGGTAATATTAATATTTAGAAATACGGTAAAGACGAGAGAGTTACAGGCGTGCGAAAGTGACGATCGTTTTTCAAATATGATATTTCATTGTCCAATAGTGTAGCTGAACGGGGTGATTGAAGGTTGATCATTTGACGTTAAACTTTATATTTAGTGTAGGTCTTCACTCTTCTGAATTGTTCAAATCAAAAGCGAAAAATTTTAAGGCCCATTGACTCTTTTTGAACATTTTGGGAAAAGGAAAGGCAAAACAAAATGAGGAAACGATTTTTGAGATTTATGGCTAAGATATTGGATGGGAAAAGGAAAGGGCACCATGTGGAGTCATCCATTCAATCCCATTTTACCAAATTTGTTACGGCTCTTTTGGCTCTTTTGATGGTTTTTGAGTTAAATATCTCAGAAATGGGTTTCTCACACATTTCCACCTGATCTCATCTCAAATATCCTACCATTTCTCTTTAATTTTCTTCTCTTTTTCTCCACACATGGGTATTAGTCCCATCAAGAAGCAAAAAAGACAAAAGAACACGCAAAAACGTTACGTAATTCGATTTTCTCATGGATTTGTTCTGAAAAGAGAATTTGAAGAAGAAGAAGAAGAAGAAGAAGAGAGAGGAGATTTACTGAACAAGTCGTTGTTCTTCATCATCCTTTATCTTTCATTTTTTCCATTCTCTCAATTTCAATTCTGAAAAACGAATCTCTTTTCACTTCAAACTCGATTTCGAGCAGAGATTTTTGAACCAAATCTTGCTTTTCTTTTCGATAAAAACTTGCAACTCACATTGGAAACAAAAGGATAATTACTATGGAACTCCTTTTTTTTTTGCTTTCAACAACGCTAAAGTTTCAAGTGTTTTGGGAGCCTTGACTTCACCTCAATCTTGACTTCATTATGTAAAACTTTCTTCTATGTACTCAGGCACTAGGCCAATCACCGTTCATCGTTCCTATCAACACTCGTTAACGAAGCCTACTATCCAATCTTTAGCTCTCTTTTCCATGAGAAAGCACGAATTTGACTCCCAACATCCAATCAAGTGTTCTTCCAGTCCTTTTCCAAGCAAAAAGTGAAGATCAAGAGTGAAATTTCCAATTAGTGTCCAAAAAAAAGGAGAACTCTCTTCTCGAAGTTCCCCTTTTTGCCCCTACTTGGTGTCACCCACCTTTCGTTTTTTTTCAGCTATTCTCCATTTCTCAGACCAATTTATCTTTCGACCACTCTAATGAATTAAATTTAGCACGTTTCCTTATGTTCTCTACTAATTTTTGGCCTTAAATTGCCTGTAAAGCAAAAACTGTAAAAAGTTTTAGAAATTTAACGAGAAAACCTTTTTGCTATTGTTTTGATCCAGCGCTCCCAGACAGAGAGAAAATTTATGAAAACCCAATTTGCACTTCAGTCAAAAGATGAACTTGTGTTCAACTTTGAACATTCAATGGCTTTTTAAAAAGTGCAACTCTTCAAAGAATTTCCTTTAATTCAATTCTCATCACTTTGATCGTTCTCAGCCAATCTTTAGCTCTCTTTAGCTCAATCTTCTCTTGTCAAGTTCAAATTTTTCCTCAATTTTTCTCTTCATTTGTAGATTTCACATGATTGATTCGTAAATGAATCGCACAAAATACCACAATTTGGTGTTAAAACAAGACAAAGATGGGACACAAAGTTTCATTGAACCGACGAAAAAAAGGAAACGGTGAGCCGCCACGAGAAGAAGTTTTCAAGAAGTTTCCGTGCTTTGAACAAATCGAAAACCGAAAAAATAGCAATTGTTTCCGTTTTCCTTCAAAAATTTTGATGATTGCTTGGGCATTTATTTTAATGACAACAACAAAAATCAAAGCCATTATTTTTGTGAATCCCCGGTCGAATTGAAAGGAAAATGTTGTAAAATTATCGAATGTTTGATGCAAATAATGAAAATAATATAAAAGTTTGGTATACGATGGCCAAAGACTAGAACTAAAAGTTCTACACTTACTAGAGACTTAGCCTAGCACCTGCGAATGAAAATAGAGTAAGGCTGTTATAATTGAAGAATCTTCAGGCGAATGAGCCATGCCTCATCATACAAACTCGTGCTGGCCGTTTCTCTTTTCCTACTCTTCGCTGGCCTTGTCCTCACCGCTTTCAGTCTCTTCAGTGCTCAATGGCAGGTAAGAATTACAATCAATCAAGGAATAGGAAATTGTAAGCTATTTTTTTGAGTTTTTCATTTACATTGTTTATCTGTATCTTTAGGTATCTGAGATCGGTGAGCAACACGTAACTCATTTACATGGACTGTGGAAGGATTGCATTGAGCCATCGAAAGAACTCATCCCACTCTATGAAAACTCAGCAAGACAAGAGAAATGCGTCTACAAGTTCGACCCATCAGCACAAGTAAGAATTTCCGAAGTGTTTAACCAGTGAAATCACTTTTAGGAAGAGCTTCGAAAAGCGCTTGACATCGGCGACGAAGCCTCACATGAGTTGCTTTTGCACCGATTTTTGCGTAAGTTATGAAAGCTTTGAAAACCTAGCTTGTTTAGAATCAACACAAATCTTTCAGCTCAACACAAAGCCGTCATTTTCTTCGCCGTCTTCACTTTTGTTTTCGGCTTACTCGGCTCGATCATCGGCATTTGCTCACCGTGTTTTCCACCGAATTCCATGCTTTTTGTGGTAGCCTTATTTTTGACAAGTGAGTTGAAATTTTGACAAGTTTTTCTAAACAAGCAATAGGAAATCTTTTTAGAAATCTAATAGACTCAATTCCAGCCGCTTGCTCAATCCTGGCCGATGTGATTTTCATTGCAGCCGCTATGAAACCCCCACAAATCAAATGGGAGAAATTCGACAAGTTTGATCCGTCAAAATATGAAGTAAATTTTAAATTTGTCATATTTATCAACTTGAATTTTCAGAATAAACTTGGCATGGCGGCATTTTTGCATTTATTGGCTTCGGGCTTGATAACAACATCGTTTTTCTCGTCATTAGGTACTTTGTTACTTTGCTATAGTACTTTGTTTAAAGTTAATCTATCCTTAAAGTCTTTTCCTTTATATGTAAATTGTTCAGGCACAGCTTATCTATTATTGTTGACGAGGAGTAAAAACGATGGATCGAGTTGTTGCTCGGGGATGAGACCAAAGAGGGATTTTGAAGAAGAGGACAGGTTGGCTTTGAGTTTCGATTTGAATTTGATTTGAATTGAATTTGAATTCGATTCTGAAGAAGAGGACTTCCAATAGTTAAGAAAATAATCTGCTTTTTCTAAACTTTTTAACAATCTCTGAATCTTTACCAAATACAAACAGTATGGCCCTCGAACAGAACACTAATCGACACTTCTACAACTTTTACATCGGTAATTGTTTCTTGGTTTCTGTATAGAGGAAATTGAGTTAATTCTAAGTTAAAGATTGAAGTAAAACTTGAAACTATAAAGTTTTATCAGTGATGATATGATCGAAACTCTCTATATCCCAGCAGACAACGAGTTATCCCAGCCAGAGTTCTCTCGTCCATCACAATCCGCTCAATTATCCCATCCCTCTACCACTCTTTTGTTATCGCCGAAAGCGCCAAAGAAAAATCTGCAATCTCTTGAGTTTATCGATGCTTTATCACAATTGGGATCATCAAGACAAACAACTGGAAGACTCAATTTGCCAATGATACCACAGAATATTGTCACACCAAAAGGAAAAGAGACGGAAAGATCAACGATTGAGATTGAGAAGAGATTGAGAGGGTTTGGAAGGAAAAGTGATAGTCAAAGTGTGTCACTTCTACAACTGTTCTGATTAGAATAACTAAATACCGTATTTTCTGTAATAGTAGTGCGCACTACTATTTTTTCAACCCCCCTCCAGCCTGCACTACTATTACAGACTGCACTACTATTACAGAAAATACGGTAACTCAAATTTCTAGACCTCAACAAAATATCTTTTTTCAGATGGCACGGACCTGGGCTAATCATTCGAGCATGCGATGATCAGGCGTGTAAACCGTTTGTGATCATGCCCGATCCACAATCTGATGACAGTGCACCATAACTGATTATCTTATAATTTATAAGATCAGCTCAGTCAGCTTATAAATTTCTAGAATTTTCTTTTCTAAACCTTTCAGCTTTTTCTCCAATCCTTTATGCTCTCTTATTACTTTTCGATCTCGTATGCAACATCCAAGAGCTTCTCTTTTTTGCTAAATCTCTCTAAAATTATTCAACGATTTCTTTAAAAATTTACTATTTATATTTAAATTCATAATTTTATTTAAATATTAAAAGTTGACGATTTTTAAGAATGGTGGTGGATTGTTTGGGTGAATGGTCCAATGTCCATATTTGGGTGAATGGTCCAATGTCCTTTGATACCGATATGAGTATGGGAATGACACATGGAAAGAGATCAATGCGAATAAATATTTTCTAAATAAACTGCGAATAAAAATAGTCAACTTTTAATATTCTGAACTTATTTACCTCCAATTTGATCTCATTTTATCCTTTTTTTATATTAATTTGTTTCCAGCTTACAGCTTACTCGGTATCGCCAAACTTCTGTGTTGTGTTTGTTCTTGCGGGTAAAAACAAACGATTTTTAAGAATAAAGTTTTTGCTTATCAAGAGAGAATACTCTATTTTATGAGAAATTTAATAATTTTGAGACTGTAACAGTCAAAGTTTGTACTTGTAAAGTGAACAGTCAAAGTTTTGAATTGTCAACTTTCCGATAAGAAATCGCTTAAAGCACTTTAGCACTTAAATAGTTTTCGAACAGTTCAAAGTTTTGAATTGCACTTAAAGCACTTAAATAGTTTTCGAACAGTCAAAGTTTTGAATTGTCAACTTTCCGATAAGAAATCACTTAAAGCACTTTATTCATTCCAAAAAACACTTTGCATTATTTACAGTAATATTATAATATATCTGAGCTGAAGAATCGAAAATCATTTGGGATCCGTCGGATTCTATTTTTTGCCCCACATTCCCATGCCTCCCCATGGACGACCCCACATTGGCCTCCCCCACATCGGTCGTGCCCACATCGGACGATACCATGGATTGTACACTAGAATATGTTAGCTATATTCATTAAATATAGAGTTCATATTGAATTGTTGACTTTAAATGAACTGACTTCCACCCATTCCACCCATTCCACCCATTCCGCCCCATCCTCCGCCCCATTGTGCCTCGGAGATGGCAATGAAACAGCAAACAACGATCGCCAAAACAAGTAATCTTTGCATCTGAAAATCATATATTAGAAAAAAAACATTTTACAAATGAAACGTTTTACAGGAAATTTGATATTCTCAATTGAAAGCTCGTGGTCAGCGAGAGCATTTGAAAAGAGAAACGCTTGGAAATATTTCAACGATGGATTTAAATCTTGTAAGATCAATAGGTTTAGAATGGAGAAGCATAAGTGACAGCATAAGTCAAGTTACAAATCAAAAATGTCAAAAGTAGAATGTTGAAAAGTTTGACAAGATGGCTAAGTCAAACTTTCAAGCTTAACTGTACAAGAATTGAGAGAAAAGAGATCCCTTGAAGTCTTGTGCTTCGATATTTGCCGTTTCTCTGGCTTGATCGTTTCCTGCCGATCCTTAAATAGTTTTCCTCCCAAAAAGGGATCCTTTGTGTATCCGTATGTGTGAAAATGAAAATCTCTCACCTCAAAAATATTTCCTTTTCCATTTTCTCTCTTCCTTTTCCGATCCTGGTTTCTTTGGGGAAAAGCCTTTTTGAAATTCGCCAAATTTTTTCCTTCAAAATCCTTCTCATTTTTCCGTAGACTGTACTAGTTTTCCTCAAAAAAAAAAGCTTGAGGAAATTCGCTGAACTCCTTTTCCAAGTCAATCTTTTTTTGAAATTTAAATCTTAAAATGTGGCTTTGAAAAGGCTCGCCTGAAAAGTTTCCCTTTCAAGCCGTGACTCATTTGAGAGAGATTTGAAAAAATGCGTCATTTCAAGGGATTTCAAGGGAAATTTTGAAAATGAAAACCTTTCAGACTTTCATTAGGAACAAAAAATTGTTCTTGTTTTACAATTTAGCCACTTTACGTAAACCAAAGATAAACCAAAGATAAAGATAGTAAACCAAAGGCTTGGGGAGTATGAAATGGCGCCGACTTTCAAAAGTCTATAACATCGAATAGTATTTATCAAATGACACGCGAATAATATCATTAGAAAGGTCACTGATTTTTCTACAAAATCATATTTGAAAGCAAACTCAAAAAGCGCCCCAATTCAATAAAAGATCGTTTTTTTCAGAAAATCTCGAAATCATCATTTAAAGAAAATGACTGACGAGATCACTACAAAAATTTGGATACTGTATTGAATATTGGATATTGGATATTTGGATACTTATCGTAAATACTGTAAAAGTACCTCACCCCCATAATGACGGTGCGGAGTGTTGCGTAGTCTAGCTTTGAACGCGTTTTTCTCGACACTGGTTTATGCTACAATGCGCGCTTAGGTATCAAAAAATAGCCCTGAATTTCAGCTATTTTTTTGATACTAAGGACGCATTTTTTGAAAGTACGAGCGCTTCGAAAAAAATGAAATGCTAAAAAACTTTTGCAACTATGCGACTGTAACGACTGCAACAACTATGCGACTAGGGCGGTGGGGTACTATTACAGTATTTACGGTATGTAATTACTGTATTTTCTCTAATAGTAGTGCACCCCGCTGAGGCGAGTTGATTACTATTTTACGGTTTCCAAGTTTTAGCAGAAGCTCAACACTCAAATCCCCCACAAGATCTCACCGTCATTTTCCACATTTTAAATTTTCCGACCCCACATCGATAGGTTCTGATTCGCTTTTCGAGATTTCGAGGAATTTAGGCGACGCTCATGGTGTACTATTAGAGAAAATACGGTAAATGTGCTCTAAATTTTTTGTTATGACATCAAGTTAAGTTTATTTGTAAGGAACGAGTCAAACGATGAATTAGACTCCTTCTCATTTTGACTGCTTGCGTTTAAGAGCCCATAAAATCCACAAAACAAAAGCTTTTCGGAATCAAAAGACATTTTGCAGAGCAATTATAGTTCTTTTTGATTATACAAACAATGAATTATATGGAGCTCTAGAAAAACTTTTGAAAGTCGATGCCATTTCATACTCCCTAACTCAATAGAAAGATCAAGTTGCAGAGAAAGATCAAGTTGTAACCTTATCAAGAGCACTTATGTTTACCAGTTTAAAGATTCATATGTTCAATATGATCATATGATTAAAGGTTCATATGCTTTCGAAATCTCCCAAACAAAAAAGTGATCACTTTTGATATCGAGAAGGCTTTTTTTCTATCCAAAACCAGACCACGCGGAAAATTTTTGGGATATTTTCTCGATCAACTCAAGGACAACAAAATGAAAAAAGGAAAAGCTCTTAAAGAAGTCTAGAAAATATCTGCATACATAGAGAAAATATTTATTCGCATTCATCTCTTTCCATATGTCATTCCCATACTCATATCGGTATCAAAGGACATTGGACCATTCACCCAAATATGTGGACCAAACAATCCACCACCATACATTCCTGAACATTTAAATTGAAGGCTAAGAGGGAAAGTTTACTAAGAGAAAGAACTATTCAAGTCTTTAATCTAACTAAATATTAGTCATAATTAAACTAAAAACTATGATGCAATACTTTTCAAAAGCGATAACTCGTTCTCACTTCGATAGTATCGATTCCAATTGAACGCGTCCATCATTGATAACAAAATCAAGAAAAAGACAAGACAAAGCATTGAAATCTTCATTGGTTTAGAAATAATAAGTAATATCTTTCAATTGAATGATTTTGATCTCTGACTGACTTTAATATTTCCCAAGGTAAAACTCACAAGAACCCAACAACAAGTTGTGTTCGTCAAAAGCGAGTTTTGATTTTTTCGCACAATAAATGAAAAGATATCAATCAGGGGATTTTGGAAGAGAAAACTGTGAATTGATTAAGACAAAAAGAGTAAAAAAAATGGGTTAGAGGTTGTAAACAAGAACACAAAACAGTACTGTTAACAGTACAAAACAGTGAAGTACTGAACTGAAACTTTAAAATGTATCAAACTACTGTTGTAATTCGGGGATTCGTCTTCTCCACAAAGAATTGATAAAACTGATAGTAGTGCTTTGATTGTATTGATGCCTTAAAAATGAGCATGCAATATTTATTCAATTATTAATTCAATGAATGAGTTTTTGAGGACAATAAAGCATCGAGAGAGGATCGATTGATTGGAGATGCTTCGAGATTGCAGATCTAACGTCCATATCCATATCCATAAGATGGATATCCATAGCCCATTCCACCCATGCCGTATCCCATGCCGTATCCCATTCCCATTCCCCTTCCATAACCCATTCCCCACGGTCGGCGCATACCTGCAATAATTGTTCAATCAATAAATCAACATCAAAATCAATCATTAAAACTTTTAAAGATCTATATCTATAGATATTAAAATTCTATTAAATCTATAGTTAAAATAAAATCTTAGTTCATCAAGCTGACTAATTCAAATTGCTAAAGTAAAAGCGAAAATCTATCTCCAGTAGCTAAGAAACGAAATCACTCACCCCACATTCCCCAGGCATCAACCGAGACCGAGCACAAAGCCAAGATAACCATTAAAGCGATGAGGAAATACGATTGCATTATTGGAAAGATTTAGTTTAATGTGTGCAAAAGACAGAAAACTGATTGCCTCGAATCCGCGCCGAGCTTTTGTACCCCGAAAATCTTGCATCAAAAATCCTATCAATCCATCCATTCGCCAATTTTCCCTTCCCATGTCTCCCCCCAAAGGCTTGTGTCAGGCCCAAGTTCGCCGATTGATGAACAATCTCCGTCAAGGATTTTGTACTTTTCTCTTTCCATTCACCTTTTTATTGTCTTTTCTTTTTTGATAAATACGTCTGATCTTCGAAAATTGTGCCCTTTTCTCTAGTCTTTTCGAGAAATCGGACTCGATTTCGCGAGTTAAGATGTCGCGGATCTCTTTCTCATTCTTGAGAAACAGATCCGCGACAATTTGGACGATTCGAGAAGGAAAGAGCCACGAGATGTGATGTCAAGTAAAATAAACAACTAGACTGAAACAATATCTTTCATTCTTGACTTACTTTACAGATTTCATTGCCTAAACCTCTAGTCTTCTGTCTATCATTCCTCTACCTAAACTGTAACAAGTTCTAGTTTTGTTTTCTTTGGGGGAAACAAATAAAATGAAATAGATAGATTTATTTGACATCTTGTTTGACATTTGTTAATAAATTAATGTTTTGCAATATTTTTGAATCTATCATCGTTTTCCGAGCAACCCTCCACCACCGAGAAGTCCTCCACCGCCGTATCCGAGTCCCACATTCGCACCGATTCCCAGTGGAGCTTGTACTAAAATATTGGAATCAATCAATCCATTTATGTTTTGAAAAATAACTATAAAGACTTTAGTCACTATTATATTGTAGAGAACTCACATCCAATTCCGAGTTGCGCCGATGCGAAAGCCATGATCACCAACAAGAGGAGTACGGTAGACAAGAACGATTTCATTTTATAGAAAGCTTTAATTTTCGATTTTTGATCTGAATAACTTGACAATTCTAAGGGTATTTATACTCCGAATACTCAGACAAAATTCTCTATTTTATTCGTCAAAACAAACGAAAATCACCAAGTTCTTTGGCCGGATCTCCTTTCAGTTCTTTCTCCTCCTTTTGATATGACGTTGATTGTTTTGCTGTTTTTCATTATTATTTCTTTTTTTTCTACAAGATTGGGTGTGATATTTCACTCAAGGCCACATTGAGCAAATACTTTTTGCTGCAATAGATCTGTGACCCAAATATTTTGTACAAGTTCTGTTACTTTGAGTTCACCATTTAGCGAGTATCGATTTCGAAACTCTTAAATTATTTTTTAGAAAGTCAATGAAATGGGTTATAGCAACCCAGCTTTGTTGTTTTGATACCTATCATTAGAACAAAGTTCTTTGAAATCAAATTCTAGATTTAATCGGAGCTTTAGGTGCTCAGGTGCTTGCTGATAACTGTAAACGAGCCTGGGTATCTTTTTAGTTGATTCTTTTTAACGTTATTCTTAGTGATAGTCCGACTAATTATTTTTAATAGTAGTGCTAAAAATGTTTAGCTAATTGTGAATAAAATAATATCCCTTTTTCGAAGCCAGTTTTCATTGTTTGTTTTGGCTTTTTCCAACTCGATCCATGACGTCTTTGTGAACTTGAAATATCTAGGTCACTCGTGCGTGGTTTTTCGATTTTTTTTTATCATTTGCTTTTTGCTGGGAGGAAATTCGCTGAATTGATAGGGTATTCGATGAAAATGATAGGAGAAGTTCAAGATTTGCCCTAACTAATCAGAGATCAGCTTTATCGATTAGAAATTTTTGTTTTACATTAGAATATCAAGCTGCAGTTACAAATTAGATTCTTAAATAGTTAAGAAATCGTTTTTAAATATTTTCCAACTCGTCCATTTGATCCTTTCCAATGAATCAGCTACCCAATGAACTCAAAAATTTGATTCTAATTAGATCAAACGCCAAAAGAACGTATACTTCAATCGCACAAACATTTTGATAGTATTTAGTGTGTCAATTCTTCAATATAATGCAAATGTTTATCGATTCGTGAATGAATAAAAGAGTGATTAAAAGAATTGATATTTAATTTATGTTCATTGACTGGATGGTTGTGTTTATTTTTCGAATCCAAGTGCTCCCACTCTTGCTTGGGTGTTCACTCCGAGAGGGCCACGGACTAAAATAAGAACATTCGATAAGATCTCATTGTGAAAATATTTATTTGACTTAGTTTAATTACCCAAGTCGACCGGGTTTTTATTTTAAGTAGTGCGTAAAAGATCATTTGACTTACGATTGCACAACTGACTCAATTGGTTTGAAGTTTTTAGCAAATTTTCGCATAACAAAGTTAAAACTGCAAAAATGTATTCTTTTCTATAAAATGCTCACCGCTCAATTTAATCTGAGCCGATGAAAAGGCCAAAACGGCGAGCACAAAGAGTAAGGTAGACAAGTGTCGCTTTTGCACACAAAAGATACACTTATCGGTATTCTGAAATTCATAAAATCTTGGAATCGATTTATATAGAAAGTTGGGCTAAATCTTTCAAAGAAATCCTTTACCATAAATACTAATTTGTTTATGTTTTCAATGTTTTTCTATCTTTTTCGAGAGTCTAGCCGTTCATCCAAGGTCAGTCTAATGGAAGAAGAAGAAAGAAGAAGAAGAAAAGAAGAAAGAAGAAAGAAAGTCTTTTCTAAGAAGAAAGATCACGGAAATTTCGTTCATCTATAACTATTTTGTAGTCATAAATGAAAATCTGGATTATTCAAATGTTTTAAATGCAAAAATTCAGGTTAACAATTGTTCCGATTGACAAACCCTGAAACGAAGTCTGTAGTTTGCTCATTGCCTTGCCCGATCACAAAAGCTTATCACAACTCAAAATTCAGAATCGATTCCCTTTAAAACTTCCCCCAAAATGCTAAACTTTCCAATGAATCAGCTACCCAATGAACTCAAAAATTTGATTCTAATTAGATCAAACGCCAAAAGAACTCTAGAATTTCTTCAAGTTCAGAAATCACTCCGATCATTCGTGCTCAATTTTAGCCCATTTTACAAGAAACGCTTTCACAGCCTCTACTTGAGTAACATCTCAACGAAAAAAGTATCGATTCATCTACGAGAACAACGAAATGATACACAAATCTCAATTCAATATTCGATTAACAATTGCTCACTTGCAATCACTGAATCAACCACCGGTTATGATCGAGAATTCAACTTACCATCTAAATATTCACAACAAATTTTTCACTGGCTTTTCCACAGTATTTCTTCTTTTCGTTTCTTTGAAATCTGTAACAATTACTTTGATGATTTCAATGAATTCAAAACTGTGCTACTTAACGTGAACACGGTTGAAAAGTTCACTGTCAATCAATTTCCCGTTCTGAGCTTTAATCAACTCAAGTTTTTCCTTGAAATCTTCCATCCAATCGTCACAAAAGAGTTCGAGATTCATTTTGATAAATCTTTTGTTTATACAGACAATGAGATCAATTATCTGAGCGATCGATTCAAGCCGATCATTGTTGAGACTGAGATTATAAAAATCTTCAATCTTCACCTCGGAATCGAGCAAATTTTTGAAAAGAACAAAGCAAAAACGATCCAGATTCATCACTATATCCAAAAGGAAACCAAGTTTTTAAACTTGGAAATCTCAAAACTTCTTAAAAAAGGAATTCCATCAGAAAATCTGTATTGCGAACTTTTGTTGACAGTTATTGATGATCGTGGAGTGAACAGACATCGTGAATTCACTCTTGAAGAGATCAATGGAAATGAATGGATTGTTGAAATGGAAGAAGATCATTCAAAAAGAGACTCAATTATTCAAAGATTTGTGAAGCGTCGAGACTGGGAAGAGCATTGTTGTCCAAAAAAGCTTCGAATTTTTCGAAATACATCCATAAACCAAACGATTCTCATAGAGACTTTTGAAGAGGAATCGAGTCGTGTGTATTATCCCAACTTTAAACTATTTCTATGCAAAGATACTTCATTTTTCTAAATTTTCTGTAAACGAGAAGATATTTGAAAGAATTTAAGTGTATTTGGTGAAATGCAAGTTTTGATTTTAGTCTTTTTATATGTAGAAATTTATTTGATTTGAAATCGTTTTCCTTGAAAGAACAACGAAATGATACACAAATCTCATTCAATATTCGATTAACAATTGCTCACTTGCAATCACTGAATCAACCACCGGTTATGATCGAGAATTCAATTTACCATCTAAATATTCACAACAAATTTTTCACTGGCTTTTCCACAGTATTTCTTCTCTTCGTTTCTTTGAAATCTGTAACAATTACTTTAATGATTTCAATGAATTCAAAACTGTGCTACTTAATGTGAACACAGTTCAAAAGTTTACTGCCAATCAATTTCCCGTTCTGAGCTTTAATCAACTCAACTCAACCACCGGTTATTATCGAGAATTCAACTTGCCATCTCATTTCATCAAATCATTTCAAATCTATTTATTCATTTATTTTTGTCACAATATTTGCATAAAAGAATTGAAATAAGGTTTTGAATGTTGATATCAATGAATTTATGTCTATTTCTTTCCAAGACCAAGTCGAGCCTGTGAATTGATGCCATAGGGTCCTTGGACTGAAAAATGAAAGATTACGGTGACTCTCAAAAGTAGAAGTAGACTTTAGAGAAGGAGAAGGCTAGAGAATCTTTTAGAGAAGGGTTTTACTTGCAAGAAACACATTGAAACTATCGTAGTACTTCTATAAAACCCATACCTCCCAATCCCAATTGTGCCATCGCCATCGCCATCACGGTCATCACGAAGAGTACAGTAGTCAAGAATTTCATGGTTTTTGTTTTTGAGAATTCAACTGATTTTCTTGAAATTCTTTCAACTATTTATACTAGATTTCTTTAAGAAAATCCATTTTTTTTAGATATCCACCAAGTTCCACGAAAACAAAGTTGTTTTTAAAGTATTTCTTTTTGGCTTTTTGGCTTTTCAGTGATGTTCACGAAATCCTTTCCTTCAAGGACAGTCTAGATATTTTTTGAAAAAAAGAAAGAAATCTAGAGATCATTGAGAGTTTTCTGATCATCTATTTTTAAAATATAAAATTAGAAACAGATTTTATTTGTCAAATACATTTTGATTGAAAATTTTTCAAGCCGTTCGCGTTTGACCAATCTTTTGATCTAAACGAGCCACGTCGGCTTCTCTCTGAAAAGATTTTATCGTTAAAAATCTTTAGATAAATAAATTCTCTACTCAAATAATCACCATTTTAATCTCATCGGTGATCTTTTTGTCCAAAACATTCTTCACCGTTGTCACCGATTCGGCCAACTTTCTAATAGCGATCTTCGATTCATCCAAATCGCGGCGGAACTGACCCTGAATCAAATTGCTGTCAAATGAAACGGTGAGATAGTTTTCACTAAACGATAAGCACGCTACATATATATATGTTGTGTTCGATTTAGATTTCCGTCCGATTTAGATTCAATCTAAATCGGACGTCCGATTTAGATTACAGTCTATATCGGACGTCCGATTTAGACTCAATCTAAATCGGACGTCTTATATATAGATTGAACAATAATATAAACATGTTTAATATATGTTCTTAAGCGTTTTCTGTAGTTTTCTGCATTTTTCAAAGGTCTGTTACTGTCTTTTTCTGAAAAGAAAACCCAACTATGAAATAATCAATAAAAGACCTTTGAAAATGCAGAAAACTACAGAAAACGCTTAAGAACATATACTAAACATGTTTATATTATTGTTCAATCTATATAAGACGTCCGATTTAGATTGAGTCGTCCGATATAGACTGTAATCTAAATCGGACGTCCGCGATAAGTTCAATCTAAATCGGACGTCCGATTTAGATTCAATCTAAATCGGACGGAAATCTAAATCGGACACAACATATACATATATTTAAAATATTTCTAGTTTTAGTCTTTAGAAATATTTAAATGACAAATTCAGTTTTTTCATTAATTTTCTTTTTCCCCACATCAACTTGTGTCTGTTGATCTCCATTGTTTATTTGCTGAGCGATCGCTGGATTTTGCTGCAACTTTACAAAGGCCTCTTGCAACTCTTTTATAGCCAAATATCTAAAAGAGAGAAATTGATACCATAATATTGAATATTGATAAAATTGATACCGTTCTATTCTATTCTATATTCTATTTCTAAAATCCTCAACCTCTCCTCTTCTTCTTTATCGATTCGAGCGTTCAATTGATGTTTGATGTTATCGGCTTTCGCGGACAACTCGTTCAACTAAATAATAAAAAAGTTTAAGAGCTTCTAAAGTAAATTAAGCAATTAAAATCAATGACGATTTTCAATTGAAGCTTTCTTCAATACTATCCGGTTATAACTCCCCTTACTTTAACAACTAACTAGATTAAACCTATAATATTGTTACATCTACTTTATTTGTTTATTTATTCTATCTTTTTATCTATCTAAAGCATCTTTGTTCTGAAATTATAACCTAAAAATATCTAATACTTAAATTAACAACACTTTTTCTCAAAAGATCTGGATAGGATATGCAAAAACGGGTGGAAAGGTCTAACCGGATAGTACCTGTTCTTCTATACTTACATCTTGTGGAATCTGCTTCTCAACTTTGTCCCGTATTCTGTCCTGTGTCTCCTCCATTTCCTGAATTTAGAAGTTTCATACAAATATTTGCAAACAAACATCATTGAGATCGTCCAATTTGTCGACTTGCTTCTTCAGCTTATTCACTTCAGCACTGTCCGTCATCCCAGCCAACTTGTCGTTGAGATCTCGCTTGTCTTTGTATAACCCTGAAAGAATTGTGTTTCAGTTTGAAAAGTGTCTCCAAAATCGAATAAAATCGACTATTTTCGCACAAACAAACCTTGTTGAACTTTAGACATTTTCTCTTCCAAAAGAAGCAACCCTTCCATCGAGAGTTTGTTCTTGTCGGCAGCGATCGCCTCCATTTCGCGGCGCATCTAAAAACGTTTTTAACTCCGAATTCAACTTGATAAATCACTACAAACCGCATCAAAATCAATCTGTGGCACTTTGACATTCTCTTTTCCTTTCTCAACATCAGCCATCGATTTTTGAAGGGCTGTTGTGTGGCCGTTGAGCCTTTCCTCAATTTCGGTCACCTTTGACAAAAGGCCTTTCTCATGGAGCTTTCTGAAAAGTGATAAACTAAAGTCATTAAGGCATGAGAATCACCGATTCTGCATCTCCGAGGTGACCATTTTATCTAATTTCTTATTTCCCAATTCAAGGTGATGCTCAAGGGCGGCCAAAGCCTCATTGACTTTTTGGAAGCGCTCCTTGTTCTTATTTCGATCGTTCTAAAACCTCAGATCAAAGCAAAACTGAAACTGAAGATGAATCATCTACCACTGAACCTACCTGTACAGCTTTTCCAAGTGCATCAATTTGATCAGCTTGTGTTTTAAAGCCGACTTCCATCCGTCTCCGCAAATCATCATCGACCGCAGCATGAACGTCGGCTTGTTGTTTTAATGCCTGAGTTTTGGAGAATATTTTAATTGAAGTCAGTTAAATTCTCAAAGATTTTGATTCTTCACAACCCACCGCCTCTATTGCCGCAAATCGTTTATTCATGTCGTCTCTCAACTTTTGTTGACTCTCGTTCATTGATTTTGTTACCTAAACGTATTCTTAGCTTTATGTGGTACAATTCTTATTATTTTCATTTTTCATACTTCATTCGTGATCAGATGAATCTTGTCATTGAGTCTCTTTGTCTCTTCACTCAATTTCTCCTTGTCTCGATCTCCCTTCTTTGCGAGATTCCCAAGTACTTCTTGTTTTTGTCGATCTTGTTCTCGAATGATCTCTTGAAGTCGTTGGATTCTAGAGTATTTATGGCAATAAAATTGATCTTTAGGCTTAGAATTGCTCTTTTCAAACCCACGTCTCAGCCGACGCTCGATCGGCTCTTTCCCTTTCATGTTGTTCTTTCTCGAGTTGTTTCTGCAGCTGTCCAAGTGTTCCACCGAGACCTCTGACCTTTTCATCAAGTTTTTGGCTAGCGTCAGCAATTTTCTAAACTTTATATTAACATACTTTTTATCTACAAAAATTCACATTTGGATCGACAACAGGTCTCTGTTTCAACTCGTTGCTGAGCTGGGCAAGGTCTCGAGTCTAGAAAAACATTTATAGATTGTTTTCAAATGTGTAAAACCTGTCGATCCAAAGCACTCTTTAGACCGGAGAGATCTCCATTCAGGCCGCCAAGCTAAATTGAAAGTGGCTTTAGTTCCACAAGTAATCAAACTTTTCCATCCATACCCGTCATTTCTCTCCGCAAATCATCGACATCTCGGGCTCTGAATGATAATTTTATTTGAGCTTAAAGGAAAATTGTTTGCTGCATTTTCAAATCCAAATTCTTTAGCTTACTTGACTCCATTTTCTTGTGCTGTTCGAAGTCGACCCTTCAAGTCATCATGATCTCGCTCTAGTCGGCGTCGAGCTTCCTGAAATACACTGGCCTTTGATGTGAATAACAATTTACCATTACAGTTATCCAGAAAAACTTCTAAGAATAAGATCATTTTGATATATCCTTCCAAAATCATATCGAGTTTCTTAGTGGTAAACCAATGTTGCAGGGTTTTTGGGAAGGACCAACCAAAATTTAGCGTGCTTATCGTTTAGTGAAAACTATCTCACCGTTTCATTTGACAGCAATGATTTGTTTTGCTTTTGTAGATCGGCGATTTGTTGATTCAGTCGATCGATCGCTTTATTGTCGGGTCGTCGATCAACAATCGTTTTTGTCGGCTGCTGAACGACGATTGGCGCTGAGGAGGCCGTTCGACGAGGTCTCTAGCTCACATTCAACTTTTGTTAAATGTTTTCAGTGCCAAAAAATTGGGGAAAACGGGATAGGGTGATGAAAGTATGCACATGGGGAAAGCAGAAGTATTTTTCTTTCTTTCCAATGATAAACTTGTTTTCAGTCTCTCAATCGAGTCCAAATTTGGTCTTTGTTTATGTCCATATTACGAATTTTGAATTTTTAAGGACTCTTTCAAACTAGTTCTAATCTGCATCTCACAAGGGAAAGTTCTTCAGCAGGGTTGTGCCAAAAAGCCCGTCAGGCAAGAAGCAAGGGCAAGGTAAGGTACACAGAAAACAAACGATTTACTAATGTAACCGCAATATAAGCCCTGACTTGCCTTGCCTGGACCAAGGGGTCACTTGCCTTGCCCGTTCTTGCCTGACAGTTTTTGCAGGCAAGGGCAAGGCAAGGGGACCCCAGGCTTGTCCTTGCCTTGCATTGCCTGGAAATTATCCATTTGGCACAACCCTGCTCTTCAAACATGGGATCACTCTTTCTACTGTCTATCAATTCTTCCATCAAAGACCTGGCTAGACGATGAGTATCGATCACCGGTGGATCGAGCGCGTTGCTATAGTTTAATTTTCATAACACACGCACATACGCAGAGAACAATGCCAGTAAGACTTTCAACTGACCCTTGTTGGTGGATGTGCTGTCCCGGTCTTCGGTTTTCGAGGGCCTTGGCCTGATGGGCTAAATAGGTATTAGATCTGTAGGTATTAAGTACGTGATACATCTACATACACATTCGTCTAATTTCTTGTTGTCAGACGTACTCAAAATTGACCTCAATGAATGGTTAATGAAAGAAGAATACATAAATGTAAATGTACAGTCAAAGGGGTATTGTATTTTCTTTTTTGAAGGTTATAGTATTGTGACCAAAGAGTTTGCAAGAACTGCAAGTGTTAAGCGCAAATTTCAAGCCTCCAGAAGCAATGCAGCCGCGACTATTTCACAACTCACGCCAATCCGAGAATGATATCCTTTGCCGTATCTCGATTTCCTCTTTGTGGTTGTTCTCTTTCTCGACTCCGACTTCGCGAAGTTCTCGTTCGATTTGACATTACGACAGACTTTTAATAAATAGGCATAGTAAAATTTCCAAAAATTTAAGATTTCCTAGTTCTTTTTTCGCGAAAGAGTCCTCGTTTTGTTCGTTTTTTCAGCATGCACACCGCTTCCCTTGGATACGCTTTTGCTTTCTCGATGTGGGTGTTGAATTTTTGAGAGACGAGTGCAAAAAACGGGATCTTTTTAAAATCGTAATCTCAAAAAAGTGCAGAAAATTCAAAGTAACAATTTTCTCGTTGTATTAAACTGTAAATCTTTTGAAATTTATCAGTCATATAAGCCAAAAAGAAATTATCACAAATCAATAAGGACAGTCAACGAAAATCTCTACAAGCCATACACGCAAAATGACAAAAGTTTGAAGAATAAAGAGACTAGGCTTTAACATACAGAGCTAAAATAAGCAATTAATCTACCAATTAAGCACTTGCATATTACAGGCACACGATTTCAATTTGAAAACGAATAAAAAAGAATTATGATTGTCAGCCAGCAAAAGAAATGACAAAATTGACCTGTGAATTCACCAGAAATTAACTGAAGAATTTAAAATTTAAAAATCTAATTATTATAATAGGAAGGGGACTTAAAAGAGAGCTGATAAAGAAAAACATTATGAATAGACTAAAATTAGGGGAATGCTAAATAACTTAAGAACACCTGAGAGGGTAGAACAAAGGACACCGAAGAATTTCAAAGTCCATTGAAGACCAAATCTTTCTTGTTGGCGACTTGCATATGAAGAACAGCTTGAGCGATCTCACCGACGATGCGGCTAAAAAGAAAAATCATAACACTTTTAATTACAGGCTGCGTGGTTATCGTCATTTCTAGAAAGCAAATCACTAAAGACTATCAAAAATCTTCAAAGGAAAAACAAAGTAAACTCAAATCAACCTGTATTCATTGTACTTCTCCTCCGTAAGTTGCGTCTTCGCGTATTTGTCGCTGATTTTTGTACCAGTGTCGTCCAAAATGTATCGATACTTTGTAGGCAAGCCTAACATGATCAAATTAGAATGCAAATAACTCAAACCTGTCCAACCAGAGTCATGCAGTGATCCGGGCTCCACTTGAGAGCTGGCCATCTAAAATTTCAATCATATATCAATCGTAAAATGAATTCCTATATACAGTCGAACCTGGATACAACGAATTTGATATTCTAAAACATGCCCAAAATTTCTGCGTAGCCGCCCCAGCCAAATGCAATCAGTGGCCGTCCAGAGCAGCTACGCAGAAAATTTGAGGCACGTTTTAGGTTCGTTATATCGAAGTCCGACCGTAACTCTTTTAAGGTTTCATGCAAAGTACTTGTCAAGATAACTGTTAGACTCAATCAATCGGAAAGTTAAAATCTATAATTTAAAAGAAAATCAATACTTCATCGTGTCGAGTGACGGCAGCCACGTATTGGTTGTAGCGATGCATGTACTCCTGAGTGTTCAAAGAGATTCCCTCGTGCTGCGTTACGTCAATCACGCTCTAAAGAAAATAAATGTCTAAATTAAATCGTACGTTGAAAACAAAACAATGAATTCTTTATAACTCCGGATTATATTAAAAATTTAAAAAACGTTATAAATACCTCTTGAATCTCAGAGACAATCCCGTTGAGCAAATCCTCTTCGTTTTCTTGCTTGGGCGTCGAGTGAAAACCACCCTGTCCGTCCGTTTGTTCGATTGGATAGCCGCGAGAGCTAAAAGAAGAAATACATGTAGATAACAGATTAACTTAGATATTATTTTTCCCATATCTTGCGTTTGAGTCAATTAAAATTTTGTATTAAAGTTTAAGAAACTCTATAAACTTACAAAGACTCGTGATTGCGCACACGTACCACATCACCGTCACCATCTTCAGAGAGTCGCTCGTACGGCCCTGAACAAAAATTTATGAATACAAATGTTTATAAACAAAAAACACAGAACTTAAATTAGACAGTAAACCAATATTTTCAGCAATTTTGATTTAAAAATACTTATTTTCTAAAACCAACCAGTTTGGTCGTTTTCCGCATCACCGCAGCAGCACAATCTCCGATAAAGTCCCGCCATCCCTAAAAAAAATAATATGAAAATCAGAAGCAAGTATAAAAAAACTATCTAACAATCGATAAACTTTAAAATAAAAAAAAGTCTTTTTATAAGTTTCATTAAGAAAACTATGAAGTGCACGCAGGGGTTTTAGGATTAAAGTTGCATAGGGCATTACAAAAGAAAAATAATATTACTGCTTGAAAGTACAGAAAATTAGGAAACAACACTTGTTGTTTTTCGCTGAATCGCCTTTGGAACTTTGGGAAAAATTTTTCTTTAGAGAACGAAAGGATCCTATAAACAAGGCCTTTTTCTCCGTCTTTTTCCCATTTGCCCATTTCGGTCAGCAAAGCAAAAAAATTTGTGGGGGTTCCCTAATCTCAACAAAGCTAATCTCTTCTGGAAAAGGGAAATAAAAAGAAGAAGCAAGAAAAAGTAGTCTGTGAGACGTTTCTTGACCAAAATGATAACTGAATTTGAGGAGAGTGAATTATAGCTTCGCAGTATAAAGTTTTTGATTATAACTCGTTGCTACGGGAGATAGCTACCGTAAATACAGTAATTGGACTCCATGGGGTACTATTTTTTCCCTTCCCCTCTAGGGTGGGGTATGATTAGAGGGGGGGTACTATTAGAGAGGTGGGGTCCAATTACAGTATTTACGGTAGGTAATTTGTGCAAAGATGTAACTCCTGAAACAAAAACAAAAGCTGAAACTAAAACAATGGGGGGGGGGCTGTCTTGCACAAGTTCGTAACGATTTAATTTGAATTTAAGTTTGCGATTATTATACGAGATTCCAAGCTCGGATTCATTATGATTTCTACATTATCAGGATATAGATTTCTGTTTTTTTGTACTTTCGTTACTTGATCTTAGCCATTCACTTCGCACTTACTGTTAGAGTTTCTTTACATGCAAGTATAATAATAAGCTGTTTAAGCACGAGACGACGACTACTTTTCTCAGTTAGTCCGTTAACTTTTCAGCTTGCTTTGAGTCAAAGTACCCAACTTATTCAAATTCTTATGTTTTTGATAGTTTGAAACTCTCGTGCAATAAATACTTTGTAAAGGAGTCAATGTTTTTGCTGTGTTTTGGCTTTGAATGTTCATGCATTTCTGCGATTGAATTGTAGTACTTGCATTGAATAGAAAGACTTTATTGAGCAAGCATATACAGAAACACTGTGGGTGTTCGCCTTGGTGGCGTCTGGGTTCGCGTTTAGCGGCGAGTTCCGTCCTCGAAGAAGACTCCTCCGTCGATGGCGCAGTATTTGGGGCAGATACCCTTCTCTCCCGATGGTCCTGGTTGTCCAGGAGATCCGGGGGTTCCTGGGTTTCCGTCGGATCCGGGTTGTCCATCGGGTCCGGGCGGTCCCTTTGGTCCAGGTTGTCCTGGGCCTCCAGGTCCTCCAGGTCCTCCAGGTGGTCCAGCGGGTCCGGCTGGTCCAGGCGCTCCAGCTGGTCCGGGTTGTCCAGGGACGAGTGGCTCGCTCTGGGCGGGGGCTCCAGGCTGTCCAGGGCCTCCGGGGGCTCCAGGGTTTCCGGGTGGTCCAGGTGGTCCTTTGGGTCCAGGTTGTCCAGGTCCGGCATCTCCTCCAGGGGCTCCAGGCTGTCCAGGGGCTCCAGCATCTCCAGATGGTCCTGGTGGTCCAGGGGGTCCGGGAGGTCCAGCTGGGCAAGGCTTGCATGGTGGTGGGGTGGTTGGTTCGCAAGGCGACTGTGGTGGGCGTCCAGGGTTTCCAGGGAGTCCAGGAGCTCCGGGCTAAAGAGAGGAAGATAAATAGAAACAAGAGGATTTGGGGTACCTTTCCGGGGCGTCCAGGCTTTCCGGGAGATCCAGCTGATCCAGCTGGTCCGGGAAGGCAGCATCCATCGCAGCTGCCGCCACCTCCGGTTTGTTGGTTGTTGGTAACTCCAGAGTCTCCGTATCCAGCCTGACGGGCAGTTCTGTTTCCAGCGGGCATCTCCTTGAGCTCGTTAACTCCGGTCCAAATACCACGAGCAGAGTCCTGAAAGGATCAAATGTATGTGCTTGTAATTAGAACTTTCAGAACTGGCTATTGTTGTATAATAGTAAGTAAGAGGGATAGACTTTAAGAACTAATTGTAAGACTAAGGAGTGCCAAGAAAGCATTTCCACCAACCTTGCAGTACTTGACATCAGTGTTGATGCTCTTCTTGACGTGGTTCACATAGTTGTAGACCATCGGCAAGGTGACACACACCGAGAAGACGGCCACGACAGAGAAGGCCACAGCCGAGTAGGCGACGAATTTGTAGGCTAAAAGAGAGGGAATTCAAGTAAAGGAAGGGTTTTTGAAGACTAGTTTAGAAAAACTTTAAAGTAAAGTGATCAAAAGTAAGTGAAATCAAATACCTTTGACACGTTGATCGAACTCCATTGCTGAGTCCTAGATGAGACCAGAGTCTGTCAAATGATTGCCCATTCGCGTTTATATACTCCTCAAGATGGAGTCTTCCCCCTCCCACAAAATGATATGAATCTTTTGTCCATCTTTCACATGGAAATTGAAGAAAAAGAAGCTCTAGAGAGAAAGGCATCGGCTGGCGAAAAAGGGAAAAAACTTGTGTGTTTCTCTCAATGCTTTAGGCGAGTTGATGGCTGTTCTTTGTAGGCTTTTCTCTCATACCGTTAAGCTCTAATTGCAAAAGAGTTTCTTTATAAGAATCTCTGCTCATTTGATGTTTCTCTCGTGCCAAATTCTTTGACTCCATTCAAGACTGTCTTTCTGCTATCTAACCAACAACTTTTCCCATTCGAACTCTCAATCCACTTCACAATTCCATATTCCCTCATTTTCTCTCCACAATCCATTTCATCTTTTCTGATTATTCTCTTCTCATCCACTCTCTCGATAGTTTAGCGCTCATTTAGCTTCTCCCTCCTTTTCCTCCACAAAGCCAAATGTGAACTGATTCACTCATCGGAAAGAGACGGAGACAAACAAATGCTTTCGGTAAAAAACGAAACTTACGCAGTTCTTGTTTGTCACTCTCTTTTTTTTCCGTTTTCTTTTCTCTCATCGATGTTTATTGCCTCTTCGGACTGATGTGAGGACGACCCTCAACAAGGTCATTTCTCTCTTCAATATATCGCTGATTTCTTTTGTTTAAAGGCTTCTCTTTTTCCCCTCGCTCCTATCTGCCATTTGATAGCTTCATTTGGAAGTTTGCGAACCGATAGTGAATTTTTTGTAATTTGAAGAGAGAAAGAAAAGTTAAAAGCGTTATGAATTGAGCAAATGATCTCAATGAGATTTCTCTGTTCACTGTAAAAAGAGAGAGGTTAAGTGGTTGATTTCACTTGAAACGTCGTGTGTTCGCTTCCCATTTTTCATTTGCACAACGGCTGTGATTTTAATTTGCTTATTGCGGTTATTGCTTTCAAAATCGGCTTATCTTTTTTTTGAACTTTAAAGCCTCTTTACTTTTAAAAGCTGATTGAAATTTTTTTAAAGTGTTAAACTACATCTTATATTCAATGTTAATGCCTTACACAGTATATGTTTTTATTTGAGAAATTATATTATAATTAAATTATAATTATATATTTATTTTAAATCTTAGAAATTTGGCCGAATTGCGGAAAAGGGAACGGATACAGTACTTTCTGCAGTAATTGTGTTTATGTCGAATTCCTTGCAGCACCAAATCCTTACACGCACGTGCAATAAACAATAAACTGACGCTACAGTAAGATGAATGTTGACTGAGGTATTCAGATTATGAGTTTAGAATCAAGTAAAGCTCAACTGGATACGACAATGATGAAAATCCTAAGTGCTTTGGTTGACTGATTTGGTTAAAATCGGCTAGTTGCGTTATGTTTAAAATGTATTCCGCTTGAAGAGTTCGGCTTTTTCAAGCTTCCGCAAGCTTCCGCAAGCTTCCGCAAGCTTCCGCAAGCTTCCACAAGCTACCGCGATCTTGCTACCCTAATCATAATTGTACTGAAAGTTGAAATGTTTTAAAGAAACGAATTTTGACAGAAACACAATCACTGCAGAAAGTACTGTATCCGTTCCCTTTTTCGCATTCTTAATTACGTTTTGCGTTCACAAAAAAGGATGCAAAATTCTATCATTTCCCGACCTCCCGACAAAGGGAAATGCCTTGAGGAGTGGGAAGAAATTGAGGGCAAAAAATGGAAACTTCTCACTCTCTTTTTTTTGCATCTTTCTCACGATACAGAGAAAGTGATGGGCAGAAAACAGAAAATCAGAAAAATTCGGTAACACAAAAAGGGGAAAAGCCAAAGAGAAAACAACAAAAAGGGTACCGATTCTCTCTTTTTTTTTCTCTCCAAAACTTTGATGGCAACAGCACGATTTTCTTTCTCGATTCTCTTTTGCCGACTCTTTCACTGTCAATCGACGGAAACCAAAATCGGCCGGGTTTGATGCCTTTTCTGTCAATGTTCTTTGCCTGAAAAAGTTTTTCATTGAGCTATTGTTTGGGGAAATTAAAGTGATCGTTTGAAAAAGTGAAAAAGTGATACAATGAAACTTAAACTACAAAATTCTAAAAAAATTGGCTTATTATCAAAGCTTTATAATCAATTAAGATTATAAAACTATATCAAGTTTCCAAAAAATTAGGATGAAGATCTAATCAAAACAGAACAAAACTGACTAATAGTAAGGACACTTTGTGGGTACCTAAATATTCTTGAAACGGCTTTACAGGAATACAAATGAGTGGATGAATGCATGAACATTGTACTCCAGGACTTTTACGTGAATTAGTGGATCATTTTGAATTCAAAAGTATGATGAAAGCTTTGCAAGATATGTTGTATTCCAGAAAACTATTCTTTTTCTAATCCAAAAATACTCACTTTCTTTGTCCTATTCGACTCTAAGGATGTGAAAAAAAAGCGAAAACTACACACTTTTTCTTCTCATTTCTTTCCCGTTTCCACACCAATTTCTCCTTTTTCTCTCTTTTCTTTTATCAAAATGTGTCTCCATTGTTAGATCGACAGAAAAGTTGTTGATCATTTCTTTGCAATCATCTGTTTTTTAAGGAATTAAATATCTTCTGGGCTTCAAAAAAGAAAATGATTTCAACAGGAACTATCTCTTGAAAAGGATGTTCTTTGTTTTTCTGTCACTTAAAAAAGTTTGATTTGATTAAGGAAAGAAAAAAAAAGCTGGAATATCATGCATTTTCTTTGAAGTATGATAGACTTTATTAACTCAAACTCAGACTTTATTAACTTTATATACTTTATTAAATAAAATCAGAATAATTATTACAGATTGAGTGACACTGTTTCTGAATCATTTTGCAAGAAGCTTGAGCATATTGGAATGATACAATTTGTAGTAATGCTGTCGGTATTGTTACAAATTGTACTTGAGCAAAAAAGTTTTCGGAATCTCAACGAATAGCAAATGGCACAAAATGCAAGAAAAGAATCGATTCAAATAACCTTAAATCAATGGGAAAGCTTGGGATTTAGTTTCAAAAAAACAACGTTAAGCATTGAGCAATCAATAGTTTAAAGCTCTAGCATAGAAAGGATAATTGAAAGGCTTAACTCTGGTGGATCAGTGAATACATGTCCATGATCGCTCCATTGTCGCGAGGTCGACAGTGCCAGTTTGGTAAAGCTGAAATATTTCATTTCTTTTCTTTTATAAAAATGATTGTGTTTACCTTTGGTGGCTCTCCTTGAACAGTGACAAATTGATCGGGAATATAGATCTTCGACTTATACAAACACAAGGTGATCTAAAATTTTGTGAACAATAAACCAAATAAGTAGTGAGCAAATAGCAATCGATGCATGATGGAGGTAAGGAACTTCTTACAATTAGTTACACCTTTATATTAAATAAGGCAAATGAGCTTTACAGTGACTATAGGCAACCATGATTTTCCAATAAGTACATTGGCGGCAATTAGTTTTAATCCAATTTTGAGTAATCCAATTGATAACAATGGGTAAGATAAAGCAATCCTTATCTTCTCACTTCATAAGAGTCTTAAAATTGGATTAAAACTAACTGCCGCCAATGTACTTATTGGAAAATCATGGTTGCTTAGAGTCACTGTAAAGCTCATTTGCCTTATTTAATATAAAGATGTAACTAATTGTAAGAATTTCCTTGCCTCCATCATGCATCGATGATAGATGTAGATCTTCGCTTGCATCCTTTCACCGCCTCCTTCTTGTGAAATTCCCTTAAGACGAAAATGGCCAGTTTGATTGGTCGAGCTTTGGTCAAGTTGATCATCTGGAGTCACTGGAAAAAACGCAGACCCGTTATGTTATCTTTGATTTATAAATTGAGTTCTTTTATCGGCACTTACAAGTGTCGTGTTCGAAGAGCTTCACGGTCGTTCCAGCTGACGGCTTTCCCCCACACAACAGTTGGCCCTCGGCACTCACGGATTGAATCGTGTGATCCCTATAAATAGTCAGTTCACTCTTTAATTTGAGTATTGTTTGCCTTTTTTTTTCCTACAATCATTTCTAACTACAGTTTTTAGTCTAAAACCAAACTCACCAATGCATCCAATCGAGCGTTGTCGTTGTAGAAGCTGTCGCACCTGGTTTGGTCGTGTCTCTGAAGCAAAACATTCGACTTTAATTTTAATAAACATAAAATCTCGATTTTAAATGTGCAAATGAATAGTTTAATTACTTGGATACGACTTCTGTTTACTATTCTTCGAAAAGTTCTTTGAAACTCCTACAAGACATAGGAAAATTTCAAGCCGAACCTAATTCCACCTTCTTTTTCTTCGCCGATTGCTCTGAAATTTTGTCTACAGATAGAAATCGGCATTTTAAACTTGTAAACAAAATTTCAGAGCAATCGGCCAAGAATCGGCCGAGAAAACGAAGGTGGAATGAGGCTCGGGTTGGAATTTTCCCATGTCTAGCACTTACACAGCTGGAAAAGTTGATATAATTTTTGTTGTCTCCAGTGTCGTTGACCCAATCTCTTCTTTCATGCTGCTTTTTGTTGATAAAAGCTTAATCGGGCTTTTTTTCATATAAATTACAAATTTCCCCAACTTGATACGTCAAGAAAACGATTATCGTGAGGAAGACAGCCACAACCACGATCAGACAAACGACAAAGGCCAGTTTACGTTTCGGCGCTGAAATGGTTCTCCTGTTTTACTAATTAGCTAGGTGCCCAAGCTAGATCTCACAGGATTCTGTTCATCTAATAGTAAGCATTAAGCCGCAATTGCCTATGTTTTTGACCAAAATCATTGACTAACCCGGATCAAATGGTTTTTCATAGGGTGGTGGCTGGGATGATGGGGAAAACGCAATGGCATCATCACTCACAAAGTATCGAGTCTTGAGCATTCCTGGCTAAACTTTCAATGAAAACTTCTGATCCTTAAACTGTAACAAAGTTATAATTTGGTGAAATGGAGCTAAAACTAAAAAGTGGGAAAAGATAAGATGGAGAATCAAATGATCTAATGTTTTATCAAAAACCAAACAAACAAGTGTCATTGATTCTCAAGAAAATGAGGAAATTTTGGTTTCAAAAAAGCTGTGTATGTCTGTGTTATTCATTTTTGTTTTTTTTTTCTTGCATCCTATCGTTCTCCAAATCAACCCTTCTTTTCTTTTTTCTATTCAATGATTCAGCGATGAAAGGCCAAGCGATTTGTGCTCATTTCCGTGAAAAGAATCGATCCTTTTGAAAGCACAGCTTTTCATGGACTAATGAAAGAATTTTGAATAGACAGTTGCTCTTTTGTTTTATGGATTTCTCAAAAAGTCGATTTTCAAATCATTTATGAGTTAATCTCGTCAAAAACTTGTAATGTTGTCATGTTAGAATTGAAGCTCAAAAACACACGCAACTCAACTTAAAAGTTACAGCAGTTATCTATTTTTAATAGAAAAATAGTTTACAAGAACCTCTCAAATTTAAAATGTCAAACTGTTTAAGCTTTGAATAGCTCAAAAATGAATAGCTCAAAAAAATCAACACTTTACAGTATTATTTGGAGAAGGAGAAGAGACGAAGGGACAATCTTCGGCATGATCAAGCGAGATCAATAGTGGGGTGTGTGAAAAACTGAAAATAAAAGCTTTATACTGTTGGCATGCACTAAATGCTTTGACAACTTAGTCTCACTCACTTCTGGCAAAAGTCCAAACAAACAAAAGCAAGAAAGCAGAAACTTGCGTAGATTGGCCATTCGCTCTAGAATCGTCAAAATTGAAGCGAATTTGCTGAAAATTTGGGAACCGGCGTTTTTAGATGCGGAGAAATCGATGGATTTTTAGTTGTGAATTTTACTGGTTTCCAGTAATCTTACTTCTTTATTTTAGAATTGTCCGGCTCAATTATCCAACAAAATAGCATTTGGAAACATTTTGCAAGACAAAAAAAGAAAAAAGAAAGAAGAGGAAGAAGGAGAAGAAAAAGAAAAAAAAGAAAGGCTCTCAAAGGAGAAAACTTTAGTTTTTTTGAAAAATGAGAGCTTTTTCAAAGACTTTAAAGTGTTTCAAGGTTTCGAACTTTTCCAAAAGCTCTTTCCCTTCCTTGTCCAGCTCTTCGCCACTTCCTGTTTCCAGGAAGTGCCCAGAGTGCACCACGAGGAGGTGGCTGAACTTCGCACTCCGCCACCCTGTAGTCCGAAGACTCTTGGGATCCGAGGTCCACGTCTGGTCCTTGGCGATGGCACCGACTCCCGCAGCAAGAATGCTCAGCTTGCTAAGGTGCGCGCAACGTAAGTAGGAGAATGCTCCGAAGTTACACTTTGTTGATACTAAAAGGGATTGATCTGATCCCCAGTCAGCTTAAGAACCTCACGGTTCCTCCAATGGGGTGTCCAAACTTCCGCCATCTAGACGACTGTCGAGTAGCGGACAGCTGACAGAAGCCGGAGCCCAAAGGGAGCATAATTGTAATCCGGTTACGAGCAGCAGACCACTCTGCCTCCCTCCACGGGTGGCAGTGCGAAATAGTAGCGATTCCACAAACTTCAGCGGTATCCCTCACGGGAGACTGTGGGTCTTTCCACAACATCCTTTCGGTTTTTTGCTGCTCGGGGCTATTCGTACAATCGACCCGGGCCAGCCCATGGCTCCGGGCGCCGCCTTCCACGAACGGGTTAGGCATCGACCAAGCGAGAAGCAAGCTTCTACAAACTCATCGTCTCCAAAAATTGTTTATACTCTTAAAACCGGGCGGACCGATGTGCGAGTGGACACAAAGGCGAGAGGAGGGCGAAAAGGGTCCCTATCTGTAAAGGCCCTCTGTCAGAAAGTTCGCGATTGTGCGCACGCACAAAGAGCACCAACCCCCCCATTAAGCTATTTCGTTTTTGGCCGTTACACAGCCATACTATGACGGATCGGGCTCATTGTAAGGTCAAAAGATGGGCCTTGAGAAACTGCATCAAATGGGGTCGAGTTTGTTTGGCGAAAAGTGAGTTTGAGTGGTTAAAAACGAGATTGAAGCTTTCGACAGTGATTTCAGTTCCAGTTCTAGGGTTCATTAAGCAATTGAGTGCTTAAATCTTCAAGGAAAGCCCATTTCGTTTGGAAATCTCTACTATATATAAGCGAAGGGTGTCCGTGTCCGAAGGTGTCCGAAGGTGTCCGAAGGGTGTCCGTCTGTCACAGCGATTTAGAAAAAACGGCTCGATCGCATCGATCGAATCCGTGAATATGATCTGAATCTATCATTTAAATTAAATAATCTTATACTCATTCTTTCAGAGTAAAGAAATGCATCGTTATTGTTTCACTTTCAACGAATTTTCGGAAAAATGATCCCAGGATATCAAGCATCCAAGGCAACTGCAGCTTTAGAGAAATACCTAGTCAAGTGAGCTTTTACACATTGAATTTAAACTACTTCTTCTTTTCTGCCAGATGTCGTTTTGCTCAAGAAAATAAAAGGATACAATTGTTACATTGCTTTCAGAAAAAAAAGCGTGGTGGTTGTAGTCGGCCGATTGTCAATTCCCACGAAGAAATCGAGAAATTGGATGATTGGCTCTACGCAAAACCCACAGAATATTCAAAAATTTATTACATTGTAGAATAAAACATTTTTTCCGAAGTTCTAAGCATCAATGAAGACAGAAAAAAACGCATAATGATGTCGGTGCGAAATTTGAGCTTTCATCCTTTCTGCGACGAGACAATTTGGGGATCAAGAGCTCGTTTTTCTTGAGAAAAGTCAACTCCACATTGGGGTTTTTGGATTTTGTTGAAATTGTCTTCAACTTTTAATAGTAGTCGAATTCTTGGGTGTATCGCAGCTACTCCGTTTCGCTTATTCCCCATATTTCTTTTTTCTTCAACATTTTCATTTCGCCCGAAAAAGATTCGTCTTATCCAATGGAATTCGGGAAAAGAAAAGCAAAAATGACACGGCAGACACATGTCTTTTGCGTTGAATCTCTTTTCATCTTTTCACTCATTTCAAAACTCGCTTCTTCACTCAACAAAACAATGAAAAACGTGGTCGTATCGCACGAGAATCAAAGCATTTACTCTTTTGAACAAGTTTGGCTTTTTATCTTCTACAATATAAGAATTATAGATCATAGATCTATAGATCTACTTTTTGATCTGATCCAAACGCTTGGCTTTATTCCGGATGCTGTTATCTACTTGTTGTTTTCTAAAGTACTTGTTGTTAATTCAAATACATACCGTAAATACTGTAATAGTACCCCACCCCCCTCGTACAGTCGCGTAGTCGCAGTTTTTAGGATTTCATTTTTTTCAAAGCGCCCGTACTTTCAAAAAATGCGTCTTTGGTATCAAAAAATAGCCCTGAATTTCGGCTATTTTTTGATACCTAAGCGCGCATTGTAGCATAAACCAGTGTCGAGAAAAACTCGTTCAAAGCTAGACTACGTAACACTCCGCACCGTCATTATGGAGGTGAGGTACTATTACAGTATTTACGGTATGTACTTTTTTTTCCAATTTTCAAATCCAAAAGCACTAGTAATATTTTCTTCAATTTCTCAAAACATCTCAAAATCACCCTCCCTCTTTCCGGTTGACGTTGTAATGAATCGGGTCTAATTTTTTTTGGGCTCATTTGCGGCGCGTTTTGCCCAGTGAATTGATGAGCTACAAGATAGAAAAACACAAGGAAAAAAACATGAAAGCTCATTGCAAATATCAAAGGTTTAATGAAAGGGAAATCGACAAGGGAAATGAAGAGACAGCTGACACGCCTGATTCATGTCCTTGTCTTGTTCTTTGTCTTGTTCTTGGTCGTGTTTCTTAGGACCGAGCCTGTCCATCACATTTTCTCTAAACTTCTAAATCTTTGACCTGATCAAGTACACATGCAATTTGTCAAATAAAGTTTTTGCTTCATGTCTCTTGGCTTTATAGCTTAGGTTTTCTGAATCTATTAACTATTTGAAATTTCATCAGGCCTGTCCTTGGGACTTTTCTAGGACAAGCCAGGCCAATCACTGGTTTTTGGGTTTGGATTTTCATTAGCCTACTAATGAAAGTCACACCACAAGCTCTTGTTCTTGGTCGTGTTTCTTAGGACCGAGCCTGTCCTAAGAAAAAACTTTCGGCAGAGCACGGTACTTCAGGGCTTCTGCCCTGAAGTACCGTGCTCTGCCGAATTGTTTTGTTTGTTGTTCTGCCGAATGATCCCTTTTTAGCCGTACCCCGACTGGTTCAATGCTCCTTTACTCCAGAAATATTCTTGACGCTCTCCATTTGTACAAGAGCTCTTTCGGCTTTCACTTAACTATTTGTCTTACTGTATTCAAAATGGTTAGTGTTTTTAAAGGCTTAAAAGTATCTCTCCATTCGGGTGGAATCTCTTCTTTTCTCCCTTTTTTTCCAACTTCAGTTATGCAGCTGATTGGTGGGTCGATTTGATTGCATTTGCACTTTTTCTCACTGCTTTTTCGCCACATTCCACCCGATTTATCCGCGAAAAATGGTTTGAAAAATCGAAAAATTATCTTTTTTTACTGAATTCAACAGCTTTTTAATGTGTACATAAGTTTTAAGAAAATTAGATAAACCCAAGCTATGAATGAGTGAATTCCAAAGTCAAGTTCAGCTCTTGATGTTATTCTTCATCCTTTTCCGTTCATCTCTTTTTCATTTTCCCCGATATCCGTTCATTCCCATTGCATGAATCTGAAGAAAAAGAAACTTTTCGAATCTCTCTGAATCCTCAATTTCTTCTCAGCTTTCGCCAAGATGAAAAGCATCGAAATGGATTCCGAAAAAAGGAATGAGCACTTCAAAAAAAGAAAACAGAAAAAGAAACGAGAAAAAGCAAAGTTTCATCGTCTTTTCTCTTTTTTTTAAGGAGAAGAGGGCCGCTTTAATGCAATATTGGTGTCCCTCAAGGGGTGGACATCTCCTTTTTTTGTCAAGAGAATCATTTCTTTTGAAGTTTTTTTTAGTTAAGCATCATCATATGCTAATTTAGAGCTATCTTTGAACGTTCAGTTGCTTTTTCTCTTGTTCTTTTTAGAATTTACTCTCTGCTTTTTGTTTCGTGAAACTAATTGTTCCCCGGTGACCGATTCCGAATATTCAAATCAGATTGGGGAAAAGAGAAAGGGCAAAACTCGATGAATTTCAAATTTATGTTCAGACCCTTGTGAGTAATCTATTTTTGTAGCTAAATATAAACTTTTAGCTGAAATAAATTGAATCTCAAAGAAATGAAAGATCTTTCTTTTAAAAAAACGACAGTTTTTAAGACAATTTGTACAAGTAAACAAGTAAATCATTGTCATTGGCAGAACAAACATTAGACCGTACATCAAAACCGAAGAGTTCAATATATTACTTACTCAAGACAACCAGAAGAATGGGTCGATTCAGCCATCCCCCAGGGGGTCGAGTAACCACATTTCGTTATCCTCTCCTCCCGAGTCTCGGATCTCAACGCCTTCCCTTCCCATTCCCTCTTTTGACCAAAATCGGTCATTTTCCTTTCCCATTCCAAGCCTCCACCCTCACTAATGACGTTTTGACGTTTAACACGAGCCCCACTCCTTTTTGCTCCTTTGCCCATTCGAGGCTCAGCTAATGGGCACCCCTAACACGAGTCGTGCCCCCCATTCTACTATGCCCATTTTGAGTCGGCGTCTGGCCAATTTTTAGTCATTTATTATGTGAACAAATCTGAAAACTATTCTTGTACTGTAATTGAGATTCCGGTCATTCATTCGGTCATTCGGCCATTCCGAATATCATCCGAAGACGAAGACACATCTGTTTTTAGACACATCAATTTTTAGTCATTTATTATGTGAACAAATCTGAAAACTATTCTTGTACTGTAATTGGTCTTGAGTTTTTATGGTTTAAAGACTAAAGCCTTTTTTAAATAAGAGCATAAATTTCCGGAGTCTTCTCAAGAAAAAGTGCCTTGAGAGATTAGCTAAGCCGAAAGTCGATTTGTCATCGAAAGCACGGGAAGAGTGACCGTCAAGAGGAAACAAAACCTCCGAAACCCAGATGTATTTTCGTTTTTCATCAAACACTACAACAACTCTACGATTTTTTCTATAAATTTTATTGGTCAGTCACTAACCATAAAGCCTCTCCTTTGCTAAAAGCCTTGCGTGCACAAGTGCCCATTCTCGAGATGAAAAGATCCCGGTGCAGACAAGGAGAAAGAAAACATTTCAATAAAACTACAAAGCTGATATTTCCAGCTCAAGTGTGTCCACTTTTTTGGATTTAAAGCTTGTCCATTTGGATTTAAAGATTTAAAGCTTCAAAGCTTGTCCAGGGACTGAATTGGCCAGTTTATGAAGCTTTGGAATTAGGTCCTCCAAAAGTTTTGTCTGTCTAAATCTGGATCTACAAGTACTTTAGCTTAAACTTTCTACAATCAAAAGCTATCCTGAAATCCCGGCAAATCTCCCGCCAACCACCCAACAATTTCCCTAATTGGTCTCAATTGATGAGTGAATGCTGCAAGAGAGATCGAACTCCCCTCTTTTCCTCTCTTTCCTTTCCTTTCCTCTCCTTTTTCTTCTCCCATTTACTCTCATCCCACTTTTCGATGTCATTTCTCTGGTTGGTTATAAATTATTCAACACTTTCCTCTTATTTTTGGTACTTGTGTCACTTCTCTTTCCATTCTCTCTTCAGTCAAACACACGTACCCTTTACCCGTTCCAAACTCACACAAATGCAAATAGTGATCCGGGCACCAATCCTGAATGAGTGTAGTAGACTTGTTTATGCCTAGATTTACTCATTGATAAGTTATTGGTTAATGTAAATTATTGAATCTTACGTTGAATCATTGATTCAATGATTCAACGATTCAACAATGATCATTGAATCAATCCAAAAAGTTTCAGTTATCCATTTTCTATAAACAAGGACAATGACAAATAACGGATTTAAAAAAAATCATGCCGCTTTCTTTAGTCGTCTATTAGAGCTCTTTATTACAATATCATGAAATGATTGAAATTGTTTTCTCCTGTCAGGTAGATCTCACCAGCTCTCCCACTTCTTACGTACCTCAAGACGCGGGTCTCCGTTTCCATTGAAAAGCTGAATAATTCACCCAGCGAGCACAAGAGTCCCGTGTAGAAACAAGAGTCAAGAAAGGATCTCAAAGCACCTCAAAACTGGAGGTCTTTTTGAGAAAAAGTCTTTACCCAAGGTCCCAATGCTTTCTCTGATGATCGGAACATTTCGAACATAGCTCCTAATGATCTTTTTGACGAAAAAAAACTCAAAGTTCTTCAAAGGTTCTTCTAGTTCTTCTACTTATTTCTACGTACTTACTTACTACTTCTACTTATTACCTACATCTCTTTCATCTTCAATCACTACCCATTTTAAGCTTTCAACAAAATGCTTATTTAACTCGTAAATCTCTCCCAGAAATCGGCTTCAAATCCAATCATTGACGCTAGAAAATCTGCAGAAAATTTTCCGAGAAGCTTTCACGGGTTTACTGATCTGAACTTTTTTTTTGCATACTTATCCAGCTAAGCCAGTAAAAATTTTCTAGATCTTTTTTAGAATTCACAGAGAGTTTTCCAATCAATTTTCTAGTTGATTTCTTCAAAAGATAGAAAACATTTCAATAAAACTACAAAGCAGATATTTACAGCTCAAGTGTGTCCACTTTTTTATATTTAAAGTTGCAAAGTTTGTCCAGGGGCTGAATTGGCCAGTTTATGAAGCTTTGGAATTAGATTCTCCAAAAATTTTGTCTGTCTAAATCTGTCTTACACTGAACTTTTTTTTGCATACTTATCCAGCTAAGCCAGTAAAAATTTTCTAGATCTTTTTTTAGAATTCACAAAGAGTTCTTTGTTTTCCAATCAATTTTCCAGTTGATTTCTTCAAAAGATAGGAAAATTTCTGTATGTTTTTTTTTCGGATTATCGTCATTTTCTATTTCAAATCCAAAAATTTTCGCTTTCTAAAAGTATTTGTGAGTTTTCTTTTTGGATTTTGAGGGATTATAACGACCCGAAGAAGGGCAATGGAGGGGTATTTGAGAGCAGAGATTTTCGGGTAATAAATCGGCCACCCAAATCTCAGCCTTTCCCCAAATCTTTTCACTTTTTTTTGCTGAAGTTCTCTTTTCCAGTTGAAATAAATCCGTTTGTTTATTTTGAGGTTAAGAGCTTTTCTTGGGGTGCGATCATCGTGTTTTCAGCCAACTTCAGCTTTGCTATGAGAAACTGGTTGATTAATTCGAACGTAACTGAAAGCTTTTAAATATTCCGTTAAAAAATGAGCAATCCACAGCATCACAGCACTCGTTACCAAATTTTATTGTCATTTAATCCGTCAATTTGGTGTCATTGTTATTGAATTGAATGTCATTGAAGTTTGTCACAACTAAAAGTGAATTTTTTAAGTGAACAGAGAACAGCCATCACTCATTTCTTTAGAAAAACATATATCTAATCCTTTTCAATAACGAAATTGGCCAATCTTTTCTTATTTATATACAAATTTTTGCAAAGAAAGAAAAGAGCGGAGAGCAATTTTTGAGGTGCACAATTGGTGTCCATAAAATGTGTGAGCTCTTTTGAGAATGAAAAAGTATATCTATCAAAGTACACTACTGGACAATGAAATGCAAAATCTGTTCTTTCTCAATTTTCGTAAGTTTTTTTGTTTGTACACTACTGGACAATGAAATATGATATTTGGAAAAAGATCGTCACTTTCGCGCGCCTGTAACTCCCTTGTCTTTACCGTATTTCTAAATATTAATATTGCCATTGTGTAGCCCTTGAAAAGAGCTTTCAGAAAATGTATAACACTAATAGTTTAAACTCAAAGACAAGGGAGTTACAGACGCGCGAAAGTGACGATCGTTTTTCAAATATTGATATTTCATTGTCCAGTACTGTATATCTATCAAATAAAATAAAACATTTCCAAATCTACAATTCATATTTCTTATCTTCTTTTGATTTACCAACCATTCCGAATTCTTTTCTAAACATCGACGAGCATAAGTTGACCCCAATAATTGCTTCCGTTTTCCATTATTCCCGATTGCCCACATTTTCATCATTTTTCGAACTTTTGCATTTCAAGTTTATTGAGTTAGCTTAAAAGCTCATTCTAATTTCATTGTAATTTCAAATTTGAATATAAACTAAGACTTGTTTGCTAGTTTTCTTTTTAATCAACCAGACTTCCCAGTAATTTATTTTAAACGATTTTAAAGAAGATTTTCTCGGGCTTCCAATATTTCTTTGAAAAGATCTCAAATGACCAAAAGATTTTGAAGAAAATAAACCAGTAATCTTTGATGCAAATCTCACTTTGAACTCGAAAATTTGGTTACATTTTCTTTAAATCTCCGTTTCCTTTCTCATTTCACTATCGATTTTTAGTCTAAAAATAAATTGATTTTGATTTCCAGGGAATGTAGCAATGCTGTTCATCGGTTTATTTCTTCTTTTCTTCGCGAATTTGACCGATTCGTTCAAATGCTACTCGTGTGCAAATGATTTTGTTGTTTGGGTGAGAAATGTTTTGTGGTCACTTCAAAGCTTTTATTTCAAAGCTTTTATTTCAAAGCTTCACAGCTTCATAGCTTTTATTTAAAGAGATATTTTAAAGAGAAAGAGATAATCAAAAAAAGATAATAATTCTAGAATGTCTTTTCTATTCTCCTATATCTATTTTCAGCAATGGCGACATTTCTTTTTGAAAAGGAATTATGGTTTGACCTCGTCGGATAAAGAATGCACAAGGAGGGATTATGATACAGATCTATTACAGGTAAAGGAAATGAAATGAAATAAATGAAAGTTATTTAAGTCGTGTCGCACAACTTGTTTCATCTTTTATCTCAACGCCACCGATAAGCATACGGGAAGGACGCGGACTTTGGGTAAAGCTAATTGGGTAATTAAAAAAATGATGAAACGTTAGACGATTACATTTATTTGCACAAATAATGTTGTACAAATAATACACAAACACCTACCGTAAATACTTTAATAGTACCCCACCTCCCATAATGACGGTGCGGAGTGTTGTGTAGTCTAGCTTTGAACGAGTTTTTCTCGACACTGGGTTTATGCTACAATGCGCGCTTAGGTATCAAAAAATAGCCCTGAATTTCAGCTATTTTTTGATACCAAAGACGCATTTTTTGAAAGTACGAGCGCTTTGAAAAAAATGAAATCCTAAAAACTGCGACTACGCGACTGTACAAGGGGGTGGGGTGCTAATACAGTATTTACGGTAAGCCTTAAATGTAGGGAAAAAAGAATCAATAATCTAACGGGATTGAACTCTTGATCTCTTGATACAGATCTCTTGATAAGATACAAATCTCTTTAACAGTCGATCATCAAAGAGCTTTCAGGTGTTGGTAGGGGTTGTTCCTCTTCATTTCTCACCGATGATCAACACCTTCATTTGGGATTGGGAAGTCACTCAAAATTAAGTCAAGTTGGCGAGTATTTACCACACGATTTTGATAAGGTGAGAAGAAAAATATTAATTTAAAGAGATAATCAAAAGTCTAGTATGATATCTACGAACATTGGTGCTTTTGTGCAAATGACAAGTGCAACATGGAAACATGTTACAGGTGAGAAAAGAAGGAAAAGAGGATAAAAGAGGTGAAAAATATTAAACACATTGGAAGAGACTGTTTAAGGAGAAAAACAGGATCGACATTTCATAAACAAATTTTCAGTCAATCTCCATATGGTGGCTATGATTATATGGGTCAATTTGTTGCTCGTCGAATGTCCTATTCAAATTCCTATTCATCATCTTCTTATTGGTCTTCATGGAATGGAAATTCTCGTGTGAATTCTCTCTCTTCTTTCTTTATACTCTTTTTACTTCTTCGAATATGACCTACTTTCAGTTAGACAACAGAATTGATCCAATATTCATTCATTCAATCATTCAATCTCCATTCAATCATTCATTCAATCATTCAATCATTCAATCTCCATTCAATCATTCAATCATTCATTCAATCATTCAATCATTCATCCATTATTGTTCCATTAGAATTTTGTGTTTTGTTTATTTTTCTTAAAGAATTATTTTGATTAAAAATTGCTAATCAAAAATTGTTTTAGAGTTATCCAATTTGAAATTTCAGCTTAGTTTCTGAAGCCATATGATAATCTGGTGAAGAAATTCAAATTTCTTACTCTAAATGAGAATAATAAGTTGCGTTTTTAGTTTTTACTCTTATAAATTAGTCAATTCTCAAACCTAACTATTAACAAAACAATTTTCAACCATTTTCTATCGATCAGATTTCCTTTTTTGCCTACCTATTACCGGTCATTGTTCTCCCCGACTTCTCTCCGACTTCTCCCCGTGTTCCCCCTTTTTTATTTTTTCTATTTTAATATTTACAATATTTCAAAGTGAATCAAAAACCTTTGTCACATATCTTTTTATGATTTTCAATGCATAAATTTGATTTTCATTGACAAAAAGAAGCAAAAATATTGATGGAAAACAAGAGTTTCATTTAAAGAGATGATTCAAATCAATCAAGTCGAGCAATTGTCCAAAGAATAAAGCCGATCATTTTTGTCACCAACCCGTTAACGTACTCCTTTTCCTCCAAAATCGGGTCACTATTTGTTTTCCTTTCTTCGCAACAAGCGCGCAAAGAAAACGCCCAGATATCGATCTTTTCCCCCCATAATTTATCAATTTGCGAATTTTTTTTTGCAAATCTCTGTAGATTTTATCGCTTGTCCCTTACAGAAATCACAAAAATGAAGATTCCTTTAAAAATTTGTCTTCTTTGATCTCTCTTTTTCTCTTTTATTTCTTCATTTCTCCATTGTGATAAGAAAAAGAAAAAGAGTTGGTTTGTTTGAGGAAAAGGCGATTTGTTTTCGTCTCAAAAACATTTTCAATGTTTCTCAATTTCCCCAAAAGTCACAAGAATTTCATAAATAAGTCAAGTTATTGATATTTTTTTTCTTTCCTTTTTACTTAAGCTTTGACAAGGTAAATTTGCTGGGAATTTTGGTAAATTTCCGTTTTACATTCAAATTTTTAAACAACAATTCTTCTCATCTTTTTTTTTTCTCTAGCAAGACTAATTGCCGGCTTGTATTCACGCAAATTTATATGCTTTTCAAATTCTTTAATGCGTTGCTATAGATATTGATCTTTTAAAATGGTTTTTGGTGTCTCCAATATCTTGAATCTCATTTCTCTTTACTTTGGTGACAATTTTCTTTTGAGTCTAAAAGCATGACTTGTGACTTAACGAATCACAGATTTCGTCACGATTTTCAGACTTTGTCACAGCGTTTTACAGACATTCAGAAGCGGATTTCAGATAATTTTCATATTTTGGGTACCTATTTTATATAAATCTCTAAATTTTCGCAGTTCTGGTGCCTTATTGACTAAAAAAAGATAAAGTTTTCAGAAAATAGTGCTATGTGAGCACTCTTCAATTGTATTTATTTGTTTGGTTGTAAAATGGCGAGAACAGTGCGGAGACTTTTCCCCAAATCGATGTTCCCCGAGGTGAAACGAATCCAAAAGTTGAACGCCTTTATTCTCGCAGCCACTTCTTTACTTATGATCTACTACATGTGAGTTCTTGTTCAAAAGTAACAAAAGAAGAATTTTGTGGCAATATATATGTCGTAGCCGATTATGAATGAAATTTTTTGGTAAATCTTTCTAGTAGAGCTACCCTTTAATGGATGAGGGCAATATTATATCATCCTGTAGCGAATTAAATTCTGCGTCGATTGGTACCAAATTTGTGAGTTTAGGTTAAAAATTACCGGCGCTACAACGTTTCATTCAAAATCGGCTGGACCCCCGTAGCCGATTATGAATTTCAGCCGATTGTGAATGAGTGGGTCTAGGAGCGTCCAACCATCAAGTATTTGGTATCATTCAACGCAGAATCATTAATAATTATGTTAAATTTTCTAAATTAGAAAGATTGAAAAAAAAGGAAAAAAATTAGAGCAAAAAAACTGTTTGTTGAAGAGAAAACTTTGCCCCATAATTTTTTTTCTTTTTATCCAATCTTTCTAATTTAAAAAATTTAACATAATTATTAATGATTCTGCGTTGAATGATACCAAATACTTGATGGTTGGACGCGTCCGGACCCGCTCATTCATAATCGGCTACGACATATATGTCGTAGCCAATTATGAATCATTCCGACTAGCCGATTATGAGTGAAAGTAGTTTTTTCTATTAGGTTGTTCGGATATAAACAATCGTTGCTAAAATTTTTGTTGTGAGAGAAGCTTTTAAAACATGTCTTTCTGTATTTAAAATCAATAATAATGGCGAATTTGGAACTGTGTTGGTGAATTTGGATTAAACTGTAATGGTGAATTTGGATTAAACTGTAATGGTGAATTTGGATTAAACTGTAATGGTGAATTTGGATTAAACTGTAATGGTGAATTTGGATTAAACTGTAATGGTGAATTTGGATTAAACTGTAATGTGAATTTGGATTAAACTGTGTTGTTTCTGTTTTTAAGGTAAATTTTGTCGACTACTAAAACGCTCGTTTATATCCGAACAACCTAATAGAAATTTGCCTTCAAATGCAAATTCAAACAACAACTTAAATGCTAATTAGTATATTGAATCAAAATCATAGCGAAAATCATAATCAGCTAGCCGGTTATGTGGTCATTTGCATTTGAAGATAAATTTCTAGAAAAAAACTACTTTTACTATCAGATGTTACAGTTATTATTATTTTATATGTTTATTTATGTTCAAGAAACGTGGGCAAAACGCCAGAAATCACTTTGACAATACACATCATTGATTTAACACGGACAATACACAGATCAATATTATTGATAGTGAATTATTTAATGCTGTGTATTGTCAAAATAATTTCTGGGGTTTTAACCACGTTTCTTGAACATAAACAAACATATAAAATAATAATAACTGTAATATCTAATTACAGTTATTATTATTTTATATAATATACCACATAATTTTATATACCACATAATTGGCTAGCCGATTATGTGGTCATTTGCATTTGAAGATAATTTTCTAGAAAAAAACTACTCTCACTATTAGATATTACAGTTATTATTATTTTATATGTTTGTTTATGTTCAAGAAATGTGGTTAAAACCCCAGAAATTACTTTGACAATACACAGCATTAAATAATTCACTATCAATAATATTGATCTGTGTATTGTCTTTGTTAAATCAATGCTGTGTATTGTCAAAGTAATTTCTGGCGTTTTCACCACGTTTCTTGAACATAAACAAACATATAAACATATACAACCAAACAAACAAACATATAAAATAATAATATCTTATAGTGAAAGTAGTTTTTTTCTCGAAATTTATCTTCAAATGCAAATGAACACATAATCGGCTAGCTGATTATGATTTTCGTTAGCGAAATCATTTGATTCATAATCGGCTACGACATATAAACATATAAACATGTAAAAACTCAAAATTAACTAACGAATTACTAGTGGAAGGAGTTTTTTTTGTCAAAAAACTTCTTTATCAACAAGTCAAATTTGCAGCACTTGGTGCCTTCGTGAGTATCAACTTCAACGACACTTCAACTCATCTTCGGGAACTCAACGCGCATTTTAAACAATAACATTTCCTTCAAAAAATTACTTTCAATAATTATCTTTATCCCTTACAAATTTCAGCATATCATATGTGATTCCTTTTTTTCTCTTTCAATCTCTTTTGATTTGAGTTTACCGGTTTGTAAATCATTTTCCCGTACATCACGCGAAAATCTTCTCTATCTTCTCTATCTTCTCTATCTTCTCTATCTTCATCTATCGTTTTTTTTTTAATTTTTATTTCCAATCTCTCTCCTCCTCATTTTTACCTACCTTGACCCGGAAAAAAAGCTGAGAAATCGAAAAAGCAAAAATTTCCCAGGAAAAACGGGGAAAACGAACCGAGATATCATTGATATCAACTTCACTATCTCCGTACTTGCATTTCATTTCATTTCAAATCATTTCAGATCATTTCATTCGATCTATTTTCTGCTTTATTTTTTTGTTTCGTCTTTATTTTATGATTTCATAATTTACGGTAAAAAGATATATTTATGTGCCTTAAATTTTGATTTCATTTATAAATAGTGATTTTAAAACCGATTTATGACCTCAACAGATTTAATAATTTGCAAAAAGGATCATAGACTTTATAGAAATAACTAGAATGTTGTTGAAAAGAACATCAAAGATTCGAGATTCCGGTCATTCATTCGGTCATTCGGCCATCCCGAATATCATCCGAAGACGAAGACACATCTGTTACGTGGAAAGAAAAAACGATGACGGGAATGGAAAGAAAGAAAAGGAGATGACCGGGCATATGACATGTTTGCATGGGGGGAATCCACTTCATCTATAGATCTGAAACGATCACTCAGTATACCCATGCTTGCAACTCAATATCATAAGCATTTGCAACTTTTACGCCTCAATTCATTAAGACTAGCTCTTTCATTTTTTTTCAGCAATTGTTGAACAATTTTGCCAAGCATTTGGAAGATTTATTGCAAGAATTCTTTGTCCAAACTACATTTTGCTAGTCGTACTCTTTATCGTTACAATTTTTTGCAGACATGAGGACTTTGCTTCTCCTAGCCTCAGCATTGGGCATCTCTTGGGCACAATGGAGTCAAGGAGGAGGCAATCTCGGAGGTATTAATCAGTGCAGTTCATTTCTAAAATCATGCTGTTTGTAGCCAACGTGAATACCGGTTGGGGCAATAATGGAGGCAGAGGTGGTTCAGGAGGTGGAGGATGGAATGGGAATGGAGGAGGACAAGGAGGAGGACAAGGTGGATGGAGTGGAAGCAACAGCAACAATGGTTGGTGATAGATGGGTTGGTTAAGGTAATCACTTGCTTTCAGGAGGCTGGAACAACAATCAAGGAGGTGGTGGTAAGATTCGAGAAAGATAATTTGTGAATCTCAAAAGTTTAGGCTGGAACAATAACCAAGGAGGATGGGGTGGACGGGGTGGACCAAATGGAGGAAATGGAGGAAATGGAGGTGGTTTCACGTTTCAGTTGATCCAAATGTTTGTTTCTAGGATGGAACAACCAAGGCGGCGGGCATGGAAACATTGGCGGTAGAGTTTAGAGCCTCATTTTCAGAGCACAGCTTTTATTTGCTTTTGAAAATTCTTTTGTTTCAAAGCCTTTACATCTAGTTTTAAGTTGAATGTTTAGTTTTGATTTCAGATTTTTTGAGTTACAGGCTCTGGCAATAACGGATGGAACAACAATAACAATGGTAGGTTTGGAGGAAGAGGAGGAGGAGGAGGAGGAGGAGGACCGGGAGGGTTTGGTGGAAATGGAATGGGTGGATTGGGTGGAGGATTTGGAGGAAGAGGAGGTGGAGGGAATGGAGAAGAAGGAGAGAGTGCACAGGGAGAAGATGGAGCATCGAATAACGGAGGTCTTTTCAGTTCACTAAAAGATATGTAGCTTATCCAATTATCGCATAACTAACGCCCAAAAACCATTGTGCATTTCCTAACCCACTCTAACAATAAGTTCAAGTGCTTGCTTTACCCAAAGGCAAAAACAATAATCACTATAACAATTTGACCCTCACTCACAAATGACTCTTATTCTATTGCTACATCAATGCTACATTGATTTTTATTCTATAAAATCTGTAGGCCATGGCAGTTGGGGCAACAATGGACAACAAGGAGGCTGGGGAGGACAAGGAGGAGGACCGAGACCCGGTGGAGGATGGGGAGGCCCACCACCACCACGTAAGTGTTGAGGAACATCTCAAGTATAATACAAAGTACCTTATCATAATCATGAAAAGTGATTATTTAACAACAAGTTTCCTCTATAGGTCCACTTGTTCAAGAATTCTGGCGAAGACCATAAGGTACGGGTGTTTGTGTGAAATGAATTGTCGAAACTCGAGTCGTTTGTACTTCTCACTCTTTTTTTGCAAAGTTTTTGTTGTGAAAGTTTTGAATGAAGTGTAAACTTTCAAGTAAACATTAGAATTGATCGCTTTTTCAAATTCCGTCAAATCTTTAGCTAATGGCCTTCAAATCGCCGGTCAAATCGTTGGAGGACTCCTCGGAGGACGATAGACTATTAGAAACTTTTGTAAACACTAGATTCTATTTCATTTTCAATACCATGCCAAATCTTGCTTCAAATGTGATACGGTACTTTTCTTCTTTTGGAATAAATTCTTCTTTCTCTTTCAGCCAGTCAAACAAAAAAAAATTCAGGTCAAATATCACAAAGGAACTCGAAAATCGGCTAAGATTTTCCGGGAATCAAAACAATGAAAATTTTTAATTTTCTTAAAAAGTTAAGTGAATTTTGATGCATTCAGCAAAAAGTTTAACAAAAAAAACGAGGAATTTTGTTCTGTTCATAAAATTTCAAAGGAAAATATTGAATTGGTGAATTGAAAACTGCCGGCTATTGTCATATGTGACAGTTTGAGCACTTTCTTCTAAAGAAACCCATTTCGGTGTCAATGGAAAAGTTGTAGAGAATCAAAAATTAGGCTTATAGCCAAATTTTCAGAACGATTCAATAACTGGTTTTGAAGAAATGTCAAATTTACGAATTTTCACAAAACTTGCATTTTAAGCGAAACTACTAAATGTATCTTTTTGGAAATTTGGCTATAAGCCTAATTTTTGATTCTCTACAACTTTTCTATTGACACCAAAATGGGTTTCTTTTGAAGAAAGTGCTCAAATCCTCAAACTGGGACATCTCCAGTCCTCGATTTTTGAGTCTCACACTTGTCTCACACACAAACCAAAATCCTACTACGAAAGAGGAATCCGCAAATTGCCTGTAAAATGGGCAGAAGTCGTCAATAATAATGAAAATTATTTGGAATGAATTTATGGTTTTATGTTCAATAAATTTTAGTTCAAGATCCCGCAGTTTCACCAACCTAAAAGAGGAAATCTGTTAGAGAATTTACTTTTTATCTAAATAATAACTAATAACGTGTTGCAAAACTGACTCGCTCTAAAATAAGTAGCTTTAGTTGGGAACTTTTGGCGCATTCCCCATACAGTCCCGGACCTCGCCCCTTCTGATTACTATTTATTCCGGACCATGAGTAATGAGCTTTCGGGAGAACACTTCGATCCGGAAGAAGCGGTCAAAAATTGGCTTTGAAAGTTTTTCGATTCAAAACCACTACAAACCACAAACCACTACCACAAAATCCTACTACGAAAGAGGAATCCGCAAATTGCCTGTAAAATGGGCAGAAGTCGCCAATAATAATGGAAATTATTTTGAATGAATTCATGGTTTTATGTTGAATAAATTTTAGTTCAAAATCCCGCAGTTTTCAATTCACCAACCCAATAGTTAGAGCCAAGAAAGCACGATTTTGGCAATCGAAAGGGATTTTTGAAAGGAGAAAAGCTACAGTACCCATTACAGTAATCAAATATTGGGTACTGTATTTTAAAAATATAAAGAAGGGAATTCAGAAATCCTAGAACAAATTGAGCATTCGGAGAAGGACTGGTATTGGGAAGAATATTGCAAATAATCGGAGATTGGAGATAAATGGATCGATACCGGATTCCAAAAGTATTCAATTTAAATTTAAATTCAATCTCATTTACATTCGCATTCTAATGTTATCATTGAGTTAATGATAACAAGTAAACGAGATTTAAAGCTTTAAATGAACTTTTAGAGTTGAATGAAATGAGCTTAAAGATTTAAATGAACTTTTTAGAACTAGCCGGAAGATACTGTCAAGTTGGAGTCTAAACTAAACTCTCTTTTCTTCCAGCATGACTGAAACTTTAACAATATCTCTAAACTTTGAGATCTTTACATAAATATTGAAATCATCTTTAAATCATATCCTCGGTCTTTGTGGTGGATTGAGGGGAATTGGAGTCTCCGGTTCGGTTTCTCGTTCTCTGTCTCGTTCCGTGTCCGTGTCGATATGAATCGAGGGAACCTGCAATTGGGTTTTATGCAATTTTAGCAATTTTTGCAAAAAGGTAGAAACTGAAATAGAGCTCAAGAGCATTAAAGCATTCCATTTTCGATTCCAAAAATCCCTTTTTTTCTTGTTCTCCATTTCAGTTTCATTCCAATCATTTCTCAAACCAAAAGTGAAAATCGAGAAAAGAGAAGTGTTGTTTTTTTTTTTGGGGTAAAGAAACCGAAAAGCCGGGGATTTCTGATAGGTTATTAAGGGTTAGGCACAGAAAAATCACATCAATGTTTCTGAAAAAATAGTCGATGAAATCATCGATTCACTACCATTACCTTTTCACTCATTTTCCCGAGCTTAAACCCGCGATTCAGTGATCGTCGGGCTAGCCGGATCTTCTTCTGTGGTGGGAGCCTTGAGAAATTGGAAAAATCTCTTATTTGTTTAAATATGAGTTCAAATTTTTAATTTATGGATCTTTGTTGCCGTTTCATCCTCATAAAATGTCACTCACTTGTTCAGGATTATACGATGAATCCTCGGTGTCCCAATTAGAACTCCTTAACTCGCCAAGAGGTGGTACCTGAAATGTTCGTTAGAAGATGGGAACGGTGGACTGGATTTGTGATTGAACAAAAATCTGATCAATAATATTGCTAATCACTGATTGCTATATAGTGCAGTGATTTAACTGTAAAGATTGTGTTTTCTTCATTGCTTGATGCTTCATTGCTTTTCGTGGGTGCTTCTCTGATACCTTTCTATGACTAACCGGTTGTGATGTTGTTGGATGTGCCCATGCACTCTGTTGTTCACTCCAACTCACACTTCTTTGAACGAGATTCCCAGGTGATGAGAGGTAATTCGAATCATTCAGATCACCTTGAAAGGAACCGATCGCGATCGTCGATGGAGTGCCGACTAAAGGGAATTCTCGAGAGATTTCAGACAAAATCGACTTCAGAGATTGATTTCTTTTACCTCTAATCTGTGGAGTCAGCAATATTCTTTCCAAATTGGCCATTCTTTGCAATATCAAATCGACGGTCACCAATTTCTCGTTGACCTCGTTGAAGCGATTGTTGAGTTCACCGCGGAGATGCGCCATCGACGACCATTCCTAGAAAATTAGATCATAAAAAAGGAAAAACATGGTCTGTAACATAGTGCATTTTTTACTTCTCAACATACTCAATCAAATTAGAATCTGGTTAATGAAGAATTGGTGGTTAGAACGGGAAATCTGGACAAAAACTCATAGGAGTGAACCACTGCAAAAACATAATGAAACTTCACAGTGCATACCCTTGCCTTTTGTGACAGAGAGCCGACTCCACCCGGGGAAATCCCCGATGGACCCGATGAATCATTCCAATTGCCGCTTCGACTCAATGAATCTTCGTCGACTGTTTGTCGCTTTTGGAGGGTGTGCCGTCGACGGGTTCGCGGTGATCTGCAAGAGTTGTATTCAAAAATTGTCCAGTTATTGGGCTAATTTGAAAACATCGGATTAACATCAGTACACTTTAGCTACGAAGCTTAAAACTTTAATTTCAATTCAAAGTAAAATATAAGACAAACTTTCTTGGATCATAATCTTTCGATAACATGTTCGTCTCGTCGACCATCGAATGAACAGAAGAGACACGATTCACATCTGATCGTTTACTAATACCCTAAAATAACAAATATTGATTAGTTACCTACATTGAAGTGCTTTTTTCACATGTACTTTCAATTGTTTACCTTTTCGATATCAGCAAACATTGTGCTCGGGAAGATTCTCGGTCCATGCCTTTCCCTCATTCGGAATAACAATTTACGAACTGGGTGATCGGCAGCTGAAGATCGGCAACAATGATTTCAGTTTTCATTTCACTCTTTAATCTCCTTTAATTTCTAAAACCCTTACGTAGCGTCAACTTCTCGTTCTTCCGCCTAGCGTCTAGTTCTTTTTCTCTCTTCACATCAACGACTTTTCGGAATTTCATCTAAAATTGGTTGGTTGAGTCTTCTAATTTTAATAAAGTGAAATGAATGGCAAAGATTTGGAATCGAGGTGGAATTGAACCCTCGAACTTCTGCTTCGGATCGATCGATCGAGCTATCGGATCGGTGGATCGATCGAGCTATCGCTATCCTTCTTTCCCCAAGGAGAAATAGGAAAGACAAGGAAGAGAGAGAAGGGAAGAAAGAGAAAGAAATAAGTAAAGAGAAAGCTTAAAATGACTTACTCTGTGCGTCAAATTGTAGGTCAAGACGAGATTCCGGGCGAACGAGTTGGCAAAAGCCTTGTAAAAGTCGAGAACCTGAATTGAAATGTAAATGAATATAGGGAGAGCATTTCATTCACATTTCTCACAATGAAATGAAATATTCACCTCCATCAATCTCTCCTGTTTTATCATATGTAGATCGGTGTATGTCAACGCTCTCACATTAGCCGCACTCTGCCCTGTCTTTCCGCTCAATTTCCAGAATTCATCACCAAACACATCACCCCTGCCTGGATTTCAAATGAATAATATTTGAAGCTTTTCTTTTGACTCACCCAAAATGGCCACAACTTCTTCATCTTGAATCACTTCAAGCGATCCCGACACCACAAACCACAAAGCGTCAACATTTTCACCCGTATGATAGAGAAGATCTCCCGGAGCAGCATGATTACTCTTTAAATTCAGATTTTAATGTTTCTTAGGAAATAAATCTTGAGCCAAGGGTCTGTTAGTTTGCTAATTAATCAAAAAAACTTTAACGAACTTCCAAATGCATAGCCAACTGGCGTAGACAACCATCAGACGCCAAGCGAAAACATGAGTGCTCGTTGAAAACTTTACGATTCAAGTGAACACAAATATCGGCTTTCATGTCTTTCGGACAATAGCTGAGTACCTGGATATTTTTTAAATCATAGATTCTGGTAGAAGGTGAGTGTACCTTTTGTGTATCGATCCCTTTCGTCATGGCCCACGTGGAGACCACATAGTCCATCACTCTCTCCGCTAATTCTTTTGGAACTTCTTGTAGTTTGATGAATTCTCGAACGTTTGCGATCATGTCGTGATATCTGAAAGTTTCTTATTGATTGAATTTCTATACACTAGTTTTTTTTCTTTTACCTAACAGTTGCTGATGTCATTTGTTGGATGATTGTCGTCATGTGGCCGAAAATCGCCGCATAAAGCAACGCCGAGATGATCATCATACAGACGGCGAAAGCCTGGAAAAGACGGCATTTGAAAATGATTTATTATTTGACTATTTCTTGTATTGATTATCTTTATAGCTTTCCAAAGTACCTTCTCGTTGTCGGTGTTGCTCGAGATGTTACCGAAACCAACCGTCGACATGCAGCTCATCGTGAAGTAAAGAGCTGAAAAAGCTTTTTTTCTAGAAACCTTTCAAAACCAACAAGCAAAATAGCAATTCCATTTCGTTGGACCACCGGAGATCTTCAATTTTGTGGAATTCGAGAGGAATGGAGCGTTGAGATCTCTCGATAAACGCATCAACCAACCATCCGGGAATTGAGCATTCTCGAACTAAAAGAGTTTAGAAAAATAAGAGTATGATGGAAAAATAAAGACTTCTAATAGTAAGTAATAGAAAAAAATGGGTTTATTGGGAATTTTGGGAGTCTAAAAAGTTTTGTTAAAAAGATTTTTTAAATAAAAACACACGTGGTCAATGTTTAACCGCCGAATTGACTCAAAAACAAAAATCGGAATTGATTGGGATTTCCTACCACAGTAAAACAAGAAACTTTACAGTTTATACTATTCAGTTATATTTTAAAGATCAACTAAAACTTGACTATGTAAGACCGTAGTGAAAAAATTTTATCTTTGAAAGATATATTGGGTTGGTGAATTGAAAACTGCCGGACTTTGAATTAAAATTTACTCAACATAAAACCATAAATTCATTCGAAATAATTTCCATTATTATTGGCGACTTCTGCTCATTTTACAGGCAATTTGCGGATTCCTCTTTCGTAGTAGGATTTTGGTTTGTGTGTGAGACAAGTGTGAGACTCAAAAATCGAGGACTGGAGATGTCCCAGTTTGAGCACTTTCTTCAAAAGAAACTCATTTTGGTGTCAATAGAAAAGTTGTAGAGAATCAAAAATGAGGCTTATAGCCAAATTTCCAAAAAGATACACTTAGTAGTTTCGCTTAAAATGCAAGTTTTGTGAAAATTCGTAAATTTGGCATTTCTTGAGAACCAGTTTTTGAATCGTTCTGAAAATTTGGATATAAGCTTCATTTTTGAGTCTCTACAACTTTTCCATTGACCCCGAAATGGGTTTTTTTGAAGAAAGTGCTCAAACTGTCACATATGACAATAGCCGGCAGTTTTCAATTCACCAACTCAATAACTGAATAGATATGTGAATCGAATAAACACAACTCACATGCACTCCTTTCCTTCAATCTTCTCACCTTCAATCGTACTTCATATTCTCCAATCGTAAACCAGATACACGCTAACCAATGAGCCACAAGAACATAGGCACACAACAATAAAAGTAGAGTGGCAGCTCCATATTCGAGGTAGTTGTCCATCTTCCTCGCCACTCTTCCCAGCCTCAACAATCGCACCACTTTCAACGCCGAAAACAGAGAACCTATTCTCTAAAATTGAAATTCTACGTTTTGTAAATTTACTTTCTCTCTTTACTTCGTCATCACGTTTGAACATATAGAAAATATCATAGGGAAGGCACGAGAGAAGATCGATGATGAACCAAGACTTGAAGTAGTTTTGGCGGATCACTGATGGCTCGATCACCACCTGAAGAGTTGAGGGTTTTTAGATTTCATTGTAAAGGTAAAACAAGGTAATCAGGGTAAATCAAGTTCAAACTTCTCCTCACCTCACCGCCTGGTCCAACAAAAGTCGTATGGAAATTCAGTAAAATATCCGCAAAAAAGATCACATCCACAATCGAGTCGACCAAAGCCAACGTGTCGATTCCCGTATAATTTGTCTCTCTAAAAAAAATTGCAATCAAATCTGTTCAAGCGAAGTGCAACTAGAGAACACCGTGCTTTAACTCTAGCTCTAGTTATCCTCTTAGTTTTGTCTCTAGTTATCCTCACTTGAAACCATTCAATCCACTATTAAACTCAATTTCAACTCATGCACGGGAGAACTAAAATGAAAAATGAAAGAAAAAAAGCACTCACGATTCGAGCCAATTCGTCCCAAACCTGTTCTTGAACGCGATATTGAATGGTACGACAAAAGCCGTATACAAGGTCAATAATAGAATCGACCAGTCCCAAATTGTCTGAAAGTTTGTTTTTATAGTTTTTCTGATATTTTTGTTGTGTTTAGATTTAAGCTAAATCTTACCTTAAAAGTCGAATAATGTAATATGATATGAGGCGATGTTTTCGGCGTCTCTTGTCGATATTGTGGCAACATATCTCCACCAAGATTCATCACCTAAACATAAACAATCAACATTTCACCATTCGGGTAATATGATTTTCTAATTGTATAGCTGAGAAAAGCGCGGAAAGTTCAGGTGTGTATGTGGGTGATCGAGAATCCATTGTGTGGATGTGTGTGTCCAATCCAGCTCTCTTGTGTGGGATTTGTTCGTGGCAAACAACCGTTCGAACCCGAGACCTTTCCGAGAAATGAAATGTTTTGAAAAAAAGAACTGAGGAATTGTTTTTGATCGAGCCAAAAGCTAGGGGACATTAGATAGAGACAAAAATAGTAATAGATTCAAACCAAAGTGCGCTACGGGAAACCGATCGAATCACTAAAACGGAAAGGAGTGCGATGAACTGAAGTTGGGCTTGGATAGGGATAACGGATCGGAAACATTCGCTATCTGCACTGTCATAGTTTTGCCAAGAATTTTCTTGGCATTATTGCGCCAGATGTTGAAAGTTTTCAGTGTCCATAAAGCTCACATTCACGATTATCCATATTCAAGTGTAGAATGGAAAGTAAACTCTTTTGAAGAGAGTTTATCTTTTGGCAAACTTAACAAGTACGAGACGATTCGCAAAATGAGAATTACTGTGTTAGCTAACGAAATTAAACAGAGAAAGAAAGAGATTGAGATTGATTTGAAACACAAGGAAAGACAGCAACCCTTAGGACTCAACAGAAGACAGCAACTCAACAGAAAAACATAGAGCTTAGTTACAGTAGTGATTTTGATTTACTTTTCTAATAAACTTGACTCTTTTCTCTATACCAAAGTGCTTTTTTTTTAAAGAACACGGCAAAATCATTCTATTTTTGATAACTTTACTCACTAAACCAGTCAGATAGATATAAAATTCTATGATTTTTGTTAGTTCTTAGTAATGGCATTGTAAAGAACGCAGCCATTTCTCTAGCTTTTCAAAAACGGTCACTAATTGAATACTCTTTAAATCATTATATCATTATGACTTTGACAAATAGGGGGTGGGACAAATGCGACCTTTTTTTTGCGCACCTGGACATTTGCGCACCTTCTTTTGGTGGAAAAGGCCTTAGGCAAGGCCGTAGAGCTTCGAAAATATTTCCATATAAGGGAATCGTATGCGTAGATTCCGAATTTCGACAAATCAGACCTCGCTGACATGTCAAATTTGGGCTAAAAGGCAAAAGCTGCGGAAAAGCGTTAAGTTGCGTAGTTTTTGCCTTTTAGCTCAAATTTGACGTGTCAGCGAGGTCTGATTTGTCGAAATTCGGAATCTACGCATACGATTCCCTTCTATGAAAACATTTTTGAAGCTCTATGACCTTTCCTAAGGCCTTTTCCATCAAAAAAAAAGGTGCGCAAATGTCCAGGTGCGCAAAAAAAAAGGTCGCATTTGTCCCACCCCCGACAAATAACATAACAACGACATATTCACAAAAAAAGAGAGAAAAGAAAGAAAGAGAAACAGAGAGTTCAGCCGAAATTTTTTTTTAATGCATTCCATTCGTTTTACGTTTCTTTTTTTTGCTTTTGAGAGAACTCACAAATTTTTGGCCGTTGGATTCCCACTGAAATATTGATAACATAGATCTTTTGTCTAATCAACAAATATAGAAAAGATTTGGAAAAATGAAGGAAAGTAGCTGTTGATCGGAGGAAAAACTTTGAAAAATTAGCATTTTTGAGGTTGATTAGTGGGCGAACGGTTGTTAGAAACACAAAAAATATGGTTATGTTTGTTTTTTTTGACAAATCAATGTTTCGTTTTTTGTTTACGAGGTTTTAGTTTCGATTAGGAGAGTTCTTTTGGATAGGAATGTTAAAAGGATCAAATTGCGGTTTTGTTATAAAGAAACAACACATTTTCTGAGTAAAGTAAACAGTAAAGTAAAGTAAAGTAAAGTAAAAATTAAAGTAAAGACAAAACTCTTAATCTTCTAAATCAAAACCGCACTTTGTTCAAACTATTCCAAAGAGTAGAGGTTCTAAAAAGATTTGTGAAGAGATTGTTTTCTGAGATTTGTGCAGTGAGAGAGTGCAATGTTCGGGGAGGAGCGGGGGACCTTGATGACCTGGGTGAAGTTCGAGGCGGTTGGAGTCGACGATTTGTGCAGATCTTTGGTTTCAATCTGATTGAAGGCTTGCTTCGATTTGGCGATTCTTGCAATTTGCAAGATACGTGAGAAACCTGAAAACAATACTCACATTTAATTGTCATCAATGCGAAAGAAAAGATGACTTTTCGGGGTTGAACTTTCTCGAAAATATCTTACAAATGATTGATTTCATATTTTGAACAAGTACTTAATTTAGAAATCGTTTAAACTCAGATTTCATAAAAATGCTAAAAAAAATCTACCTAAAACCTAAAACCTGTAATGAAATGAAATACATGAAAGTTATTTAAGTCGTGTCGCACAACTTGTTTCATCTTTTATCTCAACGCCACCGATAAGCATACGGGAAGGACGCGGACTTTGGGTAAAGCTAATTGGGTAATTCAAAAAATGATGAAACGTTAGACGATTACATTTATTTGCACAAATAATGTTGTACAAATAATACACAAACACCTACCGTAAATACTTTAATAGTACCCCACTCCCATAATGACGGTGCGGAGTGTTGTGTAGTCTAGCTTTGAACGAGTTTTTCTCGACACTGGTTTATGCTACAATGCGCGCTTAGGTCTCAAAAAATAGCCCTGAATTTCAGCTATTTTTTGATACCAAAGACGCATTTTTGAAAGTACGGGCGCTTTGAAAAAAATGAAATCCTAAAAACTGCGACTACGCGACTGTACGAGGGCGGTGGGGTACTATTACAGTATTTGCGGTAAGTAAGCTCAATTCCTCACTCACCTTTATTGTTCTCATCATCAAGCGGTTGTTTCAATGGAGTGATATCTTTGCATTGACACAAATACAACACCACATTGTCCTTGTCGTTTTTTATCGGCGCAATGTAGACAAGAAGCCAGATTTGAGTTTCTGAAAAGAAAGAATTGAATGATAATTTCGCAGACAGCAAATTGCTTTACAATGTTTAATCATTTTTTTAAAACTGACTGTTCTTCTTGACAAGACCAATCTCAGCTTGATCTGTTCGAGCGTTGTCAAGCGCCTCGCGCACCCGGGTGACACTAGCTAATTCGGAGTGATCCCCGTACATGAATGAGAGACTAAAAAGCATTTGCTTGAAAAAAAGATTGAGTAATTGATTGAGATTGAGTAAGATTGAGTCTCAATCTTAGATTGAGTCAAGATTGAGTCAAGATTGAGCTTTGTTTACTCAAAGCATTTACCTGCACGGTTTCTGCATGATCTCCGCTCTTGAATAGCCGACCAGCTTCGAGAAACCATCATTACAATAAACGATCGGATAGTCGACAATTTGGGCGTTCGCCAGGATGAAGCAAGTGTCTGAAATGATTGATTATTTTGCTGAAGCTAAACAGCTTGATATTTTAAACTCATTCTAAATTGAAAGCCTCTTTTAAATGAACTGTCTGACCAGTATTGTTGCATCTTCGGATGACATTTTCGAGAAAAGTATTTTGTGGAGCGATGAGACCTCTCTTCGCTACAGTCATCCTCCACAAAGCAACGCGTCAAAACGGCGAATGAATGGGATCACATAGATCAAAAAAGGGGGAATAAAAGTGGAAGCTAAAGTTGATTTGATTACATGAAAATGAATGAAATGGATTGGAATTAATAAAGTAATAATAAAAGTTATTCCAGAAAAGATAAGTACACGGTTTTTGGTTTAAATGATTGATTAAATGTTTAAATGAGGTTAAAAATATTGGGCAGAGCTTTAAATTGCGGCCAAAAGTTCGATAAATTGAGATATCAGCTAAAATAGCGAAAGGAATCGAAAGATCCATGATAATTGAAGGCCAATCAATCCACGGGATATGTAAATGCTCCATAAAGTAAAGCTAAAATGAATAGATATACCGTATTCTCTCTAATAGTAGTGCACCCTGAGCGTTGCCCAAAATTGCTCGAAAACTCGAAAACCGCTTATCAGAACCTATCGATCATTCAAAAATCTATGAACAATTTAAAAAGTGAGTGATTTCTACAAGATAAAACCTTCAAAAACATGAGACAAATGTCTTTTAAACTTTAAAATGCAAAAAGAACACCTTTATCGATCCAAATATAGCAATAATGAGTTTCTGAGTGAATCTTTTTCTTTCTGAGTGAGTTCTTTTTCAAGCTCTGGAAACGGAATTTAAACAAAATCTTTGAAAAAAGCGTTTAATAAAAAGCTTTTTTTACCGGAAAAGAGAAAGAAAGAAAGAGATTTGTCGGAAAATTAATAATGCGTATGGAATGTGATCGGCTTCTCGGCCAGGATCTCACCCTCAGCCATTCCCCGTTCATAAGCGAGAAAAGCGCATTATTCTCGTTGGCACCCTCCCCCCTCTCCTCTTGGAATCCCCGTTTTCTTCTTTTTCATTTTCTCTTTTTTTTTTCATTTCCCCACCACTCTTTATTCACTTCTTTTTTCTTCTTGAATCCACCCGATTGAAGGGATCTCCCCCACAGGTAGCCAAGGGCGACCACCCCTTTCAGCTCCTTCAGCTCCTTCAGCTGAAACCCTTTCCCCTTTCTACCAACAGCCTCAATCTCTCAATTCAATCACACCAACATCGGTTTGTTCTGATGGAAAAGATGTTTAGAGCAGTAAACACACTTGATTAACCGATGATAAACTAGAAAATAGTCTTCATTTTTGTAAATACTCTTATAGATAGTCATCTAATCAAAATGCTAATCAAAATATCGATCAATAAGTCTTCAAAAATCAAAGCCAACCCTTGAAAAAGAGATCAAAAGTGGCAAGATGGCAAAGCGGCAAAAAAGAGCAAAAAATTATAAACAAATCGACGTAGACGGGCCAAAAGTGTGGACGGGGTCGCGGATTATCGAAAAGAGGCAAAAATGAAGAATAGGGAATGGATTGAAATGAGAAAAGCGGCATTGACTTCTGGCACAAAAAAAATGGTTTAAGAAGTTTCTCCCGAATTCAGAAAATGATTGCAAATATTCAGAATGGAAATGGGGAATGAGGAGAAAAAGGAAAGGAGAGGAATGGGATAAAAACAGGAAGACACGCGATCATCCACGAGTCTCCAATAATCTTCCCTCCAAAATGAGAGTCAACTTTTCATGGAGCTGCAAGAGGATGGGTAAAAAAAACAATTTACCTATCTAGTTCAGTTTTTGATTTAAATTAGAGTTTGACCCAAAGTTCTGGTCAATAAAAGGCCGACAAAAGTTGTAAAAAGCGTTTTCTGTTTATCAAAAACATTCACCTAACTATACTAAACCTCACTCTTGCCGTTATATTAAATGAGGAACATTTTGAACTCTTTAAATCTGAATCGTTTGTCCCCTCCGCCCATTTACTTATTGGCCGGAAGTGTGCAAAAATGTAGAGAGGAAAACCTCAAAAAATGGAACAATCATTGAAAAAAATATTCTACTCAGAAAAAACATCATGGACACAAAGGATCCTTGAAAAGAATTCGGAAAAGGGAACATGAAGTCATAAAGTCAAAAAGGGTCAAACAATTTTAACAGGAGGCCAGCCAATTTTACCTGAAGTCGAACGTCAAATTATTGAATCCCTCTTGTGACGAATCACTTTCCTTTTTGGTAGAAATTGCAAATCCTAGATATAAACTAGATAAACTATAAACTAAAACGATAAATTATCTTAAATACAAGAAAAAAATACAAGAATATGTGCAAAAGCACCCACTCATCCCTCCTCTTGCAAACTTAAACTCTCTCTCCTTTAGGCAAAAAAGCTTTGCAAACATGTGACTATGTGACTCTCTTTCTTTACAAAAAACGGTTCTCACTGGTTTGCTTTTTAAAATAGGTCTTTGTGACGATATTTAGTGGGCGAGCAGCTCATCACCGGGCAACTCAATGAATATTCAAAAATGAAAAGAAAAACCTTTACAAAACATGAATTCGATTTTTGGAACCCATCCCGTGATGACTTGGGCTTTGCTTTGCCCAAGTCATCACGGGATGGGTTCCAAAGTCATCACGGGATGGGTACTTGGGCTTTGCACTTGAAAAGCTCACTCAAAGTGTCTGAAGCTTAACCAAAAAAAGAATTCTGGCTTTTGAGCTTGGGTAATTCGGTTACAATAGAAAATCTACGATATAATTATGTTTAAGTTAGAAATTCAATGACTTTGAATTAAATGTAGAACTTTCAAAACCAAGAACCTTCCATGAATAACTCATAGCAATGAAAAGGGGATCAAATGGTGAAATCTCGTTCCGAGGAAATACCTCGAAACATGCCTTCACTTTTCGTTTTCATATCGAGATTATATATGATTAAAAAGAGAAAAATCGGCCCCATACTGACTCATTTCCCCAATACCCGACATGGATAACAAGTACGATTTTTCAGAATCTTTCAGAATGAATTCGTTTTGATTTTTTTTTTACGAAATCTCTAGCCTTGTCTAGCCTTTCAATTTCATTTTCTCTTCTTAAAAATTTCCTTGATTTTATCTGAAAAATTCACAGCCTTTTCACCTATTGTTCGTTTTCGTTAAAAAAAGCGGCTGGGTTACGGGGGGATAAATTATGGGAAATTGAATAGAATTCAGAAAAATCAAAATATGGTGATGAGAGGAAATTTGGCATTTGTGATTACGAGAAAGGCTCGTGTAATGGGAACTCAGAGAAATGCGGGAAGTTTTGTGTAAAGATGCCTACCCATGAATGGGATGTGAAAATATAAGAAGTATGGATATTGCATTCATTGATTTTTGATTGATATTAGCATGAAGCAAATGATAATTAACTCCCTCTGAAGTAGGCGAGTAAGAGTCATGTGCGGTGTGGTGTAATGGTTAGTACAGCTGACCAGTAAGCGGAGAGGTGGTGGGTTCGATTGCTGATCAGATCGACAATCGGTCGTTGCTGATCAGTTTTTGCCCTAGTTCCAACTTGATATCAATATTTTGATCTTTACAACAAAATCTTAACTAGTCGATTTCTATAAAAAGAGCTTTCTTTAAAAAGAATATTCACTCCCGAAAAAGACGCGTTAATCATTTGAAGAAGCCAGTTTTGAGGGAAAAGGAAACAAATCATTGACACCGAAATAGAATGTAGCTCCTCGTTAAAAATTACCGTTAGCGATTTGTGTGGATTCGAGAAGAAAAGTGTGAAGGGTAGACATGAAAAAAGAGACAAAAAGGAGATGAAATGGAGACTGACTCGAGAAAAGAAAGAAATACTCATTTACAATGCATTTCAAGCACCCCAACACACCCCAACACTTCAAGGGGAAACAGGGGAGTCGAGAGAAGACGGACACAGCTCCTTGTCGAGTACACGAAATGGCAGTGGGTAATGTGATTCGAGTGATAGGTTGGATAATAAGAAAAATTGAGAATTTGTTTTAATTGAATTGCGAATCTACTTTGGTGTTTTTTGGTACAAACGGGAGAGCTCTGCTCGATTGTTCAATCACAAATGTACAACAAACATGTTCAATCACAAATGTACAACAAACATGTACAATAACAAATGTACAACAAATAAATGTACAGCAAACATGTACAATCACAAATGTACAAGTGTACTCTTGTAAAGAGAATTATTTAGATTAAAAATTGCAAAAGATTCAAGCTTTTGTAGTTAGCTAACTAAGCGTCTTAAAATGATTAAATGACAAGATTTACCAAAGAAATTTGCGCAACTTCAAAAAATCGATAGTTTTTGAGGCAAAAACAGATTTTCAGGAGAAGTTACCTCGACGAAAACTTTTCGAAAACGAGATCAGATTGGACTTCTCTGTTTGGTGGAGTCTATTTCGAAGAAAAAAAAATGAGTTTCAAAGTGGATGAAGAGATAAAAGAAAAGGAATGAAGGAAAGGGAAGACTCGAATAAGGAAAATGAGGAACTTCACCCGATTTCTCTTTCTAGAAAGAAACAAAACACGAATAGTAGGAAATTGATAGTTATCATTGAAGAAATGAATAAAGTTCTGCATCCTTTTGCAATTTGACTTACAAATGTTACAATTTGTTACAAGTTATAATTTGTTACAAGTTACAATTTGCTTTATTTGTCTTTCATTGGATCATTTGGATAAATTAGTTCATCAGGAGCTAACCTAGGCTATTTCTTTAGGCATTCTCTGATTAGAAAACTTTTGAAAAAGCGTATCAAAGGTAGAAAGAAGAATGATATAAGAGATCTCCAATACATTGACAACAACAAAAAAAGGACTCCTAACCGCCCCATCCATTCCACCTTCCTGAAGCCTTCCCTCCCCTTTCCCCTCATCCACCCTCAAAACCGAAACCCGGTAAACCCAATTTGGCGTGGGAGAAGACAAAACCCGGGATCCTCTTTTTGACTCAATGAAGAACATGAAAGAAAAGACTTCACTGGGGTTGGAATGAAGAGATAACAATTAGGCAAACAAAATGAAAGCATTGCTACTTATTGGATTCAAATGTGGTGTGTTCTTCGAGTTGTGTTCTTCGAGTGTTTCTCTAGACTGATTAGTGTGGATAACGAGTGTCAGGTTTTTGATTGATTCAATGATTTAATCAAATTAATGATTTAATCAATTGATTATAGGTAAAAGAGCTGATTCAAATATCTAAAACCTTTCAAAAACCATTTCTACAAAGTGAAATCAAAAATTGTAGCTATTGTAGCATTGTGCTAGATAGCTATTGTAGCTATCTAGCAAGATATCCAAAAAAAGATTCTTTTTTAAGACCCTACAATTTGCTACGATTGAAATGAGGATTTTAGTTTTTGAAAGAATTTGTTTATCGATTGAATTTTGAAAAAAAAACAGATTTTGCGGATTCCAAAGGACTCCAAAAGTGCGTAGAAAAACCGGAAATCGCCTCGAGATTATGTAAATTTATGTCACAAGCCCCCAATCTCATGAAATCCGATTCTAAATTGTTTTTGAGATTTAAGATGAGAAAATCTGAACTGAAATTTGTTTAAAGAGTGAAACCGATGACAAGATTTGATTTATTTTGAAATTTTGATCGATTGTGTGCGACATGGCCAAAAACTGAACCCGGCTTATTAATTTTCTTGTGTGTTTGTGTTCTTCTCATTGACGGATTCCTTTCTTTTTACCACATTTTTTTTCACATTAATCTCTAATGATTCACCCAAACATCATCAAGGGGAAATGAGCCAAGAATGAGAAGAAAATCTTGAAGAAGAAGAGGATCAAAAACAAAATCTTGAAATAAGAAAAATGAAGATGAATCAACTTTGACAGACGAACAAAACGCTAAAGTTAAATAGCTTTAGCGTTTTGATTTTAAAAAAAAGAACCTAAAATCGATTGAGATCAAGTAAAGCCTTTTTCGAGAAAGTGAGGGATGACGGAGGTGGCGGGAAGTGATTCATTGAAAAAAAGGAAGGGGAACTCATTCTCAACTTTACGGCCATATGTGTTCCCATTGCTTGAACTCGGAGAGTGAGTCTAACTATAAGGCATAAAAATCTTTTAGGCATCCATAGCATTGATTTGCAAGATCATCAGAAGTTCAAGAGAATCGCCAAGAGCCTAATCCTTTGCAATTCGTGAGTTGGATAGGGACATTCACCAGTGAAGGAAGAAGAAAGTGAAACGGGGGCGATCGAGGTGAGTTGACACGCAATCCCCGTGTGAATATTTATCCCCCAGCTCTCTTCAATCAAAAAGGAACTCTCTCATTTTTCATGTTCGCGATTTCTACATCAAATTCCGGTGATGATGATGTGATGAGGAAGCACTCATGTTTACAAGTAAAATGGATTTTATTGTTGTTTCTCAGATAGAGCAAATCGATTACAAGATGAAACTGATTACAACAAATCGATGAAACTTTTCTCAAGTTATCTTCAAGTTGACCGGCTGACAAAATACAATATTTGGCCTTAGACTCATTATCTTTCACCAGAATAAAGGTAACAACAATAAGATCCGAACTAATGAGGGTTTAGACTGATCCATGCCATGATTCTCTCACTAATTCCCAAGAGAAATAGCATCCAATTACTTAGATTGCACTAAGTTCGAATCAACTCGAACAATAAGCAAAATTGGCAAATAGACCGACTCTTCTAATGTGTTTTGACTTTTGTAAAGTAGAATCTGGAGATTAGTTTAGAAAAAGGATAACTTAGATTGACTTTGATTTCTAAAATTCAAAGCAAAAGCTTATGCAAAACATCTAAAAGATATGAGCAAATTTATGGCAAGTAGACAAGGAACATTACCCGTTCTAAAAGCCTTTGACTTTGGCAAAAAGGTTAGTAGCAAAAAGAGTACCTAATACAAAAAAAGAGTACCTAATACAGTACAAAAAGAGTACCTGATAGTAAGCTACTATTAAATAGTTTAAAATATCAAAACTTTGTTGACTAAAAAGGAATAACTGAAAGAAGAATGACTCGTCGACAATCATGTGGGGAAGAAGTGAGCAAGAATGGAGAAAATCTTCTAAGAAGGGTTTCTCTTTTGAGATGAAAGAGCGCTCTGTTGCTAGGCACGCACACCTGATGGATATATTGAAAAAGAAAGGAAAAGAGAAAAGCGCTTTATAGGGAAAAGTGAAGAAGAGAAATATCTACACAATAGTGGAAAACACAACTAATAACATTCTAGACAACAAAGTTCAGCAAGATTATGATGGAGAACTTGAAAGATTTTGAACCGGTGACATTCTGCGATGGGTAATTAAGAAAGCTGAGGCTTGTAGTTAGAAATGAGCTAAAAGATATGAGCAGTGAGCGAAAAAGTCTATCTATCTATTCAAATTTTGCATTTGAGTCAAGATATCTTTCACAATTTATTTAAAAGATAAAATCAAATTTCCAAAAACATTGAGCAATCGATTGAATCGCTGAAAAGGATGGGGAAAGCATCGTCAAAACAAAAAAAAAAGCTACAAAATCGTACAATCGTCATCATAATTTATCGATTTTCTAATTGGGTGAATTGCTTCGTGAGTTTTCTCGCTTATTTACAAACATTGGATCAAATAAATATGTTTTGATGAATAGAATTTTCGATTTGATGAATAGAATCAGGATTAAAATGATCATAACTGAAGTTATAATATTTTTTATGAAACAATTGAATTCTAGTAGTTGGTCGCCGGTCCAATGTATGATCCATAAGCGGCTGGGGCTCCCACCTGAAAGATAGTTTTGTATAAAGCTATTTACCCTGTCCCTGTCTTTTCCCTAAACCTAAACCTAAACATAACCATATTGCTCATAAACGATCTCAAATTTCTGCATTCTTGCTTAACGTACTAGAGTGGACTAGAGTATAAATTTCAAAAAATTTTGTGATTTAAAAGAATCACCTGTCAATCAATTATCTTTCTATAAGAGTTTCTCAGAATTTTAGCAATTATTTGAATGATTAAATTCACCTGTGATCCCCCATAACCGCCGTACTCATAAACTTCGCGTTCGGCTTTTCGTTGTTTAGCTTTTGATCTGAAAATGGAAAAACGGTTGTTAGCCAAGTTGTGTTAGCAAAGCCAGAAAAACGATTGGAAAGTTGTTAGACAGAAGTTGTGCTTACGAGTCAACTATGCAATTAACTACAAAGCTAAACAATATCAAATAAGTTCTATTCAAATTGTTCAAACAATGACTCACCTCAAATAGCAGAGAATCATGAGAACGGTACCGATGATGAAAACTAATAAAACGAATACCAATAAAACGTAGACACCAGCCATCCTGAAAGGAATTGAATTTGATTTTCAAATATTAGATACATGCATAAGAAATGCGGATTTCAATATTTTCAACATTTTCATAAATTTCCAACGATAGAAACCTGATATCATTGACTGTTATAATATACAGTGCTGTATGTTGTCCCTCGCAGTATTGGAACCGTATTGGAACCGTATTAGATCAAATAAAGAACCGTATGGGAACCGTATTGGAACCGTAATATACACGTAAGAACCGTATGGGAACCGTATTGGGCCGTTAAAAAAAGGAACCAGGGAACAAAGCCGGGGGCCGTTTGGAGCGTAATATACACGTAATATACACGGTTCCAATACGGTTCCCATACGGTTCTTTATTTGATCTAATACGGTTCCAATACGGTTCCAATACTGCGAGGGACAACATACAGCACTGGACAATGAAATATGATATTTGAAAAAAGATCGTCACTTTCGCGCGTCTGTAACTCCATTGTCTTTAAGTTGAAACTATTAGTGTTATACATTTTCTGAAAGGTCTTTTCAAGGGCTACACAATGGTAATATTAATATTTAGAAATACCGTAAAGACAATGGAGTTACAGGCGCGTGAAAGTGACGATCTTTTTTCAAATATGATATTTCATTGTCCAGTAGTGTATATGTCGTAACCGTTTACGAAATTCAGCCGCTAACGAATGAGGGTATTTCTACTGTTACTGTTATAAATTCGACGAACGTTATAAACTATTTAAAAGTTGTAAATCTCCTCTACAAAATAGGCTAAAAAGTGTTTCAATTGATCGAACCATTGAAGAAATTTCGAGGGCGAAATGCGAGTGACCAAAAAAGGGCACTTTTTCAAAACCCCACTTTCACAAGAGTTCGGTTTTGACTATATAGGGGCTTAACCTAAGCACTGAAACGATTACGCTTTTCTGATTCCTTACCAATATTGATCTTTCGGACAACATCCGTGTACACAACAATTCTCTCGTTTTTCACATCTAAACTTTTGTGTTTAAAATCGTATTTGCTTTCTAGATTTGAACATATACTTAAAGATTTGATAGCTTCAAACTGACAGTAATGTAACGGTGTTGTTGGCGGTGTTCTTGGCTTGGTAAATGCATTTCAAGTAGCCCGATTGTGTACCTAAAAAGATTATATTTAAATTATAACAAACAGATAACTACCGTAGATACTGTAATGCGTCTTTGGTATGAAAAAATAGCCCTGAATTTCAGCTATTTTTTGATAACTAAGCGCGTATTTTAGCATAAACCAGTATCGAGAAAAACTCGTTCAAAGCTAGACTACCCAACACTCTGCACTGTCATTATGTGGGTGGGGCACCATTACAGTATTTACGGTAGGTGTCTTTGTCTTAAACGTCTATCTAATCTATCTACCGTAAATACGGTAATAGTACCCCACCGCCCTCGTACAGTCGCGTAGTCGCAGTTTTTAGAATTTCATTTTTTTCAAAGCGCCCATACTTTCAAAAAATGCGTCTTTGGTATCAAAAAATAGCTGAAATTCAGGGCTATTTTTTGATACCTAGGCGCGCATTTTAGCATAAACCAGTGTCGAGAAAAACTCGTTCAAAGCTAGACTACGCAACACTCCGCACCGTCATTATGGGAGTGGGGTACTATTACAGTATTTACGGCAGCTATATTTTTAATTAATTGATCAATCATTTCATCAATCAATCAATCAATCATGATAAATTAATTAATCCTTTAATCAACCTTCAATTTCGGATCGAATGAATTTCCCGAGGGTTCCGTGTTGATAAACTTCGTTTGGGCCAGCGCCAGCAATACCTGAAAGTGAATGAAATTGATATCGAAAATAATCGAAAATAATTTTATCAGTAAATCAAAGATAATATTCTTTTTGATTCACTCTTTGGCTCTCGTCGGATTTTCGAGGATTTTGAATAAGTCGTCACGCTTTGAAAGCCTATAACTTTGTCCAGAGATAATATTATTGCTAACTTTTAATATTTTTTTATAGAGGACATTTCAGGGTTTTGATTGACACCAAATACAGTTTGATTGGATTTTTCATTCTCATACAAACCAGGCGACACGGCACCCCGAGTTGCGCAGGCTTTGATTATCCTGGACTGGGTTATCCAATCAAACTGTATTTGGTGTCAATCAAAAGCCTGAAATGTCCTCTATAAAAAGATATAAAAAGTTAGCAATAATATTATCTCAGAACAAAGTTAGAAGCTTTCAAAGCATGGCGACTCATTCAAAATACCTGAAAACCCAAAAAGAGCCTCTGATTTTAATATCATCGTTATTTTCCTTTCATATCTGATAACTCACTGGATTGCTGAGCCATTTCCTGCTGGGCGAATGGACTGTTTTGGCTAAAAATTATACGATAAACGGTAGAAAAAAGATACTCAATAAAATTCAGAAAGGTAAAATAACTTTGTTGAGAGCGTGACCGCTTTTTAGAAAGTGAGTCAATGTTTAACCGATCGGTAAGAAAGATTTTTCTCTCAAAAAAATGAAATTCCTGGGTTTTGGTCCAAAAATTGAACTGTTTAGTAAAGAAAAGAGAAATGTTTACGGAAAATATGTCGGATTATTGATCGGATTCTGCTGATTGTTGAGGGAAGATGCCGGTAATATATTCCATCGACTCATCGTTTCCAACGCTCAAAACACCTACACTTGAATGAGAAAGTCAATCAATTTTCAATTTTACTTTTAACCATTGTAAACTGTACAATGGTTTACAAAGCCTATTGCAGTCATTGGACAGCAATATTTAGTGAGCCGAACTTTATGAAATTCAACTCACTTATCCAAGAAAACGGGAATCCACGAATTTGCCGTTTAAAATTGGTTGGCTTAGAAGTTTAAAAGTTTAGAAACAAGTAGGGTGATTGAGGTTTTAATGATCAAAGTCTATGGGACAATAAAATTAGTTCCTCTTCTTACAATTTACTTTCCAGTGAGAGACTTAACCTTTGCGGTTAGCTGAACAACAACCGTAAAGTAATTGAAGATTCCAAAGCATAAGCGTCTAGGCTTTGAACCAGTTTTCCAGATAAAGCAAAGAACAGAGCTTCACAAAAAAACCCACAAGACAATAAAACTAATAATTGAAAAGTGTCATTTTCAATGAGATCCAAAGAGACAAAAGGTGTCGTGTCAAGAGGGTCTTTCTGCATTCTGCATTCTGCCCAAAGAATCTCAAAGCTTTCAGTCCTCTTTTCCAACCAATAACCGGTCCTTCACCAATATTCTCCAAATGTCTGCCGATCGGTCCCTCTCATTGTTTGGCACCCCCAACTCGTCTGTCGTCTATCCTCATGATTGTCTCTTGCAATTCTTGGCCCTTTTTCCTCTTGATTTCTCCAATCTCTTGTCAATTTCTAGGGTCTACAAGCTGTGGTGGCTGTTGGAAAGAGTGTTTACGCTCTCTCTTCACATGCGCCAACACCCCATTCCACCCCGAAATTTGCCCCCATCGACCCTAACTGTCGATAGGGTTCTACTAGAATTTCGAACCCACTATGAGATTTTTTCACACTGATTCTACTTTGAACCCCATCGACAGTTAGGGTCGATCATTGACAGTTAGGGACAGTTAGGGTCGATCATTGACAGTTAGGGACAGTTAGGGTCGATCATTGACAGTTAGGGACAGTTAGGGTCGATGGGGTTCAAAGTAGAATCAGTGTGAAAAAATCTCATAGTGGGTTCGAAATTCTAGTAGAACCCCATCGACAGTTAGGGTCGATCATCGACATTTAGGGACAGTTAGGGTCGATGGGGCTCAAAGTAGAATCAATGTGAAAAAATCTCATAGTGGGTTCGAAATTCTAGTCACAGAGAGGTAAATATGATGTGGAGTCTTAATTTAACTCTTGATGAAGTCATAAATAGCATTAGTTGCCCTAGTTTTGCAAGGTTAATCTATTATCTCAAAGTTTTAGCCTAGATAATAAAACCCAAATCTTTAGAAGATTTCATCAGAAGAAAAATTGGCAGGAATCTTTTATAGAAATTTGTAAGCTTACAAAATGATCATTTCAGTTCATAAGAAACGCTAAAGCAGCTACTGTAATGATTTAAATTTACAGAAAACAATGGAAAACTGTAAAAGCTGAGTGAAATGCAGAAGAATGAGCCAACCATGAGTCAACTCAGATCAAGAAAAGATCAAAAATTTTAGATGACTAAGAAAAAGTTGCCCGGGGTTCTTGGATAAAGTAGTAGTGGTAAGTAGAAAGAAAAAAAAGAGGAGGTGGAGATATTTGCTGTGAGTTTGTCCTCCCATTCCCCACCGCAACCCGACTTCCACTATGTGCTCGAAATCTGGTCCCACCCTTTCGCCCCATCCTAACCCAAACGAAATTCTCAGCCAGGCACACAAAAAACTCAACGGATTACTGTTCAATGACTGCAGCTCACTCAAAGTTCTCACAAAAGAATAGGGATCATTGATTTTAAAAAAAAGCCAACCTGTTGTAGAATTGATAGGAAAATAAAAATAGAGTCCAATCAAAGGCTTCTTCGATGTTCTGAAAAAAAATTGGAAATTAAACAGGTTAATGATGCAAAAATGTACGTAAATTAATCAAAAAAAAGGAACTAAAAGGAACTATAAAGGAACTGGAAAAAAATTGGAAATTAAACAGGTTAATGATGCAACAAATGTACGCAAATTAATGAAAAAACTTGTCAAGAAAGTGAAAATTCAATTGGGATCACTGTTAAGCCCTCGCACCACACCTAGGTCCATTGAGAGAAATGGGGTGAAGGAATGAAGGGGTAAAAAGCCTTTTCAGGAGTCCTTGACGGGTAAAAAAAGGGGTTTGACGAGAGACTGTCGATGAGAGAATGAGTCACGAAATTAAACAAAACATTATCGATTTTGAGAAGCTATGGTGAAGTCTTGAGATATTGAATCTGAATCGAAAATGAGAACAATAGAACATGAGAAAAACCAATGCTCTTAGTATTCAGGTCTCAATCCAAGTCTGATCCTTATTGATTTTTAGTATTCAGTTTTCTTTGAAAGATCAACCAATGGCTGATCTTTCAAAGAAAACTGAATACTAAAAATCAATAAGGATCAAACTGAAAGGGATTTATGCTTGTCTTTCTCTAGCCTGAAGGGGCAATCCGGGGTAAATATGAGATGATGAAAGAGAAGAGATTCAATAGAAGAGAATGGAAGAAGAAGAAGAGAGAGATGAGTGCTTTGTTTCCTCGATCAAGCCTTTCTCTAATCTTCCACACTACAAAACACTCAAATTTTTGCTAAAGATCAAAGCTAGAATGTTGCCAAGCAGTTCATGAGTAGAACTCTCTTTACCAGGAGAAACAGATTGAGTCAATTAGAATGTTTGCTTTTCTACTTTAAAGCCATAAAAAGTCTTACTTCCTCATTGTCTAGATAAATAGAAAAAACAGGATGGGAAGGTAATATATGGGAAGGTAATATAATGGGATGGTAATGTAATGGGAAGGTAATGTAATGGGAAGGTAATGTATGGGAAGGTAATGTAATGGATAATGTAGGTAAATGGGTAATGGTAATGGGAAGGTAATGTAAACGTTTAAAAAGTAAACTGTAATGGTGATGAGCAAACTGGTGATGATCCTAGTGTTTATTGGTTTATTGGCTTGGTACCAATGTGGCATTCTTTTGTCAAATGATTGAGATTGAAATAAATTTAGATTAAAAAATTGAAGGTAAAACTTAGGCAAAGGAGTACTGAATCAGAAAGAATGGAACAATCACCAAACAACAGGGAAAAGTAAATGCTTGCCCGAAGAATGCCAAACCAATCGGCTAAATGACCATCAAATCAAAAAAAAACCTAAATAATCCTTTGGAGAATTTCCTGAAACAGGAAAAAATGACAAGAACAATCAGAATCATGTAGCAGAAGCGCTTTTTTCCGAATTTCGGAAAGAAATCGCCTTAACGAAAAAGAACGACGGAATCCGATTGACTCACAGAACAGAAAAGGACTAACTGTGACCATTCAATGTTCTTTTCTTTTTCCTCTCCTTTTTTCCCATTCTCGGTTCTCTGTGATCGTTCTTTTCCTTGATTCAGGCTTTAGCTCTTCCGACAAACAAACGGCCACCGCCCTCTCTTTTTCTTTTTTCTGTTTCCACCGCCGAAAGCCCATGAGAAGAACCGGACATTCAGCACACGTCCCTTCCATTCCCATCATCAAGTGGCGAGCCTGATGATGATTTTGATATTAAGAAATCAATGGGAACAAAGTGAATTTGTGTTTCAAGTGAGAACTTGGCTGTTCTTGAGTGAAATCAGTTTTTAAACTGTTTAACAACTCGCTTGGGTTATGACTAGTTACCAAGAAAATTTTCCTTAACCGGTAGAACGAAAAATTGCGAAAAGTATAGCAGTACGGTGATATATTGCTCTTTTCAATGACACTTCTTTGAAAACGCTGATTTTTTTAACGATAAGGATTGTTTTAAAACTTCGACTTATTTCAGAAACTTTCTTCTAAGACCAGCAACACCTAACTTCCATTTTTTTCTCTGAAATGTCTCTTGATTCTTCTCCTTTTTTCATTCAGCTCTAAGCCCTATCATCTATCTTCGGTCACGCAAAAAACCGCCTACTTCTTTCGAAAGAATAAAAAAAACTAAATCGAAGAAAGGAGACAATGCCCTTTTTTGCTTTTTAGAGTAGGCTTCCCCTTGGGGCTATTTCGTGACTTGTAGAATTGGTCTAGAAGAAAAGATTTTTCTAAATCGACTCTTCACTTCACTTCACTCTTGATCAACTTTGTTTCAAGGATAATTATTTTTGATGTAGTTTAGGCGCAACCTAGAGTTTCTTAGCTGAATTATTTCAAGCAAAGTTTCTTAGCTTTTCAGAATTCAAAAATAAAAACTATTAGCGATTGGAATCATTCAGGATTCGATGTGTGTAAAAGAATGTCCACGAATGTGATCAAAGACAACACAAAGAAAACAATGATTGGTTGTTTTGTTTTCACAATCTGTGTAATTCTGTTTCACGAGTTCCTTGTCTTGCTGTCAACAAAGTTAGCTATTTCTTTTCTGTGACTTCCCGAAACGTGATAACTCCTCGTTGATCATCATTTTCAATGAAATCACAGTCCATTTTGTGGGTAGCCGAGAAGGAGACGTAATGTGATTTTCGCCTTGACTGCCTTGACTGCCCATCTTTTCCCCGTGGTTGAAAATGGGGCCGTGAAAAGCCCATTGGGTCCTTTTTAAAGGCGGGAAAGAGAGAGGAGAGTCCCCTAGCCTGAGTATGGGTGTCCGGCCCCCAGGGCCCCATCCCCTCCCCCTCCCCTCCCATCTTTTCCCTATCAAACGGCGACAATTGCCATCTTTTCTAAATTCTCTTTGCTTTCCTTACTTCTTTTTTTTTCTCGTTTCCGCATTCTCATCTGAACTTTTTGAGAGCATTCCATTGAAGACTTTGATCTTCTTTTTCACTAAACCCTTCCAGCATTCTTGTTTTCAGAACTCTTACATAAATGTAAATTTAGAACTTGTTCAACCAATGCATTGAAAATGAGCCGATCAAAAGTGGTAACAGGTGATCATTTTATTAGCTTTACCTCTGATGCAGTCTAAAATTGTATGGCATGAATGATACAGAAAAAGAAATGCAAAAGCAAGCTCTGATCTGCCATCAAAGCTTTCTTTCGCTTCTCATCAGAACTAAACCATCAAAGTAATCTGTAAAAAATGCACTTTTTGACCATCGTAAAGTTCTCTCTTTTTCCCCAAAATCCCCTTATTGTCTGGTGGAGGAAATTCGAGATCTCGTCATTTTCTTCGATTCTTTCAACCCTTTGGAAATTCCCTCATCAAAAGGCATAAACCGAAAGGATTTCTCGTGTTTCTCCTGATTCAGATTCAAAATAGCCGAAATTGGACTCAGATTTTTGCATAAACTGAACAAATTGCGAAAAGTAAAGTTTAAAAAAATAACATACGATTGTTTACGATACGATTATTTTATTTTTTTATTTTCTTGCTCGCAAATGCTAGTAGTGTTAGATCTAGACTATAGAAGCTTTTTGAGGCTCTCCAACTCATTAGACATCTCATTTTAGCCTCGATAACAGCTAGATAGATAATGGACGCACACATTAACCCCAAAAACCAAAAGCCATAATTGAAATATCTAAAGGGGAACCTTGTAGGGGAATGCGGGGGATGATCATTGACTTTGATGAGTCAGAAAATGAAGAATGCCTTTTGATTGGACTTTAACTATAAGTAGTAAGCTCTGATGCATTGATTCAGGCCACAATCCATCCCCATATCTGCGTCGATATCGAATTCCTCAGCTGAACACCGTACGAGTTCACGATGATCCATGCACTCCAGAAGATGAAGACGGCAAAATTGAGTTGATTCGAGAAAAAATGGTTCGTGAAAAAAGATGTAGGATAATCTAATTTAATCTAATTTTAATCTAATCTTAATAATCTAATTTTTAAACCGAAATTTTGTTTGTTTCTTGTTAGAGTAAAGTTCTTCCTTCTATTTCCATGCCTCTATGAAGCCAGTATCACAACGTTCAATCTCTATTCGAAAGTTTTCTTTGAATTCTCAAGGGGATTCTGAAACTTTCCTTTCCGTCAGCTTAAACGAAAATCACAAAGTATATTGAATAATTTAAATATAGGTAGTAGAGAAAATTCTTCACAATTTTAGACCGAACTAGCCCAACGATCGCCAGCACAACCCGCTGCTTGTGCCTCGTCAACCAGCACTGAAATCAAAAGGTAAACCACGATTGAAAAAGGGCTTTGTTCCTTGCTTTGTAAATTATCAAAATACCCTAATTATAAGTAAACACCGAATCAAAGTCTTGTTCAGTTCCCCATCGCCGACGATTTCACTCCGCGGTCCCGAGCACCAGATCTACCGTCAGAACCAGCGCTCCAATCCTCCGACTTTCTCCTCAACTAACTTCTCTTCCAAAAAACCAGGAAATTCTTTGAATGAAGTCTCTCGAAATCCTCCATCAAAACCCTCTTATTTACAGTTTGAAGTGAGTAATCTGAGGTGGAAGAATGGTTTTGTTTGAGTGTCATCGCTTCGTCTGCTCTTGTGCCTTTTACTTGGTGCTTCTAGAATAAAATCTTCCGTTTAAAGATTGTAATAAAATGTCATTTATTGAAAAATTATGCAAGTTTATAGATTTTGTTTTTTAAGCGTAACGCTTAGCTATTTTGTGATGGAGCTATTTTCTTACTGATCGAGGATCTGGTCGGGTTCACGTAGAGTGGAGCTAAAATGAGAAGTATTTTCAAATTAAAGCAGCTTTAAAACTTTCAAATTTAAAACTATACTAGTGCTAATTCTAATGATATTGATATTTCAAAATTCAATTAATGTTCTTTTTCCATTTTGAAACACTCACAATCGGTGCCAGAGTAGTGAATAGAAAAGGCGTCCTCCTCGTTCAATTGTTCAAAGGAAATTTGGATGTTCATCTGGAAATATGTTTTAAATTACATTTATTTTTAATATCATGTTTAAAAAATTAAGCTTAAGAATTTAAAATCAATGTTTAATGCACTAGTAACTGCTAAAAAAACCTGTGGATTTGGTGACGAATTCTAGTAAATGAATACTTTAAAACTAAATGTCCTCATGGAAAATGTCTCAACATTTTATATCATTCCCCAAATAATTAGCATCTCTTTTATTCAAGATAACCTTGTCATATCAAATATGAAGACGCCCATTATCTCTGTGATTTTTCGATTTCCTTCACGCCTCCAGCCTAGCAACGCCCAAAATGGACTCAGACAGAGACGGGGAAACCCCCGAAAAGTTTAAGATTATCAGGAAATGTTGACGAAGAGATAATAATCATTTCCCCTCGTTTGTAATTAGTTTGCTTTCATTTGGGTTCAGTTAAATGCTATCGTAAATTATAAAGTCTACAAAGAGCAAGATGCTAGTGGCATTGGCAAGTTTGGTTTTACTGTCACAACTAGAGTTAGGGTTTAAAGGCTTGTTTTTGTCTGTTTAGTTTGAGTTAAGTTCCGAATGAAGAGCAATCGAAGATCTTTTTCGAGAGTAGGATCTAAAAAATAGATATTTTCTCAAACTTACAATACTCTTTAATATATAAGAACCCAGAGGATACGGAACTCAGCCAAAGATTCACATTTAATACTTGACTTTCGAGTATGGAAAGGATCAGAAAAACAGTCATATTCACTCGACAAAGGAATCATTTGTTACAGAAAGTCCTCTTAAAACCTTTATTTAATTTCTTTAATCAAAAGTTGATACAGTTTGCATTAGAAAGTTTTCTCCTAGCACGCAATCCATTCACATAGAGCTTTAGCCTTATTCATCCGCATCTGCATCATCATATGCATCAGCTAGAGCCTCAATCTTTGCAGCTGTTTTAGATAAAATATCAAGAGTAAGCAAAAGACCTGATCTACTTGAAGATTTGTTTAAAACTGTTGGATAAGAATATTTTGAAATGCTTGGTTCTCAATAGATTTTCAAGTTTTATTCAGTGAAAAATTATGCAAGAGTACAAAACGGATAAGTTAGTGGAGTCGATTTGCTCTTGACTTGATCATTGAGGGCGGGGTCGGGTTGATGTAGAGAGGAGCTGGAATTAGGAAAGATTCGAATTGTTGAAATGCTTTAATAGTTGAGTAGTACACCATAAACTTTTCTAGTAATAGATAAATCGTACAATCAGTTCCCGAGTAATGGATCTCAAAGGGATTGACATCATCATTGTCTTCGGTCATGATTCGGATCATCATCTGAAAGTTAAGTCAAGTATTTTAGCCAATTTTCTTTAGTTTTCGACTAAAAAGTAAGTTTATTTTGCTGAAATAACAGTGTTACTTGTGGATTATTCGATGAGAGCTTGAGGGTTGTATTGAATGGACTGAAGCTGGTGGTTCTGAAATTTAAAAAGAGCTCAAAAATGGTTTCTAGACTATAGTAGAAAACTAAATATTAAAAAATCAGTTCAAAAATGGAAATTATCTTTCAAAAAGTGCTAATATTTAATTGAATTTATAAAGTTTTAAAATTAGAAAGGCTTACGTATAAAGAAGAGTGTCACGAGTGTTTCCAGCGTAGATCTCAAGGTACCAATAGGCCTGGAATTTTGTTATTTGTTATATCTTCTGAAAACTATTTTAGATATTTAGATCGAGTTCAGAAATTCAATTCAACTCACCAATGCTTTGATTGGAGGGAATTCGATGTTTGCATAGTTGTTGAAGACGCTGATTTGCCATGTGCAATCGACTTTGTGGAAGACTTGGGGATAGCCGGGTGATTGGATCTGAATTTATCAAATAAATTCAATGGACAAGAATATTTTGTAGTTAGCAGTCTCACCGTTCCATTATTTCCATAATAGTTGGGTTGTCCACAGGTGAATGGATTAACAGTGGAGGCAGCCACGGATGGACTGAAATCCGCTTGACAGATGTAAGCCATTAATGCATCGCAGGACTAAATTTAAGCTACGTTTAGAATTTGTTGACCAAAGTGTAGAATTGGCTATAAGATCCTTCATTCTTTATTCACCTGGGGAATCCATTGTCCCGGATAGTAAAAGGCAACAGCCGAGAAAGCATAGCAAATTGGTGGATCATCTTGAGCGGCTAAAAAAGCAAAAGCTTTTCAAAGGTTATAAATTTACATTTATAAAAGATTGAATGAAAACCCACGAGCAAAATTCTTGAAGTCGAGCGCCGTGGAATCACTCCATGACGGCCCCGATCCTCGATTTCTCACTCCAATCCACGCGGCCGTGCGAACTCCGACTTGACGAGCATAGTCAATCAAAAAATTGTCAGTCTAAACAATTTTATTTGCAAACATTTTGCTTTCAACAACTTGCAAACATTTCTAATCTTGTTGACTGATTGAAGCTTAAAACTGACCGCATTGTCGTGAATCGATGCGAGATGTCCACCGTAATCTTGGCATGATCCATCGGCTTGTGCCCATGTCAAACTGTTGTAATTGAATACCTTGTAACACTTGTTGTTGAACTGAGTGAAGTCGCTTGGGCATTGCGAGACGGCTAAAGTACTTGATGGAGTGCTGCACCATGGCAATTTACAGAAAGGTGATCAATTTTTCTATACTGGCATAACTTTAAACTTATGAGAAGCCGTTAACCTTAGAAAATATTAAAAATTGTTCATTCTCAACTTCAGAAAAGCTTTAGAATTACTACCCACCAATTGCGAGGAAAGCCGCTGAGACGATCAAGTTTCTGACCATTTTCCAGGAATTGTACAGAAATATCTGATGTTCATTCCCCGAAAAACTCTCCTTATATACGATTTTCAATGAGATTTAGACTTAACGGAAACGCCCATTAGTGTGAAAAGCTGATTTATTGGGTGTGTTGCTTTGAGATTCACCGGAAAGAAAAAAAAAGAGTCTTCAAACCACACCCAGAATTAGAAATAGAAGAATAAGAAATACACTCTGCAAGTCTGTGAAGTTTCTTATCGGAAAATGACGACAAATGGGAATTAATTGGAATTAATTGGATACAATGAACGAAATGTTTAACAGATAATACAGTTAGATCAAAATAACACATTGATGCAAATCAATAAATGTACGATCAAATTTGATTATGAAAGTTTAAAATGATCACAAAAAACTTCTAAGTGAAACAGAAACAGAAACAGAAATGCTAGCTGTAAAGAAATGAAAGGTGAAGAAATGAAACGGTATACGGTAAGAAGTACTCTGATTTGTCTAGTTTACAATCCAAATTACAGAAGTATTTTAAGTAGTGATGAAAAGTTCGGGATCCGGGATTTTGGATCGGACTTCGGTAAAGTTTAGCAATTGAGCCTTTTCCCAACAAGGATTTAAAGAGTTTAATGATTTTACGAAAATGAAGTAATGACGAAGTAACGACGTCACCATGCCTTTCTGGGAACAACTTTTGCCTTAGTTTTTTGCTGTAATTTCGCAACAAATCCAACATCCTGTTAAATCAAAACCAGCCGAAACACTTAAGGTTAAAACTGAGCTGAAAAATATGCAAAACCCAAAGCCAATTCGATTCTTTGTCACATTTACAATATATTCTCCAACTCCGAGATCGCAAAACTTTGTACGAAGTCAACCCAGCCCCTTCTCAGAACCTTAAAGTAAAGACATAGTGTAGTGAAGCCATTGAACAGCTTTCCTTTTCTCAACCAGGATTTAAGGAGTTGCCTCTTTGAATTCCTCGATTCTCTTTGATATTACCTTTAATATTAGGTGCTCTTGCTATAGGTCCTTCTTGTAATAACCGCTACATGTATGCATGGAAATACAACAGTATTAGAATAATACTCTGGTTATTGCTTTTGAATCATTTGCATTTAAGCGAAATTTGGATTTGACAAATTCATTCAGTTTTCGACGTTCGGTTCGGAACAGGACGTTTGTTCCGAACAGGGCTTAACATATATATTCTAGACGATGAGAGATTTGCATAGAAAGCTACTCATTGCCCGAAGCAAGCTGGTTAACAACTACGGTAGTAAAGCAAATATTGAAGCTGTATAAATCCTTAGAATAGCTAGAATATAAGTTTGAGCAGAGCAAAAATGTTATAGTGCTTTCCAGAACAAGTTAGGCCTGAATTAGGTCTGAGCTAAGTCATGATCTGGGTTCTGGATTGGCCTAGCTCATAAAGGCTTCCGGACCCAGAAGTTAGACTTGAACCTGACCTGGCTTAGCTTACAAGCTCTAGGACCCCGTTGCAACACCTCTGATTAAGGCAAAGCACGGAAGAGCTCATTTTATACACAAACATTTTATTAAGTCCGGCTCAATTACCCAACAAAATACACAACAAAACAAAACAAAAAGTGTTTCAAAGTTTCGAACTTTTCCAAAAGCTCTTTCCCTTCCTTGTCCAGCTCTTCGCCACTTCCTGTTTCCAGGAAGTGCCCAGAGTGCACCACGAGGAGGTGGCTGGACTTCGCACTCCGCCACCCTGTAGTCCGAAGACTCTTGGGATCCGAGGTCCACGTCTGGTCCTTGGCGATGGCACCGACTCCCGCAGCAAGAATGCTCAGCTTGCTAAGGTGCGCGCAACGTAAGTAGGAGAATGCTCCGAAGTTACACTTTGTTGATACTAAAAGGGATTGATCTGATCACCAGTCGGTTTAAGAACCTCACGGTTCCTCCAATGGGGTGTCCAAACTTCCGCCATCTAGACGACTGTCGAGTAGCGGACAGCTGACGGAAGCCGGAGCCCAAAGGGAGCATAATTGTAATCCGGTTACGAGCAGCAGACCATTCTGCCTCCCTCTACGGGTGGCAGTGCGAAATAGTAGCGATTCCACAAACTTCAGCGGTATCCCTCACGGGAGACTTTCCACAACATCCTTTCGGTCAAAATTGGACAAATTTAAGGTATTCTCCCAAAAAGTCGGCAAGGACTTTTCCACCAACCCAATATATGTTAGGCCCTGTTCGGAACAAACGTCCTGTTCCGAACCGAACGTCCAAAACTGAATAAATTTTTCAAATCCAAAATTTCAAATCCAGTTTTAACCTTAAGTGTTTCGGCTGGTTTTGATTTAACAGGATGTTGGATTTGTTGCGAAATTACAGCAAAAAACTAAGGCAAAAGTTGTTCCCAAAAATTTGGGCATGGTGACGCGCAAAACGTCATTACTTCATTTTCGTAAAGATCATTAAACTCTTTAAATCCTTGTTGGCAAAAAAGGCTCAATTGCTAAACTTTACCGAAGTCCGATCCAAAATCCCGGATCCCGAACTTTTCATCACTACTTACTTCTGTAATTTGGATTGTAAACTAGACACATCAGAGTACTTCTTACCGTATACCGTTTCATTTCTTCTTGTGTTTTTTTGTGATCATTTTAAACTTTCATAATCAAATTTGATCGTACACTTATTGATTCGCATCAATGTGTTATTTTGATCTAACTGTATTATCTGTTACACATTTCGTTCATTGTATCCAATTAATTCCAATTAATTCCCATTCTTCGTCATTTCCGATAAGAAACTTCACAGACTTGCAGAGTTCATTTCTTGCTCTTCTATTTCTAATTCTGGGTGTGGTTTGAAGATTTTTTTCTTCTTTCCGGTGAATCTCAAAGCAACACACCCAATAAATCAGCTTTTCACACTAATGGGCGTTTCCGTTAAGTCTAAATCTCATTGATATAGTGTGATTAAAAATCGTATATAAGGAGAGTTTTTCAGGGAATGAACATCAGATATTTCTGTACAATTCCTGAAAAATGGTCAGAAACTTGATCGTCTCAGCGGCTTTCCTCGCAATTGGTGGGTAGTAATTCTAGAGCTTTTCTGAAGTTGAGAATCAACCATTTTTAATATTTTCTAAGGTTAACGGCTTCTCATAAGTTTAAAGTTATGCCAGTATAGAAAAATTGATCACCTTTCTGTAAATTCCCATGGTGCAGCACTCCATCAAGTACTTTAGCCCTCTCGCAATGCCCAAGCGACTTCACTCAGTTCAACAACAAGTGTTACAAGGTATTCAATTACAACAGTTTGACATGGGCACAAGCCGATGGATCATGCCAAGATTACGGTGGACATCTCGCATCGATTCACGACAATGCGGTCAGTTTTAAGCTTCAATCAGTCAACAAGATTAGAAGAAAGCAAAATGTTTGCAAATAAAATTGTTTAGACTGACAGTTTTTTGATTGACTATGCTCGTCAAGTCGGAGTTCGCACGGCCGCGTGGATTGGAGTGAGAAATCGAGGATCGGGGCCGTCATGGAGTGATTCCACGGCGCTCGACTTCAAGAATTTTGCTCGTGGGTTTTCATTCAATCTTTTATAAATGTAAATTTATAACCTTTTGAAAAGCTTTTGCTTTTTTAGCCGCTCAAGATGATCCACCAATTTGCTATGCTTTCTCGGCTGTTGCCTTTTACTATCCGGGACAATGGATTCCCCAGGTGAATAAAGAATGAAGGATCTTATAGCCAATTCTACACTTTGGTCAACAAATTCTAAACGTAGCTTAAATTTAGTCATGCGATGCATTAATGGCTTACATCTGTCAAGCGGATATCAGTCCATCCGTGGCTGCCTCCACTGTTAATCCATTCACCTGTGGACAACCCAACTATTATGGAAATAATGGAACGGTGAGACTGCTAACTACAAAATATTCTTGTCCATTGAATTTATTTGATAAATTTAGATCCAATCACCCGGTTATCCCCAAGTCTTCCACAAAGTCGATTGCACATGGCAAATCAGCGTCTTCAACAACTATGCAAACATCGAATTCCCTCCAATCAAAGCATTGGTGAGTTGAATTGAATTTCTGAACTCGATCTAAATATCTAAAATAGTTTTTAGAACATCCAAGAAATAACAAAATTCCAGGCCTATTGGTACCTTGAGATCTACGCTGGAAACAATCGTGACACTCTTCTTTATACGTAAGCCTTTCTAATTTTAAAACTTTATAAATTCAATTAAATATTAGCACTTTTTGAAAGATAATTTCCATTTTTGAACTGATTTTTTAATATTTAGTTTTCTACTATAGTCTAGAAACCATTTTTGAGCTCTTTTTAAATTTCAGAACCACCAGCTTCAGTCCATTCAATACAACCCTCAAGCTCTCATCGAATAATCCACAAGTAACACTGTTATTTCAGCAAAATAAACTTACTTTTTAGTCGAAAACTAAAGAAAATTGGCTAAAATACTTGACTTAACTTTCAGATGATGATCCGAATCATGACCGAAGACAATGATGATGTCAATCCCTTTGAGATCCATTACTCGGGAACTGATTGTACGATTTATCTATTACTAGAAAAGTTTATGGTGTACTACTCAACTATTAAAGCATTTCAACAATTTGAATCTTTCCTAATTCCAGCTCCTCTCTACATCAACCCGACCCCGCCCTCAATGATCAAGTCAAGAGCAAATCGACTCCACTAACTTATCCGTTTTGTACTCTTGCATAATTTTTCACTGAATAAAACTTGAAAATCTATTGAGAACCAAGCATTTCAAAATATTCTTATCCAACAGTTTTAAACAAATTTTCAAGTATTCTTTTGCTTACTCTTGACATTTTACCTAAAACAGCTGCAAAGATTGAGGCTCTAGCTGATGTATATGATGATGCAGATGCTGAAGAATAAGGCTGAAGTCCTATGTGAATGGATTTCGTGCTGGGAGGAAACTTTCTAATGCAGACTGTATCAACTTTTTATTAAAGAAAATCATTCCTTTGTCTACTGAATATGAATGTTTTTCTGATCCTTTCCATAATCGAAAGTCAAGTATTAAATGTGAATCTTTGGCTGAGTTCCGTATCCTCTGGGTTCTTATATATTAAAGAGTACTGTAAGTTTGAGAAAATATCTATTTTTTAGATCCTATTCTCCAAAAAGATCCTCGATTGCTCTTCATTCGGAACTTCACTCAAACTAAACAGACAAAAACAAGTCTTTAAACCCTAACTCTAGTGGTCACAGTAAAACCAAACTTGCCAATGCCACTAGCATCTTGCTCTTTGTAGACTTTATAATTTACGATAGTATTTAACTAAACCCAAATGAGAGCAAACTAATTACAAACGAGGGGAAATGACTATTATCTCTTCGTCAACATTTCCTGATAATCTTAAACTTTTCGGGGGTTTCCCCGTCTCTGTCTGCGTCCATTTTGGGCGTTGCTAGGCTGGAGGCGTGAAGGAAATCGAAAAATCACAGGGATAATGGGCGTCTTCATATTTGATATGACAAGGTTATCTTGAATAAAAGAGATGCTAATTATTTGGGGAATGATATAAAATGTTGAGACATTTTCCATGAGAACATTTAGTTTTAAAGTATTCATTTACTAGAATTCGTCACCAAATCCACAGGTTTTTTAGCAGTTACTAGTGCATTAAACATTGATTTTAAATTCTTAAGCTTAATTTTTTAAACATGATATTAAAAATAAATGTAATTTAAAACATATTTCCAGATGAACATCCAAATTTCCTTTGAACAATTGAACGAGGTGGACGCCTTTTCTATTCACTACTCCGGCACCGATTGTGAGTGTTTCAAAATGGAAAAAGAACATTAATTGAATATTGAAATATCAATATCATTAGAATTAGCACTAGTATAGTTTAAAATTTACAGATATGGGAATGGATTGTGGCCTGAATCAATGCATCAGAGCTTACTACTTATAGCTAAAGTCCAATCAAAAGAATTCGAGTCATTCTTCACTTTCTGTTCGGAACAAACGTCCTGTTCCGAACCGAACGTCCAAAGCTGAATGAATTTTTCAAAATTTGACGATCCCGGAATTTTTGGGAACAGTTTTTGTTTTAAGTTTGACTGTATTTTTGGACAAATTCTCTGCATCGGGACTGCACGGACATTGGACATTTGGATAATCAAGATGAATATCATAACAATAAGAAAAACTTTATTGACATTATTTATGCAAACTTAAAGCTTTTGATTTAAAAGTATTTCTTCTGGGTATTCTTCCCTGTCCTGGCAAAAGTGGATAAGGGATCGTCTCTTGGAAGTTGAGTTGGAATTGGATAGAGAGGTTCTAAAACAATTCATTCATTCATTTTTTACGTTTTATATTTGACGATTTTGGAAGAAAGTATTTGGGTAAATTGCTTACGATCTGTTCCCGAGTAAGTGATCACAAATGGATTCACGTCATTGTTCTGCTCGACTTGTAACACGATGTAGAACTGAAAATTGGCTTTTGCATAAGATATTGTAATAGAAAGTTTAACTAGGTAGTCAAATAGTAGGTAATAACAAGTTTGAGTTTTTAGAAAGCTACGAAATCCGGAATAGTGAACCTGTGGAGTAGAGGAAGAAAGCTTTAAAGTCTCGTTGAATGGAGAGAAAGAGGTAGTACTAAAGATATTCATTTTAAAATAGAAACAGTTTAATAACAAAGTTTAAACTCAAAAATTGAGCTTTCCAAATCATTTTTTCGTTCAAAAACTCACGTGTACAGTGGCTGTCCAGTGCGTGCTGTACCCGCGTAAATCTCGATCTCCCAATAGCCCTGAATTTGAAAAATGATCATCCATTTAATTGCAAGTTCTCTGTAATAGTCGCTTTCCTGTAGATATTTCACAAAATTCATACCAAAGCCTGAATTGGTGGCCATTCAAGATTGGCGTACATGTTGAAGGCGCTAATTGTATAGAAGCATTGAGCGTAATGGAAAACACTTGGATATCCGGGTGAGTAGATCTGAAAATCAAATGATAAATGTAATTTTTGGTAAGTATTAGGTAATTATTAGGTAATTATTAGGTAATTATTACGGTAAGTAATATTACGCAAAGGTACAACCAGAAATTTCATTAGTGCTTTAGTCATTTCAGCTCACCGTTCCATTGTTTCCGAAATAAGTTCCATTTCCACAGGAGAATGGATTTGGAGTGGTCATGGGAAGACTTTGGGCACGTTTACAAATGAATGGAAGAATTGCATCACATGACTGAAATGGGGAATTTTATGTAAACAATAGTTGTGAGCTGATTGTGAGCTGTTAACTTGTTTTCTTAGTTTAACAGCACTCACTTGAGGAATCCACATTCCTGGATAATAGAAGGAGACCACGGAAAAAGCAAAGCAAATTGGGGGTGGGTCTTGGGCGGCTGAAATTCTGGATTGTTAACACATTCACGACAAAGTCATTTTTGTCTTGGCTAACGTTTCGGACACACGGCCCTGGTTGTGGTGTCGCACTTGGGTCATTAAATCGAATGAAATATCCAAAAATCGAGCAGCTTTCTTTAAAAACCAAGTACGGATTCGAATTCGTTGACCCCAAAAACCCCCTGGTGCTAAATCCACGTACGGCCTCCACTGGTGGACTGTATCGAATGTATTAAAAAAGCTTCTGTAAACTCACGAGCAAAATTCTTGTAATCAACGGCAGAGTTGTCACTCCAAATCGTCCCATTTCCCAAGTTTCGCATTCCAATCCAGGCAGCAGTTCGAATTCCATGAGACAAACCCCATTGGTACATTTGGTAGTCCGTCTAGAAGTGAAATGGGAAATTATTTAAAAACTAGTTAAATCTTAAATCCATAGCCATACTGCTCAATGAGACTCTTACCAAATTGTCGTGGAATGAGGCGAGATTTCCACCATCATCTCGACAAGTCGCCTCCGCTTGGGCCCAAGTTAGGGCTTGGGTTTTCACCTGAAAATTAATTTGCATAGATTTTTGCATGTAGTAATTGCCTACTAAGATTCATAAATCACTGGATTACTGTAATAATTGCATATTCCAAAACTTACTGTAAAACAGTCATTGCCAAACAACGTGTATCCATTCAGGCATTGAGCGGTGGCTAAAAGAAGATTTGATAAATAAATTTGATGAAACAATCAATTATTTCAAAATATTATTACACTTTTACATAAGAGTAGCTTTTAAAGCACTTACCAGCTCCCAAAAGCGCCAATAAAGCACCGAAATGAAGCATTTCACTCAATGGAATGCTTATAGAACTTTGAATTGAATTAGAAATTGGAATGTTCAAACTGTAGAAACGATTCCTTTATATATTAGATGAAATATCATCATGGATTATCAAAATCTTGCAGAGCTTTTTTGAAGCCAACGCCCAAATTGTTTAGTCTGTGAAGAGGATTACTCCAGAAATTTCGACTTTGATTTACGGCCACACCCATTTCACGCCAAAAAGTGCGAAAAATCAATCGAATTTTGACGATTTAGCGTTATCAGCTGCAGAAGTTGACTTGTTGCCCGTCGGTTAATCGAAATTTTCGGCATTGATAGAATTGAAAGCTAGTTTTGCGCTTCTATAGTTATCTAAATCTATATTCTTTCAATAAGCAGTTAGGTAGATGCTTTTAAAAGCTGATAGCTTTAAAAGCTTTTAAAAGCTTTAGAAAACAGTTTTAAATTTGAAAATTCGGAGAATTCTTTATTTATTTATGAGTTTCATTATTCTAAACATTTGAATTGATGCCTTCATTTATTTCATTTCCAATTGTTTTTTGTTTATTTATTTTTTGTGCTCAATAGCTGTTGAATTTGACTTTCTTGATTTCCCATCCATTAAAATACATATGTCGCAGCCGCTCGTGATTTTGTGCCGTGAGCCGCCGATGGTTTCAATCACTAGCGGCTGAAAATCACGAGCGGCTGCGACACATACAATTTTGTCAATACATTTCTCTCATTCTAATGTTTTTGATGTTGACATAGCTTTTTTTAAACTTTTTATTTTCTTTTTATGTTTCTTTAAAGAAGAGATCATGTGTGAGAGCGCCTCGCATATTTGAGACATTCAATGCTGAGGCTCGACCAAAGAAGCGGCTTGAACGATAGGCAACATGCTGGAAATGATCCGTTTTATGGAAATAAAGATGATATGAATAAACTATGGCCTAATCTTAAGCACAAAGAAAAAGACTGGTACTTTGGTGGTTTGGTGGGGCCACTTTTATCCTGGTTTAGTTGGATCGAATTTTTTGAGTGGTTATATTGATACCTTTTATCTATTCTAAGGTAATCAAATATGCTTATACTTTTAGAGCATTTACAAAATGTTTCAAGTTTCATATTGTCACTTTTATTTGATTTTCAAGTGTAAGCAGCTTTGAGGTAGCGTTTGATGGTTAAAGCAAATGCGATTAGGTTAGAATTTCCAAAAGCTTTCTCAAAGAGTCACCAATAGATGAAGCGTATTTGATTACCCTAGAATAGATAAAGAGTATCAATACAACCACTCAAAAAACTATCAAACTATCAATCAAACTCAAAAAACTATCAATACAACCACTCTTTAGAACCAAATCAACCAAGATAAAAATGGCCCCTCCCAACCACCAAAGTACCAAAAAACTTACTAAAATATGTGGTTGAAGGCCAAAAATTTTCGAAATTCGCCTTTCCAAGGCACCCTCAGGCGAATTACGATCGTTGTTCTTGCGGAGAAGCTAAAATCTCCATCATCTTAACATTGAAAAGATAGGGCTATCATTGATTAGAAATGCAATCAGATTAACCAAACTTGTGATTAACCAAACTCTTTTACCTCTAACAATTCGGCTGAATATTTCATGTTTGCCTCTTTGACAATCTTTGAGCCCTCTTCCGATAGAGAGAGATCTGAAAATGGTTGCTGCTCAGTGCCAACTGCATTTGAAATTGACTCTAAATTTAATGAATAGATGCAGAAGAGGAGCTTTTTGGAAGGAAAAAGATCGTAATCTTTTTTTCAACTCACTTGTATTAAATAAGAAAACATTGCGAAAGATGACGTACTCCTCCTGGGTGAACGAGATTTCTCTCATTGTTGAGACGATATAAGTCTGTACGTATTCGATCATGAAATTGTTGAAAACCGTGTATCTGAGTGGTGAAATTATTAATTAAATCTCAAAAATCAAAAGTTTCAATTTTTATTTACCGTATTCTCTCTAATAGTAGTGCACTCTTTAATAGTATTGCGGTCCGAGAGGGAGTTGAAAAAATAGTAGTGCACACTACTATTAGAGAGAATACGGTAATTATTTCACTAAAAACTCACTCAGTATCCATTGGCGTATTGTCGATTTTTCCCTGAGCACCCAACCCGTAAAGAACCCCGTCATTTTTTAGACGATATGTATTGTAAAACATTGTGAGACAAGTCATCGGATTGTACTGTTGACAGCATAAACGATTCTGAAATTCATTTGATGTTGAAGCGTGTCGTTGTTAGAAACTTTGTTGTTAGAAAGTCCATCATTTTGTTCGAGCCTTCACCACTCACCCTATCTGATTCAGAAAGTTTCCAGAAGTCTTCCGTTCCCCTCAACCAATCGATATAGTAAACCAATTTTCGGGCAAAAACCATATGTGTCAATTGTGTTCGATCGGTGGTCGGTGGAGCAGCGTCATCCCATGCTAGCTAAACAAAAAAGTTCAGGTATTTTCAAATAGTATTAGATTTAGAGTATTAGACTATTAGATCAACTTACTGGGCCTCGCGGTGCTAGGAGAGTCGGATTCTCTAGTAGATCAGCAATACTCATATTGAGGGCTATGCTGAATGGAGTGATCCGATTGTTTGGTGCATCTTGGGAGCAAAATCTGAAAGTTTAGTAAGATAGGAGATAACTTATTGTCAGCTTTGAGTAGGCTTTATTCAATGAAGCAATGAAATTCCCACTTGTCCAACGCCAACAGCTTTCCCCCAACATCCTTCGATATGTCCGGTACCCACAAAGAGATATTCGAACCTAATGTCTTGATCGCCTAAATTTTTGAATTGATTGAAGTGAAAGGAAAAGCTGACCCAATTGATATTTGGCACAATGGAAAGATTGCTTTGCGGTAGGTCATATTGATCCTAAAGTTTACATTTTCTGAGAGTTTAGGAGAAAAACAATACTAAAGATCCTTGTGAACTTGTGCTTGGAAAGGCGTGAGAAGTTGAGGGTTGCTAAATCTTGTTGAAATTTTTGAATATAAAAACAGCCTTCCAGCAGCAAGTTGCTACTTATTAATGAATAAAGTTTCTGTTTTGTGAAGTGAAGGGAATGTGAAGGTTAATGATTTATTTAAAGTGCCAAGTCTAATCTAACAAATGTGCCAAAGGTTTGAGCTAACAATACCAACCTGATCACACATCTCATCGTCATCAAATGTGGGTGGGGTTGGCGGTTTGAATCGAATCTGTTGATATGAGCATCCAGGCGTGGCCATCAATCCTCCAAAAGTCTCCTCAAAATCCATCGGTGTCTCCACATCAATTGGTTCATCTTCGTCTTCCGATAATGGCAATGATGTCTCTTTTGATTCTGTTTTTGGTTTTGAGAAGCGCTTCAATTGTCGAGTGCATCCCTCTCGACGAGCCACCGCTGAAAGCAAACTTAAAAGTTAAGTTTTAATTGGGCACGCCAATAAAGGATTGTGGGTTGGAGTTGACAAAGCTGACAGCTGACAAAAGATGGCAGCGCCGGGATTCGAACCCACAACCTCCCCCTTACCAACAGGCTTACTCGGCGATTGCCCTATCAATGAGCTACGCTCTATCAATGAGCTACGCTCTATCAATGAGCTACGCTCTATCAATGAGCTACGCTCTATCAATGAGCTACGCTCTACCAATGAGCTACGCTCTACCAATGAGCTACGCTCTACCAATGAGCTACGCTCTACCAATGAGCTACGCTCTACCAATGAGCTACGCTCTACCAATGAGCTACGCTCTACCAATGAGCTACGCTCTACCAATGAGCTACGCTCTACCAATGAGCTACGCTCTACCAATGAGCTACGCTCTACCAATGAGCTACGCTCTACCAATGAGCTACGCTAGACAATAACTCACTTTCAGGGATCATCCCCACTGCAATACAGCGATTGTAGCGACACGATCGGCATTTGCTTTCAGCTAAAAGGTTTAAAGTGGGTACATTGTTTTATCATGTTCAACTATTTCATATAAACTTGCATTAGACTATAGAAAACTATTGATACCGTAAAAAGACTTACGATAAGTGCAGTTGCCGTTTGCTTGACACCGATAGTCCTTGTCAACGGTGACAGCTCGAATGAAGAAGACTTTACACCTTCTGAATTTGAATGATTTGAATAATATAGTTGTCTATCTCTACAACAAATATTCAAATCAAGTTTTAATAAATTACCCGCAAGTGATCGCTCCATAATGTCTTGATGCTCCAGTTTCCCCACAAACTTGACAAATCTGCTTTCTCGTTGTCTTCGATCCATCGAATTGCACGTTGTTCATTTATTTGTACCAAACAGTCACGAATTTTTAAGAGTAAACTAGTCAATAAATATTTCTAAATTAAAATGATTTTAAAATGATATTTGCAAAAGAAACAAGCGTTTACGTGACATGATGAAAAAGGGAAAGATCGTGGAATGAAAGAAAATCGATTTTGGAGAAAAGGCTCACTATGAGAGGGAAAAAATGCTTAATGATAAATGAATGTTCTGTTTTGAAAGAATGCAGGTAACCTTTGGTAATCAATTTTTGATATAATACAGAAGCATTACAATACTCACTGTACTTTAGGATGATTACTCCCACTCTACGACATTCAATGCCTAATGGTCGCTTTCAAAAATGACTTTCCGATCGATTAGTTCATGTCATTTGATTCAGTTCTACGAACCGTACTTGAGCACAGATTTTATCAAGGTTCAAATTGGAAATGAAATTTTTACGATTTAGATTAGCCGAAAAGCCTAATGAGCGTTTCGTTTTTTCGTTTTCGGGGCATAAAAAATGAAAATAGCCGACAATCAGACTGACTGATTGGGTACACTTTTTGGCGATGATCTTTGAATTTTAGCAACTAACTCGCCGAGTGAACTTATTTGAGATCAATAAACAAGGGAAAGGCTCAGGTGAAAAAGAATGAATGAAAGGAAAAATACGAAAAGATCAAAGTACATGAAAACAAGAGAATGGATATATTAAAATAGATTGCTCAATGATTGCTTGCACAATACAAATTGTGTCGATGACATAATTGTTGAATTGTAAATAGACATATCACTAAAAATTTAAATAAGAACCCCAAAAAAGTATCGCTTTCAAAATGAGAGAAGCAAAACAAGGAAGAAAACCGCGAGTCTAGCCCTAAAAAGAGAATAAAGAAAGGAAAAAAGATGGGCATTTGTTTATTTATACTCAGAGAATGATAAGAAAGAAGGGAAAATTCAAAAGTGAGCGAGATCATTGAACAGTTTGTGTACTTGAGGCACCGCCCATTTTCTCTTTTCCCTTTCTTAGGTCTTAAATTCTTTAGGCTATTGTGCCCCGTTTCCAAGACCCAAACTCTACGTGCATCTTTAGAAACTTGTTAAAGATGTAGAAAAGAAAATATTTACCAAAATGTTTACGGTTTACCTCTGAAAAAACAAAAAAAAAAACTTGCAGTTTAACAGTTTCAAATAGTCTACTTTCCCTGGAACGTGCGTTTCAAATGGTCGTGAATTGCTAAGAAATAATTAATAACAGAAAAGATAAGACTCTAAACTGTTGAGAGAATTGAAAACTTTAAATTTACAATATGTTGTTCATTTCCAAACTGTTTACAAAAAAAAAATCGATCAACAGGAGAATCTTCGAACCGTATAAGTACGCCCATCAACTAGAGCAGCCGCAAAAAAAGAGGACCAGTCATTTTTTTTTATCTCTCTATTTGTCTCGGGGAATTCAGTGGGTGTGTTGGGATGTAATCGATCGAAAAACGACCGAAAAAATCGTTTGTGCTGGGTTCGTCTGTCCCTGTAGCAAAGAAAGGCAAAAAAAAAGAGAATGAGAGACTCGAGAGTGACTGTCTTTCTGTTCTTTCTGTTCTTTCTGTCCATTCTTTCTCTTTTCCTCTTTTGTCAGTCTTTCAGTCGCTTTTCCATATTTTGTGTCATTCAGTCCTTCAGTCTATCTCTTCATTCTCTTCATTCTCTTCATTCTCCCAAATCTCGACCACATCTCTCTTCTCTTCTTCTTCTCTCGTTTGACTGTCTGTGCAAACGCAAAAACACAAAGCAGAACTTCCAGTATGTACCCACCTTTGCCTCAACCACTGGAGATTGCAAAGATCGCCACGGAAGCGCTATTCAGCCTCGGTACACATTTGCAATACGCACTAATGTAATCTAATAACTAGAAATCTAGAAAAAAAATAATCAATTCATTATCAATCAATATTCAATCAACCAATCCAATCAGTAAAAATCGTAGTTGAATAATTGATCTTACAGGAAAATATTCCTTGCATTCTAAAGCTATCAAGTCTATAGAGCTTTCTACCAAACAAATTTGCAATATTTTGAAGACAGTAAAAACATTCGTGCATTCAAAGAATCTTTTCCTGTAAGTTCTAGAAGCTTACAGACAGACGTCTACATCAGATACACTCCAAAACAGAATCGTGAATGCACCCCGACAGATTATTCCACTCATACAGCGTATCAAACACGAAATCCAGCTTTAAAAAACAGTCCTCAAGGTTTTTCAAAGGAAAAGCTTAGACAACTAAGCACCCAATCATTTCTATTTTGTGTTTGGGCTTAGTTCCTTGGCCGAAATCGTTTCTCTATGCTTGGAGATAGCTTGAAGAGTTCATTGAGAATAAAAGGAAAGGAAAGATTGCTAGTCTTTCAAGTTAAAAAATCAGACTATATCTTTGCAAGAAAATAAGCAAAATAGAATAAGATTAGCTTGTTAAAATCTAAAAATAATGAAATTTCTGAATAGATCCTGATGTCTAGAGTAAGTGCATTTATCGCTCGTGCAGCCACGAGCCAGCAACGCTCTTTTTTCTGTTCATCGGGCAAAAGGTTCAAAGAGAGCAAATCGATAGAGTCCAACGCGATCAATTGAGGACTTTAAGGGGGAAATTGATCGTTAAAGCTAAAGGTTAAAGTTAACACATTTAAAACAAACAAAACAAAAAAACTGGCAGACTAGCTTTTGCTTTGATCTTTTATATCAATTTCAAATCATCAAAGCATTCAAATCACCAAAGCATTCTATTGTCATCAAGCGTTAGGAATTTCGGATAAATTCTAATCTGCAACCCGTGTCCGGTTTTAAAGTTTTGCTTACGCAAATGTAAAATCCCAATCGAAATGTTTTGTGTTTTCAACAGATTTTTACAAAACTATGCTTTCGTTGAGTCAGACAAGCAAATGATTGCACAAATTTAGGGCTTAGAATGACAGGTGATCAGAGAAAAACATGCGGTACAATGAGCTCTTCGAAAATCTTTGTGAGGCTAATAATCTCTATCGTTCTGGGTTTAATTACCCAACATTCAAAGCACCTCGACTCATCTTAAGAAAACAACAAGAAAACGAACTCCTGAAAACATTTCAATGCTGAATTTTGAACTTTCAAAAATACTAGAGATTCCAGAAATAACCACAGGTACACTCGGAGTACCCCATTGAAAGCCGAAAAAAATAATTAGACAAACTTTGCACCCGGGATACATGACAGACTGTAGTTTAAGCATCAAACGGAAATGATAGCTGCAAAAATAGCTCACCCTTATTTTCGATAAAATGAGCAGAGATCGAAAATCAAAATTCATATGGCTGAAAAAACGTGTCTAGTCGAAATGTGTTTTGTTGGAGTTGGAATGAATACGGGGAAATGTACTCGGTGATTAGCTGGGAAAAGAAAAAAAGGATTTATCTTTATTCTGCGAAAAACAAATCGAATCTTTGCACTTTGTGTGAGTACAAGTACACGTAGACTGTGGCTTCGAAGGGAAATTGTGAAGGGGGGAAAACAAATAAACGATCAGAAAAGAGCAGAATCAGACCGAAATGAGTGCAAGGGATTGGCTGACGGGCTGGCACAATGAATCTGGTGACGAAAATTGTACTTTTTGATATCATTAAACCAGTAAAGCTGTCAATCATTACATAAGCAATGAACTGTCTCTTTTTGGCCTCAAAGTGCCATTGAACTTCAGCATTTTGCAAACATTTCTTTATAAAAACAATTTTGACGACTTTTTGAAAGGGTTTTCGTTTGGTGCACTCCCTCAAATTTCAATAAAACATCGAGGATTTGCGTAAATCTTTTCTCTCTTCTGCAACCAAAATAGAGCCCATAAACAAGAGCAAAATGACTTGATAACTATAAAAAGATGGAAAATGTAGTAAACAAGGAAGTGAAAAGGAATATCTATCAATGGAAATGATGACTCTTGTTTTCTGCTTGTTGGGGTTGAGAAAATTCATTCAAAATATACCATAATATTAGGTTGATGCATAAGTCTTTTCGTTTTTTTCGTACTTCTGTTAAAAAGTAACAAATTCACCAATTAATCTATAGTTTGCTCTATAAAAAAAGTGTTTTTTTGTTCAATTTGCATCTTTTTAAATGAATTTCGGTTGACTTTCAAGCAAATTCGAGAGTGAAAAACGCCTTTTTCGTAAAAATCTATAAAAAACTCACCACGGACCGGAAAATCGCCTGAATCGGAATTTCGTCGGCTCAAAAATGGATTGGCAAGAAATATCAAGCTAATTTTTTCTCTGAAAGAATCTTTTTATCTATTGACACAAAAAGATAGGTTTTCTTTAGCTAAGGTGTGCTAAACCGTCATCATCAGAGTTAGCCCTTTATGGATGAGAACTGCCCGACTTCAATACTCGCAAGCAGAAAACACAGGCATGGTCAAATCATTTATTAAACCTTGTTTTAATGTAATTTTGCCAGAAAAATAATTGGTTTGGGGTTTCGTAAGTGAAATCAAACCTTAATTTTATATTGGTGCATTTGTTGGGTTGAAAAGGCAGACGAAAAAAGGACACAAAGATGCTAAAGGATCAAATTTTACCTTCGGCTCAATTAGTAAGAAATAAAAGCTAGGACATTTATCAAAAAGTTGGGGTTTTTTCATGAATAGATGTTCAACCATGGATACCAACAACTGGATATAGTGGTCAGTTCAGGTGTAAAATGGCTTTCAAACATCATTCTCCAGAGTTACGCTTTGGGCTATTCAATCAGGTCCCCAACTATTTGATATCAAGGCATGATTAAAAAAAATACCGACTGGGGCTACCAGTGGTGAAAGATTTATCGCATCACACGAAAAAGTTTCAATCACAATACAACGACACACACAATACTAGGCTATATCTGTAACTTTGTAACCCACGTCATTGACAGACGGTTCTCCCTAACCCTAAGCTCAATGGGTAACTAAATAGCTTTTTTGGTGGTGAAGGGAAGATTTGACGTTTAAGAGGTGACTATTTCGTCACTTTAAAGAACTGGGGCCACAACCTGTACTCAGTCTGCCCTCGAGAAAACCTCTCAAAATATACCCGAAGGGAAAGGAAATACAAGGGGGTGACCAAGTCGTTTCATGAATGGACGGTTCGAACACATCGACCTTCCGATTAAGATTAAAAGACACTCAACGCTCAGTCAGAATCCCAAATACTTGGCTCTAATGATTACTTGATATTTACTATTTTGATGCTCTTATATTATAAAGACAAGCCTAAAGCTTGCTTCATTCGTCCTGTTGATCGATCACTCATTTCTGCCACGTTTTTTTTACAAAGATCAAACTATGTTTCATCTTTTCCCTTCAAAAATGTTTACATAGAGCGCTCCAAAGACCTTTGAAAATCCCTCACAAATTCCCATCACTATCACCAGTAAATCGTAATATCTTTCGTTTGACAGACATAACATAAGCCAGCTTTTGTGAGGGAGAGTGCATGCATCGAGGCAAATCACTCTAAAACCCAGCAAGGTTTCAAAAGCTTTACAATGGTAGACAAAGTACACCGTAGTTAAAAGAACTGTTGAATGTTCAACAAACACTTGTAGATGAAGTAATTCTCATCTCAACAAAATCTCAATAAAAAAAGAAAAGTTTAATGAAATATAGACAGAAGAAATCTACAATATTTCACCATAGAAACGACGGGTACTTGATTTTTGGGCAGAAAAATGCACAAAGTTGATAAATGGATTAGATTAATTGTAAAATTGAGAGCTTTGTAGAACAGGTGATGCTAAAATTTGTGAATGAGATTTAAGCTTTGAAATGATATTGCACAAACAGATTCTCCCATTCTGATGTTGCCCAAATTTAGTGTTAAAGCTTGAAGCTTTGCCTTTAATCTTTGCCTTTAATCTTTGCCTTTAATCTTATTTTAGATCTTGAGATACTTGTTGTAGATCTCAACTCTGCGATTACAATCAAATTAACAGCTTTGTACATAGTGTTCTGTAGTAAAAATTGTGCAAAATTTTTGCTGACAATAAGTTCAATGTTCAAAAAACAGTTTTAGGTGAAGTAATTCTGAGTTCAATGCAACAAAGTTTAGATTGAGTGAGTTCCCTAGTTACTTTGTCAAAAGCTTGTCGTTGAACGTGAACAAACAAAAAGGTAGCATGAATTCATCTCTTTCATCAGAAGAAGAAGATTCGTCAGAGTGAAGCTAGGCAAGACATCGAAAGCAACAAGAGCAACAAGAATTATAACTGTACCTAATATTTTCTATAAAAACCCGGGAGAGAAATTTGGATAAGCTATTCTTAAACTAGAAAAAGAGAAAAAAAGAGAGGCTATTCTGAGAACGGGAAAAGGATAGGAGTCTCTCTGTGATGGGACTTCGAAGGAGGGGGGGGGGGGGAGGAAAGGGTTGTAAAGGGTCACCATGACTACCCTCTTGGTACAGATTTTCAACTCTTCCCCTTTTTCATCTTCTTCTTCTTCTTCTTTCCTTTTCTCCTTTCACCCTTTCTTTAACCTATTTTCTTCAAAATCATGTCCAACGAGATTCTACACGCTTCATTTTACACCTACCCAGACAGTTTGGTCTTGTATTTTGGACTCCAAGTTTTTCAAGGGTTTCTCGAATCTCTTCTTCTTTGAATGAACTTTTTTTTGATATGAACTTTTTGATTTCATTTAAGAATAGAACTTTATATATTTTTTAATTTGAAATCTAATGCATTTCAGATAAAATGGAAACAACAGATCGAGAAGCTCTGAATGATATCGATTCTAGAATAAACGCCATTGAGAGGCGGCTGAGAAACGCGAAAATGGCCAGGGTTCGGTTTTTTGACTGAGAAAATATTCGCTTATTATTTTTATAAATAACTAAATATTTTATTTAAACATTTCTTGATCGTTTACTTACTATTCAGTTCTAGGACGCGTACATCGATTTCTTACGCGGAAAATACCCCAATTGGAGGGGAATCTCACTGCCGACTTATCAAAAAGTGATGGTAACTTTAATAAGTTAAAGTTTAAGTTGACTATCTATTTTACTTAATAATTCTTATTTTCTAGTTCACCGAAAATCGCCGGGATTTCCTCGTAAACGATCTCGCCACAGCTGATTATCATTGGGATATCGGAAGGGAGAATTTGAACTCAAGGATTCCGATTTCTTCTGGAAAACTTCACAATCAAATACCGCAAAGGTGATTTGTTTATAGAAATCAATTCTTTACGTCACTTCTATTCAAAAATATTACAATTCTTTATGACTTATAGAGGTCCACTCCTGCAATCAGACGTTGTTTTGATGAGACACCGATTACAGGAGATCTCTAATCAATTACGGTTGGTTGAAGAAAGCAATAAGAAATGTTTTTTTTTGGTAAAAGTGATAGGCTTTTTGAAATGAAAGTTGTTTAGAGTGATGAGAGAGCATCGAATCCACATGGCCACCCAGGAGTACACAAAAATGAGAGATACAACTGATGTGTTCGGTAAGAAAAAGATTATAGCTTGATAAAGCCTGACAAACTTTCAGAAATATAGAATTTCTTTATTATTAGGTCCCGGAGAGTTGCACTTAAACGAGGAATCCGATGAAATCACCGAATTGAGAAGAAGAATTGAGGGAATCGATGTAAACGAGCCACAAAGGGTCGGAAAGTTCACAATTTAAAAAAAAACAAAACTAAATAGATCAAAATAAAAAACAAAATTGAAATGAAGTAAAATATGTAAAACCCATGAAATTCCAGATTCGATCACCGACAAAAATCGACCTCCAACGCGCCGAAGAGGAGGTTCGACAAAATGCTTTGATTAGAGGTGAGAAAATTAAATGAGATCTGATGAAAATGTTATTTATAAACAAGAAATTAACCATCAAAACGTCGAAATGAATTTAAAACAAGTTTCAAAACATCAAAGAGCTTAATAAAACAAGAAGTCCATCAAAGAATTGATTGCTCACTTCACTCATTCACTCACACACGTAACCAAATTTGGAAGCACATATCCAATTAGAGATATTTCCTCTTTCTTTTGTCTTTTTGTGATCCGATCAGCTGTGCGCTTTGGTGTTCTCAGGAAAAAGCGAAAAATGAAAAAAGTCACGCTTTTTGTTGAGATCTCACATGAGAAATGATTTGAATAAAAACTGAATAAATAAAAGCAAAACGTGATGGATAAATGATCTTTATCTAAATGAATAAATTTTACTATAAGCTTTTTTGACTAACTTACAATATAATTTATCATTTATCATTTCTAGAAATTCGTGAGAATCCACCTCGAGCCTTCTTTGATGAACCTTCAACTCAAATACAGCAACAATTGATCATCCCACTTGCTGTTCAACCAGCTAAAATCCTTGAAGAACCTTCTAGATCTTCAACAACAAATCAAGGTAAAATGTCATAACTTTTGGCATGACATTGCGATACTCAAGTAATGTTTTGCATAAAGCTAAAGCTCCGGTTTAGCCTCTGGTATCCGCTCACTGAGCTTATCTCAACCACAAACACAAAACGTACCCGAAAATGTGCCCAAGGTTGGAAAAGTTAAATCATCTTTTCAAGCTTTTCAAGCTTTCTTTTATTTTCTAATATCAAATTTAGAGTACGGTTACATTTAAAGCAGAGGAACCGAAGCCCGTTGAGAAGAGCCAGCCAAGGCAGGATGGTGAGACTAGCTTTTGTTCATCAAAGATATTCTATTTCAGTTCCTCAATCAAGCCAATCAAATGATCTGAGCAAAGTGATGAGCATGTTTGGCAATCAGACAACAACAGATACGGAAAGTGATGAGACACCTGTTCCTGTTAGAAGAAATCAACCAAGCCAGATTTCCTCAATTTTGTGAGTTCCTCGTATTCCTCGTTCTCTTACACACTTTCAGGCCAAGCTTCTCAAATCAACCGCCAAAAGTCGACATCTTATCGCAATATATGGGCAAATCCAAGCCACAAGATCCACTTCAGAAATTGTTACAAATGGGAAAAGGAGATGATTCGGATGATGATTTCTTTAAATAAAGATTTAAACTGATTTTTCATTACAAAACAAACTTAGTACATTTTCTTTATCAGACTTTGCAATGGCTCCCTGTTTTTCCTTTTCCGTTCAACAACCAAGAACACTTTGATCGGGTGACTTTTCTCAAATCGTTTATTTTTTTCTGACTTTGCGCCCTTTTCGACTGTTGATCAAAAACTATTTTTTCTAATAAAAGCAAAGTTTATTGAATTCCCGATGCTTCCCATAATTCGACGTTACTCTAGTCAAATTGTTTATGCTAATAAGGTAATGTAACCGCTTGTAAATTCAAAATAAATAATTTCAGTCCACAATTTTTGCTTCAATTCAAGATTTTGAACGATTAATTGGAAAAGAGAATGTTTATGAAAAAGAATCGCTGCGGAAACAATATTCATGTGATCAGAGTGCACACAAGTAAGAGAAATTGGGAATCAATTTCACTTTGACTTCAGAAATGGTACTTTTGATAGATGATAATTTTAGACCTCGAATCCCAGAACTTGTGATCAGCCCCACTTCAGTAGAGCAAGTGGCAGCTTGTTTGAGAATTTGTGACGAGAAGCGAATCCCCGTCATTCCATGGGGAACAGGGACGGGAGTTGAGGGTGGAACTATTTGCTTAACGGTATCAGTATGGATCTAACGAAAAAACCCACATTCTTTTAGCCAGCCATCATCATTGATCTCCGCAAAATGGATTCGATCACGAGAGTTCATCTCGAAGATTTTGACTGTTCTGTTCAACCGGGAGTCACCAAAGATACCCTGAACAATCACCTGAAAAACTCTGGATTATGGTTTCCTGTAGGTAGATCTATTGAGCCATTCTGTTTCTGTTCTGTAATCAAGTACAAGACCGGCTTAGATCCCGGCGCTGATGCATCATTGTGTGGAATGGCAGCCACGGGAGCAAGTGGAACAAATGCGGTTCGATATGGGACAATGAAGCAGAATGTTATCGCATTACAGGTAAAGCTTAGGCCAAAGGTTTTATTGATAAATATGTATTTCCAGTAATCTCATCAAGTTTTAGATTGTTTTGGCAAACGGACAAATTGTGGAAACCCGTGGAAGAGGGAATCGTCCTCCAAAAACCTCAGCTGGTCTCAATCTCACCGAACTATTTGTAGGGTCGGAAGGAGTGCTGGGAGTTATCACAGGTAACATCATTGTCATATAAAATAATTGTTTGATTCAGAAACAACTCTCCGTCTCCATGCCCGTCCCAATTCCTATTCAATAGCTGTTTGTGCTTTTGAAAGCATACAACAAGCCGTTGACTCTGTTGTTCAAGTCCGCCAAACGAGTATTCCAATTGCGAGAATTGGTTTGTTTTGAAAGAAAGAACTAATTAGTAAGAAAAGAATTTAGAATTGCTTGACGAAGCACAAATAGATGCTTGCAATCGGTACTCAAAAATCGATTTACCAATCAAACCTCATCTTTTCTTGGAATTTCATGGAAATACTGATGAGGAAGTGGAGAAACAATCGAGGCTCGTTGGTTCGTTTCTAAGACTTTAAGATGAAATCACAAAACTCATAGCACTACAAAACTCTAAACAATAATTCGTTTCTTGTGTTTGAGGTGAGATTTGCTCGTCGAACAACGCGTTGTCCTTTGAATTCTCCACAAACCCTAGTGAACAAAAGAGGTTATGGAAGGCAAGAAACGACGCTTTTTGGGCAGCTAAGGCATTGAAAATTGATAGTAAAGTGAGTTTTTGACGGCAAAACGTTATAGTTAATCTTTGATCATATTTTAGGCGTTAAGCACTGACGTTTGTGTTCCGATTTCCAAGCTACCTGAAGTGATTCTCGAGACGAGAAGAGATCTTCAAGAGAATCGACTTTTAGGTTTCAGATTAGAATATCCCAGTTAAAAGAAAAAAACTATGTATAACTATGTACAAATGTGTACATAGTTATACATAGTACTATGTACAGATAACTATGTACCAAAAACATTTTCTAGGACCAATTGTTGGGCATGTTGGAGACGGGAACTTTCATGTGATCATTCCATGTGACGAAAAAAACGCTGAGGAAATGCAACGCGTTGAAGCATTTTGTGAACGATTGGCAATGTGGGGAAATGCATTTAGGCGCATCTACATATACAAAAAAATAAAACGTCCGCCCGTCTGTCTGTCACGCCTACGCGACAATACAAATTACGTTAACGTAAAATTACAACGAAGTGAGCTAGAAAGCTGAAAATTTGTACTCGGGGGTTTTCGGGAGCGAGAAATCCGAATCTGCAATCAGATTTGTGCTACGTGTTCTCAGTATCTCTAGGTAGAATATCCGTGCGGCCGCGCAGCTGGTTATCAAATATTTCAGGAGAGCCCTGAAAGCCGGCGGGACTTGTACGGGTGAACATGGGATTGGTATCGGCAAAAAGAAGTTTTTGGTAGAAGAGGTTGGTGTAGAAAGCGATTTGTACATCATTGGGTAATGAGAACTAAAGTTTTTAGGTTGGTGAACCAGCAATCAATGTGATGAAAAGCATTAAACTGGCGCTCGATCCGAATTGGATATTGAATCCGGGAAAAGTTTTGTAGATGATTTTGTGGAGGATTTTGTGGAGGATTTTGTGGACGAAGATCATGTAATTAGCAAGTGTAGATGTATTTCTTTATTTCGGGTATAGATTTGCAAATAATGACAATAAAAAACATTTGATTTGGTCGGTAAAGCAAGAAGGAGTGAAAGTTGAACGTGTGAAAGTAGAGCTATTCACGAGCGGCACGGTCTTCGATCATCTGAAATTTCTTTTTGATCATTTTCATTACCTGAATCTTGTTCTTTTCAAGAAATGATTTGGATTCTTTAGATTTTTGATCCGTTTGATCGTTTTTGATCGTTTTTTAATCGGTTTGCCTTACACTCTTGTGGATAATTGGATTTAAACTAGAAAATGCACTTTAGCTTTTACAGTTACATGCCGCTTGCTTTATTTATGCTACACAACATTGATTTGGTTAGATTTTGAGAAATGGATAGAGTTGTAGCTTGTTGTAGTCTCTTTCTTTTGACAAAAACACAGGCTTCTAGCATACTCATATCAGGTTAGGCTAGCTTTATCCATTTTCCAGAATTCACATACCGCTCTTTCTCATTATTTTTGCACAATTTCCCCGCTCGGCCGCCGTACAAGCAACGAAGCTCCACCGCTCACCTACAGTAGCCATGCTTTTATTTAAACAAAACATCTCCTTCTCATTTAGCAAGAAGACAAAAGTTTGTGAGTTCGAGATATCGAGCAAACTTTTGTCTTCTTTCTTTAGTGCTTTGCCATGCTTTTTTTTTCTTCCTACAACTACAAAAAGAAAACAATTTACTCATTCACCAAAAATATCCCATCAGAAAAATTACAGTAATCATTGACGCAATTTTTCGAATGAAAGCTCTAAAATTGGATATCGACAAAAAAATGAATTCTTATAAGGCCCCATTGGAGAAATTCTTTTTTTTTTTGAGTTTCCTAGCCGTAAAATTGAACTATAATAATGCGAATTTGAGAAATGAGACGAAAATCACAATACAACAATTTGGGGAAAAGGGTGGGCAAATGAAAAGTTTAGGTTTGTAATCGCTAGGCATCTATTGCACGCAATCAATTCAAGAGCTGCCTTACAATTTAGCCTAGATTTAGAATAGATAAAAAAAGACTAAAATAAGAGTTTCAAAAAATACGTCATGCTTAATACAAACAGTCGTAAGCGTAGATCAAATGATAAAAAAAAGCCAAAAAAAAAATTTGGATATGCCTTGCGTTTACAAACCCCATTGACAATCTTGTGAGCAGTGCTGAGCGTAAATGTTACACGTGTTTCAAAATCCTCTGCATACATACAAAAATACAATGTTTGTATTTCTTTTTAAATCCTCAGTAACCAAATTTCTCTAATATTGCTAATGTCTTTAAAATAGCCGCCACTTGCCACGATCTCTGGCTCTCTGCCTAAACAAATGTTGGTGAGTCAGAGAAATTTCCGTTAATAAACACACTGTTATTCAAAACAAATCTGATTTTATTGTTACCGTATTTTCTCTAATAGTAGTGCACCCAAAGCTTCACCTAAATTCCTCGAAATCTCGAGAACCGCTTATCAGAAGCTGATGGAGTGATCTCATGCTGATGATCAGGGCTGTTTCTAGGGCCGATTTTCTAGGCCAAGCCAGGCTTTGGCTTAGCTTTGGTTAGATTCTTAGATTTATTAAAGTAAGCTTGATTTACATTATGCCACGCTAACTAACAATGATTGGACGCAGTCTTGGCGAAGACTGAGTCTATTTGGGTTACGGATTTTCCGGTTACCGTATTTTCTCTAATAGTAGTGCACCCAAAGCTTCACCTAAATTCCTCGAAATCTCGAGAACCGCTTATCAGAATCTATCGATGTGGGGTCGGAAAATATAGCTGACGACGAGATCTAGTGGGGGATTTGAGTGTTGAGCTTCTGCAAAAGCTTGAAAACCCTAAAATAGGCATCAACTCGGCTCGCCAGGGTGCACTACTATTAGAGAAAATACGGTACTAATATTAACAAGCTAAATCTTTTCGCAGTCTACTGGTTAAAAGACTGGTTAAAAGCCTTGTATCTGATTTTCTTGTTATTTTAAGTAAATAACGATCAAATAACGAGCCTCTTAGCATATAAAATAACGAAAATTACGAGATTTTCTTATTAGATACGTGTTGATTTACGCTGAGCACTGTTATCAAGTCGCTTTCAAATCACAAAGCACTCAATTTTTTTTGGGATTGATTATCCTTGAAATCCGAATGCACTCATCAATTTGTTTTTCAATCCTTGAGCTGATTGACTTGTAGTCATTCCACGAGATGGTTGAGTCACAGATTGAGCCATATCATCGGCGATTGTTGGCGGAATATGACCCAAGGGTTCATTCTGAAAAAAGACAAGACTTCACTACATTCACTGAATTCTATGCGATAGAATAGACATGTAAACAGCTATATTTTGCACTTTAAATGAATAAAAAGCTGTTTTGATCACTTTTCAAACTGTTTGCATGTCATTTATCCTTTTTGCTCTCGATTTCTATCTTCAACACCTCATACAGAAAGCCCTAAAGCGTGCGATGGCCACAAAACTTTCACAAGCTCTTTTTTTGCCTTAGTTCTGTTCAAATATTTCCCCCAAAAGCGCCAATATTTGTAATTTTCCTGAATAGATTTTTCCATGCACAGGGAGAGACCAAACACAAAACAAAAGAAAGAAAATTTGTTCCCAAAGTAAAGCCAAATTTTGAGTCTAAATGTGAAAGGGAAGTGCTGATTGATATGATTGATAAAATGCGTAGTTCAAGATTGAGAACTTTTGATTGAGAACAAGATTGAGAACTTTCAAGATTACAGTTGAAGTATTGAGATTTAAATCCATTTCTTGGTTAAAATTATCTTTATTTAACTTACCCCTAAAGTCTCGAGTATAAGTTCATCCAAGTATAAGTTCTGCCTTAATTTACATTCGCTTTAATTGCTTTGAATTTCTTTTTGTTGGATTTTTATACATTTTTAATGTTATATAAACTTTTATTATTGTTCTTGGAGCGCGGGATACTACAGGGTGACAGCCTATCACCATTGCTATTTGTTATGTGCATGGATACATCCAGACGATAGTGTTGAAGAAGACGTTGGAAAGCATCTCTTTCGACCGTCGACGTGGACTTTGGCCGGATGAAGAGGCCAGGGAGGGATCCATAAGACTGAGCACCGGAGAGGAGCAGGGCGGACGCGCCGAGCCACGCCCGGAGCAACAAATAACAGCATAAAATTGCTATAACCCTCAATAAATTTACTTCTATTATTGTTCTTAAAAAGCAAAAAAGTTATGCTGCAGCGGGGTTCGAACCCTCGACACACCGCACCGGAGACAGCCGTCAATTTGCATGCGAAAACCAAACAGAACTTATACTCGCGACTTTAGGGTATGACTTATAGGAACTTATAGGAAAACAGAAGATTCTTTGCTTTTACAATTTCATAAGTCCTCAATCTCAATCTCATTGTAGTTTCATTCATTTTGTGCCCATTTTCTTTTTAAGAAACCTCAGTTCTTCGTACTCCGCCCACTTGCGCCAAAAGCGCGTCGATTCGGGCCTCTTGGGCCGCTTCCACTTGCTACAAATTTTTGCTTCTTTTCTTCGACTGGTTAGTAAGTTTGATTGCCGATACAATTCTTAAAGTTTCCCAAAGTTGACCTGTTTCTTTGCCCTCAAAGCGACATCTTCAAGCGTCTCAGCGGCTTCATATTTCCCTTGTCGTCTATAAAGAGCTCCGAGATTCTTCAGCGTTGTCGTCACCGTTGGGCTGAAACTGAATACATTCAAATATTTTGAGTTAATTTGTTAAACCACAAATACTTTTCAATATCTCACCTATCAACTTTGGCTGCTTTATGCCAGTTGCCAATCTCAGCAAACTGCGCGGTGCCCTTTTCTTTGTTTGCTTCGCGGTCTTCCGCTATCTGAATCATTTTCATAGCAAATGCAACTATTTACTAATCTTAAAAGCCTCTTTGAACGGTCTACTTACCTGCCAGATTGTCTTGTTGTCATCGCCGACTTTGCCAAAGTGTTTCTCATGAGCCCGAGTGAGGATTTGCTTGTAGAGCTCTTCAGCCTAAAGACATTTTGTAAACCATTGACAATCAAATCAAACGCACCTCTTTGTACTTGCCTTGTTTAAGGTAAGCACTACTAAGATTGTTCTTTGTCTTTCCAACATTTGGATCATCTGGTCCGAGCTTTGTCTCGTAGATCTCCAAAGCTCGTTTATAATAACGTTCAACTTCTTCGTATTTCCCTTGATTTTGACAAAGAAGAGCCAAATTGTTGAGTTGTTTAGCAACATCTGGATGATCGTTGCCAAGAACCTGAAATCAATCGTTTTCTTATCTTTATCTAGGATTACCTTCTCGCGAATTTCCAAAGCTCTTTTGCAGAGTGGCTCGGCATCTTTATACTTGCCCCGTTTACCGTACAAAACCGCCAAATTGTTGAGAGTGGCAGCAACAGCTGGATGCGAGTCTCCCAAGCATTTCTCTCTTGAAGACTATTGTATAAGTCAAAATGTGAATCTATTTCTTTACCTAATAGCCAGCGCCTCGTTGAGCAAGTTGGCCGCCTCTTTGTATTTGTTCTGATCACGATAGACAAGGGCAAGGATGTTCAGCATTGTAGCCACATCGGGATGGTCGTGTCCCGAAGTTCTTTCAAGATCTTCCAAAGCCTGAAATTAGAATTTAAGATAACTTTCTAAGCTTTTTATTCACCTGTTTGCACAAAGGCACAGCCACTTCGTAGCGACCCTGTGAAGCGTATTGGATCACCTAAAAAGCTTTTCTTTTTTACCAATCAAAGAAGTTATTTACAATCATTGCTGAAACTGTTACTAACCAAATTGTGAAGAGTTCTCAGCCGTGCCGGAATCTCGTAACCAACATTTGCTGAAGCGGCCATAGCGCTAGCAGGAGTTGGATGATAAGTGCCTGAATAGAAGATAAACAATTGTTTCAAATAGTTGAAGAACTCTAGATTTTCGAAACTCACTAGCATTCATCTCCTCTTCATCTTCAGGTCCAAATCCAAGCTCTTCCATCGTTTGTCGAGTCTGTTGGGTGTGATCGATTGGCTGCTCCATGGCGGGAACATTCGTGTTTGCCTGAAATTATCGGACTTCTAGACATTGTAAAAATTTATCTAGGCTATAATAACAATTCTTACTTGATCTTCATCCAAATGTCGAATCGAGTTCATGAAAGAGAGATGCTTGTTCTCCTCTTCCAGCTGAGCGACTCGCTAAAGCGACGGATTGTTGAAATAAAAATAGATTAACATCAAAGTATTTTAATTGAATACTTTTCTCATAACTTACTTGTTCCGAAGCTTGATGTTTTGTTTGAGTGCTTGAAAGCTCATCCCTCAACCACGCGTTCTCTTGGCACAATCGTCGGACCTGAGATTGAAATTGAATATCTTAAACTTTACATGACAAATTATTATTGAAATAATTCTTAATTATGAACTTTTTAATTGATCTCACCTGTGCTTTCAATTTTTGCTTCTCGGCCTCAACGGTTTGAAGATAGTGGGCCAAGTCCATCATAGCCTAAATAAAAGTGTTTGTAAAAATGCTTATTTTAAAAAAGCAAACTCAGACGTTTGTCCTATATCTCAAAATAGCCCTTTCAGTACAGATCTGTCATTTATCATCACCGTTTTCATTTTTGGTATTCAGTTGGACTCGAATGGGCTGATTGATGGATTTTTTTTTCTCTTAATCCCTTGCCTACAAAAGCAATGCATTAGACTTGTAACGAAAATATCTGTCGGTTCTTTTGGACGTTAGCAATTGAAGGTTTTTCATCTTTTTCTCAGCACCAACCCTTTTATTTTGACTATTTTGAGTATCATTTGATGCAGAAGAAAATTGTGCGTCGAATGATACCAAAATTAACTCAAAATGTAATATCCACGCAAAGTTGTTGAAGTAAAACCTATCCATTGTGGACAGGACTTAGTCTTTTGCCTCATAACGGCAAAAGGGACCGACAGATATTCAGAAGTTTACAATGCATCACCCAGTCTAGTAAACTCACTTTAAACGAGTTGTCAAGAACAAAAACAAACAAATTCCTTTCATTGAAAACGGTTTTATGATTAAAAAGTAGCTGTTATATTACAAAATTTGCTTTTTCTATCGAAAAGTTCTGAAGTTCTGAAACGATGAAATAGGAATTCTCTTGGACATACACTTTATTCCCATTTTGTTCTAGAATTTGGCAAAAAGGCAAACTTAAACCGTCTGTTCGTCGTTCAAAACGGCTTTTCTGAAAACGTCTGTGGAAAATCTCGTCATCGTTTGCTTTTTGAAAATTTTTAGTAGCAAGGGTTTAAACGAAAGTTATTGGATTTGAAGACGAGAACGCTAATCACCAGGCAAATTGTGGCAAGTTTAATGTTAAGAGATTTAACGTAAATACGCAGTCTATTCTTTCTGAGTTCTCACCAACTCTTACGCTCACTACAAAGATTTAAAATGCAGTTCATGGAAACCTTAGCCTCGTCGATTCCCAATTGAAGACGCTCCAAATTCTGCTCGACGAGAGCGCATTTCTCGCCCATCAACGTCGATTGCTCGGGAGGAATTGCTAGAAATTACAATGATTTTTCAAATTATTATATCCAGTGAATATTTGGTAAAAAAACTCACAGCTAATACTCGTTTGGAGAGTATTGCGCACGGTGGTGTTCTCTTCTTTGAGCGCCTCGAGGCCCTGAAATGAGTTTATGACTAGAAAAAAGATTGTAAGGAAAATATTGAAATAACATTAGTTGATGTCTTAACTGTCTTTTAATGTACTGTAACTGACTTGAAGCACGGTCTTCGCTCCAGCCAATATCTCTTCTTGAGTGAGCTGGGTCATCTTGCCAAGTGATTCGATTTTTCGACTAAAGTTTTGAGAGACTGAAAATGAACATGAAAGTTTTAGCAATAAAGTTGTGCGTTTATTGAAATAATTTTTCTAGACAGAGAATGTTCCGTGAATGTTGACTGTTAACTCTTCATATCTAAAGATTTACCCAAAATTTTGGCGAAAGAAAAAGTATCGAAGGGACATTTGGATTGAAGAAAGCTTAGAGTCAATATTTTTTTTAAGAAAATGCCTAGAGAAGACGTCTTTGCTTTTTTTCGTGAGAAGATGTCCCTGTTTCGCTTTCGCAATAAGGAGCGCCCCATCGGCCAAATTGAGCCAAAGGAAATCCGCTTTTTGTGGGAAAAAGATTTTGGGATTTGAAATTATAAAAACTTTAGGAAATGAAAATAATGATGTTTAAATTGATTGGCTATTTGTCAATTTTAACGTTAATTGACTATTTGATTATTTTAATAGTTACTGAGACAAGAAACAAAAAAAACATAACAAGAAAAGCAATCAAGAACAAATTAAAGATCAAAGCAAAAAGTTTTTTTCTAAAAATAGCAGTCTTTAAAGATATTCAAAAGCAAAAGTTATTGATCTAATGATAAAGCCTTCTTCGATTACTCAACTAACTATAAAACCGGTTATCGATAAAACCTATGGAATCTCAAGTAAAAATGAGATGTTTCAGCTGGAAGAAAAGAAGAAAAGAACAAAGAAAAACCCCGCCAAGAGGATTCAATCGATGAATAACACGACAAGGAATCCACACAGAAATGGGGAAAGAGTGTGGAAATGGAAGAGAGAAAAGAGGAATCGATTAACTAGAAATGGTGAGAGAGTGATGAAAGACAAGGGGAATGGAAGAGATTCGAGGAATGTTTGCCCTTCTCGTCCTCTCTATTCTCTACCATTGTCATAGTGCCTTTTCTCTAGCAGAAGCAATTTCGTAACCATTGAAAGCTTGGGATCATGTATAGTTTGATCCAAATTTAAAAGAATTACAGGGTGTCCGGAAAAAAAGAAAGTGGCGGTTTCATCGGTTTGAGTCTGGAAAAATTTACTCGTTGAGGTTTCAAGTCTCATGGTGTCAAAAATGGTTTTGCCTCAGGGGCCACACAAGAAGATGAAGTCGGTTTTTTTGATGATTTTGTGAATAGGGGTTGCTATTGATATCACGATATTAAAAATAAGAGACCCCAAAAAAGTCGGCCCTGGGAAAGCAGCAACAAAAGGGTTTTCTCGTTTAAAAATTAATCATATTTTCAAGATTTTTGAAGCAGTCAATCCAGCAATGCAAACTGAAATTGTGGCTAGGACATTAAAAGAACAAAACAAATTTATAGAAACAAAAAGTAGAAAGATTTGTGGTCAAATAGAGGCATTCTAAAATAGAAATAGAAATAGAGGCTGGAGTGTGTTTTTCATGTATACCTTATACGTGAATTTTGAGCTCTCCGACCGATGCATGATCCCCCGATTCACAAAATCATCAAAAAAATTAACTTAATCTTGTTGTGTGGCGCCTGAAGCAAAACGATGACACTTCATCTTCTTGTGTGGCCACTGAGGCCAAACGATGACACGATGACATTGACACCAGGATGAGCCTTGAAAAACCAACGAGAAAATTTTTCCAGACTCAAACCGATAACCACCTTTTTTTCCGGACACCCTGTAGGTTCGGGTTGGAATTTTCCCATGTTGAGTAGACACGAACTTGGTTTCTAGCCGATCTTAGCCGGCCCATGACCCCCTTATTCACAAAATCATCAAAAAACTTCATCTTCATGTGTGGCCCCTAAGGAAAAACCATTTTTGACACCATGCTGAGCCTTTAAAAATCAACGAGTAAATTTTTCCAGGCTCAAACCAATGACCACTTGTTTCCGGACATCCTGTAGTGTAACAATATATTTTTTACAACGGAGAGTGATTATCTTAGCCAGAATTTACGAACCTAGTGCATTTTCTGAATACAGCCAAAAACTTTAAAGACTTATTTGTTATTAGCTGCCTATGCTCAAAACTTACATTCGATACGCGTTGAGAGTCGCCATTTTGGATTTTATGTGTCTCACATGTGTTTGATCTAAAACTCAAATGAATATAAGATCGGAAAGAATTGAGATCATCGAAATAGAGCAAAGACATAGAAAATGTTTCAATCGGCAACTTTTCATGATAAAATGAAATAGATGAACCATAAGTTTACAAAATCAAGACAGATAAAGCTAGTACATAGAGCAAAAGAGTGAAAGTTGACACTTGACACTTGAAAGAGAAAATCTGGTAAAAACAAAAAGACAATCAAGGCTCAAGATTACTTGTATATTCTGAAATATTCTAAAGGAACAATAAAAGAGAGAAAAAAGCGTTTGTTTGTTCACCGCTTTAGTCACTTGTTCACTTCCCAATCCCAGCAATTCCCAAGCGCTCCTATGGGAGGCTCTGTTCTGTCCTATTTATTCTGCTACTCACCTAATCCCTCGTAAACAATCTGGTGAATTATTTTGAATTCTAAGCATCTAATAACTTTGCGACGATCCTTTTTGAACGATTTTCAAAATTGCGAATTGCTGACAAAAGCTAGCGATCAAGCAGAGCAATGGTAAATCCATCAGATTAAAACAAACCATTTAAAGATTATCTAAAAAAGTAAAGAGAATTTTACTTCACTAACAAGTAAATGGGACATAATACTAATGCTTTACTAGACTCGAAAGATGCCAGAGTGAAATATGTAACTTGGTAAAGACTCGAATGGTCAATATCAAACCACGAAGTGTCCGAAATGGGACCAAGCTAGTTTGGTGGTTTGGAAAGAGAGAATTGTGAGAGATAGAGATGAAACGAGATTAGGACGAGTCTGTCATTGTGGAAGAGAAGATAGGGAATATGAGGAAAGACGAAGAGTAGAATGACATAAAGCAGAAGCTCCCACAAATTCCCTAAAGAGTGACAGATGGAAGAAAGGAAAAGAGATACACCAATCTTGGAAAAGAAAGAAATCTCGAAAACGATGCAAAGAAAGAAAGAGTGACAAATGGGTGTTTGGACCCTTCCAGCAAAAAGAAAAGACCCTCTTGAAAGACTTTTTTTCGTCAGAGTTGCCGATTGAAGAGTAGAGAGGCTTTTCGCTCTTTTGTCAGCTCTCCATTCCTTTTTCTTCGCCCATAAAATGACTTCTGAACTCGTTCTGGGATGGTGAAGAACACTGAATACTAGAAAAATCTGGGTTAGTTTACGGAATACCCATGTACATACAAGGCATGTACATGTACATGTACATACAAGGCATGTATATGTACATGTACATACAAGGCACTAGCAAGCTGCTTAAGTGAATGTCGTATTCAAGAGGCTCTCTCTTCTCTTTTTCACTCTTTTATCTATCTCTTCTATTGCCCGAAAATTAGGATGCCCATCGTTGTTGCAATAAAGGAAAAGAATGGTTGAAGCTTAATTGAATGTCCCTTTTCTTTCCTCTTTTCTCTCAATTCGAACATTTGGTCACTCGGAGTGAATCGAATGAACAATCGAATCGAATAAGTGGTTGAACAAAAAGAAACCATAAGATTTTTGATAACAGATTGGAGTTGACTAGAAGTAGAACAAGTGCTAAAGTTTGAAAGCTCAAGCAGAAGTGTCTAAAGTGAATATCATTAAGATGAAGGCAAGAAAACGATGAATTTGCATGTGAAACCCTCATAAATGTAAACGAAACGAGGAAGAAAATGTAAAAGAAAATGAATTGAGTTGAATGGGAAATGAAAAGAAGAAAATCCACCCAGCTGGAGCCACTCTTTGAGTAAAGAAAAGAAGAAAAAGAGAGACAGAATGAAACATGAGAACGCATTCTTTTCTCTTCATTTCCTTTCACACTAATCGTAAGTATCTTTCTGAAAAGTCAATTTTACTTGTACTAAACGGTAGAGGTGGTTTTCAATCAAATAAATGCATCAGTCTAAACGTCCAGTGTTCAGTAAAATTTGAACATGATTTTTTGATTTTAGTTGACTCGAATCAAGTTAAAAAACAAAAATTTACTATTGGGTTGGTGAATTGAAAACTGTAGAACGATTCGCCGCCGACTATACACATACCGTTCGGGTAAAAGATAATGCTCAGGCCAAAAGAAATTTGTCTAAGAATAAATAAGCTAATAAAAATCATTTATATTCTAGCAAAATGTTGGTTAGCAAATATGGTTGATAGATATATAGCCGGTAAGCTAAGTAAAGAAGATTCAGGTTTGAAACAAAACCAGACCAAAACCAGACTCCAGATCTATTGGGTTGGTGAATTGAAAACTGCGGGACTTTGAACTAAAATTTATTCAACATAAAACCATCAATTCATTTCAAAGAGTTCCCATTATTATTGACGACTTCTGCCCATTTTACAGGCAATTTGCGGATTCCTCTTTCGTAGTAGGATTTTGGTTTGTGTGTGAGACAAGTGTGAGACTTAAAAATGGAGGAATGGAGATGTCCCAGTTTGAGCACTTTCTTCAAAAGAAACTCATTTTGGTGTCAATAGAAAAGTTGTAGAGAATCAAAAATGAGGCTTATAGCCAAATTTCCAAAAAGATACGCTTAGTAGTTTCGCTTAAAATGCAAGTTTTGTGAAAATTCGTAAATTTCTCATTTCTTGAAAACCAGTTTTTGAATCGTTCTGAAAATTTGGATATAAGCTTGATTTTTGATTCTCTACAACTTTTCCATTGACACCAAAATGGGTTTATTTTGAAGAAAGTGCTCAAACTGTCACATATGACAATAGCCGGCAGTTTTCAATTCATCGATCCAATAGATTAGCCTTGATTTGAGGAGAAGTCAATGTCCAATTTGAGGATTCGGAGCCGGCCAGATTAGTGTAGCAAAGGGAGAGGGAAGGGGTTATGTAAAAGCCCTGTGCCAGACGACGAGCGATTCCGCGGTCGCACAAAGATATAAGCTTAATTTTTGATTCTCTACAACTTTCCCATTGACACCAAAATGGGTTTCTTTTGAAGAAAGTGCTCAAACTGTCACATATGACAATAGCCGGCAGTTTTCAATTCACCAAACCCAATATTAGCTGAATATCTTCAAAATGCGAAACGTTCCCTTAAAGTCCAGTCTCGTTTTTTATTTCAAATTACATCTTTTTTTTCGATGTTCTATTTGAGTAGCTGTGTATCTTAAATGAATTTTTTTTGGTGTTGACCACAGCTTGGAACTTTTTAAAATCAAATACAAGGTGTATTTGTGTGAAACAAACAAAAAACATTTGCTGTATTTAAGATAAAGAATTTTCCTATAAGTGAAAGATCTGCTTTTAAAAATTTTAATTCGAAAATGCTCCAGCTAGCTTTTATTTCAACGCTTTTCGCGGTGAGTCGACTTTTGCAAAAATTTTAATTTAAATCAAGCAAACTTTCAGTATGTTTTCTGTCAAGCTCTCAGCGTGGAACAGTATAATATCTTCATGGCTGTTGCGAAAGATCGTCAACAAATGAATCAGGTCATTGAAAACGTTACGTAATAATTATTTGCAAAATGCTCATACGCAGAAATACATTTTACAATGTTTCAGATGGCAATGATGGCAATGGAATTGGGATTGGCTGGTCTTCAAGCAAGCAACGATGTTTCCATCACTGGAATGCTGAATGCATTGACACAAGTAGCTTCGAATTCTTCATTGAAACATTTGTGTATAAGATATGAATGTGTTTCAAAGTCCCATACAAATAAGTCAACCAAATTTCAACAATTTCAGACAAACCTCGCCAACCCAACTCTAACAGGATCTACTGTCATCAATCCATTGACTCAGGTCGGCTTCAGTTCTAGCTTCTTTTCAGAATAGTACTTGAACCAAAAGCTTTTATGTCTGCTAATAATAAGAAATGCCTTTTAGGCCATTTTAACGAATCCAACTCTGCTTGGACTTCAGAACACAGGTGTAATCAATCCTTTGGGTCAGGTCAGACGCAAATACAATAACCATTAACCGCTGTTTCATTGTTTAGACAACCTTGACGAATCCAACTCTGACCGGATACCAGAACACTGGAATTATCACTGCGTTGAGCCAGGTAACATCTGACTTCTGTTCCTTACAAGCCACTTTTCAGACTGGTTTCCCCTACTCGACTCTGGCCAGATTGCAGAACAAAGGTCTAATCAATCCATTCACTCAGGTCAGTTGAAGCCAGATTTTCTTTTACCGTATTCAGATTATGTCAATAATTGTCAATAACGCGTGTGCTTTGTTCCTTGTTTAGATGGGTTTAACCTTCCCGACTCTAACCGGATACCAGAATACAGCAGCCGTCAACCCAGCTCTAACCGGATATCAAAGTCTTGGAAGCCTCAATCCATTCACTCAGGTTAACTCTATGAGTCTTGATCTATTGGTCTTGGGCTTTAGATAAATTTTTGAAACTTCTATTGAGCCACAATATTTTTGTTTAGACCGCTTTCACCTATCCAGTCTCAACCGATTACTCGACCGGTTTCATCACTCCGCTAAACCAGGTTTCGTTTTGCTTTAAGATTTAAATTAAGTCCAATAAACAGAAATAAACTTGTGCAGGTTGACTTCCTTTAAATAAACTTTACACAAAAATTGAGATTTCCCTTCTTAACCCGAGCCTCACCTCGGGTCTCAGCGCCTATTCCGGTGTGAGTGGAGTCAATGGATTGAATGGTCTTTATGGAAATGTAATCATTTCTAAAAATTTCTTTTTCTTAAACACTTTAATGAAAAGCTTGTTGCCTTGTATTCAAAATCTTCAAAATTTAAAAGCAATTTCCAGCTTGGCTCCTATTCGACTCTGACTGGAATTGTCGGCAAAAGAAGATGAGCAAAAAGTGCACCAATTTTCTGTAAATAAATATTGCAAAAACTGATTTCTGCTTGAATATACAACTTTCATTTTCCAAAACAGCCATAAATTAAATTATTTCAAACTTGATATGTATATATAAAGATGCTGATCAAAAGCTGCTGCTTTCAACTTTCAGCATTGCAACGAACGCGTTTTCATCAACATATAAAGTCTCTTGTCTTTTCCTCCCATCTTATTTAGATCTTATTTTGAATAAAGTTTTTTTGAAAAAATCTTTATTAAAACTTTTCACAATCAAGAAAGAATCTATTAAAAAGATAGACTTACGCACATCAGAAACCATTAGAATGGCAAAGCTTTCAGATGGCAAAGCTTTTGGATGGCAAAGCTTTCAGATGGCAAAGCTTTCAGATGGCAAAGCTTTCAGATGGCAAAGCTTTCAGATGGCAAAGCTTTTGGATGGCAAAGCTTTTAGATGGCAAAGCTTTCAGATGGCAAAGCTTTCAGATGGCAAAGCTTTTAGATGGCAAAGCTTTAGATGGCAAAGCTTTCAGATGGCAAAGCTTTTAGATGGCAAAGCTTTCAGATGGCAAAGCTTTTAGATGGCAAAGCTTTCACATGGCAAAGCTTTCAGATGGCAAAGCCATCAAAAACTCACAATACAGACGGGTTTTAAGGACAAGTCCTGCTTTTGGTAAAATTGTAGCTATAGTTTTAAGCTTGAATATCACATATTCATTTCATGAATGAATTCTATATTGATGGTCCACGAGACCCTACACCAAAATCCTTACGCTAAGGTGTATCGTGTAATGAGAAAACTGGGTAACCAAATCGGAGATGAACCTTCTGACCACAGTGTGCCAAGAATTACCTACCGTAAATACTGTAATAGTACCGTAAATACTGTAATAGTACCCAAGCCCCAGAATGACGGTTGCGTAGTCTAGCTTTGCACGCGTTTTTCTCGACACTGGTTTATGCAACAATGCGCGTTTAGGTATCAAAAAATAGCTGAAATTTAGGGTTATTTTTTGATACTAAAGACAGATTTTTTGAAAGTACAAGCTCTTTGAAAAGAATAAAATACTAAAAAAACTTTTGCGACTACACGACTATACGATGAGATTGCGGTACTATTACAGTATTTACGGTAGGTTACTTGTCAAAATTTTACAATAAAATCAAAAAGACCCCATACGATTTCCCAATTTCAGTCTCTACAACGGCCTTTCGAACAATCGTGACGACTCAAATGAACATTTATACAAAAATTTGAATAAAAGTTTAGCATAGATTTGTAAAATACTACACGACTGTACGATGGGAGTCCGGTACTATTACATTATTTACGGTATATTTATTCAAAAAAAACCTACCGTAAATACTGTAATATTGGGTTGAGGCGAATGAGTCGGCGCCGAAAATGAAAAAAATGTCTAAAACTTCTAGCAGACTTCGTTAAATAATATGCGTTTGATATCAGTAGAATGGTTAACTAATTCTCTACAAAATGACATTTAAAAGAAAATTCAAACAGCGCCTCCGCTCAAGAAAAAGCCATTTTTTCACAAAAACTACAAACTGTGATCTAGAAAAAACCATTGGTGGGATCTTCCTGCAAATTTGGCAACTTAAGTAATTGAATGTGCTCTATCTTTTTTATATAAACACCAAAGAAGGTTTATGTGAAAGAAACTGTTCAAACGATGAGTCGGACTCTTTGCCATTTTAACCAGCTGCGTTTGGAAGTTCATAAACTCCACGAAAGAAAAGCTTTGTGGAATCTCTCAAAAGTGATTTTGTAGAGAAATAGTGGATCCTTTTGATGAAACCAAACGTATGTTTAAAGAAGGCTTTATGTGTGCAAAAAGTCCCTTTAAAGTTCGGCGCCGACTCATTCTCCCCAACCCAATAGTACCCCACCCCCATAATGACGGTGCGGAGTGTTGCGTAGTCTAGCTTTGGACGCGCTTTTCTCGACACTGGTTTATGCTACAATGCGCGCTTAGGTATCAAAAAATAGCCCTGAATTTCAGCGATTTTTTGATACCAAAGACGCATTTTTGAAAGTACAAGCTCTTTGAAAAGAATAAAATGCTAAAAAGCTTTTGTGACTACGCGACTGTACGAGGGGGGTAGGGTACTATTACAGTATTTACTGTATATTTATTCAAAAAGGCACCACAAAAAAAAGCAAATAATTTTAAATGCAACAAGTTTGTCTGTGTTATTTTTTAACTAATATTTATCCAGCTGTCGTGTTCTTAGTTTATTTTCTATCTCAAAACGAAAACATTTAGTTTATGCTAATATTTTTGAACATCAATCATCTGAAAAATTTCTAGTATAAAATGGGGAAAAATTTGAGAATATCCAACCACCAAATAAAGTCTATTTATTCAAAAACAACTCCAACTTGCCAACAATGTCAAAGCTTGTGCTTCTTGCTGCTTTCTTTGCTGTGGGTTAAAATTTGAGCATAAGATTAGAACATGTTAGAGCTTTCACAACACAACGAGGCGCAGATTGTTTTAACCACCACTTGATATGCAAATTTCAGGCCTTGTCAGCTTTCCCGATCATGCCGATGGGTGGAATGATGGGAGGAGTCGGTTTTTTTAAAGAATAAGATTCTATTTTAGGATTTCCTGTGCTTATACACCGTGATACTAATCTTTTTTAGATTGGTTATCCATACGGGATGATGAACCCGATGATGGGAGGAATGGGAATCGGATTCGGTGGAATGGGAATGTATGGAAGCCCAGTAAGAAACGATTATCAATTAGCATTTAAATCACTTTTTAAAACTACTCAGCAAAAAGTAGCCAAAAATTTCAGCTCAGCTACATGAACCCGATGATGGGAATGGGCGGATTCGGAAATTCGGTAAGATAAAGCAAAAATTGCACAATTTTGCACTCACTTTTCAGCTCAGCTACATGATGAACCCGATGATGAGCGGAATGGGAATGGGTGGAGTGGGAATGGGTGGAATGGGAATGGGTGGAATGGGAATGGGTGGAATGGGAATGTACGGAAACCCGGTTTGTTCCATTTTTCTTGTTAATTGCTCCAGTTATGATAAAGCTTTTGGAAAACCGTAATAGAATCTGATTTTGAAATAAAAATCTCCATTTCAGTTCGGCTACAATGGACTCGCCGGAATGGGAGCCATCGGTAGCCCGGTAAGCTTTAGCTAATCCGAGATTTGAGTTTATCATACCCCTTTCAGCTTGCGTACAATGGATTGGCTGGCATGGGCAGTTTCATGAATCCAATGATGAGCGGAATGAACATTATGGATGCTGGAGTCAGTTTCATTTTGGACTAAGGGACTAAGGACTAATGAAAATTGAAGTAATCTACAAGACACTAAATACTATCTATCCTCCATTCTTTGCTTTATAAAATGCTTTTCCAGGTTGGTGGCTTCCCCATGAATGGCTTGGGAATGATGGGAAAGAAGTAAAACGGGTGGTGATTGGGAAATGAAATTATATTTGTAAATAAATGATTTGCATTTAATTCGATTTGTTGCCTGAAATCACATTTTCATTTCTTCAAAGATTTAAAAGTTCACATTGAAGATTTTATCGCCAAAGTTTCATCAGAAAAGTACTTTCATTATTGGTACCGTACCCGACAGAATAATATCATCCCCTCGCAAAAATCCCCATCTTCAAGCCTTTTTTTCGGTATGCAAACGTGAAAGTTACTCCCAAATACCATATATATCCAGAAAGCTCAATTCAAGATCTAACGAATGGTATATTTTGTATTTCAGTTTAGATTAGTTTTTGAAGCATTTCAACCCTTCAAAGATGACCACTGAAAATTTCAACTTTCAGAATGAATTTTTCTCTATGATAGCGGGCTCCAATTGTTCTGAAACCACGTTTTTCAAATTTCTCGTTAAATTTTGCTTTAGAAATAGTGGTTCTTAACCGGTTTTAACAGGTTTCCATCTGCGAAATGAGATCGAAACCGGCGCTCCCACCAAATGATCGTATCGTCTTTTTTTGAAGATTCGACTTATGCATATTTGTTCTTTTATGTCTTCTCTTTATTATTGATTCATTTTAATAGTTAAGTTAATTTTGCTTAATTTAGCCATGGGAAAGCGTAAGGGATCTAAGGATTTGGATGAGCGAAGTCAGCAAGCGATCATCAACGGAAAAGGTCAAGGAAGGTCACTTGCCGATCTTGCTAAACATTTTGGAGACGTTTCGACGTTTTGACGTCATTTTGGAGATGGAAACTTGTTAAAACGGTTAAGAACCACTTTCTCTAGGGCAAAATTTAAAACGTGGTTTCAGAACGATTGGAGCTATCATAGAGAAAAATTCATTCTGAAAGTTGAAATTTTCAGTGGCCATCTTTGAAGGGTTGAAATGCTTCAAAAACTAATCTAAACTGAAATACAAAATATACCATTCGCTTTAACTTGAATTGAGCTTTCAGGATATATATGGTTTTCGGGAGTAACTTTCACGTTTGCATTTGACCGTTAAAAAGGGCTTGAAGATGGGGTTTTTGCGAGGGGTTGCTATTATTCTGTTCGGTACTGTATCTTCTCAAAATGAACCACAGACATGATCAGACATGTCTACCTCGAATGCTGTTGAATGGGCTTAATCTTTTCATAAATTGTGTTAAAACGGTTAACAAATTCAATGATATTTTGCTCCGAAATGAAAAGATTTCTCTTTATTACAGCTACAAAGTCGGAGAAACTGGTAGAATTACTAATGTCAAGTTAAGGCTACATTTGCAAACATCGATGAAAAGCAGAGAACAATGGAAATATTGAAAATACAGTTTAAAGTTTACACGGGAATTCGTCAGTAGCTTATTGTTAAATAATAATTTTAGATTTAGATCTCATTCACTGTTCAAACTCGTGGGTTTTCTGGTGGTAGAATTCTCTGAATTCGTCTCGATTACAATTTGCACTCCGTCCGGTACGTAAACAGTTCAATCAACATATTTCAAATAAAAAGCACTGAACAGTGAAGCCAAAAATTTTCTTTCTTCCTACACACTATTTTGCAAATAACCCAAAAAATGATCGGCAAACTCGTTCGTGATTATTTTCGTGTTCAACGCATCTTTATTTGCCCAGCTTTAGCGTCTAGTGGTTAAATATATAAATTTAAATGTTTATTTCAATTACTCGTATTTGCTAACAATAGAAAACACAAGTTTATGCTAATAAACAAGATAAGAAGAGGATTTGTATATAAGGGATTCATTTTGTCGAAAAATCAACCAGCTCTTCAGCTTGCTTCTCCCTCAAAATGTTCAAAACCATTGCTCTTGCCACGGCTTTCTTCGCTGTAAGTTACTTGCCTAAATAACTTTTCAGTTTATCGATAAAGATATATATTTTTTGATACACAGTATATGTAGTACCATTACAGTACAGTACATGTAGTACAAGTATACTATGCGGATGAGTAAAGTCAATTTTCAGGTCTCATTCGCCCAATTCCCCTACAATGGAATGATGGGAGTGAGTTGATTTAAAAAATATGTTTATTTAACTAATCAGATTGAAAATGTAAAGATGATTGTAAAATCTCTAGATGTATCCATATGGAATGAACGGTTACAATGGATTCACCGGACTCAACGGACTTGGTGGATTCGCCGGACTCAATGGACTTGGCGGACTCGGCGGACTCAATGGACTCAATGGACTTAATGGACTTAATGGACTTAATGGAATGTATGGAAGTCCTGTAAGTTATAAAAATAAATAGTATAACGTTTTCGACAAAATAGATTCAACTCTTAGCTTATACTAATGCCTTGTAATAGCAAAAATGTACATTTTTAGCTCGGCTACACAAACGGATTGACCACCGGACTCGGTAACTATGGAAATACGGTAAGTTAGATAGAATTTTGAATTGAATGGATGTAAATGGGTTATTTATTGAGTTAAGCTTTGTACTAAATAGATTTTGAGTTTGAAAAATGTCTCCTTTTCAGCTTGGCAGCTCATCAAACCCAATGATCACTCGACTTGGATCATTCATGGATGGACCACTCGGTGGATTCGGATTGGGAATCACAACTGGAGTGAGTTTACTACAAGAATTGGAGTAAACAGTTGGAGTTTGTGAATTGAATGATTTAAAGAACTTTTCAGATCTCCTCTCCATCGGCCAGCAACCCATTGACAAACCCGCTCGGCACTGTTGGAAGAAAGTAAATTTCCTGTTGAACCCAATTTTTGTATATAAAGATTTGCACTTTAAAATTGGATTTGAAAATAAATCTCTCAAAATTGCACATTTATAAGTTGAAAACACATTAAAACTCAATGAAAATGAAGATTGTGAATGATTAGATTAGATCAAACGGAGATCAACGGAGATCAACAACCAATAACGCGAATATTATCAATCAACAGCCGACTGTATCGTTTCCATTGCATTGCCAGGAAATAGATCTGAAATTTTGATGAATACATATTCTTCAATTGAAACTAAAAATTGTTTTTAATCCATTAACTATAACTGACCCTTCTTGTGTTCTCTGGAACAGTGACAATTTGATCAATCTGCCAACCAATCTCTTTTCGATACGGGGGCAATTTGTAGGGACAATAAGTTGGCGTGTCAAAGCAAACCTAAAACAACACTTTCAAGTTTCTTTTTCGATTAAATTTATTGTTTAGTTTACTTGTAAAGTGAGATCATCATTTTGTCGTTTCACATCGTAGAGCATTGTTAAATTTGTGAGTGCCAAGATTTCAGGACTTTCGAGAAGGAAAGCGATTTTGCGATATAATGGAGATGGAGTTGAGTCTGAACCGGCAATGGCGATTCCGGCTAAATGAAATGATTGGCTTGAGGTTTGGAAGGAAAAGAAGAAAAACTTGATTTGAGTGACTAGGAGATGTCAAGAATAGCCAACAAGTCGCTTGATCCCTTACCATCATCCTCTAAATCCTCTAAACGACAACAAATCCCTTACCATCATCCTCTAAATCCTCTAGACAACAACAAACCCCTTACCATCATCCTCTAAATCCTCTAAACGACAACAAATCCCTTACCATCATCCTCTAAATCCTCTAGACAACAACAAACCCCTTACCATCATCCTCTAACATCTCTAAGCAAAAACAAATCCCTTACCATCATCCTCTAAATCCTCAAATTCTTTCGATTCTTTCGCAATCTTCTTGTAACCCCGATAACGCCATTTGCCGTAGCTAAATGGGATAAAGTGCTCTATCTGAAGATTGCTATCTGATCACTGGAGCTAAAACGGACTTAGCCTCTTCACCCCGATTGTGCCAACCACAGAGATTCTCCTCGAAATGACAACGAAGAACGTTGCACGGATTTTTCTGAAACTTGAATAATATACTATTGCTTATCTTGTCTTTCATTAACCTTTTCACTCACCGACACAGGCAATCGTACCGCCGAGCCGACTTTCAATTGTGGATGGAACTTCCGATGTGCACTAAATGGTTAAATCTTACAACAAATCTATATTTGGTAAACAATTCCAATTCTTCCTTTATTCCAAAGTTTGCTCAATATTTGGACCCACATTTTCTCAGTTTTCTCTTCTTCATTTTCCATAATTTCGTCGGACATCGATTCGATCTCATCTCCCATTGCCTCATCCATTTTTTCGTCTAACTGAAAATTGAAGTTTTTTTAAATTATAAGATCCAGACTTCTAAATTCAACTTACAACATGCGAATCAGCCTCAATTCCTTGATAATCCGGTCGCTTTGGAATGTGCGCTTGGGTGCGCCGAATCTCGCTTGTTGGCGAATCGAGAGTGTCCTGCATTTAACAAAGTCAAAGCAAAGCACCAAAATCCTACCTCGGCTTCGAAGAACTGATCTTGATCTTTGTTTTGAATCGGGATTATCTAAAATTTCAATGGTAAATCAAAAATTTAAAGTTCGACAAACCTTTGGCTCACAGAAATCCGCTTTATATTCAATGTTATCAATGGCAAAGATTGAAGGTCGAATCAGATTTGAGGCCACTATTTCCACCTCAAATGAGGTTGTCTAAAATTCATTTCGATTTGAAGAACCAAAAAATAAAAGGAAAACTTAAAGAATGGCGAATCACTAAGAAATCTTTGAAGAAATGTCTGAGCTTACTTGTGATTTCGGTTTAATCGGATTAATGACGGCAACGATGACACCCGATTGGTTAGTATGGACGAATGGCTGAAAAGAAAAGTATTTGAAATGGTAAAGTGCTAAACAATGATCACTTCTATGTTCTCCTCACCTGAGTGCAACTCCTCATCTCGTCATCCAAAGTACAAACACGAATCGTTCCCTCAGGTGGACTCAACCAATACGACAATCTCAATTCTCCGTCACCCTTAAAAGAGTGGGTTTTATCTTTGTGGAAGTGAAATGTGTAAACATTTACTTACCGTAAATACTGTAATAGTACCCCGCCTCCCTCGTAGAGTCGCGTAGTCGCAAAAGTTTTTTAGTATTTCATTTTTTGCAAAGCACCCGTACTTTCAAAAAATGCGTCTTTGGTATCAAAAAATAGCTGAAATTCAGGGCTATTTTTTGATACCTAAGCGCGCATTGTAGCATAAGCCAGTGTCGAGAAAAACTCGTTCAAAGCTAGACTACGCAACACTCCGCACCGTCATTATGGGGGTGGGGTACTATTACAGTATTTACGGTATGTTCTTTTTAAACTTTCATACCTGCTGGCAGGGAATTCTCGCTGAAATGATGAGCTCTTCATAGGCGCGTAAACCTTGTGCTGATATAATGTAAAGGAATTGACCCTAAAAATTTCACCAACGTCATCAAAACCTGAAATCTCACTTGTGGAGAATCAAAATCATATCTCGAAGACATTTGAGCAAAAGAAGAATATGAAGTGGCGGGGAGACGACCGACTGAGAAGCCTGAGGTGATCGCTTGGAATCTGAAAAAAGTTCGGTTAAATTGATTGGTGTTGACGCTCCATACTTGCAAGCGGTTCCCTCCTCGAAACTGCACTGCCAGGCAGTAGGCGATTGTCGAGGTAGGAGAGAAACTTGAACACAATCCTCAAATTCTGTCAACGATTTGATCTAAAGGGTTCTCATAGACAACAGCTTCTAATCACAAACCTCAGCACATCTTCCGGCCATTCGCAGAGCCTCGAGATCTGAAAAAGCTTCTTTCTATAAAACAACAATTCTCTCACCGACTGGGGGTGGAATATTTTCAAGTGGAGCTTTTGTAAGGCCCACTTCAGCCAATGGAGCAGATAGAGCACGTGTGAATGGAACCTAATCTCGGAATTCAAGAGAACAATCCATCTTATCTTTACCAAATCATTGCCCAGAGGTGGAGGCTGTTGATATCCAGGGAATGGAGATTCTGATTGCTAAATTTAACCGTATTCATGTGGAATGCAAGATTCTGGATTTTATCGAAGTAGCTTTATATAATTCCTACCGAGTACTCAGCTTGTGGCGTTGACTGTTCACTATAAGAAACCTCTGGTGAGCTTGATTGATAACTTTGTGAAAAAGCTGCTTGAGGGATTGGTGGTTGACAGGAAAGTACTGGAAAACAAAGATGAATTGAGATGTTCAGTTCAAAAGTGATTCACCTGTTGCCAAGAATGCCAACAATATCCAAAGTATCATCACTCTAATAAATAATTATATAAATTTGTTGAAATTTGAAAAGCACAGTAAAAATCCGGAACTCTTTTCAATGATCTGAGAAGAACAGAAGCCGAGGGGAGACGATCACTCGTTTCGTCAATAATCCGAGTTACGGATGGGGAGGAAAACGAGTATTGAGAAGGGGGAAACAGAGCTGAAAGGAGTGTGGAAAAGGGGAAGTTGAGGGGGATCAGCTCAGTTTGAAGTTTCTGAAAGAAGATACAGAAGGGGAAATCAGAGAAGGGAAACGACCCTAAAACTGGGTGAAAGTAGGCAAAGTAGGCCGGACGGGTGAATCGAGGGGAAATGCCACCGCAAAATCCCTTCGAAATCCTTCGCCTAAAAAGGGAAGATTTGACCCCTCTTCATCTTTTTGACCATTTGAAGATGGGGAAAGTGTTTTTGGAGAGAGATTTGTCCATTTGGGTGGATTTGAGGAAATCGTTCTGAGTTTGAACATTGTGTTTTGAAAAGGAAAACTTGAAAAATAACCAGTTATCAGAAAATCAGATAATAGATAATAATCGGTTTCAGTTTACGCTTCGAAATGAGTATTTAAATGCACTGAACGGATATCTTGAGATCTTATCTTAAAATGCACTGAACGAGCACCTAAAAGCTCCAGAAAAGATACTGTAATCTTTTTGAGCACGAGTAGATTCAGATTCATTTTCCCGCTTATCATCCCGAATTCTCAACAAATCAAGCTCAACAATAAGCTTTTTAAAACTTGGATCTTTTCTTTGAGTTCATTTTCAAAAAGCTCTCTTCTTGATCTGACCACCAGTCTGTTCTAGAGTGTCTGATTGCCCACTCCTTGTGAATCCTTGTCTGATTGCCGAAAAGTCCACTTCTTGTGAATGATTAGAGTCTCGTTTTCAAGTTTCTTTCTTTAAACATAAAACAAATGATTTCAGATCCATAGTTTGACCAACATGTTTGAGATAAAACTCGACTAGAGAACACTAGACAAAAATGAGAGCATTTCTTTCTTTTTGATCAGATCGGAGGCGGCGATTACGTTGTCGTGTTTGGGGAATGAGTTCTTTGAGAAATGTTCTGTGTTTTTTAAACATTAACATGTATAAAAGTTTCATACAAAACCATTTTTCTCTTGGAATTGAACAATCTAATTTTTATGACAACTGCTTTGGCATTTAAAATCTTCAATCTCTAAATGCCTATCGGTTTTTTTCCTCACATTCAGTCTAGACCCTGTTTATTATGATTAAAGGAGTTCAACTCCTCAAATAATATTTCTTTATCAAAACAAATCTACGTAATTTTGTCCTCTCATCATCTTAGCCGATGGTGAGATTGATGAAGACTTTTTGTGCGATTGTTTGCGCGTGCAAATTGATCGCTCTCCTTTTCCCTTGAGGAATTTCACTTTCTTTTTCCTGAACTATTTCATTCCCGAAAGCCTTTCATTTTTAGACTTTGCACTTATTTTCTTTCAAAAAAAATATTTTCTAATTAACTTTACCTTATTGCAGCTAAAATGTCTCTTCACGTTGATCCAATAGAATCAATGATGCCCGAGGAAGTCTCAATCCGAGCCACTCAACTCAATCCCCATCAAAAATATCAGCTTTATATGTCGTAAGTGAGCGGAAAATTCTTGAAACTCTTTTCATAGTACTAAAAATATAAAACTCGAATACCGGTTTCAGTTTCAAACACCCCAACGGTACCCACTACTCGTGGGCGAATTTCCGCGCTTCGGCGCTTGGCGAGATCGATTTAAAACGAGATTGTCCAGTGCAAGGCACATATTTTGGTACGATTAAAAAATATTAATGACAAAGATCTTTGCCGTTTCATTAAAGCCAAAGCTCTTTTGCTTCTTTACCGATTTTTACCGTTTTCTTATAGAAACAAACCCCCATGGCCTCTTTCAATCATGCTATCCTGATGTTGATGTTCGAGAGGGAGCGTATGTGCCCGCCACTCCTCCATTCCCATATGAATACACATTATTGTAAGAACTATAGCCAAGCTTATCCATATTTCCTGCACAGATTGAAAGACTCTGAAAGCAAAGTGCTGGATCAAGTCAAGTTGATGAAACGCTTCCAACATCCGCATGTGACAAGGACCGAAATCGAGAATGATCGGGTTGTTGGGACTCTCTTCTTGCCACCAGGTTTCAAAAAATAGCTTAAACTTTTCATTTTCTAATCTTTAGCCGCTCGTTCACAGAAATTACCGACGGTGATCGATATTATTGGTGGAAATGGAGGAATGAGAGAGAATCGGTGAGTAAACCATTCGTCTTTTATCAATAGTTTTTTTTATTTTTATTTTCTGTACACAGATACCTTTTTATGTAAAGCTTTTATTCCACAAATTCCACATTTACATCTCATTCAGTGGCGCCCTCCTTGCGAGTTCTGGATTTGCTGTTCTCTCCCTTGCCTATCTCTCATTCAAATCTCTCCCGAAATCGATCAATGAAGTGAATGTTGAATATTTCTTGGTAAAAATAGATTTCTTGGCAAGTTGCTGATTTCAGAAACATTTCAGAAAGCAATTGATTGGCTCTCAGAGCAAAAGTTTTGTGGAAAAATCGGCATTCAAGGGAATTCTTTTGGCGGTTCGATTGTCCATGCGATTTCCATCCGAGCACCAAAGGTCATTTTGAAGGAATTTCAGCAAGAATTTATCCAAAATAAACTGAATACTATTATTAATCTTCTTTTACGTTAAATAAATATTTAAAAGTTTCAGATCAAAGCAGTTTGTAGTATCAATGGAGCTCACTGTTTGGATGTGTTCACTCAAATGCTCGAGAATGGGAAACCGATTCCGGCTGGGAAGTGAGTGATCAAATAGCATTTGAGAAACAAAAGTATCTATCGTAAATACTCTAATAGAACGGCATCCCCATAATGACAGGCGTACAGTCGGGTAGTCTAACTTTGGACGTCCTGTTCTCCGCGCTGCTTTATGCTACAGTGTTCTCTTGGGTGTCAAATTATATCCCTTGAAATCTAGTATTTTTTGGTACTAAAAGTGTAGTTAGAAAAAATTTAGGGGCTGAGAAAACAATAATTTTCTAAAAAGAAGTTAGACTACGCGACTGAACGAGGGAGTGCCGTTCCATTATAGAATTTACGGTAGTCAAATATGCAGCAAACATTCTAGAGTTGACATGGAATTCCTCACTTATCATGTAGACAATGGATATCTTGTACTCGAGAGGGCCATTCGAAACATGAAAATCCCACAGCAAGCGGACTTTGATTATTCGAAAATGGCGAAAGATGTGGCTTTTCGAATTGTTGTGAGTATTTTTATCTAACAATAGTTAAAAGTTATTGAAACCAATGAAACTCTTTTGAGGCAAGTCGAGACGATCGAGTTTACGACAGTCTTTACTCGAGTGAATACTTGGAAAAGAGGATTAAAGAACAAGGTGAGACTTGTTTTGTGATATGCTTAGGCTTAGGCTCAGGCTCAGGCTTAGGCTTAGGCTTAGGCTTAGGCTTAGGCTCAGGCTCAGGCTTAGGCTTAGGCTTAGGCTTGGACTTAGTGCGTAGGCTAGCGGCTAGCGCCTAGCACTAAGTCTATTTGGGTTTGGGCTAAACCCCCATTTTCTGGATCTCAGCCAGTTCTCGGAGCTAAGGGACACCCGCTTGGCGATGCTCTTAGGCTTAGGCTTAGGCTTGCTATTTATCAATGATTAAAGTTCATGATCAATTCAAGATCAATTCATGATCAATTCATGATCAATTCTTAAATCAGCTTTCAATTTCCAGGTCTTTACGTTGAAAGAGATGTCGTTTTTGGTGGCCATTTGATGGAACCTCCACATGTTCCGAATTGTCCAAATCTTTACGCTAAATATGCTAGTACGTTAATCTTAAATTTCTCAAAACTATTTGAATTGTGATTACATTACGCCTACGTGTAACTTTCTTTCAGGCATGATCTTGAGCTACGGTGGTGATCAATATGTACACGGGAAGAGCCAATCTCAAGTAAATACAAACTTTTATTAAAACATCTTGCATTCAATTTTTAACTTTATTTATATTCTATTAATCTTTTCAGGTTTGGCCACGAACAATTGCCTTTTTCAACCGATTTTTGGGAGAACCAAAGCCACCAAGCGATTGGAGAACTGAAGCGAAACTTTGAAGACAAAACTGTTAAATAAACTATTCCAAAACATTAAATATTCTTAATATTCTTAAGTATTGTTTTTAACAAATTTGCATCATCAAATAAACAAATAACAAATGTTTTTAAGTGTTTCATCAAAAACTTTTTTTCTTTTGAAATTTCCATTCAAACTCGATTCAATCTTTCCCCATAAAACAAGAGTTTCCCAGTATTTATGTGCGTGTGAACGATCAGCAAATGATGTTTTTCGCTATCGAAAATCTAATGAAACGATTTAGTTTTATTCTTACATTTTTTCACCCATTCATTTGTGTTTTTTGAAAGAAAAAATGAAAGTTTTCTTCTTATTCTTGGTTCTTCTCGTCATTTTCTCCACTTTCACGGGTTTGTGAAATAAACAAAACTAAACAAGAGCTAAACAAGAACAATGAAATGCTAATTTTTGAGCCTTCAAATGACAGTATCTAGATCGATTATGTATGACATACATGGCAAAGAAATTTCTATTCAGAAGCTGGGCATCGAACGATGCGCGGTGGTCGGAAGAGAGGACCGAATCGACGAACTCAACGAAGTGAAATATCGTTGATTTAAAAACTCCTCAAAGTTTAAATTGCTAGGAAATTTGTGTTTGGAGAATTGAATCGAAACTTCAAACAAAAAAATTTAGGAAATTTTTAGTTTTTTAAAACCTATTTATGGTAAATCAGTTTAAGTTTCGCTTTCAGGTACCAGCCTTCCATCTTCCGAGGAAGCAGCCCCAATTCAGTCAAAGCATTTGGCTAGTGGTAAACTTTGACTTTGCTATTTTATGGGAAGAAAAGACTAACAATTGTATTCCTGTACGGTATTAAAATTAGTAGAGTTCAATATTTACTTTCCATTTCAGCTTCAGCTCCCGTCTCTTCGGCGAGCCACTCAGCTGAATCAAAAAGTGGTAAGGACTTTTATTTTAGTCCATTTCAACGTCTAACCATTTCAGCTGAAAGTCCTGCTTCCGAATGAAAGAAACGGTTCTTCAAAGAAATGATTTTATGTGAATAAAGATTTCTTGCAATACAAAAAGGAAGATATATAATAATTTCATATAATTGAGACAAGGATAGATGATTTTGGTTATGTTAAAACTGGTGATTTAATTGTAAAGCTTTAATTGTAAAGCTTTGATTGAAAGCTTTAATTGAAAGCTCTAATTGAAAGCTTTAATTGAAAACTTTAATTGAGAGCTTTAATTGTAAGCTCTAATTGAAAGCTCTAGTTGTAAAGCTTTAATTGAAAGCTTGAATTGAAAGCTCTAATTAAAAGCTTGAATTGAAAGCTCTAATTGTAAAGCTTTAAGTATAAAGCTTTAATTGTAAACCTAAAGCAATTCTCCAAATATTGTGATTTATGTCAAATCAAGAACTTCAAGGAGAATACTCCAAACTAGAAAAGTTCGCTCTTTTGGACAAAAACAAAAAGAAGAGAACTGGCATTGAGAGATAAGAGAGAAATACACCCAAAAAGAAGACAACTAACAGCCACAAAGTGCACGAAATAGAAAATAATTCGAAGAAAACAAAGCACTTTTCATAGACTAATACTCTTTTGAATAGATTTTTCAAACTTCTTTTGCATTGAAGAACCCTGATCTTCCCACCGCGAATCTCGGGTGTCAATTTACAGCTTTCCAAAGGAATTTTCTTCCAAAGTCTTCTTTGATGTGTTAGGCTTTATTTCAAAAGTACAATTTTATGTTTCAAAGCGCATAATTCTTTGACTGTACTTTTTTGACTGAACTCTTTGACTGAATCAGATCTAAAATGGAGTGGTGGGCCTGGTTGTTCTTTTTGATTGGTTGCTTGTCAACGCTCTTCGTCATTCATAAGGTAAATTTATTTACTCAATTTGACTTAAAACCTATTTATCGGCCCTTTAACAAGTTAGTTTTTCATTTAGACTTTAAAATTCATGCTTTCAATCGTTTGGCCGTTTTTCTTGGGGCCTCGCATCGATTTGAGAAGACGAGCTGGTGCTGATTGGGCTGGTGAGTTGAAATGAATTGTAAGTTGAATTGTAAGTTGAATTGTAAGTTGAATTGTAAGCAATTCATTCTCTTTGTAAAAGTTAAGCCTAGATGCTGTAGCTAGCCATGTGTTTTGATTTCAGTGATAACCGGAGCCACTGATGGAATTGGCCAAGCCTATGCGTTTGCTCTCGCCGAGAAAGGATTCAAGGTGAGCCTAATTAGTCGAAATTCTTGACTTGCTTGAAATAAGAGCAATTTTAAATGAAATTGCAGTCTTTGTAAGCAATAATTATCCCATTTTAGCTCTTTTTGGTCTCTCGAACTGAGGAACGACTGGAGGCGACGAAAGAGAAGATCGTACAAAAGCACAAGGTAAGCCAAGTTAGTGATTCAATGCAGTGTCTTGCACTTAATTCAAGTGCAAAAAGCAGATCTCTTTTCAGGTAGAAATCCGAACTTTCACTTTCGATTTCACAGCAGAAACCCTTGAAGAGTACATGCCTTTGTTACGGGCCTTAGAATCCCTCGAAGTGGGGATATTGGTGAACAATGTTGGAATGAGTTATGATTATCCTGATGTGAGTATTTAGTACAATATTTGGAGTTGCAAAGGAAGAGTTTGTTTCTAGAAACTCCACAAAATCTTCGGTGGTATTTCAAAGGTGCACGCGATGCTTCACATCAACATTCATCCACCAACTTTGGTAAGTTGAAAAAAAATAATATTGAATTGGTAATATTGAAAACAACAAGCAGTTTGCAGCAACGAAAACAAAAGAGCAATTTGCAGCTTTGCATGGCCGTGTTACCCCAAATGATCACTCGGATGAGCGGTGTTGTGATCAATATCGGTTCAGCCTCCGCAAATCACACAATGGCGCTATGGGGAGCATATTCAGCCGCCAAGGTTCAGTTAAATATCATAGAGAAAAAGACAATTAAAGCTTTAGAAATACGTGGAATGGTTGACGAAAATTTTGCAAAAGGAATATAAATCTTATGGAGTCACGATTCAATGTGTGACACCAATGAAAGTCGCCACAAAGGCCAGCCATGTAAAAAGAAACGATTTTGATTCGATGAAAGTTTCAATAATGATTTTAGGCTGAAAAATCATTGATCGCACCGGATCCAAAGAGTTTCGTTGCGTATGCATTGCGATCGGTGGGATTGGCTACGATAACCACTGGTCATCCCGGGCATCAGTTACAAGTGAGCAAAGAGATTATCTTTGCAAAGAGATTTCTAAATTTAAAATAGTTTCTAGAAAAAAACTCAATTTTAGTCTTTAATCTTCTCAATGCCGGATTGGTTTCTCGATTTTTTCATCGGTGCCACTTCAAGAAATATGCAAGAAGAGGGGATGAAAAGGATCTCACAACATAGAAATTGATAAAATAGGAGCCTTCTATTTGGAGGATTTTAGTTCTTTTATATGTGAAATTTTGAATAGTTAAAGAGAACAGTTATCGCCATCTGATACAGTTATCGCCATCCGATACAGTGATCCCCCTCCGATACTGTTCCACTAGTACGAAAGATAAACAATTCACAAACGATTTTATTTACAAATCACAATTTCCTCTCGTTGATTCCGTTCTCTTTTTCGGCTTTTGATGGGTGATGAACCTAAAAAGTGAAATTGTGAACAAGTGTCATTACTAATTGACTTCTCACAGCTTTTTTGAAGCGAGCCAAATAGTGGAACTCTGGGTGCTCGTAGACAGTCGGGTTGTGGTAGATCATTGTGTTGCCATTTTTGCGATTCTGAAAATATTCTGAATGGTTTCTTTTAGTGGAAAATTGTAGATTTTGTTAAATTTTACTTTTTTAGTCAAATGCAGCAAAAGATCAAATCACTTACTCCTCCATTTGACCGAAGTGACTCTCTAGCGAGTTGCTCCAAAAGAACTAAAGCTTTTCAATTGAAAACATCAGCATAAAACCTTGATTTAAAAGTGAATTTGTAATTTGTATTGTTTTGTTTTGTTTGTTTCGTTTGTTTTGTTTTGCTTTGCTTTGCTTTGATTTGCTTAGCTTTGTTTTGCTTTGCTTTGATTTGCTTTGCTTTGCTTTGCTTTGATTTGCTTAGCTTTGTTTTTTGTTTTGCTTTGTTTGTTTGTTTTGTTTTGTTTACTCATCTCAAAATTCAAAAACTTCACTCACCTGGTGCGCTGATTGTGCTCGATTTACGTTCATTTTCTGTAAGATTAACCATTTCCAAAACTTTGTTCTTTCAAACCAATTTCGTTAATGATTTCTGATTCATTCATCTGATTTCCAATTACTCGTGGAGTCGTTGGAAAAACGGTAGAGACTTTTCTGCTTCGAATCGGCTCATGCTCATCCCAACCATGGCCATATGCATGAAGGGGATAAGCTGCCTGTAAATAATTGGAAATAAACAAAGGCAACACTTTCCACCTCTCCATGTTTGTAGATGTCCAATCCCTTGATCTCTATGATTGCCGGAACGCGAAGCTTTCCGAACTAAATAAACAAAAAAAAATATGACGATTGTTACGAAGATATGAAAAGTAGAAAAGAAAAACCTACTCTCCTTAATCCCCAAAATATCGGAATCGTTGTGATCATTGACCAAAGAATGATTGCGGTGAGACAAGCCAATTGCCAGCCAACTTGCTGAAAGTTATGAAAAAAGCTATTGATAGATTTTTAGAGCAAATAAATCAATTTATATTGTGAATGTACCGCAAAATCGGCTCCTCTCCAGGTTCGCCCTCGAAAGCCATCAATTATTGTGTAGAAGATTCCCTAAATGTCTCAAAGTTATAAGTGATTAGTGACACTTGAAGTAACCAGCCTTGTGTGAAACGATCGTAGCCGACATGAGACCCCAAGATCCACCTCCAGCATGCACTGCAAACGCATCCAATGGATCATCGATTCGAAATCTGAGTTTACTATTTCGTACTTTAACATAATATTATTATTTAATTACAATGAGAAGCCTATTTCTGCCACTTACCTAACAACAAGTCCACTTAAAATCATATAAATAATCCCCGACCCAATCCCTGTCACAATCGCTCCCCACGGTTCCATTTGATTGCAAGCTGCACAAGCTGAGACCATCCCTAAAGACGAATTCAAATTCAACTTTATGATGCTCCAACCTGTTAAACAGGCGTTTATTGTCAACAACAAGCTCAGATTTCGTTTTCGAATGAAATGAAGTATCAAATATGAGAACGAGGCAGTGGTTCCACTCATAATTGTATTAGTCATGGCTCGAGAAACCTCCAATCCAGAACCCTTTTTCATGATGGTACCCGTAGAACCTAGAAAGAGGAAGATTCTATCAATGAAGTAAAGATGGATTGAAGTCAATCTGCTCTAACGAACTCACCTCCATTGAATGCCAAGAAGCCGAACATTAGAATGAAGCCGCCAAGAGCGGCAAACTAAAATTTTTGGTAGTATTCAGCTCCAATCTCGAGTACCAGCTATTACTCTGACTGCTATTCTTGTACTATTTTAAAAGTACAATTTGCGTTTTAATCAAACGAACCGGCACAGAGTGTCCCTTGATCTCAACTGGAGGGGATCCAATTGGGAAACGCCCAATTCGTGGTTCAATAAAAAACGCAGCCACTAATGAAATCGTTCCACCACACAAATGAACAACACCAGCTCCAGCGAAATCCTACAATCAATAGTTTTTTTAGTCTTAACGTTGTTAACTTACAATATAGGAAATGGTTGTATTGCCAACGGTGGCTCCAACAGCCATCCATCCATGTGGATCCCATCCCCAATGCGTGAGAATTGGGTAAACAAATGCTAAACGGAATGGGAAACTGTTAGCCTCAAAGAAAATTGATTTTCTTAGGTTACGGTTAACCGTTAGACTTAAAGAAGATTGATTTTTAAGTTGAGCCGTTCAGTTGAGCCTTTTTTACCTGAAATCCAAGAGCAGTAAACGACATAGGCCAAGAATTCACATCTCTCAGCTACGGCACCTAAGAAAGATTATTACCCAAAAACAGCAATCACACTAAACCTGCAATAATCGTTGAAGCTGTCGCGGCGAAGACATATTGAAAGAAGAATCTGAAAGTACCGTTCATCAAGATCAAGTTTAATATTTGAACTTTAATATTAGTAAATTTTCTACGTAATTTTCTAGTAAATAAGTAAATTTCTCTAATTTTCTACTCACTTTGTGTATGTTCGATGTATGTTGATGAGAAGAAATTGTCCCTCTCCGATGAATTTCCCCACAAAACCATGGCTTGGCCCATAGGCGAGCGCCCATCCAATCGACCAGTAACAAATGAGAGCGAATACTTAAATTATAAAAAGACGAATAAATTGCTTCATTAGTTTACTATTGTTTTCTCGATTTTTTTGAATGAAAACTTACATGAATCAAGCAAATTCTTGAATAAGATATTGGTGGTGTTTTTCGATCGAACTGCCCCGGCCTCGAGAAACGCGAAACCGCATTGCATTACTGGAAATGTAATTCTCTGGAGTCTATAAGCTTTTTTTTGTTTCTTTAACTTTTTAAATGTTTCCAAAGTTTTGAACTCACAAAATATGATTACAGCCATTGTACAGAGAAAGAATGCATCGAGATTCTCAGCTTGATCCACTTTGTACTCTTCGAAAGATGCTCGAAGATCGAGCAATTCAGCGGTCAGATTTGATAGAAGATTTTCTTGATCAAAGTCTGTCATCTAAATAATAATTAAACTTAAATAAAGGTTTATTTCCATTTTAACATGCTGAAGAATTTTTGTGTAAACTTGTAAAGAAGAAAAATCTAGATCATCGAGACGGGAAATGACTCTAATGAAGTCGTTGATTCACCCGTCATCGACAAATAAAGGTTTTTGATATTTGGGCTTTGAAGATCTCAAATAAGAAATATAATTGATTCTAGAAAACGGGGAATGATCACCTCAAATCTATTAGGTTGTCCAATAAGTAATGCGTGTTTTGACACGATTTTCAAAATATCACAAAATTAACAAAAGAGAACTTTATTAATCGATATATTCTCCACAACAATCAACAACATTTCTCCATCGTCCGAGCAAAGAGTGAAGTCCGTCATAATAGAATGAAGCTGGTCTCGATGAGTAACATCGAAATAAGTAACACGCATTACTTATTGGACAACCTAATAGATGATCATTCTAGAAAACCGGGATGATCATCTCAAACTGTTTAACAAGATGAATAGCATCAAGGGAATTCCAATTTCATTTTATCATTTCCGATCTTACGGTAAACGAAGCAATATTCTGGAATTGAGTTTTGAATGATTGTGGCAACTGAACTTTGGTGGAAGAAGAGAAAAACCTTTCAAATAGCAATTTGCAGAAAGTTGAACGATCGACTTTTGAAATTGAATGGAAATCGGTTGAGATTTGTAAGGAATGGTCAAGGAAATCTCTGTTTGTGCCCTAAAAATTGTCAACATTTCCCTGATCTTTTTGAGTTTTTGCCCAGAAAAACATGAAAAGTTCAAATAAAAGTGTGAAAAATCTCCAAAAACTTTTGAGAGGATAACTTTTTGGACCCAACAGAACACAAAACATTTTTGAGATTGCCGAAAATCACATGGGTAAACAAATCGGAAGGGTTTGACAAGAAATGCATGTTTGATTTGAGTAAAGTGACAACGATTGACGTAACCGATTGATTACAATTTGAACGCTAGGTCATTAACAAGTGTTGTTCATTAACAACAATTCCATATCCCGGTTGTCTGAGGTGAAGCGGATCCAAGATTTCTGAGCACTTGTTCAAAAGATCCATTTCTAAAACACAATAACCATTCATATTTTCTGACAAAGTTGAGTAACTCGTTCAGATCTTGTTTTTTTTGACTCGTTTGATGCTTTTTTCAAAACATTCTTTGAGTACACCTCGGGTACAAACATAAAAAGACACAAACTTTGAAATCTATTCAACAATTGTGTATGTTTTCGAAAGTTCAATATTTTTATTTAATCTGTTTTTTTAGGCGGCTCAGCAGATTGACGCGATCAAATGGTTACTTTTAGAGAAATGATTGAAAATTTTTCTATTGAAAGAATCCAATAATATCCTAAATGTCGAATAGTTAGGACTTTCAAAAGTTAAAGTTTAAAGCTTAAAGTAAAAGAGTCCGCCTCAGAGTTCAATTTGTACAGCATGGTCACTCAGACGGCAATTCCTATCATAAAGGGATCTTCCTAGGCAAAGACATGATGCAACGAAAAATGCCTCTTTTTATGACCCCCTTTCCCGCTCTGTGCCAGAAAGCGCGCGATTGTGCTTGCGCACAAAAAACGAGAAGTTTGTTAAGCTTTGAAAGTTTTTAAATGATTAAAATACACTTTTAAATGAAAATTTGTGACGTTACTTTCTTGAGAGATTCTTTAGCAGAAACAAGTGAAAAATAAAGTGCATTGAACAATCGCAAACATTTTTAGAGAACTAAAATTGTAAGAACCCCAGCTATAGGTTTCAAATGCATTTTTAAACAAGAAAAATCCTTAAAATTAACTTCATTTCACTCCGAAATCCTTTCTGTTTTTCTGCAAATTGGTTGCATCTCTTTAACTTGCCTGTCTTCTTTTCTTGTCTCAAATCATAGAATCGAATTCAATTTTGCTAACCTGATAACCCCGAAAAATCAAGATTTCATCAGGTGAGTTCATTGGAAAGATTAATCTCCAGCACAAATTACTATCAGTTTTTTTTTATGAGGAGGAAATCCGTGAAATGATACGGGCCTATAAACCCCCATTGGATTCGGGAAGGGAACAAGACTCTGTGGCCTCCATTGTCTGGGCAATGGCTAAGAATTTGGCATTTGTTGCAACATTGCTTTTAGTCGACTTTTAAACTTTTTTATTCTTCTTCTAGTCAACAGAATATACCAACCTTATTTATATTTTTCTTTTCGTATATTAATTTTCGAACGAGCTGGTTAGCGTTCATTGTCTTTTGTCGGTGTTGACCTATGGTAGTTCTTGTTGTTACTCTTGCTCTAAAGAAACACTTTCAGATCAAAATGAAACTCATCTTGGGTTCTCTGCTCATCGCGGTCGCTTTCGCTGCCACTTATCGACATAAAATTCAGTAAGCGAAGAGTTTATTTTGTTTCAATAAAATTGTTCAGCCATCAACCATCACTAAAACAACGATTGATGCTAGAGGGAAAATTGCCCGAATATCTCGTAAAAAAAGATGCCTTGTTGGCAAAGCGAGGCAATTTGGACTCACAACCGATCATGGATTTCGATGATATGGCTTACTACAGTAAGCTTTATCTGCATTGTCTAAGTACAAGAGTCAAACTCAAAATCTTCACAGATGTACACCTTAAATTTGTAGACTTTATCGATCTTGGAACTCCCCGTCAAACCTTCATGGTGTTCATCGATTCGGGCTCATCAACCCTTTGGGTGCCCGATGTGCAATGTGGAGGAGGCGGACAACAAACTTGTGGAATCTTCTGTAAGCAGGTAAAAAAATGATACGAAAAGAATTCTTTTAATCGATTGTTTCAAAATGTTCAACTCTCAATTCTAGACAACTCGTGAGAACTGTTTGTCGTTCTGCCGTCCCGAGTGTTGCCCAGCAAGCGCCAAATACCAGAATCTCGCGTGGGTTTTGTTTTCTAATAAAAGTTTATCTTAATACTCAATTGTTGTTGGTTTATTAAAGAATATATAGTGAATTTTAGTGAAAATCCATGCCTCTCGAAGAACCGATTCAACGGAACCCTCAGCAGCACATACAAACCCCTCAATTCTCCATTCGATATTGTCTATCAAACCGGAGAGGTCAAAGGAAATCTCTATCAGGATACTTTTTGTGTAAGTTTTGAAAACAAGAGCTCCTTTCAAGGTCCTCTTTTCACAATGATCTTCTCATTTCCAGCTCACTAACACGACTTTCTGTGTCACCAATCAGGGCTTCGGATCGGCAACGAGTATTGGAGCTGATTTCAGTGAGTTCAAATAAAACATTTCTTACAATAAGAGTTATTCTACTTGTTCGGTAGAAAAATGATTACCTAAATCAACCTAGTAAATCGTAGAATTTCAGTTACCCAGCCTGGAGATGGAATGCTTGGAATGGGTTGGCCATCTCTCGCCGTTAACAACATTGTCCCTCCATTCTTCAATGCCAAGAACCAAGGACTCCTCACGCAGGTATTTCTATTAATCCTACCATCAAATCTTGTAAAGCAAACCCAAAATGAAATCAAATATCGATATTTAGCCAATTTACACCGTCTACCTCTCCAACGTCGGCGCGCAAATCGGTCAAGGAGGACAATTGACTGTCGGGGATTACGATCAGTCCAATTGTAACTCTGTCGTTAATTGGGTCCCACTTACATCACAGACCTATTGGCAATTCAAATTGGATGGGTGAGTGGAAAGGAATCGTGATGGAGGAGGAGACTGAACTGTTTCCATCGAATAGTAATGTCTAAAGTTGACTGTACTCTGAACTCTCCTTACTGTACGTAACGTTTCCTTGATCTTTAGAGTCACTTTATCTTGCACTTGGCAATGAGTATTTCCAGAGTTGCTGCTGGTTCCTATTCAGCGAATCCAGCTGGTGGATGGCAAGCAATCTCGGACACAGCTTCCACTTTCATGGGAGCCCCACAAGCTGTCGTTGATGGAATCGCCAAAGTGTTCGTTTCATCGTTTTATAATCATTCCCGTTATCTTCATTATACAATCAATAAGGATCCGATTTTGTTCAGTATTGGTGCGACGTACAACGATGCCTTCAAGGCCTATTTCATCGATTGTGATGCTCGCACTCCCGACATCACTCTTTCCATCAGCAATCAACGGTTCGCCATCACCGCCAAGAACTACATTTTGGCGGTTTGTGGTTTAAAAAATGGGATTTAACTTTAATATACTAATATCTGTATTTGGTCCTATATCTGGTTCAATATCTGGTCTAATATCTGGTCCAATATCTGGTCTTTAGGCCGGACCGGGTCTCTGTCAATTTGCCTTCTTCCCAATGCAAGGTGGTGGCTTTGCCCCATCATGGATGCTCGGCCCACCATTTATTCGGTAGGCTAGCATTTACTCTTTTACAAAGCTTTCAGATACAACTAATCGTACAAGTATCTCAATAAACCAATCGAAAATCATTTTTAGTGAATGGTGCCAAATCCACGACATGCAATCGGCGAGAATCGGCATGGCCAAGGCCGTGCAAAATTGATCTCTTAATATTTGAATTTGCATATTATTTTACTTTAATAAACTTTAAAATAAGTGTTTTTGTTTGTTTCTGACATTAAAAAAAACTTGTGTCTGAGCAATTTGGAATCAAAAATTTTGAATGACCTCTCATTTGAGCGTCGTTTGTATCTAAACGGTGTGCCATCTGTTTTGTATTGAAAGATGACTCAAATCTGGTAAATACTTACAATTTGTTCAATTCTATAATTCAATAATGGATTTCCCAGAATATATTATGAACAATACATCTACTTCTTCTTTATATTTGCAAACATTCGACTCAGCTGATGAGAAGCCTGACTTTCATCAGTTGCTTCAAACTCTCAACGATCAAGGTTAGATAACTTTCTGTGCTTTTATTGAATGTTAAAAGATGAACTGTTCAATGCTGTTTAGATAAAAGTATAGCTTTTTCTATTATCGATTTGCAGGCAATCACGTGCATCCAGATTCCGAGCCAGTCACCTCGTCAGAGCCATTCTTGGAGAGAATCACAAGAAATAAGAAAGATATCCGGAGGAGATGCACTAAATGTTATCATACGTTAACAAAGGAAAAAGGTGAGTAACAAAGAGTATCTTAATGATTTCTTTATGCAAACTTAATCCATATGGAATTTTGAATGGACAGTTGAACAGGATGAACGATAATTCTCAGGTCCAACTTACGCAGCAAGTCGAACGAAAAGGGTAACAACTCGATGCAGCGTGTGCAAGACATGGTTATGCCAATGGTGCTTTGAGAATATTCATCCAAAATGCGGCCCTCCGAGAATTGAATGGTTTGTAACTTTGATTGCAGGCTACATTATTCATTTTATAACAAAATACAGATATCTTCATTCTCATTTATTATTCAAAAAGCTTAATTTCCATTTAGTGGACGTTCTGCTCCAGTAATGCCAACACCAGTGATGGGAATAGTCGATGAAATGTTATTGAATCGATCCGGTGAACAGACAGACAGAACTCCTTCAAGAAATCCCCAGAAAATCGTTTGTTTCAGCAGAGGGTTTTTGAATCAAAAATAGAAAAAGATTCAGCATGTTTACTGACAGCAAAAGCATGTTTACTGACATCTTTTAGCCCTCAACAATCAATGATCCCCTTCAACAGTCAAGTTCTTCAAGAAACAACGAAGAATTTGTAAGACTTTTTAGAAGTTTTCTGAGTAGTAATGAGATTGAAATTTAATCTAACAAGATATGCAAATTTCAGGACATCAACGAGTTCATCGGGACCGAATCATCGTCTTTATCCAAGCCAGGTTAGAAGCAACATAAAGTTTCAAAAAGTCTCTTTTTTAGATGCAAAACGACCTCGATTAGACGAAGAAACGCCAAAAACTGAAGCAATGAATCCGTTGTTTTTGCTTTTAAGCAAGAAATTCTCTCAATATGAACGAGAAATGCCCGATTTGGCTGAGGAAATGGAAAGCGATTTGTTGGGATTGTTGCAGAAATATGACAGTAAGTTCAAGATTTAAATCAAATGATCAAATATGGAATTTAAGAAGAAGCCAAATCGCTGAAGAAATCTCAAATGAATGAAAGCTGATGTGATTGCATTTGTTAAAGTAAATGATCTCTTCAATCTCTCATAGACAACTTTATTACAGAATTTGAAACTTCACGGCTAACGGCGGGAGCTAATTTTTTTGGCCAATTGCGGCTCATTTTTAAGCACCTTAAACTTGTCAGATCAGGAAATTTTAATAAGCTTTAAATAGCTTAAAACGTCAGCTTTCAGAAGCGATTTGTTTTATCAAAAGTTATTAACATAAACTTATATAAAATTGAGCTGTAAGTTTGGCCAAAAAATTGACCTCCGCCGATAATCGCTACCCCCCGCCGTTAACCGTAAAGATCCCAGAATTTGATAAGTTTTATACAATAGTGTACATTATGGATTACATCAAAACAAATCTCAATTATACTGATCGGCTATTCGTTTGAAAGCCTCTGTCAGCTCGTTTCCCGCTTCTTTTGCCTGTTGAAAGAGTTTCGGAGTTTCGACTTGATCCATTGAAGGATTTGTGATTAAATTGATTGTTGGAGATGGAGCTGAAGTAATACAAATATATAAAGCTGAAAGTAAACTTGACATTTCATGTATTTTATTTATTTTATTGCTTTGTCTATATTCTTTTTCTACTGACTACTGACCTGTCGACTCTCGCTCACCCGGACCATTGTTGCTCGGGAATAATTGATTTTTCATCTCACGCACTCTTTTAATCACCTAGAAAATAATATGTTTTTAATTTCCAGGCTTTTTTTCTCAATTCTGAACACAAACTTATCAATGGATAAAGAAATAACCTCATTATCGTTTTCTCGTTTCCGTTCAAGCAATGAAGTGGAAGCATCTAAACTTTCGCTATAAATATTACTCAAAATCATAGCTAAAAACTATTTTTTTTTGTTAAATTACCTTCAAAATAGATTTTCTCCTTTTTCTCCGCAACCTCAGGCTTCCTCGAAGCAACGGCTTTTGTTTTACGACCTATTAGTTACAATAAATTCTCTAATGAACCCATTTCATTACCTGACTTTTTAGAAGGCATAATTCTACAGTGATAACAAATTTGCAGAGAATAGAAATAGAATTTAATGAAAGCAAAAGATTTCAAAATCAATAGTGGATAGAGAAAGGATCATATGGATCCTCTCATAGAGTCTCAGATCCTCCCCTTCCTCCCTTATGACCCAAACATTACACAAAACGAAAAGAGCAATCTAGTACCGTTATTTTGGTCAGTTGAAAATTTCGGGTAAACAATAATAAAACTTTGCTCAAAAATGTGGATATCGAAATGTCTTTGTCTTTGTCAAGGCTTTATCAACAATTCCATTTCTCCTCTCGCCTTCACTGTTTTGAATCTAAAAATGACATCAACTAGGCTGGGTTGGTCATCGGATCTGCAATTAGCAGTGACACGAGATCACCCGAGTGTGGGTGGGTCAAATGGAGAATGATTGGGATGAGGGGATGAGTGGGGAAAAGAAATGAAACGGGTCATGTGGATGGCCCTTTTTGTGCCTCCCCATGACCACCTCCCCCTCTCCTTTCCATTCATCCAAATGATCGTTCAAATGGCAAACAGCTGGATCTAACGATGAGAGATCAATGAAACACAAAACTGAATGTTAAAAACTGAGTGATCCCTTGGCTCATTTAAACCATGTTTCGACACTCACTTCAAGCCATTTTTAGTATACTTTTGTTTTCAATTCTGTGCACCCGTGCTTTTCAACAATAATTCTCATTAGTGAGCCGAAAAGAGCCTCAGAACTGAGATTAGTCGCAAGCTGAATTGCTAGCCATAATCCGTTCTGTAAAACGAGAATCAAAAGACACCAAGCAACCAGTTGATGAATGATTAAATAAATGGTGAAAAGAGTGTAGCCTTATTTGGAAGGGAAACTAGAAGCATAGCTGGTGATTTAGATAAAGAACAGAAACTCTTGTTGTTTTCATTGACATCTTCTTCATCTTCCCTGTCATCTACATTGTCAAGAATTCTATTAACAATAAGTCTATCTCGTCAACTTCGAATTGTATATGTTATAAAAAGCTTTCCATTTTGCAGAGGAGAAAAGACCAAAGTACCTCTTTTCCCTCTTTCCAAGCACCCCTAGTTGTAGCTATCCAAAAAAGGAAAAGAGAGTCGGCTCTTCGATTTTTCAATACATCGTCTCGGGTACCCTGGCCGCCCATAGGGAGAATCTCCAAGAAATAGTGGGACCGATTGGGAGAATGGAGAGAAGAACAAGACAGGGAAAACCCTCCAGCCAATGGCACCCTAGTCATGTGAGAGAAGAAAAGAGAAGCGGTGGAAAGGGACACGCACACCCACCCCAATCCACCCAACCACCACACCCCTTCTTCTGCTTTTTGCTTGATTCGTCGCTTTCTGAATTTATCATTCTTTCTTTAGTAAAGAGTTAGACTAGCTTAAACTTACAATCTAGAAATTACAATATGGTTCATCGGTAGAAAGTATGATACTTTGACTCCTTAAGAAGTCAACCTCTTTTCTCCGTGGTTTCTTGTCCCCTTTCCATACTTCACATCCTCAAAAAAGAGTGGGAATCGAATTTAATCCATCGTCTCATTGAATTTCCCACTGTTGACTCGTTATATCGTTCTTGAAGGCTTTCTTTAATCCGAAAGCTTGTACTCTTTATGCTCTAACACGAACACATTCCTCCCAATCTTTTAACAATAAGTGTAAACCCTCCTGTTTATTAAGAATCGTTGTTATTGCTATTTCTCCATATTTTGTTTGCTCTTGGTATGAAGAGAACAATACCTTTGATATCTCTTATAGTACCACCTATAGAGAGCCTCTTCCCCTCTCCTTCACCCCACTTCCCCTTACTTCCCCTCTCCTTCCCCTCCCTTTCCCTCCCCTTCCCTCCCCTTCACCCCTCCCCTTCACCCCACTTCTCACCCACCTCACAGTCAATGTGCACATAGAAAAGGAATACATAAAGGTCTAGTTTTGGCTTGACATATGACAAAAAAGAGAAAAGAGAGCCTTCTCTTTGCCCTTATTTCACACAACCCATCCACAACCACCATAAGCACGAGGTTTGTGGCTGTGTGAGCACAATGGAAATTAGACCCCCTTCCTCTCTACCTTTCATCCACCATGTGCTAGCCATGTGAAAAAAAATCGAGTTTTTCTAGAGTTTCAAAAAAAAAAATAGATGATTCTGTATGTGTAGATTAACTGCAGTAAGTATGCAAGATCAAAGTTTGAAGAACTCTATGATCTTCCAGTGACCGTGACTTTTGCCCCAATAACACTCTAATACCTTACTTTTTCCCAAGAGCCCAATTTTCGTTGACAAATTGCCCAGATGTGCCTTGTTGCGGAAAGCATTTCTCTGACATTTTTGCTTTTTCGAGATCTCCATCATAAAAGAAAGCAAGAAAAAGTTTTCTGGTTTGTTCAAAAAAAAGCTCATGTTGCTAATGGTAAGAACATGTTCGTAAAGAAGTGAAAAAGAAAGAAAAGAAAGAAAATAAAGAAGAAAAAGAAGTGAAGAAAGAGGAAAGCTTGTCAAGTTTTTGTGCACTGTTTTTCGATGTTTTATTGACTTAATTGATGAACAAATGATCGAAGTTCTTATTCAAGAATGAGACTGTAAAAGTTGAGTTCATAACATTTTATTATTCATTCTCTTCTCATCTTTTTTTCTTTTCTTGAAACCTTTTTCTCTTTTTACTTTTGCCGCTTTTCATCGAAAGGTTTCAGGGTTTGTGCATCAAAAAAAGAAGCAAACTGTAACAGCAAACAAAATATTTTGTGGACCTAAAGGAACTCATAGATGAAAACCTAGGTTGGATAGAGAATTCTCTCTTTCAATTCCCTTTTCTCGATTCTCTTATTGACAAGAAGTTTCGGGGTGAAATCGAAAAAACCGAGAAAAACTCAGATGGAGTTGAGGATGAAAAGCTCAAAAGGAGATCGTATTGCTTTTCATTCGGAATTCAGTTCTTATAAGTTCTTATAGTTTTTTTTGGCAAGATATCAAAGTATCCAACTTGTGATACACCAGTTGATATTTTTGCATACGTCTTGCTATGGTTTCAGCTTTCCTCTCACCCATCACCACAAATATATTACTCACAAACGTTTACAACCGCCCATTTAAACCCAAATCCTCCATAAATTTTTCGGAAATTTTGTTTGAGCATTTTAAGATCTTTTACAAGCCGTTAAATTCACCATAAAATGGACAAGAAGCGATAGAAAAAAGTCCGGGTCATTCGATCCATTCGTTTCCATTCGTTTCCATTCATTTTCCCCGAAAATCGTCGGTGTTTCTTCTTTGTCTTTCCTTTCGATCCCTCACTCTCTCCATTTCCTTTAACATTTCTCCAAAGATCAGCTGACCATACCCTGTGTGTGCAGAACAGGGAAAGGGGAAAAAAGGAAAAGAAGCGGACAGGGATGGGACGACCCCTCTTTTTCCGTCTTTTTCCCATTCCCAATCCCTTCAAACAGACTTTTTTCTGTGCTTTGATTTTTCCTTGTTTTGAACAACATGATTTCCTTTTAAAGATTGCACAAAAGTTCATTGCAAGAGCTGGAAACTTAAAAGGAAATGGCCTCGAAGAAATGCTGAACCCCATGCAGAGTCATCTCCTTGTTAACTGGTTAATTTACCCCATTTTGAAGGGGATGACCAATCTAACTAAACAAAATTCTCCACAGCTTGCCTATATAGCCAATAGCTAGCCATCCCTTCAACTAATTTGTTAAAGATTTTTACATTAGGAAAGCTGATCCTTTATCTCTTCTTTCTTTTCACCAACCCTCCAATCCCCGTGAACACCCTTTGATCACTTTACCCGCATCGTTTTTTTTTTTTTTTTCCCACCCGGGTGGGCGTTTAGATTTTTACAGAGATGACTCTCTTCACCAAATGTCGATCGTTAAAAGCAAGTTGATATTTCAGATTAATCCTCGCTAAACAAAGCCGAACATACAGTTGATCTTCAAAAACTATGCCCAAACTGAGAGAGCTCAAGCTTAGTATAGAGTTGAATGTTCGCTTTACCACAAACTTTTGATTGATCGTTTGAAAACGAAAAATTTCCTTTCAAATACTCACGGATTTCTCATCTCTGATTCAAGCCACAAAAAGATGAGTAACAAAACAAAATCAGTTTGATTCTCAAACAAAATTCTCAATTTCGAACAGATGGGAAACCCTTGTTTTCCCCATGTCAACTTCATTTCCTGTTCTCAATCCTTTCATTCTTATCAAATCTATCAATCTTTTTTTGTTTCCATTCTGTAAAAGAGGACCAGTTTAGACTTTTTGCGCTAATTTGATTCTTCAAAGATAACTCCGTTAGGGGCATTGAAAATGAATCCGCTGTTTCAGAAAAGTAAAGTTTTAAAATTATGGAGATTTTGGGTCGAACTGCACCTTAATTGACTGGAATTGGACAAGTGAAACAGTTTTCTCTTTAATATTCAAAAGAAAGAAGTCTATAAGAGTTTTAGAATATTTTAACACAGCTTTTGTTGTTGTTTATTCGAAATTGTTCCACTCGCAATTATCCGGTTAGCCATTTTCTTCAAGGCCCTTCTTTTTTTCGTGTTTTTGCAAAACGCAAATCGTTGTGTTGAAGGTCGGAGGTGAAAAATCCTCTCTTCAGCTCGTCATTTCTCTCCCCTTTTCCCCTTTTTCTTTGATGGGGAAACGAGTAATTCTCCGAGGTTTTCTCCCCTCAAAAAAATGCTTCGAAATTTCGGAGAACTCTCAAAAGAGGCGCTGAGATTTCTTTTTTAAAAAGAACTGGTTATTCAGTGCGCATGTTTCTCCAATTTTGTCTTTCTCTTCTTTTTCTTTTTCAAGATCGTTTCCGGACTTCAATCTTCTCTCTTCTTCAATCTTCTTTTCAATCCAGATACAAAAATACCTAGAAAGGAAAGATGAAAAGGTATAATTGGTTTGAAGAGACAATTAGATAAAGGTTACTAATAGTTTTGTCTATTGTCTAAGTATTGACAGCCGTCATTTCAAATTCTTTTTGGAAACCAAGAATGACTGCAAGTGTATCAAAATTACCCCCTTACCTTCCCATTTTCAAAAAACCCCAATTATCCAATGTCGATGATCTCCCAGAGCGAAACGTAGACTAAACCGACTCTTCAGAAAACAACAAAAGTGCATTCCCCGTTCATTTTCCTTTTTCGATTTTATTTATTGTGCTTATTTTGATGTTGTCAAAGGTAAACAACAAAACGAGCCAGAGAAAGGGAAAGGGAAACATTCTAGTTCACCCTTTAGTTCATCGAAGATCACAATGGTTTCTGGGGGAATCGATATTGATGGATGATCTTGAACTTTTTAAGATACTCCATTTCAGCTTAATGAAACTTCTCAGAAATACAAATAGTGCTCACTTCACTGAAGACGGAAAAGGAAAACATTTTCAAAAAGTTCGCAATAACACTTTCATACCTAATTACTGCAAATATCCTTTTGGAACAAGCAGTGAGACTAAAGTAATTGAATGTTTCTAGACACTCGATAACCTTTCAGCTGCAAATCATTAGACTATTAGGTCTCTACAAGTCCAAGTCATTAAACTTCACATTTACTTTACAACCCATTTCGTTTCCGTCTCGAATCAATATTTTCCCAAACTCTTTCTCCAGTTCTTCTATCTTTGCATTGTCTTATCATTTCTAAACATTCACCATCGATTCCTCCCTCCATTTCCCCCAAAATTTTCTTCAAAAAAAACAAAAAAGAGTGAAGCTTCTATCTGTCGATCTGATGGGGAATAAAAATCTCGAGAAATGTATCATCTTTTTCTCTACAATCATCTACTTGACCAATATTTATCAGGATAAGTCCATTCCATTGAAAATCCAAAAATTCTCACTCATTTATAACCAGTAAACCTCGTTTGAAGAAAAGCTGACCAAAGGAAGGAACAAAAAACTTATTACAGCAGTTTTGTGAAGAATCTTTCTTCACATTTCAGTTGAAAAAAAGCCACTCGATAACCTCTAACCCCTTTCCCCCTTCCCCCGTTACCTTTTCCTTTCTTACTGAAACCCCATGAGCTGTTTTTTGAGAGGGAAATGGCGATGGATTTGACGAGAGAGAATCTTTCTCTGCTGGCCCACACAGCTGGCCACAAATGCATGAGAAAACCGGCAAAGAGGAAAATGAAGAGGAGAACCTTTGACTCAATCATTTTCCACAATTACATCATTCCCATCTTTTGAGGTAAACTCTGTCATTGTTGGCTGAATATTGAACATTTCTTACTTCAAATCTTAATTCCTTACATGTTTTTGAGACTTTTGTAATTTTCTAATGATTTCTTAACAATGTTCATTGAATAGATTTGATTTCAGGCGTGTCGGAGCCCCCGCCCCGCCCCTTTGCCATCCCAAGCCTGCCCCTTTAAGAAAAGAAGAGGAAAAAAGAGAGAAAAGGAGAAGATGTCGATGAAGAAAAATCAACAAGTTCCTGAATTCAAGTGAGGATTAAACAAGAACAAAAGCTTTTCAGATAATAAACAACTATTGGGTTGGTGAATTGAAAACTGCCGGACTTTAAACTAAAATTTATTCAACATAAAACCATCAATTCATTTCAAAGAGTTCCCATTATTATTGACGACTTCTGCCCATTTTACAGGCAATTTGCGGATTCCTCTTTCGTATTAGGATTTTGGTTTGTGTGTGAGACAAGTGTGAGACTCAAAAATGGAGGACTGGAGATGCCCCAGTTTGAGCACTTTCTTCAAAAGAAACCCATTTTGGTGTCAATAGAAAAGTTGTAGAGAATCAAAAATGAGGCTTATAGCCAAATTTCCAAAAAGATACACTTAGTAGTTTTGCTTAAAATGCAAGTTTTGTGAAAACTCGTAAATTTGGCATTTCTTGAAAACCAGTTTTTGGATCGTTCTGAAAATTTGGATATAAGCTTGATTTTTGATTCTCTACAACTTTTCCATTGACACCAAAATGGGTTTCTTTTGAAGAAAGTGCTCAAACTGTCACATATGGCAATAGCCCGCAGCTTTCAATTCATCAACCCAATAAAATACTAAAGTGATACTAAAGTGGACATAAGTTTTCCTCTTTGAAGCTATAAAACTCTTGCTATAAGGGATAAAAACACTCAGCTTCGTTTCCACTCTGTCAAAAGTAAAAGTTTCAAAAACAGATCGATCCCTTTGATCGATTTTCAATAATTCCTTTCTCCAAAGATCCCCAGTCATAACCAATTTCACAATTTCCAAAAGCGGCGTCCCTTTTCCATGAAATAACCGTTCAGGATTCCATTTCCAAGCAATTTCAAAACAAAACTATTGCCTAAAGGAAGGATTGCATACATAAATCTATTAAACAAAAACGGTTCACTAGACATTATGCGTTTACACAGCTCATTTCTTTTTGGTTTAGCTCAAATTTAGTTCTTTTTCAATCTCATCTTCAAGAAACTTTCAAAAATCTTTATTCCCGAACTTTTTCCAATGAAAAAAGCGTTGCCGTGATTGACAGCTTTCGGCGGGAGGGTCAAAAAAAATTCCCAAAAAAAAAAATCAAGATTTCACTGATTTTGCAAAACTTCTATCATATGATTTTATGCGTTTTTGAATCAGAAATGGGTTGAACATTTTGAAATCCGCGAAATTCCACCGTTTTCTTTTCCTTTTTCTTATCAGCTTACGATTTGTCGGCAAAATATGAGGGAAATATTGCAAAATTTGGGGTAAAAATTCGGGGTGTTCGAATGGTTTCGAAAAGTTGACTCACGGCGCCTTAAAGTCTCGCAAATTTGGGGGAAAACGTTGAACTTATCTATTTCTGCTATTAGTGAACTAAAAGCAGTTATTTGCTACTGAGTTTGAGTGGATTTGTCGCGTTTCTCAGCCGGTTTATGAGCAATAAAAATGACATTTCGATATTGTACTATAAGCCATATAGTACTTTCGTTATTTTTTTTAAATTTCATTCCAACCTTCCAAATAACACCTCTGAATTGTTCACATAAGATTACTTTTTACAAAATATAAGAAGAAGAATTGTGAAACTTCTTTCATTCCAAATTGCGCTCCAAATTACAACACTTTCCAGTCACTTGATCACTCATTCAATCAGAAAAAACTTTATCGCTTTTTGCCAATCGTTGAACGAAAACGATTTTTGCTCGAGAAGCGCCGGGGAATGAATCAAAAATGGAAAAAGAGAGAAAAAGGAAAAATTGGGGAGAAGAGACTCAGACATGTGACCATTTGTGACACTCACCGCCACTCACAAAAACCGAAAAAGGCAGCCGATCAGCTGTTTTGAAAGAGGGAATGCCCGAGAATGGACACTATTCATTTTACATTTCATTCTTTTTCTCGACTACCAGACATTTTGCATAACAAATTTGTGATTGGCATTTCTAGCGTTGAACTGAAATCGTTTCGATTACTAGATCTACCCTTTGAATCATTATTTATTTGAAATTTGAGAAATATTGAGTCAATTGTTTTGAGAAATTGAAACTTGAAGCTTGTTTATAATCTTCCAATAATATTTCCTTTTCAGCGACATGGAGTTCCCCGAATTGGCGGTAACTCAAAAGGAGGCAATGGCGACACGAAGAGCGGCAGGCAAAGGGAAATGGCATGCGGCTGATCGCAGTTTGAGGTCAATTATATACAGGGTGTCCCAAAAAGGAGGTCTTTACAAAGGGATTTTTTTGAAAAAGTTTAAGTGGCTAGACGTGGCATTCCTGATGTCAAAACTGTTTTTTCTGTGTCCCTGATGGGCCACTTATCGATTGCGTGTCTACTGATTTTCGTTGGATAAATTACTGACTTAGGGAGGCTTCGGTGGGAAACCCTTTTACATCCGCCGTATAAACCAGATATTTGTCTACCTAACTATCGCTTATTTAAATCTATACAACTTTTTCTAGATCTTTTTATATCGGGTTAGCGCCTATGAAACGTCGGATTTTTCAAAAATACCCAAGTTTCTTGAACTTCATGTTTTGCTGCCCCTGCGGACCGAAATCCTTGGGATGAATCCAAAAATTCACAGCGGCTCCCTTCAGCACCCTTTTACAGGCACTTGGGATCCCCTGCGGGGGGGCCGAGGCCGAAGTTATTTTGGGGGGCGGTACCGATGGGGCAGAACCCACGATTGGTACCGGATGGCCCAAAATGGACGCCCCGATTGGCCCGTGAAAAAGGCGGTGTCTGCCAACACTACAGCCGAACGATTGTACCGCACAGGAAACACAGCGATCCTCTTTGTGTTCTGTGTGTTCCCTGTGCGCGAGTACAATCGCATCGATTTGGCGTACCTAGCAGGTGTTTTTTTTTCACTCACCAATGGGAAGCTTCCCAAACACTTCGGTAGAATTGGCAATACCGGATGACCCAAAATGGACGCTTCCGATTGCATGCCAAGTGCCAAAAAGAAAAGAAAAATGCACTTCGGGTCAAGTTCTAAAAATATTTCTGGTGGCTCTAGATAGTAGGTATGGTGTGAAAATTATTTTCTTGGGGTCGGGAAATTTGGGTGTTTTTTCATGATTTTTACCATATCACGACTCTCTCTATGCAAGAAATTTTTGGCCACCATGGTCACCACCACCATGAGACTTTTGCCATAAAATTAAAACTTTCTATTGGCGTCGTGGTGCATAATAAATACTATTAGGATAACTACAAATTTAAACCATACACTTTATTGATCAGCGTTTCCTTGGAAAAACGGGACACTTCTTTAAAAAAGGCGAGTTGAAAATCTATTATGTATGACAGATTATCATATAATGTAGATGAATAAAGTTTTTGGCTGAACATCTTAGTTTATATAATAACTCTAATATGACACCAAGATACAGTACAAAGTTTTAATTTAATTTTTATTTTAGGATCGCTGTGGCCCAAGGGGGGCACATATGGGCCACCACCATGAGGCTTTTGTTTTAAACACCAGGAATGTGGTTGTGACCATGGTGGCGAAAAAATTTCACGAATAGTGGGGTCATATAATCAAAAAATTCTCACAAAAAGTCAAAAAAATTGAGACACAGAAAAAACAGTTTTGACATCAGGAATGCCACCTCTAGCCATTTAAACTTTTTCAAAAAATCCGTTTGTAAAGACCGCTTTTTTGGGACACCCTGTATTATTGATGAACTGTATTTATACAGTTTATGCAAACCACATTATGGTGCTCTTGTAACGCAATCATCCATTCATTACAGGCGTGAAGCGGCGGTGAGGGCGGTGATCACCAAGACGGTCCATCAATCCGAAGTGGATCATCAACTCGGAAAAGTTCGTTCATTTGTAGATAATTTGTAGATAACATGCACTTGATTTGTAATTGTATTTAATTTCAGCGTCGTCTGGCACGATTGATCTCCGAGTCGGGTGATGGACTGGCCGTCGAGGTGCCATATTCGATGAATCGGAAAGCTCGTTGGGCGGTTAGTCACATCATTTTATTTCTTATTTAGTTTCTAGTAACTTGTAGATATTTTTAAATGGCTCTTTTTATATCTCCAATAATTTAGTCGGCTTTGGCTGAAAGTCTCCTCGCTTACGAACAACCTGAAGGAGCTGAGGTCACCGTTGTGGAGGCCATTCAAACAAGAGGTAAAAAGAAGAGAGTTTTTGAAGATTATATAAAGTTATGTGATTCACATTAACATTTAACATTTAGCCAACGATCTGGCCACTGCTGTGCATCGTTTGAACGAGGATGGCTCGGTGACGACAGCTAGAGCAAATGGATACACGGCAAAAACGGAGACGCTCAGAGGAAATGCAAGCAAGAAAAGAAGAGAGGCAAAAAGATCGGCGAGGAATTCAAGGGTTAGTTAAAAGGCATGAGCTTTTAGACATGTATTTCTAGAACGAACCACCAGCTGAGCTGAACGCCGAATCGGAAGAGGAACAAACGCCGGCACTCCGGATTGATTACACGATTCAACGAACTCATGTAAATCCACGAGCTGCTATGAAGAAGGCGCAGAAAAGTGAGCAAAACTCAGCGTTGTTTTGGAAAATTTTCAATTTCAGTATACAATCGAGAGCGAATCATTCGTCGTGCAGGTGCTTTCCGAGTGGATCCCGATGATTTGGAGAATGGAAGTGAAATGGAAGCGAGTATTCATGATGATTCCGATATCTATAAACCATCAAGGGATTTCAGGTAAACAAAGATTGTGTCTGATTAGCTTATTAACTTCAGATTCTCCCTGGCCGATTACATGAGCACTCAAGTGAATGGCATTGAGATGGTGAGACGGGCAAGTGTTGAAGCGACAACGATCCTTGATGCTGAACTGGAAGATGCTCTCAGAGATCAAGATCATCAGCTTTTGGTTTGAATTTTAGCATATTACTGAAAACATTCATTATTCATTCAGAAAATCTCGTTGTCCGCTCAAAACAATGACATCGTTGACATCTCAAAGATCGCCCAGATTGAATCATTCTTTGAGGCTTTCGACCTATCAACAATTGAATGGAAAGATTTCCATTTCATCAATCAAGTGAATACTTTTGCAATGTATTACTTTTATTGCTATATTTTAAGATTGATTCATTGCCTAAAGACTTCCCAACAAGATGGTTGGATGCGGATCGAAGAAGAGTGATGATGGATCTCACAAAGATGATCACAAAAGATGAGCCAATCGAGAAACCACTTTTGATGGTTGTTCTCGAGAAGACACGCAGAAATCACATCAGGTAGTTTTATTACAATATCAAGGTGCAAATTCAAATTCTCATGCAAACAAAAGCCACTTTAGGATCATCGTCAACTCCACCATGACTCCATCGAAAGCTTTTGAAAAGGACGCGCTCAAAGATCTTCTCTCAGCTGAGGGATCAAAGGGACTTTTGAGCGTTTTGCAAACGATTGGAACTCAAGTTGGAGAGTGGAAGAAAGAGTTTGTTTTATCACTGAATTTTACTCAGAAACTGCCGATTACAAGTCACCTTTCTTTTTACTTTTCAGTCTCGGATTAAAGCCCTCCTCTCCATCATTCATTTCTCGCCGTGTTCTTCACTCAACCTCAGCCAACAGTCGTCATTTGTCCAATGTGGCTCACACAATCGATCACTACAGTATGGCCGAATTGTTGAGGAAAGAAAATGAGGTAAGATAAAGATTAATTCAAGATATTAGCATTTACTGAGAAAAGCCATAACCTAACTCTTTTCAGCTAGCCACCGACACTTTTGAGCGACTCTCATCAGATGAATGGAGTGAGTGTGATGACGAGGAATTCGAGAGTGTCAATCCCATCAAACCAGTCACTGTGGTGAGTATTTTTCAATTTGAAAGTATTCTTTTCATTTGCAGAAATGTAATTCTTGTGAGTGCTCGGATCCGGCGGAACTCTTTGAGATGGATGACTCGTGGGAGTGTCGAGAGTGTCTCCGAGTTCAAATTCTGAGTCAAATTCGATCCAATCAACTTCCGCTACAATTATCGGTTAGTTTGTAACTCTACTGTATAAAATAAAGTGCTCTTTTCATTGGAACAGCTTTTCCAGTTGGTTTGTGCTGCGGGTCAGTCTCCATACGATGTTCTGGCTTGTCTCTTGCCGCTTCCATTGATCAATTTCTACACAAGAATTGCCGCTACTGAGGTATGCAAATAAAGGCTTGATTGAATTGAAGAATTAAATGAAGTAAATATCTTTTCAATTCAATTTCAATATTCGTCCAATTTCCAGGTGTTGAAAGATTCGGGTTCAGCCATTGGCGAGCTCACTGAATGTCCTGGATGTGCCCATTTGGCACATATCGATCGACCAAATGGTCAGTGAAAACTTTAAACTACACATAAACAACTACAAGATATTTACTTCAATCAATTCTTCAATTCCAGAAACCTCATCGTGCGTTTGTTCATCTTGCGGAGTGCTTTGGTGTGTCTCGTGTGGATTCGAGCCACATTGGCCAATGGATTGTGCACAACGAGCGGCCTGGGTTGAGAAATTCGACAAGCAATGTGATTTTTGATTTTAAAGCTATCAATAATAAAATGTTTTCATTTTAAATGTTATTTTTAGACTCTTGCGACACGATGAAAGATCAAATCGACAAGTTTATTCGTCGGATCACCTGCGAGTGTGGAGTGGTTATCGAGGTGAGATTGAATGCAAAATAATTTGATTTTAATCTATTTAATAGGACCTTAAAACAACTTGTTACCTTAAAACATTATTCGAAAAACTTTTCAACAAAAAATTCAGGTGGGAGATCTGGTCACCCAAGCTGAGTGTGCTATGTGTCGTCTCGAGTTCGATCCCCGAACAATGACCCTTCTGAAACCACAATTCCAGTATGATTCAAAAGCACGAAAGGGAAATTATCATGCGGTAAGTTATCGGGTAGTTTTTAAAAGTCTAATAACTTGTTAAAAGTCACTTTTCTAAAATATCTTTTTTCAGAAATCGATGCCCTTTTATCACAAGAAAGTCGAGCTCATCCAACCAACACAGCTCATCTCAAAACAATATTCTGAGGTAAGATATCAAAAAAAGCAAAATTTCAGTGCAGACAATATGTAAATATTATTCAGGTGGCCACTTGGGCTCGTGGTGAGCGTCTTTCCGAGGTCAAAGTGAACACTTTCGAGAAAATGATCCGAAAATGGGACTCAAAAGAGGTCGATCGTGCTAGAGAGGCTCGCAAAACTGTTCGTTTGTTTAAAAATATATAAATTCATTTACTTAAAGTATAGTGTGCAAAATTAAATTTCCATTTCAGCTTCTTCACTTGCTTGAAAACGGTACCGCATGGCTTTATCTGAACAAAAAGGAGCAAGGTGTGAGGGTGGCATTAAATGCTCTACAGGTAAACAAGAATTGAAAGCAGTGCTTAGAACTAGTTCATACTTATTCAGACATCGAGACAAGTGGCAAATATCAATTACCAACATCTTTTTCCAGAAACAATTCTCCGAATTCACTCTCGAGGCTGAGCGTCTCCGTGTCCCTTGTGATGAGCGTCTTCACGAATTGGAGATCTCCATCGGGAACACAATTGATGCCTTCAAGGCGGCTCTTCAACCTCCAAAACACAACAAAGACGACTGAGTCGTTTCCCCGTCCCGAGTCCACTCATTTTGTACATAGGATCTAGTGGATTAGTGCGTTTTTCTCAACTTCTTATATGGACATAAACTTTTGTAATTTACCGATTTGTAAATAGCAATAAGGGAACGGTGAATTGAAGATCGCCTGGGAATTTCGAATTCGAAATTCGAATCAACTCTCTTCCCAGTATCGTCTCCAATTTCCCAAAATCTTTTTATCTTCAGGTATTATTTTTTTTCCTTTTTTTTTTCAAATCCCCATTGTGATGCACATATTCGCTTTCTGTATTCTTCCGAAGAATTCTGCCATTATTTTTTTTATTTCTCTCATTTTTATCGTCGAATTTCTCTCAGGCTATGTAAAAAGTGAAATAGATATTTTGGAAGGAACTTTTTTTTTTCTTTGTTCTTCACTTTTTTTATGATTTTCAATTTTTTTCAAACATCTTTTCAAAGCTTTTCTTGTCGTTCTTCCAAAAACGCGCACTTTCTAGCACACAGCTGCTCTGTGGCTTATACATATGCCAGAAAGTGTGCGTTTCTCCGAACACAAAGTATTTCCCCCGTGTTCCTTTAGTATTAGTTCCTTTAGTAGCTTCTGTAGTGGGTTGAGAATTCCGAAAACGTTTTGAAAGCGAAATTCAGCATTCCCAGCCCACAAAAAACCTTTCAAAAACCCCAAAAACATTTGTAAATATTTGTACAGAAATATTGTAAGTATTCAATTGTACACAAAATTTCTGGGATTATGAAGGCCAAAAATATGATCTAAGGGCTGGCCCCGAGGCTCAAAATCCCCAAAAAAAACTTCAAGTTTCAAATAATTCACCCAGGAAACCTCAAAAAAAAATCCGAGAAAACGCCAGAAAAATGTTCAAAAATATTATTATTTTTATGAATTCGAACCAATTCTTTTATTTTTTGATAAAATCCTAAAAACAAACACCTTTTTTTGAATTGGTTCCGAGTTTTTCCCCTCGGCAAACGATACAGCCGCTTTTGTGATTACGAAATGACACCACATAGTACCGTAATTGAATTCTAAATAATATCCGCTCACTTGCAAGTGTGCCTATACTGAAGATCTTCTTTTGAGAAAATTCCCTTTCACTATCACGAATTTTTCTCTATCCTCAATTTCCATCACATTGCTATTCTGAAGGTCGATTTATCGTACCCCGACAAAAAAAAACTGTAGTCATTTTTTTAAATTTCTGCAATTTTCATCAATTTCCTCAATTTGTCTTCTTAAATTTCCGGTTTTCTAACTTAATTTTTAATGATTCTCTCAAAATAAAGATTTGATAGAAAGACAAATACGATATGAGATATCAGATATCAGATAAGTGATGCGAGATAAGTGATGTGAGATCACTGATATGAGATCACTCTACTCGATTCTCAACCCAAGCCAACAAACCCAACAAATTATGAGATCACTCCGTTGATTAGATCAGATCAGATCAGATCCAAATCGATCTATTCCAATAATTTATTTCAGCCGGTAACCAGTAAAAAACCGAGATCACTAGGTTTGTGTTCAACGAGCGAAAATTGATTCCGTGTTTTTTTGATGAATTTGTGGATTTTCGCTTTGATAGAAACCATTTTGAATGGCCGTCGGCGTTTCGGGGGCAAATTTCGTATAACGTGTTGAGTCGAGCTGCAAAATCAAATAAAATCTCAAATTTTTGTTAAACAAAAAATATTGAATTGATTCGCAAACGTACATCAGCCGCCAATCCTCGATCCTCATCAAAATAGGCGCCATCTTTGACGAGGAAGAATTTCGAGATGTTGAACTGTGGGAGATCGTAAAGAGATGAAAGGAAAAGCATCATACAGCAAAGACCGAACAGGAGATAGACTGCAAATGGATGGAAGATTGGATGAAAGATTCATTGTGAAAGATCTTCGTATTTCCCCATTTACATTTAAATGCGTACAACTCCAATTTCGCTTAAAATTGCAATACCTGTAGCCAGAAATTTGTAGAATCCGCGAAACTCGACATCGGGACCATCTCCCGGTTGATAATCACCTAAAAAAATTATGGTTCACTTTGAAATCTCATTCCTTTTGTTTTTACCCAATCCAATTGTTGTCAGTGAAACAAAACAATAATAAAAAGCGTCCAAAAATGACCAATCATTCTCGATATTTGAAAAGATCCATGATGGAATGATGAAAGCAAAGAATAAAAGAAGACTCATGATTGCGCCGAGATGGAATAACTGAGAAAACAAGTCTGTTTTTGCAAATGTTCAACCAGCTCACCTGTAGCTGTGATTCTCCAAAGAGATGTCCCAATTTCGCGTTCAGCTTTGATCGCAGCCAAACAGAAGGTTGTTTCATTCTATTTGTTTCATATCAAATCCTAACAGCTAGATTTACCGGGTGACAAGTGCTGATAACAAAGCCAACGCCAGCGGGATCCCTACAACACAATAAATGATTGTGAAGAGTTTCCCATGAGCCGTCCTCGGCGAAACTCGACCGTAACCTAAACTTTCGAATATTTTCTACTTAGAGCTATACAATTTCTCTTATCTCTCACCGACAGTTGTGATCAATGTGCCGGCAAAGAAAAACGCGGATCCGAGACTCCAATTCGGGTCATTGGTCACATTCTTCTCCATCCAAATCCCATTCAGAGACGCTTCTCGAATGTTTCGGAATAAGTGATCGACTTCTGATTCTGAAATTGAATTGTCGAATCATTCCCGTTCCACCCACCCACCTTCAATTCCCAAATCGATCAATCTCTCTGTCCATTGCGCACGATAGTCCAAATATAGTTCCATCTCAATTCTAAACAAAGTATTGTAGCTGACGATGACTTGAAGAAGTTAGACTTTAAAGCACCTTTTTGACTTTTGTTTGATCACATTCTGATCATTCTTTTCACTCACCTTTCCATCGGGGACTCGATTCGACAAAAAACGATGGCTCCAACAAAAAGATACACAAACATTACGCCCAATCCAACCAATAATCGTTTATTCGTTTCTCTCATCGTTTCCGCGTTTACTCGGATTTGAGCAAGCATCTAAAGAAAGATCATCTCACCATTTAGTCAACTAACAAGCTATTCAATTACATACATTATTTTGCATCGAAAAGAGCTCCAATCCCATTGTTGCGAAGTGGGAATGGATTGACTGACTGAAATCAAGTATTTCTTAAATAATTAAATAAAAAAACTTGACGCTATCAAGGGTTAAATTGAGATTACAAAGTAAAGATCAGCTTGAAGATAAAGAGAAAGAATTAAAGATAAAGAATTAAAGATTAAAGATCGATTGTTTTGTTTGTTGAAATCGAAAACAAAATCCTCCTTTTCTCCATTCTAGAATAGTAGAAGGGAATAGTAAATGTGGGGTCTTTGAACCAAAAAAAAAAGCCTTTTCCTTTCTTTTTTGACTAGTACGATGCGAAGAAATTTGGTTAGAATTGAGGTCCGAAAAAAGGGATAAAGAGAGAAATACCTGGATATGTTTGGGGGAATGGAAAACACAACAAGAGATAAGAGAAAGTTTTGGTTAATGATATTAGAAAACTCTAGCTTGTTAACTGAATACCTTTTCTTTTACAGTAATGCATTGATCTCCCCATGAACATCAATGTTTTATCTTTAGAATTTCATCAGAGATCTGATGAAAATCCAATCGAAAATCCCTCTTTCAAAAATCCAATCGAAAATTGAAGTACCCGTCTTGGAGAAGAAAAAGAACAGCTATTTGATAAAGGTTTCTTATCCAAAAGTCGATTGAAAAAGAATACGAAAAGAATAAAGAACATCTTTTAGAAAAGAGCCCCAACCTTGTTTCTACCAAAAAAACCGCTGTTCTCCGAACTAAAGATCATCATCATTTGTGAAGGAATGAATTACCATGAAACAACTCTAGATCTAGTTCCAATAAGATTCTATTTTCTTTGAAGACGAATTAAAATCTAAACGAATGGATGCCAATCTTTAGATGAAAGTTGAAACTTTCATAATACAAATAACTCAAAATATCACGACCAATCATCTCTTTTTGAGTGGACAGGAATGGAAAGAGAAGTGAGATCTCCCGCACTTCTCCCCTCGAAACTGCCGTCTGCCCCTTTGCTTCTTCTCCCTCCATCAGTCCCTCGGGGTCATCCTCCTTTCCCTTTCCCCTTTCCCCTTTCCTTTTTTGGCCATTCCTTCCAAAATCGTCTATTTTCCCTTCCCAAATCTTCTCCAAATCCATCATCTTTTCTCTGGACATATTTTTGCGAAAGTTTGACTGCGAGTGAAGGGATGACGAATACTCGATACGGGGAACACCCATTGCAATGCATTGCCCCTCTTTCCCTATCTTTCTACTAACATCTGTTTTTCCGGGATTTCTGGAAGAATAGTAGTAGTGATAGATTCTATTGTTAAAAAGTGTTTGAAAGACAATTCAATCCCTGGATTGTCGAGTGAATTCTGTCAAAAACCGATGAGTAAGCCGAGTAAGCCACACATATTTGTTTGCCAGATGAATACACTTCTGAATTTAACAATAGTATCTTCAATCCATTTTGCTTTTCAACATCTTTCAATTGGTTAAAAGGAAAAGCTGTCATGAACAGACATTCATACGGATTTTGATGGGGAGATGGGAAAAGAAAGGATGAAAGCCAAAGAAAGCATATCGGTATGGTGATTGCCACAAAGGAAAACGAAAGAATTTGCAATTCAAAAAGAAAATTACGGATTTAATAATAAATTTTGGCGTTATTAAGTGTTACTTTGGTCCAAAAATATGCTAATTGACCTAAAACAAAGCAATCATCTAAAAAGAGTCTCGTAGCTAGCAGACGACACTTCAACCCTTGCTTACTACGTGTTTTTACTACGTCTTTCAAGTCTAAACAAAGCCCACTCCTTCTCCCTCACTAAGCCTTGTCTAGTATCTAACAAGAAGTTACCCCTTTTCCTTTCTAAAGCCAAAAGATTTAGTGTCCATTCTCTCTTCACAAAGGCTTAGAATTTAGCGTCCATTTTTTCTCACTCGATTACATCATCAATAACAAGGAATCCCGAAATGGGGAAGAGTTGAACGAAAAAGGAAAATGAGAAAATGCGAAAATAAAAGTGAATCTATAAAAATCTTTCTTTTTCCTTGTTCAATAAAGTCAAAAAGTGGGTGTGAGAAAAATGCGGTGGCTACAAAATTTTCGGATTTGTTTTGCAGAGAAGTTTTTACGTTTACTATCGCGAATCTACAATAGATTCTTCGTAAAACACAAAAGATGGAAACTATGAAATCAATGGTTTAGATTAAACAATACAAATCACAGATAAATGCTCTAAAGCAAAGTTCTTTAGCATTAAGTATGATCAACTAACTACAGCAAATTCATATTGCATTCTTACACTCGAAACCTAATTTCCCAGTTTTTTTTGCTTTTCAATTTGGTCTTTCGCACTCCATTTTCTCTCTTTTTTTCTTCTTCTAAGTGCAAAAACATGGGAATCGCGGGTCAGGTTACGTGGGAGAAATTGAAGAAAAATACTCTTTCGAGTGACGATTTATATCAAAAAGAGGATTACAAAAAAGTCTCAGAAGAAGTCTCAATAGTTTTAAGCATTTAAAAGTAAATTTGAGCTCTATTATAAAATATTTCTGCAAAACATCCCACTTCTTAACTATCGTATCCAAAAGTAAAGGAAAAAGATTTGAGGTAAATATGCAAAAAAAAGAATAGGGTCCTTTACAGAATTGGGTCCCAGAATAACCCCTCTTAGAAATCCCCTTATTTCTTTTTCCCATCAAAGAATGGGTATCCGATCGCAATCTTTTCCTTTTTCCTCAAAAAAAGATGTCCAATCTTTTCTCGTGGAGAATAATGTCCCTCCTCTTCATGCAACCCCAATTATTTTGGGTTTCTTCAATGGAAAATAGTTGGGCTGGGGTTTTTGAGCATAGGATAAGGATTGCAGAAATTATATCAGAGCTTGAACTGCTTGATTAACATTTGTTTAAGTTATTCTGACACGCTTAGCTTTAAAACTTGTAATAAGTTGGAGATTTCAGATTTAGGCGCAGAATGAAACCAAGTATTGAGCCTAAACTACTTCTTACAGCTATGAGATTGGTGGGCCTGCTTAATTTGTGAGGGTTGAGTTGTAGGTAAACACGCATATCATTCTCCAAAAAAAAATAAAGCAATCACGGGGTGAAATAATGCCGCTTGAGAGCTAGATGGAGAGGTGGACCCTATCCACTCCTCACCTTCCACCCTCACCTTCCACTCCTCACCTTCCACTCCTCACCTTCCACTCCTCGCCTTCCACTCCTCGCCTTCCACTCCTCGCCTTCCACTCCTCGCCTTCCACTTCTCCCCGTCCACCCCCTCCCCCAATTATTCTCCCCCCTATGGCCCCATTTTCGTTTCTCTTTTCATTTCTTTGTCTTTTGGTGGATTCTATTCCAGATATCCGTCATCATCCATTCAATCTCCAATCCCCCAAAAATCTTTTACACAATCAAAGAGAGCTGGCGATTGGGAGATGCTCCAGCTCTTAGAGTTGAGAGTTAACCACATCATTTGAGTTCAGATCTCTTCATTTTCTAAGTACTACATATATTCATTCAATTAACAAATGCTGCGTTCAAAATTCCAATGCTCATAACAAAAAAAGAAAAAAAACCAATTAACAATCAGAGAAAAAGGGTCCGAATGACCAAAAATCTGAGCTCTGTACACGTGAAGAGACTAATTGAGATTGAGAAGACACAGAATACGATTAATTACTAGAATTCGTAAAATCTTTTTTGACACAAACCTTTCAAAAAGTTTCCTAGTCGATTGGTTCAAAACTCCTTCAAAAGCGATGTTTCGAAGCGCTTTCATCAATCCCGATTTCCTGGCAGCACAGGTGAGAGAATTTTGAGGATTTTTGCTATTAGTTTTCTAATTTTAATTCAGGTTTCTGCCCTACATACGATTCAAAAAAATGAAACCTGACTTTTAACTTTTAACTTTTTGATTTCCTTGTTTCCTTCCATGCTCCTCAAAATTTCAGGAAGCCTGTCGCTCTCTCGATGCCTCAACAATTATCGAACTGAAGATCTTCACCATAATCCAACTTTTTCTCTTCTTTTTATTGCTTGTGATCATTATCAAGCAACGCCGAGTATTCCATCCATTCTTCACAATATTTTTGGGTATAATGATCATCTCGTATATCACGATCGGAATCTTGGCTCTCATTCAAGTATCCGCTGATTATCTTGAGGTAAGTTTACTAAAGACAAATCAACAATTACCATAATAATATTGTTCAGATAAAAGCTCAGAACTACTCTCGATTTCTATTTTTGGTGATAAACTTTATCTATTATTTTGCAATTCCCGTGAATGTTATGTGCACTTTGGAGCGACTATTTGCCACTTTTTACTTCAGAGATTATGAAGGGAGAAGACCGTGGTTCTTCCTCGTTTCAGCTTTTACACTTGGGGTCAGTTGTTGGCATTGGCGTTGGCTTTGTTATCAGCAATTGTCACTCGGTAAATCTAACTGTTAGGATTTGAGATGAAACAAATAGAGTGAAACGACCTTCTGTTTGGCTGCGATCAAAGCTGAACGCAAAATTGAAATTGAATTGAATACCATTCAATATTCAACTAACATTCAACTTTACGACTAAAAGCTAAAACCTTGAAGATCTCAAATTGAGTTACAATTAGTGAATGACTTTTAGGGTCTCCGAATTGAATAATTATTGTTTAGGGTCTCTTCTCGATCGGTGTCATCGCCAATATGGGAGGTTCGATCTTTCTAAAAACATTGAATCCATTTTGCTTTGAATAATTATTGTTGATGAATTTCATGCAAAGAACATTCTATTTAGATGGTTCAACCCCAACATTCTTCTCGACTCCCGTGCAAAATATACTCTATCTCAGCTCGGCCATTTCACTCATTGTAAGAAAAGAGCCAAATTAACAATCTTGCAGTGTTTTCAAAACCTATCTTTTCCAGATCTCATTCTTTGTGGTTATTCTGAACATTCACTTGATGAGGAAAAACTCGGGTGATCGACATTCAACACTCACATCAAGATATCAGTTAACAGAAAATATTAAAGGTAAAGATAAAAGTTATCACAAATATCCATCCTATTTCAGCAGTTCGAATCGTTCTCCCTTTCATCTTCATCGACAATTTGATCACCCTCACCGATCTACTCACAGCCAAATACTTGAATGTCTCATCATTTTACAACTCTTCGATGTGTTTGGCTTCTTATGATCGCTACGTTATTGTGTTCACCGGGATTGCCACAGTAAGTTCGTTGAGTGAGCTTCGGTTCAATTACCCAACTTGGCACTAGTCCGAGAATCGAATCTCAATCAATCCAATCTCAATCAATCCAATCTCAATTAATCCAATCCGTCGATTTCCCTCAGATCCGTCATTTGCTTGTCCTCGCAATGCCACTCTCGATTCTTCTCTTCAATTCAACAATTTATCGCCCAATCATCGATTTGATGAAACACTTTTTCCACCTACGCCGACCGAAACGAATTGCCAACAAAAATGAATTCAAAAATGTTTTGGGGAAAACGATAACTTTCGGTCAATCACAGGATGAATATTTTGCACAATTAGCGAAAAGTTGGTGACGTTTCCCCGATTCTTTCGATATCAAATAAAATGTTTTTATTTGATTTTCAACAGTGCTTGCTCATTCCACTTCTTTTTGTGTTGTCTTTTCCGATGAACGGCGATTCAAAATTTTGTCACTTTCTGAAGAAATCATGATTCGTTCAGTTTCAAGTTACAGAAAGGCTTTTTCATTTTCATTTTACAAAAACAAACTTTTTCTGCCTAAGAAGTTTACAAAGGCGGATTTCCCTGGAGAATTGGACGTATTTTTTGATGGAATAAAATGTTTCAAAAGTTTTTTGAGCAACACGCAAATCTTAAGCCTCTTTTTCAAGCTTTTGTAGCCTAGCTTTGAAAAATTGTGCCCGATTTTGCGTGACCGACAAAAACGACATCAGACTTTGTATTTGTAGTTCAAAATCCTTAGACTCTTTCTGTATTTACGTTCATTATTTTGAGGATTTAATTCATGCATAATTTGATGGATAATAAGCTACTAAAAGGATAGTTTTCAAGTTCAGCTCAGTAGACATGTCTATTTTCGAGCTTTGGCGGCCGGGTCGGGTCAGCGGGTCGGATCAAAATATAAATCCAAATTTACCAAATGTTTTTAAGAAAAGTTATTAACATAGGTATTTACTGAGTTCAGTATGCTTTATCGAACCTTAAAGCCAAAGATATCATAGATCAAAAGGTGCTACCCGATCTTCCTGCCACCGACTTGCCCATCAATCTATCGCACCAAAGGGCTGTTCGCTGCAAAAATCCAAACCAATCCATTCTACCATTGTATTTAAGAGCAAACCTCAATTAAAAACTTCGCAAATTTTCGAAACCCATGATTACCTTCTCACAATCTCCACTTTTTAATCCCTCCTTCCCTCAGATCAATTCTTCACATCCCCCTTCCCTCACATCTTCACACTTGATCACTCGCCGTCTCATTCAGTTGATCTCATGTGAAAAATTTTGCATCAGACATGCCTATTCTTTTGAATAATTTTGGAAATACAACGGAAATAGATTTTAAACAACCAATTATTATGAGGCAATTATGAGAACGGAATGGGGAGAAAAAAATGAAGAAATGTCTTTCTTTGAACTGAATCCATCGATTTCCATGTTTGTTTGAAACTTGAAAGTCTATTAGCTTTATTTTTTTTTATTTACTTTTAAAAAAACAATTTCTATTTCTAATTCTTTTTGCAACAGGTGAATTCGAGTTCATTCAATGTCTCTTTCGACAAATGAAACCACAAATGCGACGACGTCGATTTCGGTATAGAAAATGTTACAATTAGATAAAGGTTACTAATCGTTTTGTCTATTGTTTAAGTATCTAAGCATTCCTATTGATTTTCATTTAATGTCATCGGTGAGTTAAATGGTTTATCTGTAGCTCTAGAGACAAAACAAAGTTATGCTTAAAAATCTCAAGAACAAGAGCAAACGTCTAGAACATTAACTTTATAATGATTTCCCCGGAACTTTCAGTCTCTCTGCATTACAACTCAAACAATCTCTGATTTTGAGGGTTTTATTGGTGGTCTTATCGTTCATCTTCCCTATTATTTCCTCTTCTACTCGATTATTGTTCAATGGAAGGCTTTTCATCCATTTTTTGGGCAAGTTTCAAACACAATTCGTAGGATGGACGTTTAAAAATGGTACACCCTTTCTGAGACACAAAATTTTACAGAAATTTCAAAACACGAAGTACATTTGAAGATAAAGTTTGTCAACACAAGCCTAGCGTTTCCTTCCCGTTTTTCGACACAATTATAGAACAATTAAAAAAAGAGAAAGAATACATCGACTCCCCAGGGCGACACCTTCTTTGTCAGAAGTTCCTGGTTCACATTATTTTATCTCAATTTAGATTAACCTTTGGCGCTTTTCTTCTCTCATATATTGTCATCGGGATTCTCATTCAATTGGTGTTATTGTTCAAATATTTGGCAGTAAGTGATGACAGTTTATCAGTTTCAAATACAGGAATCTTGAGCACAAAAAACAAACGTAGAATCACGTTCAGCTTTCCGATGGAGCACTGTTTCTCTTCATCACAGACGCAACCGATTTCATGTACTATTTCATTCTTCCAATCAATCTCATTTGTGCTCTTGAACGACTTTTTGCAACGATTTTCTATCGAAAATATGAGAAAATGAGGCCATACACAGCTGTGCTCATTGCGTGGCTTTTAGCGGTTTGATGAAATAGTTCGCCGATCTCAAAACAAGTATTTAGATTGGTTTTGGAACGTTGCTGATAGCGAACGAAAATAACTCAAGTTTGTTGTCATCCATATGATCCAAAAGAAATGAAAATCTAGACGGTTTCATGTCTCGTTTCGTGCAATTCGCAATGTACGCTGGCTCGATGATTTCGGCTTTGGTGGGTTAAATCTCTCGAAGTTGAACCAAGAGCGGCTAAAAGTTGTGCATGGATGTCCCTTGTAAATCAATCACTTCAGATTTGCATCGGCGTCATTCTCACCAACATCTACATGACAAAAAGGTTGAGCGGCGGAAAAGGAAAACATCCACTCACTGCACGATATCAACTTGCTGAAAACATTAAAGGTAAGTTCATCATCTTTAGCAGTGACCAGTTTCAGTCCATTTCCCATTTGAATAGTTTCGTATCACCAAATTCAGCTGTTCGGATCATTCTCCCATTCATCTTCATTGACAATTTGATCACATTTCTCGAGCTTTCCTGGACCGTTCTCTATCAAACATCAGCTACTTACAATGCTGATCTTTGTCAGAAAGATCCCAATACTTACATATGGCTCTTCTTGGCACTCATCTTTGTGAGTTCAAAACAAAATCCAACAATTTATTGTAGCGAATTGCTCAACCATCTAACAAAGTTTAACATTTTATTTATCAAAAATCCCATGTCCAGCCGTACCTATTCTTCTAGAGACTATACTTTGCAATCAAAAGACTCTCAATTACCCATTTCTAGAACAACAGCCAACCTCAATTTAACCAAAAAAAAACTTTAAATTTTAAGATCCGTCATCTAATGGTTGTCTCAATCCCGCCCATCATCTTCTTCAACAGCAAAACTCTGCGAAAGCCAGTGATAAAATTGTATTATCGATGGTTGTCCCCTACAAAGGGTCGTATCTATTCAAGTGATTCGATAAAAAGAAGAAAAGAATTCCGAAATGTAATCGGAGAGAAAGTGATATTCGCCCAATCACAAGATCTTTACTTTGCACAATTGGCTGCTAGTTGGTAGCCAGGAAAGGTTTCATTGTTATCTTAAGAGCTTTTTATGCTTCGATAAGTCCAAATATGCAAAAACCTCTTCTTTTCTTCTCTCTTTTGCCTTACATGTCAATTTCAAAATTACTGTGCCTTAACCTTGATCAAATAAATTTCAATCATCTTTTTGCACCGAGAAATGCACCAAAACCAAGGAGAAATTTCCAAAAAAGCTATGGAAAACTGAACTGTATCTCAACTCCAAATCCAAGATCGAAAGCTGCCAAACGGATGAAAGGGATGAAAATTGAGGAAAGTTGACCAAACAAGATTGCCGAGTTGGGTGAACCAGGAAAAATTGGTCGGATACCCCGGAAAACTCAAGGTCATTCGGGATTTTTTGAGCTAAAGTTTCGACCAAACTTGTCAATTGGTCTCTAATAACAACTCCAAAAAAATGTTCAAATTTTTTGTTTTCTTCACCTTATGCTCTTATTCTTTGGCAATCATTTGCAAAACGACAGTCCGTGATGAAGTTCACCTCAATCGGGTTTGCTTTAAGATATCTAAAAGTGGTTTTACATATTGCCAAATTTGTCTTCAGCAGGACAACGATTAGTTTTCAGATGGAAACGATCGACTGCGGGTCGCGGTGCCATTTTTGCATGACCCATAGAGAAAGGTGATATAAACTTTAATGCGGATGATCTATGTACGTATAATACTCTGAAATGTTTGTGTATTCAAAATATGAACTTTTCAGTGCTCCTGGACATCTAGTTAACGAAATGGGATGTGGTTGCGGACCTGATGCTCTGCACAAACACGGCGGATGGGAAGAGGATACGGAATGTTTGGTTGGTTAAAACAGTATTTGCTTCCACAAATTAGTATGCACCTTAAACTATTCATTGTCAAACATCATGATTGACAATATGCATGAAACTGTAAATGCATTTTAGGCCGTCGGATCTCTGACAACGAGAGAAGGCGGCTTCACCATGCTTGACGTATGCTGTACAAAAGAAAGTTGTTAGCGATGCTTCAAAAGTTCGCCTATTCTTGTCAAACTTGCCGATATTTCAAAAATTCACATTTCCCTGCTAATATTTTTAAAGCCACTAAGTGATTTTTATTCTTGTGAAACGACACGATTTTATTAAAGATACGGAAAAAAAATTTCACAAGGGATCACGAAAATCACTATACAGTAACAATAAATAAATACTCGCAAAAGAAAACAATACGTTTGGTGATGACCATCCAATTAGGCGCCGACAATGATGTTGTTGATTGGGATGTGGATTAGCTTGACGAAGAAACCGATGAAACCCATTATGGCGAAGCCGATCGCGGTGGCCATGGCGATCTTCTGGTACTCTAAAATTGAAAAATTAGTTCTACGTAAAAAATACAGCAATAGGGGCAGTTATTAGTAATAAAAATAAAACCAATAACATTTATAAATGCATTGATAAATTTATAAAACCTCTTAACCCAAGTCACAAGTGCCGCGATGTGTCGCTTCACCAATAAATTTTAGACAATAAACTTTCAAAGCCATACCTTTTCTGTCAGGCTTCGTGCACTTCTTCACTAATCTGATAGAATCTTTTGTGAATTGCTTGGCGGGCACGATGAACGACTGAACTTGATCCATGACGGTTTCTTTCTAAAAACAAACAAATTATACCAAAAATCAAGGTACAAATATACAAAGATACAAAGATTAAAAAGAAATCTAGTCTTAAAAAAATCGATGGGTTGGCTAAATTGCCCCAAAACTTAATAGACAAGGTTCAACTAACAGAAATCAACGATTTTAACCTTAGAGTGTTAAAATCTAAGCGTTTAAAGTGAGCATGTAGTTTGTAAATGAGAAAACTCGTGAGATTGGGACAAAGAAAAGAATGAACGAGTCTATGGGAATAAAGCAAGCGGCGCTTGCGAATGGGAAAAGACTGCGAAATGGAGAGAGGCGAGAGACAGTATCGTAGCCAAACTGCAAATTGGGGCGCGAAATAGAAACGACAGAAAAAGTGGATCGGCGCAAACTCTTTTGTTTTAAGTGTGTCCAAAACTTTTTAGTAGTAATTTGGTATAATAGTTGTAGTATTACCAAATTACATGGAATTTGGCACTTCTTTTAATCCAACCCCTAACAGTATGTAATGTAATGCAAGCTTTGTTTCCGCTCGGCATACTATAGTGAAACTAAATACTGCGAACTTTTCTCTACAACTTTGGGGTAACCAAAATTCTTTTAAGTAAGCTAAAAGCTTCTACTAACCGCTTCTCAACCACACATGGAAGTCTCAACCTCAAAAGCCGTAAAAGTGGTTGTGTGAGTATGTGAAAGCGAGAAGAAACCAGCTCTCCCACCAACAAAAGCTAGCCTAAGAGTCAAAAGTGAGACTGAGGCTTAGAAAAATGAAAAGGAAAGGTTTGGAGAACACTGAGATGAAGAAATGATTTGAATGAAGGGAAAGAGAAAGCGAAGAAGGGGAGGAAGAGTCTTCCCTAACCTCTTTTCTCGACACAAATACATGCCACTCCGATCCATCGATATTCGCATCTCAATTTTCTTCATTTCCATTTTTCTAATCGATTTGACTATCGCGAAATTACCCGATGATTTGGATAAATTCTTGGAAAAACTCTTTGAAACAGAAGAATGTGAGTCGGGTGTAACTCCAATCAAACTGAAAGCCTCTGTCTGGTTCGAGTTCTAAACTCATGTTCACTCTGCATACTGTAATAAGACAAGATAACAAGATCACTTTATAAACGCATCGTACTTTCAGGCGAGGAATGGGTGAGTGATTCAACGTTTGTCTCAGTGTCTACCCGTGATTGCTCTCCTCATCAATGTGATTTCCCGTCTGAAATTTGTATGAGACCGGCCGCAAAATATCAGGACAAGAAAGCAAATCAATGTCGAAAGCTGCCAGCAAAAGTTTGTATTGTAAAGTTAACTAGTTTACAAAATTCTGAATATTCCACGTAAAATACATTTTCAGTGTGTCACAGCGGCTAATGGAGGTGTCCCAGTGGGTCCTCCACCCACCGATCCTCCCCCACTTTTCACCTTTCCACCCCCTCTATTCACTTTACCGACTCTATCACCACCGGACAAGAATTCCACCATTTTCAGGCCTTACTTGTAGGTTTTATTCATGAATCGCTTTCTCATTTTCCCAATTGCAATATCAACATCTCAACAATGAAAACGTCATTGAGAAAAAGAGATGATGTTTCGTTTTTTTTTTGCAAAAATGACCTCAAGCGCGTTTATTTGATGTGACTCACAGAAAATTTGAGAAACAATGAGAAACTTTTCAGCTTTTCGCATTTCTCTTTTCACTAAAATGGGTTTCAAGTGAGAGTGGCAGTCTCTAGAGATTTGATGCAAAAATTTTCAAAAACATGCGTAAGAAAAGTTAAACTATAGATTATAAATAAATTGAAATTATAATTTTTAAAAACACTTACCATCAGATAAGCATTTTTAGTCCCCACAGCCAGCCCGCTTATTCCTCAAACATCAAAGGGGACACCGGCACCGGTGAATGTTCGACCGAGGGATATTTGTGAGATGGGACCACCGACAGGAAGATTTTGTGGTTTTGCACAAAAGTGAGACAAATAAATTGTTGTAATCCAATTAAGATTATTGTAGATTTGTTTACAACAAAGAGACTTTCGAATGTGACGAATTTTGGTTTCCGGGCTGCAAAACGGAGGAGACAAATGCTAATCTTTTCGACTCGAGAAAGGATTGCGAAAGAGTAGCTGATCTTTGTGTTCGTGAGTTTTAACCAATAAACCTTTTTGCAACAATTGGAGTTTTGGTGGTGGTACTTGCAATAATCCGCACCTTTTTAGAAATCGAAGAGATGAAAGCGGCCAGATTGACAACACCGAGGCCACATCCAAGAAAGATCGTTCAGCCAAGAGGACCCGATGGAATCGATGGATTTCCGAAGCCTCGAAATCTGAATGGAAAGAGAAAAGGACCCGATGGATTGTTAGGTCCATGGCCAAATCAGAGGCCGGGAGCGAGCACAGAACAAGGAGGAATATTGGGTCCATGGCCTAATCGAGGGCCACCTCAAGGTCCAGATCCGGGTCCATGGCCAAATCAGAGACCAAATCAAAGAAAAATTCCACCGAATTTCCCGGAACCTGAAGGAGGATTCGGACCTGATATAGGGCCAGAGCCTGGACTTAGACCCGGTGGCCCTGGAAGATTTATGGGGCCGGGGCCTGGGCCAAATCCCGGACAGGGACCTGAGAATCAAGGCGGTGATTTGATGGGCTTGGTGAAACAAGGCCTAATTGCAGCCCAAGAATTGAAACAAGGCGGAAATGCAGCTTTGCCTAAAGTGGCTGCTCAACAAGCACAGACGTGGTTATCCCAATTTGGATTTCCGGGAATACCCGACTTCTTCGGTGGTGGAGAAGGAGGACCACCCCAAGGACCGGCAAGGAGACGATTTTGGAACTTCTAGCGGATTGATTGCCCCAAAATCTTTTGTTAAATTTGCTTGATTTATCTACACTTCATCCACTTCTTCACTGCATGCCGATAAACGGGACTATTCATACTTTGTATGTTTGATTGGTCAGTTTTAATTTGAAATCAAAAAATTTCAGAAATGAAAGAGAGTTTTGATGTGTCAAACTGTTTCCTGGCAAAAGATATTGGGAATCGGAAATGTTTAGAACCAAAATGGTACGTTTATAGAGAAAGAGAGAGAAAGTTTTCTAAATAAAGCCTCAATTGTGTACATTTTGATAGAATCTCTCGAAAAGTTCCTTGTGCTCATCAACAAACACTTATTGATTTCTTCTTTCCTTTTCAGGTCTCATCGTTTCCATTTCTCTTCCACTTCACAACAATGTCATCCATTTTGGTTCCAGGGTTGTGAGGGGAATCAAAACAATTTCCTTTCAATTGAATCATGCCAAAAGTCTTGTCTTTCCACTTCTTCTTTTCCTTTTCATTCACTCGAAAAATAAAAAGTTAAATATTGTTTATTCTCTCTTGCTTTCCAAATCATTTATTTATTCAAAACATATCGTTTTACCGGAACAAAGTACAGTTTTTCCTACACGATTTTCAGATCTCTTTTTGATTTACAAGAAAAATTTAAAATTAAAATTAAAAATAAAAAATTGAAACTAAAATTGACATGCAAAGTTGGAAGCTTTATTTTTATTTTCCCTCATTGTTTGGCCATCGATTCCTTTCGTGAAGTCGACTTTTTTGGTTTTGTCTGAAATTTTTTTGAATTCTTAAAGTTGTATAATGGTAAATTGGTAAAATTTTCAATTCAATTGCAATATGTAAAAACACACCAGCATAACGCATTGCTCTTTTCGGATAATCGTCAATTGAGCGATCTGTGGACACGAAGAAGAGCGGAGTTGACGAAACTGTAAAGACAGCATTTTAGATAACAGATCGATATTCAAGTGCTTATTTTTAAATTGTTTTGAAATCTATAGTTTAAAATCTATAGTATAACAAACTAGGCACTCTTTTTTTATTGTAAACCCTTCTCACATGTTCCAAATAGCTGTCCTTGATCTCGTAGATGACAAAGCTAATCAATTTGCTCCATGTCGGATAGGTGAGCTGAAATAGTTATCCTTTTGAGATTCAACTAATCCTATAGCAACAGTTGCTTACATCACATTCCGGACACAACAACGAGAGCATCGCATTCTTGAAGATCAGCCATTTCTCGGCGGTGAATGACATCGATCGGACATTTGTGTGCTGACGTCCGATTATTCTGAACAATGTTTGAATATTTACATGGTCATTCTTTTCTACAAAGTGATTTTTGTTTGGTCATTTTTGCAAAAGAACTCCTTGAACGTCTCTTTTCTAGTGGAAATCCTATCTTTTTATTTTTCTTTGGACGAAGTGTCACTCTTCTCTTTGTTTCTAAGAAATCCTTTGACAAGATGAAGTCTTAGATCAAAGTTTTCAGCTTTAACAGTAAATAACTTTATTTTCAAACTACACAATATATTCATGACAACTTTTAGTGAATAAATCACTCCAGCCTCTCACCTCAACATATGCACAATTTGCTCGCCATTTTGAGCGCCCTTTGAAAGCATATCCATTAGATAGTTCATGAATCTGAAAAGTAAAGTTTAAATTAAATTATTTCTAATTACAGTAGTAAGCACTTTCATACCTCTGAAATTTGCCAACGTGAGTCCGGAATTTTTGCTCGTTTCTCAGCGACTCTTCAGTGGGCGAAACCAAACTAAAGTGAACCGCGAATTCGAAGTCTTCATCCTGAAAATGAGTACTTTTTCATGTTGTCTTGGGCTTGCATTTGACTTCCTTATAGTTAGACCAAAAGCCCTCCCTAAATTCATAGCTTGAGCGCTAGAGATAAACTTTCGTTCCGAATCAAAGAAACAGCAAACTCAAAACACATCAAATTTTCTACTTGAGAATCTCCCCGTGTTTTGCTTTCTTTCTCCTCTTTCACTCATCCAGCAACCCAACGATCACATGACCGGCTCTATGCTAGAAGTCGTTCTCTGGGCAAAAAAACTTCCAAAAAAATGCCGGCAAGTCGTTGTCGATGAGTGGACAAGACAAAAGCCAGGAGAAGATGCACAAGTGAGTGTGTTGTTTGGTGAAAAAGAGGGGAAACATTGTGAGTCCCCGGGGAGAAATGGATATAAAGAGAAGTTGGATAGGGGAAAGGATAGGCCGTTCCTTTCCCTTTTCACCAAAGTAGCCCATTCTCCATTTTGGCCTCCACCGCCAAACAACACACTTTTCTCCTCGGAAAAACCCCTCAAAACTTCTCCTTTTCCGAAAAAACCCCAGCTCGTGCTAGCCATTGATTGATGGATAACCGTGGTGGGGCGAAAAATTAGCATAACCCATTTTTTGGCCTTTGCGTGAAAAATTTTGAGTAAGAAAAGGATAAGAATACCAGCGGAAAACGCTCACTAAGGTCCATGTTTTCCACGCAATCTAAGCCCCGCCCCTTTTTGCCAATGGCTGCGCACCGACGGACAGACGGACAGACGTCTCTGCTGCTTTATATATAGTAGATATCCATATCCCACTCACCATGAACAATTGCATAAACATCTTTTCGAAAAGAGCGTATTTATCAGGGATTCGCGAGTAATCCTCACAGATTCGATCGATCTCGTCATTGTCTGCGAGAAGGGCTCGACCAGAGAAACTGAATTTGGAAAATAAAAAGATGAAATTGTGATCTTTTTAAAAAAATTTCTGTTAAGATTAACTATGAACCTGCTCAATATGAAGACATGATCGGTGATTGAAGCTTTCGAGCATCGCTTCAACAATTGGGCAAACTTCTGTGGATGATGAGATCTTTGCGGTGAACTGTAGCGACATCTGAAAACCAGGGTTCATTTAGTGATATGCGTGCAAAGCGGTGAACTCACGACTAAACTTTTAAATGTTTCTGAATGAGCATAGTAAAACCTGCAAGTTTTTGCAAGTGAGTCGGTTGAATACTCAAAAATTCATGGGCAGCCCCTTCTTTTGTGAGGCTTGACCACACTGCATAACTATGTGACATGAATCGGTGATAAGAAAGAGATTGCAAGTGATCAGAAAACATGGGAAAGTTCCCAGATCGTATAGTTGAATCGTTTGTTTTGTTTCGAGGATCAGTTGAACTTACACAGCTTTCACCGCTGATCGAATTGTTCTCTCAACGATGGCTCGCGATGAGGTGGCCTCGGTTTCCATTCTGGGTTGCTGAAAACATATTTTGAGAAAAGCTAAGAACATTCAAGTTTACAAAATATTGAATGAGAACTGAGTGAGAACTGAGAACATTCTGCTCTTCTTTGAACTATCTTTTGATATCCAAAATCACATGTGATTTCTTCTGAAACAAACAAAGCACTTCAAAAATGTATGTACAGCAAAAACAGCTTTTCTAGACGATTTTCTTGTCACTGTGTTATTCGAAATTCCACTCTTCTGCCTCCGGCTTATTTCGCGGATGGAGAGGCAATTTTGTGGGTGGAAGAAGATGGGGGATGACGGGTTTCGTGGAGGAGGGAAGGGGATCAAGGAACGGGTGTCTCGTGGTGATCCCTCTTGTTTTTTTGGGATCTCCGTTTCTTCTCGAGGTTATATCTTTGTAAGATCTTTGACATAACTTAGGTACATGAACAAACCCCCAATTGTGCTGAGTTTTGTTTTGTAGTTCAGATGTTCTATATAGGTTTAGTTGTGCTTTTAGTTGTGTTAGCTATCGAACTGTCTTCTGCAACTTGGACCTTTCTCTTTTGCATATCGCATTCAAATTGAATTCCACAAGACAAACGATCCAATATCGGAGCGTGATGTGGAAAAAAAGCACGTGGTTTTTAATGCACAAATTGGAAAAATGGAGCTGTTCTGTTTTTTCAAAATCTAGCAGACTTTGAAAAGTCCATTAGTTCCCGAATTTCAAAGGATTTGGAGTCAGAAGCTAAGATGGGAAATGGCTTTAAAAAGGAATTACTGAGGAGGAGAAAAGGTTGAAGCAAAAGAAAGATCAAGAGAAGAACTCATTCTTGTCTCAATGATCCAAATCCAAAAGTCTCATTGGTTTGAAATCCACATCATCCATCAAGTAAAGGTTGAAGTTAATGGGTTCGGCTCCAAGATTAAAAGCAAAACTGACCTTTGTTTCTGTTGTTACTTCGGAAAAACTGACAAGACTTGAGAGACAGATCGAATTTGAAATCTGATTGTGAGAGTCAATGGAAAGGTTGGAAGTTACAAAGCTTAAGCCGTTCAACAAACTAACTTCAAATAGCAAAGTAGCCGAAAAAGTGAAGACAAAGTAGCCGATGCTCATTCATTTCTTTTAGTTTCCCGCAAAAACCATCTCGTCGAGTTTTTTGTGGGACCCGCCCCCTCGTTCCCTTCTCCTTCCTATCCTTTCTCCATTCCTTATCCTTCTCCCCTTCATCGAAAAGTCAAGGGCCCACCAATTTTCCCTTCTTCGATGCCCCTTCCCTTCCCCCTTCCATTCTCTACACGAAAACATGATACATGACTCTTTTTTGGGTTTGGTTCTTCAAAAAGAATCAAAGAGAATAACAAATCTCAGACCTCTTCCGAGAGATCTCTTCCAGAAGAAACAATCCCATCCAGGGAGCACAAGCGGTCGAGAAAATATGGAGGAAGTGGTTTTGGAGAAAGGGAAGGGCGAGCATTAGAAGAAAGACTTGAACCTGGTAATCACATCTTTCGGATTTCCTTTACTTGTGGCTCTTGTATGAATGTAAATTTGCAAATTTTGTTCAATGTCAATTGATTTTTTTATCAAACATGAATAACAAAAGTAAAACTTGAAAACCAGAGTTGGTAAAGGGAAATACATATTAGCAGCCCAAAAAATTATGCTGTAAGTAATCTTTTCAGAAGAGAGAAATCCCAGAAATGTAACAAAATGAAAGCAGGGCACCCATTATTTGAAAGAAAATACTCTCAAGGAAACAATTATGCTTACATTTCAGCAGAGAGTAAGCTCAACAATAAAATTTTAGTTTATATTCAAAAATTGTGCAAAATAGGACCTAGACTTTGGGATACATTAATATCACAGGCACAGGGATAAACATTTCCACTTTTCACGAACCTTGTAAGGGGGAATCTCCTAATTGTATGGAAATTTCAATACACTAGTGTTGTTGCTGCTGTTGTTGATGGCCTTGTTGTGGTGGTTGTTGACCTTGTTGTGGTGGTTGTTGGCCTTGAGCACCATGTTGGGCGGCCATTTGTGCTTGATGAGCCCTATAGGTGGAATACGATTAGAACAAACCCACACCTCTTGATCAATAACTCTTTTACGTACTACAAATATTCAGATAGTATGGTAATACCCAATGACATTGGATTTGTTCAGGTATAAGCTCACGGGACCCACTATTAAACTAAACAACATCAATATCATTACACTAACATAACGACGATAATTTACCCCTTTCAAATGTCTCCGTGTGCCCTTAACTGATAAATGAACATATTTTGTTTATTTGATATTTTTTTCTAAACTCACCTAGCTGCATCCTCTCGCATCTTTTGTGCCTTCAAGAACTCTCCATAGTCGATTTGTCCATCACCATTGAAATCGTCCTCTCGAAGAATTGAGTCAATCATTGACTCTAACTCTACCTGGAAAATTAATTTGCCATAGAGAATTCATAAATAATGAAAAATATTTTGGTAAGGTAACTGATTTGAGAAGATAAACAATAGTATCAAAATTTACTTCAGTTGGAAGTGGAGGAGGAGCACCGCTGCTTTGATGTTGAGGACCGGGGTTTTCTGAAAAGTGCTTTGCTCTTTCAATTTTAAATTTATTCGGTTCTTTTATGAACTATTCGTTCTTTGAATATTCTCACCATTGTGGAAATGGGTGATCGCTTTGATAAGTTCAACGCCATCAAGCTTTCCATTTTTGTCCAAATCGTGCATGTTGAAGTAGTGGAATTGAAGTTGCTCGGGGGTCATGTGAGCTGTAGGATCGACCTTTCCATCCAAGTGTTCTTTGATGTGCCTGATAATGAGGTTTTATTGGAATACTGTATCATTTCATAGCTTACCTAATTTTAATTTTTAGAATATGTATCATACCATTTAAAGTATAGGCTTTTTTTGTAACTTACTCGGCATCATGCGCACTTTTCCCTCCGAATTCTTGGGTGTGTTGGGCAGGTGGAGGCTGGGCATGCATTCCGGCTTGCTAAATTGACTGGTAATTCTCTAAATAAAAACCTTTTAAAGCTTAAAACATGATTTGTATTACTTGTTAGCTAATTATACCTGCTGGTGTTGTTGTTGTTGTTGGTGTTGTGCCCAAATCGAAGAAAAGAAGAGCGAAGCGAGCAATATCCGCAGCTTCATTCTACCTGAAAATAAATACAATAAATACTGCACAGGATAAAAATAAAACATAAAGTACAAAATGACCAAGTAAAAATAAATTTAAACAACACTATTTGGTTCCCAACAATACTTTGATTTAGCATCGTTTGAAAGAAGTGATTGAACATCAGCTGGATCCATTTGAATTTGCAGTGCCTTGAAATTCTCCTCAATGTGATCTTTCTTTGTGCTTCGAGGCAATACACTAATTTCTTGATTAATTGCCCAAGCCAGCAGCAAAACTGGAACGGAAATCTTGTATTTCTCAGCCAAAGTGACGACTTTCGGATCATTCATTAACTTTTTCCGACCATCTGGTGATCCGAGAGTGCTGTAAGATTGAAAGTGAATTCCTTTGTCTTTGCAGTAATTCACAAGATCATTCGTTTGATAGTGTACATGATATTCACATTGATCGACCGCTGGAAGAACTTTCGTGTGACTCAAGAGCTCTTCTAAATGTCTTTCAAGGTAATTTGAAACACCGATCGCTCTCAATTTTCCCTGTTCGTGAAGCTTCTCCATTGTTTCCCAGCTTTGTCTTCGAAGAGCCGCGTTTTTGGGACTTTCTGAACGATTTGATGAACCGGGCCAGTGAATAATGAACAAATCGATGTAGTCACTTTGTAGATTCTCCAGTGATTTTTGTATCGAGTCCTCTGCGACAGAACCCTGATTTCCTGGGGCCAACTTTGAAGTGATAAAGATGTTCTCTCGAGAAAGATTGTATTTGGGTAGGAGTTCTTTCAGCGCTTTCCCAATCGCAGCTTCGTTTCCGTAGATTTGTGCAGTGTCGATGAAGCGGTAGCCGGCAGAAAGAGCAGCATCGAGAGATCCGGGAATGTCGGAAGATCGAACTTGCCATGTTCCCAGGCCAAGCAGTGGCATATTCACGCGAACGTAGTCTCGTCCTTTCGTATTCATCGTTGCACAATGGATCGCTCCCAGGAAACGCACAATCTAAAGAAAAATAAAATTAGTGTAATCAAATAGACAGCATCTTTCAAAATAAAAATCAAGAAGAAAAACGTAATCAAGAAACAATTTCTAGTTTCATCGGAAAGATAATAACAAAAGTGGGAGAGTTGCTCAGTTTTTAGATCTCTAAATTGGACAACATAGTTGTTGTTTTACCAAATTGTCTACTAATAAATTGAACATATGTTTACAAAATGTTAAAAAATCCAATTCAATGAAAACAAGTGTGAAGTGGGGGTTTTGTGTTTGCACAGGCCGCCTCTGGCGATGCTGCTCGTTTATAATGCACCCACGGGTTACGGTAGTTTTCGACGGACAGGCTACGTGTAGCTTTCTATTGTGAAAGGGAAATTTGAGGATGAGGAAAGGGATTTGAGCGTTGAAACTGGTTCATCTTGTTATGCAGAAGTGACTAGACGCGTAGATAGTTAAAATTTGGCCCTAGATCTAGTGCTCCGGTCAAGAATGGCTAAAGAAAGCAAGCGCAAATACACGTACTCGTTGGCTTTGTGCCAAATTCGAGTGTTTTTCACTCGGTGATGTTGGTGTTTCTGTTGATTGAGAATGTGTTATCGATAAGTTTTTTGAGATAAGATCGGTTATCTTCTTGAACTTGTTAGTTACTAACGCACTTACATTTAAAAACTGTTTGGCGCATAAACGACAAGATTTTGCTTGCAAAAGCTTCACAAACTTTACAGGTTCTTAATGTTTAGCCTTTGCTTGTTCCCCTTGTAAGGATGCTTTGGCCTTTAAGATGCCCCCATTCATCGAATCATTTTTTTTCAATCAATAACTTCCCGAATACCACATTTACTGTTCTTTCTAACTTGCCAATGACTTTGTGATTTGTTTCAGAAACTTTTAACTTTTTGAAGAAAGCAATTTCCCGGTATTTCCAGATCCATGTCGGATGTCTGATTTATCGGCGATCCGATCTCGCAGAAGATACAGAGGCACAGACGACACATCACAATACACGACACAAGGGGGAACAGCAGCACAACTTGGACAGACAGCGATCAATTTTGACTTTCAGCAGCCCGAAGTCAAGGAGCATAATTTTCAGGTCGTTCATTGTTTTGTGGTTTTTTGTTTAGAAAGTTTTGCGCTAAATGATTTACTTGTGTAATGAATATTAGGTCTTTATCTATTGAATGTTTCCAGAAGCTAGCTTACCTGTTTAAAGAGACCGTTAAGATTTACTTGGACTTCTTCATTGGAAACTTTTCTACGAGCATTTTCTTTAGGGATCTTTTTTTCAGATTAAATCTCTGACCAATTTTGCAATTTATTTGTTTAGCAAACCGTCTCCACCTCGATCAATACCGTTTTTGGGGCCTCGACAACACAACTTTGGAATTCAGCACAAGTTTGAAAATCTTTACGGCTCAAATTTATTTTTGTTTAGGAAGCGTTTTCATCGTTTCAACCATCGTATTACTTGCCCACATCATCGAGTTTCTCTAATCTTCCTCCATCAGAGCCCGAGGAACCTGCTTCTAAAGGTTCTAATATTTACTTTACTAAAATTATAACACATTTAACATTTGATAGACTAGAATTTTTGTAGAACCATAATTTATTTTTTTAAGTTACATATAAAGTTTAGATCCTGAGCTTATCTGGTTTGGAAAAGAGGAAAAAATCCCTGCAAATATGCCGTCTCGAGATCGAACCACCGAATTCAAAACAACCGCAAAATCGTTTCAAGTTTCTTTATTACGTTATGAAAGCGTTCACTTTCAATTTTTAGATGAAACAGCAAGGAAATGGTTTCCCTCAAGCGTCACACAAAAATGGAGTCATCAATGAATCGATTCAATTCAATCAAATTGCCAAGTAAATATCTACGTACTTCGGAGTTACGAATGTTGGCATTTTCAGGCGCATTGGAAGGGATATGTCTTTGACATGTGCAAAAATGGAACGGTTGGCTGAATTGGCGAAGAAAAAGAGCTTATTCAATGATGGACATGAAGTAGAGGGTCTTTCCAAAGATATCACCGAGGTAAATATTTAACTTTGCTCAATGATTTAACTTGAAAACTGGTTATCGGTTTTTGATTAAGCTATTTAGGCTATCAAAGCGTTGAATAAACAAATCGCCGCTCTGCAAGAATATTCGCGTAAAAGAAATGGACAAACGACATCTAAACAGGTATTTTAAATGTCGAACTATTTTGAAAAATGAGATTTTTAGGGACAAGGTCACTCCAATTTGGTTGTTGTTGGATTGCAGTCCAAACTAGCAAACGTTTCGAAAGATTTTCAAACGGTTTTAGAAGTTCGAACCGAGGTTTGTCTGAGGGTTTATTTTGTATTAGTGGTGATGGCTTTTTAGAACTTGAAGCATCAAAAGTCCAGGCGTGAGATGTTCTCGATGGCTGGCCCAGAAATTAGTTCTCTACCGACTTCAAGTGGAACGCCAATGAGTAAGTATTTCCCGAGAATTTGTCAAATAAACAGGACTGTTCAGTTCGATCGCGTCTTTTGGATGATGATGCAAGTGCTGGAGGTAGTGTGACTTTGAATATGGATTTGCTTGCGCCGCATCAATCACAACAGGTTGGTTATCGCATTATATTTTTAACTTTAGGTTTACGGCGACCAATCAACTGTTTATGCCCTATGATTTAGTTATCGCAGTATATTTTTGCCTTTAGGTTTACGCCGATCAATCAACTGCTTATGCCCAAGCTCGCTCGGATACGATGGCTTTGATTGAAGGATCTGTTTCAGAACTTGGTCAAATCTTCTCTCAACTTGCACGACTTGTCTCTGAACAAGGGGAAATGATCGAGAGGTATGTTGTTAGGCTATCGAGAGGTATTCGGGTTTTATTATACAAAGCTAGTTTCAATAACCTTATTCGTGTTTAGGATCGACTCCAATGTTGAAGACACTGCAATCAACATTGATGCGGCGCATACAGAGATTCTTCGCTACTTCCACTCGATCAGTCAAAATCGCTGGTTGATGATCAAAGTTTTTGGTGTCCTTTTAGTTTTCTTCATCATTTTTGTTATGTTCCTCACTTAGATTTTTGCGCTTTGGGGTAGGTTTAATTTATTGACGATTCTGATTGTGTTTGTTGCTCTTTTCTGCACATTGATTTTCTTTTTGTATCTATCTGTGATAGTTTTCAGTGCTCTTGCTATGTGATTTTTTTGGCATTAATCATGAGAGTTCTTGTTTTTTTATAATCAGCACTAAATTCGGTTTATTTTATTTTTAAAATTGTAAAATGATCATAAACTATTAGAGGTGTTTATTAGGGGTTTTGTTGATTCGCTGACCGGTTAATAAACTATTTTTTTAATTATAAAATGTCGTTGAAAGACTTGGTTGTTGGCCGAGCGTTATCTTTTCAGCAAATCTGTTTTGAAGTTAGTTGGAGCACAATTGCGTGCATGGATTCGATCCTTTGTGTGGTTTTATAACGAATTTATGTTTAGATGCGAGTATCGGCAGCACTCATTGTGTGGTCATCTTTCGCGATGACGGCGGCCACGGTGACGCACGCCTTTCTCATCCACAAGCAATTCTACCCGTCGATTGTCTACCTCACAAAAAGCAACGCTTCAATGGCGGTACGTTTTGACTAGACAATAACATTATAACAAAGCTTTAGTTGCATTCAACAATAGTCTATTTTAGGTTATCTACACGCAGGCTATCATTCTCGCCTACTTGGTCTTTCAGCTAATGAGACGGATATTCTTCGGTGACTTGAGAGCTAGCGAAAGCGAAGTAAATTTCAATTTTTTACACTTTACCAATATTTGTATTTAGCATCTTAGCGAACGGACATATGCGGCCATAATGGAGACTTGTTTAGCATTCACTGTTTTCAGGTATCTTTTGACTTTTTCCGCACATTAAATTCGTATACTTTTCAACCAAAACAGTGTTTATTTAGGGACGAGTTCAATTCTACGTTTGTGATGCAATTTGGCCTTTTGTTATTTGTCAAGGCTTTTCATTGGCTATCAGAAGATCGAGTGGACATGATGGAAAGAAGTCCGGTGATCACTCTCAAATTTCATCTACGAATGATGGGTGGGTTGAGCTTAAAACTTTGTGCTATTTAAGAAGATTATTGGGCACTTTTGCTATTGGCCTGCTCCCCCCCCCCCCTTCCCCTAAACCACATGAAATTTTTGGAGATCGGGGTTCCCCCGTTTTTCATTAATGCTTTGGTAAGGCAAATTAGCCTCCAAAATTTTTTGTGTGATTTGAGGGGAAGGCAAACAGCAAAAGTACCGATTATTGTGGATTTTTTAATTTGACAACTTTCAGTCTGAATTATAAAAACCTTCATTTTCTAATTTAGCGCTGGTTTGCCTTCTTGGTGGTATTGACTCTTTTATGGTATCTCATGCCTACTTCACCACTTTGATTCGTGGAGCGAGTGCACAAATTGTATTTGGATTTGAGTGCGTTTTTCATTATTTATTGACTTCTATCTTTCTTTTAGATACGCAATTTTGATGACCGTTGTGTTCCACGTAACAATCAAGTACGTTCTTCATATGCACGACCTTCGATCAGCAACTCAATGGGAGAACAAGACCGTTTACATGCTTCATACTGAACTTTTTATAAGTAAGTGGTATATATTTTTAGTTTTTTAGTCCAATCCTAGATGCGATTCGATGTGGAATCTACTTTTGTTTTATGGCATTCATGCTGAAGGTTCACACATTCCCATTGTTTGCTGTTCGACCATTCTATCACTCGCTAAGGGACTTCAAGAAGGCACTTGCCGACGTGGTTTTGTCACGACGTGCAATCAATGCAATGAACAAGTATGATATAAAAATAAAACCATTAAAATAGAATGGAGATACTATATTGATAGAACCTAAAGATTAAATTTTTGTGCATAAAAAATTATGAGTATTCAACCTTTTCAAGGCTTCTGTTTTAGTCGTTTCCCGGTTGTTTCTGCAGAAGAACTTTCGAGAATGGATGCCACTTGTATCATTTGCAGAGAAGAAATGACCGTCGAATCAGGTTTGTAAATTGAAAAGTTTTATGTAATTTTAAGACTGAAAACGTTGTTTACCTTTATAAACTATTTTGTCCGTTACTATTTCTCCTCTTTTAGCTCCAAAACGTTTGCCCTGCAACCACGTCTTCCACTCAAATTGCCTCCGCAGTTGGTTCCAGCGACAGCAAACGTGCCCGACTTGTCGAACAAATATTCTCAACAATGGTATCTTGTTTATTACGCCTGACTTTATGCAAAATTTAGTTCCAACCGCTCCAGCACAAAACGCGGCTCCCGGAGCTAACAACAATGCGATGAACAATAACAATAATGGGGTTGCGTTTGGAAATGTTCAGGGAATGGCAATGCGGGTAATTTTTAGTGTTTATGAATTGTTTAAAATTGTTATTTTACGTGTAGTTAATCAAGATAACAATTTTTCTTAGATTCCGCCAAACTTTTTTCCACTCATGGCGCATCAGTTTGCCCATCAGCCACCTCCGGTGCCACCACAAAATGCTGAAAGGCAAAATCAACAAGGCGGCGAGGCTCAAGCTGAACAGGTGGGTATCTTATTTTGAACAAAACGTGTTGGTGATAAATTATTCTCGAACATCTTTAGCCAATGCCCGATCACGCACCTTTCACCATGCCGCCTTTCATGTTTCAACCACCACCACCACCACCGATGTTTGGAATGGTTTTTTGTGGCATTTAATGCAGACTTTATTTTTATTTTAGCCTGGAATGTTTCCACCTCCGCCATTTCCTTTTCCACCTCGTCCGAGTTTCAGCGGACTCACTGATGAAGAGCTTCGACAACTTGAAGGTTTGCAATGATTTTTATTTGATTCCCTAATATTGGTTTAGGCAATACTCGAGGCGCCCTTGAAGCACGTATTCAGACGCTGAGCAACATTTCGTCGTTACTTGACGCAGCTGTTCTTCAGATGCAACAATACATTTCGATTGTCAGGTATTGATTCTTTTTGGAGTTTTTTTTATTAAAAACTTTAGCATGCCTTTGACTTCTTTCAACGCGACTGAAACGCCATCCACTAGCGAAAGACCAAACGACACGCCGACAACCACGCCGACGCCGACAATACCTACTCCAAAGCTGAACGTAAGGACTTTTCTTCTCTTTGATAAAATATTATTATTTAGACGACGTTTGGTCCATCATCGAGTAACAGTGGAATTACGGCATCAAGCAATTCGGAAGCTGTAAGTGTTTGCCAAATGTTGAAACTAGAATATAAATGTTAGTTGGTCGGTTAATCTTTAATTTTAAAAAGAAACTGATTATTAAAGACCAGGCACCAACAAAAGTTTCTATGTCAGCATACTTTCAATCTTAATGGGCTCTACTGACTGTTAATTTTAGGAAGCATCCTCAACTAAAGTCGAGCCAAGCGACGAGAAAGCGACCACATCGGATATTGGGCCAAATGGGGACGATGGCGAGATGCCGCCATCAACAAGCGAAAACACAAATGATCCTCTTGATGCAATGCGACAACGGCGCTTACAGAAGTGAGTATTTATTGTTAGGACCAAACTCGCTTGCTTTTGTTTGTTATTAAATTTTTTGCTTTCAGATTTGCCAAGACGGAATAGAATGCTGGTAAATCGATCTACTTAACAACAATGTCCCGGTGGCAAGTTCATTTATTTATTACTTATTTGGTACCCTCTATTTGACTATAACTTTGCCTATTAGGTATATCAATTATTATGTGAATTTTCATTTCGGGTGTGCCTATGAGCCAATTGAAAAAATGTGTTGCTGTTTAGTTTAGTTCTTAACGCTAGCGAATTTTACTTTTTTGAGTGCAATGTATAGAATCTTCAGCTTTTCATCAGTTTTATCTCCTCTACCTTTTGTTGTTTTCTTGATTTCTGTTTTATTGTGCTTCCAAAGCCTGATAATATCGCCAAATTTTGATCCTCGTTGATCGTTTCTCGTTTACTTTCTATTTTCTTTTGCTTTCAGCTTTTGAAAATCATCAATCGGTACCTTTTGTGATACTTTTTTTTGTGGTATAAATACTAAAAGTGACCTATTTTTAAGCGGGAAGGTAGTTATTGTACACAGTCAGCCTATTGATGGGTCGGTGTTGTTCTCTAAGCGTGAATCATCTCGTGGTTGGAAAAAGAGAAAAGCGATTGATATCCCAAAGAGAACTTTTGAAAAATCTACTCAAAACAATCACACGAACAATATCTCCATTCAAACAAAATATTCTAAAATGGTGCTTAATGCAGTGGGAATTCTTGCTGTAATGCTTGCATTGATACTCTGTGTGCTTGTCCTTTCGATAATTCATGTTGTCGTTAAGAACTTTTGTCACCGCCGAAGGAGATGTAGAGGTGGGAAATGCTAAAGTTTATGTAATTCCTCCATTGAAGTAAAAAGCTCACAGAACCTAATATATATTTTTTGTTTCAGAATACTGCAGTTATATACAGTATCCTGGTAGAAATCTTAAAAATTGATGTTGGTCATTGTTTAGCACTTGACAAATCCTCGACCACTCGACTACCGGCGATCACTTCCGAGACAAGACAACAAACAAGAAGAATTCCCGATACTTCCCTTATCGATGATCAAAATGATCAGCCACCTCCATATCACACGCTTGTTTTTGCATAAAATTTGCGGAATCTCTGAACAAATGAAAGATATTTATCATCTTTGAAAAACACACCAGACAATCTAAAAAGAGCTTGAAATTTATTACCTTTCGATGTGCATTGAAAAAAGGTTGAAATAACGTTTCTCCTTTCGTAAGTCTTACTCAAACCAAACTGCCTATCTGATTAATTCTTTGATTTAACTGGATTCCATAGCTCTCAAAGCTTTTTTCGACACTTCTGGGTTCAGTTTTTTTTGTAAGCCCCGCTTATGATAATTTGCCGCTTTGATTTTTTTCTCATCGGGTCCAGTTTGACCAGGTTGAACTGATTTCATATACAAAAAGATTAAAAATACTGTGTTTCAACTGAATACCAGAAAGAAAGTTTATTCGTTAGTTATTGCAAACTGGTTTGTAAAAGGCTACTACTATGGCTTCACGATCAAAATTGGCCATTTTCGAAGAGGCCAGGGAGGATTTGAAATGCTTTCGACAAGAAGTAAGGAGATTTTTGAGAAAAAGTTCGATTAACAAGACTTTTACTAAATAAATACAGGTTCGTTGTCTAAAAGATATCGAATATCTGGATGAAGAAGCGGTGATTGAATTGGGAGTGGAAAGTAGGAATTTGGAAGAGATCCTTGTCGGGTGAGTGGCCAAGGAAGTGATCAAGCTCTACAATCACAGTTCAAATCATTCAAATCTTGCTCACTTATAACCTTTTCAGTCTCTTCGATTCAATGTTCGCCCTCCGTTCTCAAGTGGGCATCGATAAAAGGGAATTTCTCGAGAAAATCTTTGCCGATTCATCGAATTTGGGAGAAAACAAAAAGATCGGTTGGGTAATCTCATGAAAATTAAGAAGTGTTCTCCGATTTGGAAGTTTTCAACAAATGAATGTTTCAGGGCAAACGTTGAGGAATCGAATCCAAATAACCGATTCACAGGGAGTAGATGAGAGATGGACTGTTGTTTAGTAAGTCCATGTTCTAATCTCAATAGCTTATTGAGCTTGCACACTCAACCTTTATCTAATCCATTCAAACTTTCAGCTGTTCAATGCCATCACTGAGAAGAACGAGAATTGGTGTGGCTCGTTTATCCACAGAAGTCCCACTTGGTCCCTCACTTGAACAATGTCAATTCATTGTTCTCATTTTAGCCCCAACACATGAGGTGAGACTCAAAAAAGACTCTATTTTTCCCCAAAGTACTTACCCTTTTAGTTTTTCAAAGTTTATCTGTTGAATTAAACTTTAGAAAGGGACAAAATGTGCTCAAGAAATCGGCAAAACCTATGCAAGTTTGTTGAGTTGTCCGAATACTTTTGAGCGATTGTTGAAAGCGGTTGATGGAGACAAGATTAAAGTTAGCTTTGCTTACAACTTTCAAAGTTTCTTCCGTAATTCTTTTAGGAAATCTTCAATGAGGTGGCGAAAAATCGGCAGGAGTCAGTTGTACTTTGTGTGAAGGATAATGGAAAAGAGAATGATGATGAAGAGGAGGATAATGTTCGTTAAAAACATGCTTAGATTTCAACCTTAACACAAAATTTAGTACTCTTGGTTCATTCCATTCAAAGGAATTGTCAATGATGCAAGGAGAAAAGCGAAGCATTATATTTCCGATTTTACAGATGGTTAGTGGTTTTAGTTTTAATTTAGATATGTTTCCTAATATATTTCAGGATATGCTGATGCCCGCAGTTTCCGTAAAGTGATCAGCACAGCCGTTTTTCTTGTGTTCACCATTTTGCCCACTTCAATAGCTTATGGAATGTTGAATGATGAGAATACCAAAGGAATGATTAGTAAGGGGAAAAGTGCTGCATACCAAAAATAGGCTTTAGACGTACAAAAAGTGATAATCGGCCAATGGATTGGTGGTTTATTCTTTGGATTGGTTGGGGGACAACAATTGCTCATTCTATCGACTACCGCTCCACTCAGCATTTACATACATGGTTTGTGGATAAAAGAATGGGTTTCTTAAGTTTTTTTTAAAATAAAAGATTCTATAATAAACATGCTTTACAGTAATCTACAACATGGCTCAATCAAACGGTCTCGATTTCTTTTCCCTTTATGCATGGGTTGGTGTGTGGTCACAGATTTTTCTGGCCATTTTCGCCATCTTCAATGTGGCTAATTTGATGAAGTTCACAAAAAGGTTATTTAAAATGATTAATTGAATATCTAGCGAGCTTAAACAGTGATGTTCAGATCAACCGAGGAGATTTTTGGCCTTTTCATCGCTTTCGCTTTGACTTACAAAGCTCTGGCGGCGGTGATTAAAAGTGGGCATTAAAGAAAGAAACGGAACTCTTTATTGCTTTTAATTTAAGCTTTACATTTCAGCCTACAACTACAGCTATAGAAATTGCGGGATTGGTCATAATGGAACTATGGGAATGGAGGGTAAAGAAGCTTTGTTTGGTGTGTAATCTCAATGTAAATCCAGATGGTTGTTCACCGGAAAGCGCTCTTCTTTTCCCATTGATGGTTTTCGGAACTCTTTGGATTGGATTGACACTGGATTCGGCTAGGAAAAGTCATTATTTGACAGGGTTGGTGAAACTAACCTCTTCATTTCAAATTTCCAAGCTTCAAGTCTTTAGTTTAATTCGTGATCTTGTCTCCGACTATGCCCTCCCAATCGCTGTGATTATCATGGCGATTGTAGCAAAGATATTTTTCTTCAATGTTGAAAGTAAGTATTAGTACTTTGTTAGCATCGTAGGCCAAGATTTGAAAAAGATTGACATTCAGAGGAATCATTCAATGTCTATGATGAGATTGATATCGCTTGGGCTGGACCGGAGAAGCTACCATTTTGGGCACAGGTGAGTGAAGAATGCCTCATACTTTGTGTTTGGATAAACGTCTCTGGCCTGGCATACATGGGTCTCAAAAAAGAAGTGTAATCTATAAAAAGATAACCACTTCAAATTTCATCTTTTCAGGGAATGGCCGTCGGTCTCGGTTTCCCCTTGTCTCTTCTCTTTTATATGGACCAATTATTGGTCACGAATACTGTCGATAATAAACAAAACAAGTCAGTTTTAAGAAAAACAAAATGAAAACAAAGAATCTTTAGCTTAAAGAAAGGTTCAAGCATGCATTGGGATCTTCTCGTTGTCTCTGTGTTGAATGTTTGTCTTTCCCTTTTATCACTTCCATGGATGCACGGAGCACTTCCATCTGCATATTTACATTTTAAAGTGGAGTGTAAAGAATTTCAAAAATAAAAGTTGAAATACAGGCTCTCGCTGACGTTGAACATCGTGTCCATAATGGGGTGATGAGTGAAATGTTTGTCTTTTTTTAAAAACTATTCATCTATGGATTCTAAAAACGAATTTTTACAGAATGGTAAAGGTTCGAGAAACAAGATTGGCCGTTTTGTTGGCTCATCTCTTGATGATTCCCATCTATTTCTATTTGATTCCATATTTTACCGCTTTTGTGCCGACATCGCTGTTCCATGGTGAGACATTTGAAAGTGAACAATGTTATGAAGTGGTACAATCAACCATTCAGGTCTTTTCCTCTTCATGGCGATCAGCTCGTTGACAGGAAATGAAATGTGGCAACGAGTGATGTTGTTGTTTACAGAACAAGTAAGGCTTACTGTAAAGTATACTCGATTATGTAGAATCTTTTCTAGATAACTATAAGAGTTACAAAAGATTGCCTAGATTCAAGAAATTGATTTCAGAGATCTTATCCAGCCATCGATTATTTGAGGCGAGTCCCACAGAGGATCGTTCACACCTTTACCCTTATTGAGGTGAGCCACAAAAGTGATTTGAAGAATATTTGAAGATTTGAAGAAAGAAGAAGAATAAAGAATAGAATTTGAAGAATTAGCCGACGAATCTTTAGATTTTGCAACTCGTTGTGTTGATCGTTGTCGGATTTTACCCTTTATCTTATGTGGAAATGGTTTTCCCGGTGATCATTGCATTGTTTATACCGTTTAGGTAAGCGAATCTTATGCAAAACGATTACTTTTTCCAAATCTTGAATAATTTAACCAACTTTTCAGGCATTTCCTTTTGCCACTCATCATCTCCAAGGAGCATTTAGAAGTTTTGGATAGTGAACATTGAAAGATTTTGTTTATATAAAATGTTGTCTCTTCGCACAAAAACATCTAGCAAAAACAAGTATTTTGAAAGACAATCCATTAAAATGGTCCCTCAATTTCTCTTTAGTTGCCCTTTCTGTTTTCGCCTCTTTTTCCCATCACAGCTGAGAGAATCAATATCGAGAGGAGGCAAAGAATTGTCTGCCTGTGTCTGACCGAGTTGAGACAGCTCTCATCTCTTTTTTCGTTTCTAAAGAGAAAGAAAACCGGTCGAAAGGTTCAGCGAACTTTATTCAGCCGGTATTCTGAGATAATAAAATATTGCAAGGTAAAAACCATCTAAAAATTCAAATAGTATCACTCACGGATCTTGTGAGGGCTAATGCTAATGTAGCTATAATCTTGAAAATACGTAAAAGTACAAGTTTGAATCGTTGTTGAAGTTTGGAGACAGTTGCTCTTTCAAAACATAGCAAGAATCTCAAAAAACAAATTGTTTGCTAAAATGCAACAATCGCGTTGACGGGATACTGTAGTCGTTTTCTAAAATGCAACTGAAAAAAATTGAAAAATGTCATTTTTCATTTGCACAATTTGTTGATTTGGTCTTTTTACGCAACGTAGGCTAGTTTTTCAAACTTTGAGTCCTTTTTTTAAGCTTTACTTTAAATTAAACACTGATAACAATGGCTACAACGCTAGACCGAAAAAGACGAATTGGTTTTTAAATTTCCGTGATAGAAAATTGTTTTTGAATGAAAATGTGATCAGTGTTTAATATTTTTTCTTGATGTCAGAGTGATCCCGTTAGACTCCCCTCTTTTTTTCATTTTCTCTCCCCAATCCCCCGCTGTTTACGTAAGCTTTTTGGTCAGCCTTCTTTCTTGCGACATGAATTTCGGAAAGTTCCCCAAAATCGATAGCCTAGAGACGCCGAGAAGCAGAGACAAACCCATTGCGCTGCGGTTTTTGAGTCACATGATTTCAAATTTAACCAATTGGCCAGCAGATGTGTATTTTTTGATCTTATCTTATAAAGCGCATCTGCTTTGCTAGAAATTGATCGCAAACTCTTGCCAATGGCCTGCAATTAACGTGAACCCAGAGTCAATTAACATGTGCGCTATTAACATGCGACTGAATAACGCGTCGCGGTCGCTGGGTTCATATAAAAGGGCGTTTGGGGCGGGCTAACCATCATTTTCTCTTCTCGACATTTTCGAATCAGTTCGCTTCCAATTTCTTTCTGGTTTTTGAATTTATTACAACTCTAATATTCTTTTTTTCAAGATGAGCTACACAACAAGTCCTTCGTGCTCTTCGGGTTCTTCACAAAGTGATGATGAGACGTGCCGCCAACCGCTCACCGCAACGCAAATCCTTGCAATCGCGATCCAGAAGCGACGAGCACTCTTCAACTCAAAGGAACGCGACTACCGGCGGGAATTGATGCACACAACCGTCATCCAAACCCTCTGTAAGCACTTGGGTGAGGGGCGGGCAAAGCGGCGCCGCCGTGCCAAGAAACGCTCCTTGGTGGGCCATGATGAGGCCACTGAAACGAAAAAAAGTTGTCTTCATCCTTCAATTCAGAGTGTTGAACAGAAATTCGACGCTCCCAGTGCTGCGTTGGCTGACGAGGACAGAGACCCCTTTGGACTCGATCAATTCTTTGCCAACATCTACGACAATCGGAATAAACAGAAAGGTACGGTTTTTCTTTTTTAAAATTTAATATGTGATCTTGTCAAATGCGAGACGAGATCGCTTAATACCGGTAAGGTACTTTTAAACTTTATCATTTTCCCTTCTTTTACTGAGGCATCCATCTATAGGTTGTGCGGTGCTTCAACGTTTTGGGCCAGACTGGTCGCACTCGTTTTTGTTAAATGGTGATTAAAGATATAGAGTCTGATTATCGTACTAATTCTTTTGTTTTAGTTGACTCTGCCTGAACTTCTCGTGTGCCGAGCAACTCTGGATCCAGATGACATCGACTCTCAAAATTCGACGTGTCCAAATGTGTGTTGTCGTCTTCAGGAATGATCTCATATCTACGAAGTCAAATGATACGGGTTCCCTTTATTGTTAATCGTTTCTTTGCGTGTATTAAAATAAATTATATGTGTTATACTCTTCTTTAGATTGAAAAATGCATTCGCAGGGTCAGAGTCAAACGGTCGAGACGAGATGCTTGTTCTCTGAACAGCAAGTTTAAAGTTGTTTGGTCATTCAAAGTTTAGAAATCCCGGCTCACGAAAGACTAAAGACGTTAGAGTGTGTACGGTACACGGCACCCAAAATTTTCACAGGTTTTTGATGGTACAGAGTTGATTTCACTTTAGCAATCGATCGGTGATCACAGACATACTTGCAACAGGGGTTGTTGTTCAGACTACACATGATACGCAAACACGGGAAATTAAAATTCAACAGGTTTTTGGGTAGATTGTCTCATTTTCACTTTAGCAAGCGAGTTCATTTAAACGACTGGACGAGATAAAATGAAAGCGCCTTCCTTGTTAAAATACACAGGTTTTTCGTGGTTCCGAGTTGATTTTGCTTTAGCCCCACACTGGCGTCCTCAAGCGCTTTGAGGGAGGAGTTGTTTTTGAGTCAACGGACATTTGAACAGGTTTTAAAAGAATGTGACAGTTTTCTGTTTAGAAGTTCGCGACTTCCCGGTCGATACGCGTTACAGAGTTGACAAGAGTTTAAGAGGGTGTACATGAAACTTCGGCTTTCAAATATAAAACACAGGTTTTTGGTGATACAGAGCTCATTTGACTTTAGCCCCACTTACATTTCAAAAGGAGAGTCTGACGAATATCTATGAATCGTTCGATGTTTTGGTATCCGGATGAAACAAACAAACAAGGTTGTAAAAAGTATTGATGGGTTTTTGTTTTTAGAATGCACAAATTGTTTGATTCTGAGCTTCAATGATGTGGGAAAGTCAATGGTGGAACACCACGGAGTTTGAAGGAATTTAACAACGAAAGCTTGTTCCGCGTAAAGGCTGATGTGGCTTCTTCTCATCCACCGCCCTTTTAAAAGTAACTAGGTGTTTTGTTATGTCTCGATTCCAGTTGGCGTCGAAAGAGGGATCTCGTGCTCGTTTCTGTTTTGATGCTCGTTCGATTTGCTTCCACTTCTTCCTGACCCGTTTCGACCCCGTTTCTCCCTCTATCTCAAATCCCACTCAACAAAACTTGGTGTAAGGTTTAATGCATGCCCTTATCAGGGTTTAGAAACGCACGTTGACACTGAAAGCCTCGGAAGGGATTGAAAATGCGTTGACAGTGGTTCCACTGAGGGTGTGGCATGCCAATGCAAAGAAGGTTATTGAGTGTACAAGAGTTGTTTCCCTTTTAGTTTCGGAAGATCAGAAGATGTGCTGAGTCCCGCGTTGGCGCTTCCTTCTCCATAAAATAGAAAAGGTTCATAATGATGTTCGTCGACTTAATTTTAGCCACGTGAGCGAAACTTTAAGAAAACTGCAGCATGTGCCACATCGTACACAGCCTTGACATCCAATCCGGATAATAAAAGTGAGATAGGGTTTCAAACATTTTGTTGTTCCAGTGGCAACGACGTTCTTGACATGCCGTTTACCCGACGACGAAATGAATCCAACTGTCCGTAACGCATTTTCTCCTTCCCAAAGTCCCAGCCCAGATAGTACCGCCGCAACGACAGTGCCAAATGTGGAAACTAAAGAAAGGTTAATAAAAACTCCGGTCACTTTGGATTTAGTTGACACTGGGCAAATCTAATCGGGCGTTGTTATAACGGGATGGGCAAGCTGGATTCCGCCTTCAAATTTGATGGTGTTTGGAAGCGAGTCCACGAAATCCTTGACCCTTGTGGGATCCTCTTGTTAGTGTTCGCACTCCGTTCTTTGCTCTAAACCAGGACAGCCAGACGATTCGATGATTGGTTTTCGACTACTCCCCTCCCCAACATTCCTCAACCACTTTAAAAGTAAATAGGGTGTTAGTTGATCGGAATTTCTAGGAAATAAATGAGTGGGCACCGCCAGGAAATCGATGAGGCTGGGGATAGTGAGATCCAACACCAATCGATCTGGATCAATGGTTTCGATCGCTCCCGTCTATCACTATTAAAAAGTAGTTATGAGTTACCGTTTGACCTAATTTTAGAATACCGAGTTTCCTTCAGGATCATTTCCATTCGAGAGCTGCTTGTTTAAGATGATCACTTTAGAAAAGTAAAGATAGTGTCAGCGTTGATTGAGTTTTTAGAAAGTCCCACTTTGGTCCTATCAATCTGCGTGCCTGTGTGCTGCTCTGGAACTGATATCAACCGAGCAAATCAATTGGAAATCTTTTCCATTTTTTTGAATAAAAGATTTTTATTCATCTCTTTTTGAATAAAATGCATCACACAATCGTTAAAATTTTCTCATATGTCTTGCTGAATAACGTTCAAACTTACAATTAGTCGTTTTGTCTAAGCATTTTGGCATATTATGCAGGAAATTTATTTAGCGACACTGTAAATACCGTTGCTCTTTAAATTAAGAATAAAAACAACATGATTTTAAAGAGTTTAGCTTTATCTGGAACTTTTAAACAAATCATTTGGGTTCTTTGTTTGTTTGCTACTTCTTGATGGTTTTCATCGAATATCGTGATGGGTCGTTGTTTGAAACGTGATGAATACAAACAACCCACTCAGGCTGGAAAAAGCTATTACTGTAAATACTGTAATAGTACCCCACCCCCATAATGACGGTGCAGAGTGCTGCGTAGTCTAGCTTTGAACGAGTTTTTCTCGACACTGGTTGATGCTACAATGCGCGCCTAGGTATCAAAAAATAGCCCTGAATTTCAGCTATTTTTTGATACCAAAGACGCATTTTTTGAAAGTACGGGCGCTTTGAAAAAATGAAACACTAAAAAACTTTTGCGACTACACGACTGTACGAGGGGGGTGGGGTACTATTACAGTATTTACGGTATTATTATTTTTAATGCATCAAACCTCGTCAATACAAAGAGGTTTTCGATAGATTTTGAGTGGTTCGACTTGAGAATCGAAGGAAACACGATCGATCTGATTTTTGCCTTCTGTTACATCTTTTATCGTTGTCAGCTGAAATGTTTTCGAATAAGCTCAACGTTTTAAAATACTGGCTTTGTGTTTCTACAATATACTTTTAAAAAAGCTACCGTACCCAGACTGCACTTTTAAAGCCAAAAATAACTGGATTACGGTAGTGTATTTTCAAAAGCACATATTTTAGCCATTCTTTCGTCAAGTTTATAAGCACCGTAAATTCATTTACTAATAAATTATATATTCATCCTTTGTAACTCACTTCAGATCGAAAATCTCCCACATAAGCGGTGAATTCACTGCTCCAAATCACCGTCTCTGTCTCCGATTTGGACATTTTTTAAAGAGATAACAATACAATCCTGTTGAAAATGAGGAAGAACTTTTTCGATTTGCCTTTTTGTTGAGATGACACTTTGTTGTGGCTTGGTTGAGGCAGTCGGGAACACAAAAGCGGTTCATTGATTTTCTCGCAATGTATTCCTTTCAATAGATGCGCTTTGTTGAATGTTAAAATTGAATCATTCTGTAGATGAGAACGGGGTTTTGAAATAAAGACACTTCTCACTCCAATGAAAGATAATTAGGAAGTGATCTGATATGAAGTGTTGCGTTGATCTGAGATGAATCGTTTAACCTCCCTGAAATCCGTGTTATCCACGTTATTGCTACTTAAACAACTTGTTACTCTCCTGAAGATTGGACACTACACGGGAGATCCCTACTTCACCTCAACCCCTGCAATGTGTAGGTATGGATCGGTGGAGGGATTAGAGGTAGTCCCCTTTCCCCTTCCCTCCACTCAGCCCCATTAGCGGCTCTCATTTCATAACCATCCCCATCTTCTTTCTTCTTTTCATGAACAGGTCCCTTATGAGGTCTCACAGCTGAATCAATTCACACAAACCCCTCTCCATCCACTCATTTAAATGTGTTTGTGTAGAGAAATTGCTCGAGCTATTAGTGTTCACCATTTCCTTTCATTTAGAGGACTAATAAGAGAGGAGATTGATCTCTCGGTGAGTTAAAAACTAGAAATGAGTTGCGCCCAGATTTGCGTTCGTTTTGAAATCCCTTTTACTTGGAGTTATGTGGACTGGGATATGAAGGAGAAAACTCAATCCCAATTTTACTCTACTTGTCGGGATTCTCACGCCGTTGAGAAACTGAAATACAACTTGTCTAATCAAAAGATTCTTGAAATCAGAACTTGAAAAATACAAAACAAAGCCACAAGGAAATTCCCAAGATCAAACTTATCTGCACTCACACATTTTTGTTTCCCATCTCTCTTGCAAGCCTTTCAGATCGATCCGAATCCGTAACTCCTGATTCCTACACAAATCAAGGCCCCTTCCCTCCAAGAATCTCTCGACTCGTTTTGTGGGATTGGCCGGGGCTATTAGTGTTGCTCATTTCAGGGAGAGCTCTTTTCTCTCATTGCTCGTGGGTCCTCAACTCTAATAAAGGGCCGCTGAGTAGGGGCTTAATCGATCTACCGTTGAGGAGGGGAGACCCGTGAGGGCCTTTTAGACACACACACCTATATGAAATGAAAAGGGGGAGTTGATCCTTGCCAACTCTTGTAACTAGGGGACAGTTTGAATGAAAAGGGCTTCTCTTTTGAAAGGAAAACTCATAGAGATTCCCCTTGTGATTAGTGAAATGGAGGGAAGATATCGGTGAAAAGAGACACGCACTTGTAGCTAGGTAACTAGGAAAGAGTTATGGATTAGTGAGGGGGAAGAAGGGGATCACATCTATAAAGATTGAGGTACAGGAAAGAAAGGAGACAAACACTCATCCCAATAATGGCCATGATATAGAGACTTCTTGGAGAAGAGTTGCTCACATAAATGTTTTGTACAATGATCCCAAGTTGAAGACTAGAGAGAGAGAGAGTTCCTATCAATTGCCAACTTCAAAGCAGCTTCAACGTACCTCGAAGATCTTGACCAAAGCCATCTCATGACTCTAAGGAAATGAGGAAATGAATTTGCATGGAAACGTTTGATACTATTTTACTGATGGCTTACGAGATATTTACTATGATATTAGAGGGACTTTCTGTCTTGGTTAAGTTTGCTTTGGAGAAGAGCTTTGTTTTGTAGCATGTCTTGCAGGTTGAGACGTTTGTAGTAACTAGTCAGATAGTGCGCCAGGTATATTTTAATTTTTAATCAACGAGTTTTGATCTTAACTCATGAAAATCCAATTTCCATACCTTAAGCAAATATCCAACACATCCTTTGTGATCTTCCTCATTCGTTGACTTATTCCCTTTCCTTTCTTTCTTTTCTATTCCCTATTTAGGGTCTCCATATAATGAGAGTTGATGATTATTCAGTGGATCGCTAAGGAAAAGAGGAGTTAGTTAAAGAAGAAAATGAAGAGAAGAAATGAGAAAAGAAGTGAATGAATTCATTTGGTCTCTTGCTCAAAGCCTTGTTCATCCAGCAATGGGTTTCGAGCTAAAGCCCATCCCATTATCAGCTTCTGGGTAGATCTTGATTTGTATCAGAGCTACTTTCACAAGCCTTTTCATACTGCATTATTTGTATAGTTTGAAGTATCTCTCCATTCATAACTCTCTAGTATGCTTAGTCTGTACGTGTTTAGTTTCCTTTACAATTTACCGTATTCTCTCTAATAGTAGTGCGCACTACTATTTTTCAACCCCCCCCCGGGCCGCAAAAAAAATAGGAGAGAAAGTATCTTAAATAATATCTCAGAAAAGCTTTAATGTATTGAAATATTCACTTAAGAACATTTGAAAATTTGTTTTTTTTTAAAGCTATCACAACTGGAATCCGATGTATTTTTCTGTTAGACTACATTTAGTCATCCTTGTAACCACCAAAGACCAATAGCCCAAAGTGACTAAATCCCTTTTCTCATAACAACTCTTTCTTTGTCTTGTATCTGGGTATCTAGGTGAATTACTCAAATTATGAAAAGAGATCCCCTGCCGACTGAAATTGAAAAGTGGGCGGGATTTCTATCAAAAGGGGAAAGGGCTGGCGGTAAGGGCCTTTGCGGCTTAAGAGGGAAGGAATGGAAAGAGGGGAAACCGGCAAAATCGACACAGGAAAATATAGGGAAAACAGGCAATGGGAAATAAAAGAGAATAGGGAAAAGAATAGAAAAGGAAGAGAATAGAGAATCGAGAGAAGAGAAAGGGACACCCTCAAATCGATCCCCCATCCATTCCTGTGGCATTGCCTGTGTATGCGTGTGTGTATGAGCCGCTACCGTGTCGCTTATAGATTCCCTTCTCTTCCCTGGGCACACCCCCCTGTCTAACTGAAAGAAGAAGAAGAAAAGAGGGGGGAAAAATAGGGGGATAGGCACAGGCACACAGGCACACAACGCACTCCCGCATAACAGACCCTATACATTGATGGGGAAGAGGGGGAAGGGGAAGGGGAGAGGAGGGGAGATGCCCCTCTCTCCCAACACTTTTCGATAGTTGTTATGTTCAAAACTGATTATTTCATTCAAGCCTTTATACCGCTACTTTTAGTATTCAGCTTCAAGTCAACCTTTTTTTCTGATTACGAGAGTTTTCAGAAAGAGAATAGTCCAAAGCTCAAAAGTGAGCTTCACAAAGAGTTTATTCATCGTTCAACTCAAGTCCCATTGAACATTGGATCCCAAACAAAAGATATAAAACTAGTTACAGTAGCTTGAAAGAATACCATAATGATAAGCTCTTTCTAACCAATTGTGCTCAATTGGTTTACCTTACAACATTTCCACCCTTTCAAACTAACATTCATTCGCTTCATTTTTAATTGGAAAATTTTTTAAGTGCACAACTTGTGAAACTATTTCCAGCTCCAAAGGAAGCCTTATCTTGATTAGACTCTGTGGGAGAGAGTCCCTATCAATTGCCAACCCCTACCCCATTCCCTTCTCCATTCCCCGTGTCCTTATGACGCTAGAAATTGAAAATGGAAAGCCGATAGACTTGATTGAATTCTTGATGCTTTACTTGATATCTGATATTCGTTCTTTTTCATTATCATTCCATTTTTAATACTTTGGATTCTGATTGATTGATTACTTGATCTTGCGTAATCCAGAAGAATCCTTCTGGATTCTGCATACTTGATTTTTGGATAACTCTCTCGGATTTTAGACTTACTCGATCATCAGAGAATTGCAAATTCTACTGTGCACTATATATCTATATCTATATCTTATCTATGGCTCACGAGGTCACATTGCTACTTCTTGATCTTAGCAATTAATCCAATCTCTTTTTGTAAACAGTCGAATTTATCGGATTCCTTCTCTTGTTTCTCTTTTCTCTCTCTTTTTCATTGTCATGTTTTATTATTAGAGTTTATAAAAGGAAAATCATTTCATCACATTTTTCTCTGTTCACCTCTACGGGACGTTAATAGAAATGTTTACAATAACAGAAGGGTGTTAGGGACAAAAATCGATTGGCTTTAAGGAAAACGGTAATTGATAGTGACGGTGTTGTAGCAAAAGATGATTTTCATGGGTATTGAGAGGCTTTTTGAAGATTAGTTTAGTCCTGTTAGTCGCTAGGAACGAATCAGAAACATTAATCCTTTTGAATGATGTTGTGAGCAAAAGATCAAGCCTGCAATTATTACAACTTTCAACTTTACCCAACTCCTTCACCTACTCCTCCGCAATCACTTGGAAATGTTGGCTGATTTCCCAATGCCTTCCCCTTGCCCATCTCACCGATCATTTTCCCCTTATTATATGGTTATCTCAATTTTGGGAGAAACTCCTTTGATTTCTCCTTAAATAAATGATTTTCACTTACCTATTTTCAGTATTTTGTCTATCTGCAATGTATCATGTGATTGACAAGCACCAAAAGTGACCGTTTCTCTCTCCTTTTTTGACATAAAGAGATTCGGGGGAAACTTTAGGTGAAAGGGTATTGTAAATGGGCAAAAGAAGGGAAAACGATGGTATTGTTTGAGAGAATTTTAGACTCTCTTTCATTTTTTTTATTTCTTTTCTTTTTCTGTCAATCATTCCCCTAATAAACAGTGGGAAAGATTCGCCTTAAAGACTGTGAAATTCGAGAAAAGAGGAAAAGAGGAGAGGGGAAACCGTTTGTTCACCCCTAAAAACTCGTAGCGATCGTTTGTGAATACGATTGCTTTACCGATTTATTCAAATTGGGTTAACACAACTTTATCTTTTCAAAAGCGATCTAATCTTTCTGCTTCGCGGGTTTACGGGAATGTGTTTAAGGTCTTCAAGAATCTTGCTAGTGCTCTCATTTGTTTGATTTACTTTAGACGTTCGGCATACAGGAGTAACGTTTGGCTAGTGGCTAGAATCACTAGTGATTCCTGTATGCCCTGATTCCCTTAAGCTCTATCGCATTCTACTTGAAACTACAAATGAATGAATTCACCTGAAATAAGCTTCTCTCCTCTAGATTGACCATCGATTCTCCAGCCAACATGCCAGAAAGACCCTAAAGAAGTGAGAGAGAAGAAATTGCCGATCTCTTCTCCACTTTTTTGTCACCCCAAATGAAACGCTCTCTTTGCTCCCTTAAATTTTTAGGGAAAAAGGCCGACAAAGTTTATCAGTTAGTTCTTTGGGGTGAAAAGAAAGGAAAGAAAAGAAAATTGGGGGAAGACAGTTTGGCGAAACGCTAAAAGTGTCACGAGACTGTACTTTTAGATGAAAAGGGGAAATTGGAAAGGAGAAAAAAAAGAGAGGAAAGAAGTAAGTTAGTTGAGGAGGGAAAGAAGGGAACAAGGCATAACGGGGGACTGTCATTGAGCCTTATACCAAGCTTTACTTGCGGTTTGTCGCTTAGAAAAGAATCTGTTTTCTCATCTTTATTTAAGTCTTTAGTTTGCTTCTATTGTAGATCTTTTTCTTAATGGTTTTCGATAGGTTTCCATGTTCCCAATTTTTTTTCCCAATTCTTAATGGTTTTCGATAGCTTTCCATGTTCTTTTTTTCCCAATTCCCAGTTCCCAACCCAATTTTTTCTGTTTCTAGATGGATCGGGTGAAATTCGCGGTTGTTCGGGTGCCCGAATCGAAAGTCATCGAATTTTTCGCTATCATTGTGAGTTTAATTGATCAATTTCTATATAAACAACAAACTATAAACTTTTCTTGATTGAATATTCAAAAAGGACAAACTCTTTCAGGCTTCAAAGGGATTCACAGATGTCGCTTTTGTCAACAGTCTTCAACAAGCCGCTTTCACCAGTTTAGCTGATGAGGTAAAGTCTAAAAAGCTAATGGAATCACAATTTGAACAACTTCAATAGATACTTTAATTGCAAAAGATAGATTTTTTTTTGGAAAAATTCACACTATTTCAGCCACCACTTCCATCGGGTGGCTCACCGGCAAGTCATCACTCGAATGCAGGATTAAATGGAATGACAATATTACAAGTAAGTAAATAGTAAAGATCAAATTCTTTTAGCATATTCTAGTTTGTTTTACCTACTTGTACTTTTGAATGCTACTTTTGAATTGAATACTACTCTTTTGAATGCATTCCCGATTTGCAGTCATCTCCATCTCCACCCCCTGCAGCCACAGTATCCACAAATAACACGACTCCTCTCAATTTATCCGATCTCTTCCCAGCGGTCAGTTTTACTTGAAGTGATTAAATTTTAAATGATTTTATTGATTTACAATTACCCTAAAGTCTCGAGTATAAGTTCATCCGAGTATAAGTTCTGCCTTAATGAAGAGGCCAAGGAGGGATCCATAAGACTGAGCACCGGAGAGGAGCAGGGCGGACGCGCTGAGCCACGCCCGGAGCAACAAATAACAGCATAAAATTGCTATAACCCTCAATAAATTTACTTCTATTATTGTTCTTAAAAAGCAAAAAAGTTATGCTGTAGGGGGGTTCGAACCCTCGACACACCGCACCGGAGACAGCCGTCAATTTGCATGCGAAAACCAAACTGAACTTATACTCGCGACTTTAGGGTATATTATTATTATTATTCAATATTATTCAATCTTATTTTTCAGGTATTGGGCCAAGTGGCGAATGGCCGAGATGTATCCCCATTTGGTGATGCTGGACTGTTACATGATGAAGTCGAAGAGGGAAGAGGAAGGGTAAGTTTTAAAGAAAAAGTTTTAAAGAAATTCTTACAATCATAGATTCAACTAGTCCAACGCAAAGTCAAGATCTACATTCACTTTTCAGCCATATCATCAACGAATGAAGGGATGGCAGAGAACATATCTATCAGAAATGTTAAAAGAGGGATATCCAAGCGATGAAAGATTACATGAAGCAATGCTGAAATGTGATTTGTCGAGGAGACAGGTTTGTCAAGGGAAAGCAAATCAAAGTTATTCAGATAGGACAGACTAAAGTTGAATGATCAGCGATCCTTACCGTAAATACTGTAATAGTACCCCACTATCCTCGTACAGTCGCGTAGTCGCTGTTTTTAGGATTTCATTTTTTTCAAAGCGCGCGTACTTTCAAAAAATATGTCTTTGGTATGAAAAAATAGCCCTGAATTTCAGCTATTTTTTGATACCTAAGCGCGTATTGTAGCATAAACCAGTGTCGAGAAAAATTGTCGATAGGTTCTGATAAGCGATTCTCGAGATTTCGAGGAATTTAGGCTAAGGGTTATGCTAAGGGTTATGCTAAGCAGGGTTATGCTAAGTATTAGGCAACTGTAGCTGTCCGGCATGACGTTTTGTCATCTTCATCGTGGCTTCTGATTGAGCGATAGTGTGAGAATGATGAAACTCGTTCAAAGCTAGACTACGCAACACTCCGCACCGTCATTATGGGGGTAGGGTACTATTACAGTATTTACGGTAACTTTATCCCGTCCACAAGAATCCCATCAATACTTTGCCTCTTTGTAGTGCTATAATATTGACTACTTAATGGTTATCATCAAAACTCTTTTCCAGATCCTTCGTTTCATTAGCAAACGTGTGAACAATCCGAATAAAGGTTTGCGAACAGATTGGAGAGCGGCAAAAGCACATGATAATGAGAAAATGATTGGTGATGAAACGAAAGAAGAAATTTTGGAATCATGAGGGATTGCGGTGACTTACACCTTTCGTATGCATGCTAAACTTATTTTTATTATTGTGTTCCCCATTTCATTTCATATCAAAATTATACCCTTTTCTTGCAAAAAAAAAAACAGCACAATTGCAAGGCAATTTGCAATTTGGTGGCTTGCATTTGTAGGAAGCTCCACATCTTTCCTTGACTCTTTTTCTTTAGTTCAAAGTCGAGCGTTTCTTTTCATTTTTTAAGTTTACCGTAGTTATTCCAGTACGAAACTTCAATAATTACGATATTTCAATAAAATCCCTTCGAGATTGCTTTAACTTTTGTCTCGTTTTCCCTGATATTTCTTAGAGATTACGATCTAGATTTTCTAGTCTTTATTTAGTCGTTTTCTTTTCTTTTCCAGAGATATTTCATTCCAAAGATTGTGATTATTATATAATTTGGAGTTCTTTTGAAATTCCCCTAAAAAGCCTTGCCACTCTTTTACATGAGAAATTTACATATCGACTAGTCATCCTTTTTGTGTTTTATGGGACTTTTCCTTTATTGGGTCACAAGTTTTAAGGTGTTTTCTTTGTTTCTTTCTTTTAATATCTAAAAGTCACTCATTATTCTTTTTCCATTTTTACGGTCAATTTGCTCGAAACTGCAAAACGATTTGTGATTCCCTAACTTTCTTCTTCCTTTTCTCGATTCTTCCCTTACTTTCTTCTTCCTTTTCTCGATTCTTCCCCACAAAATGTGATTCAACAAATGCTTACTTTCATTCATTCATTTAAAACAAAAAAAAAACACAAATGATAATCAAATAAATATCAGAGATTTCGTTTTTCTTTTAATTTTTGTTGTTTTTGTGCATCACAGACCCGAATCGATAATGATAAATGGGGAGAAATTGAAGAAATCTGAAGAACAATGAAAGAAATGGAGATCCGATTCAATCGAACAAGTTTTAGATAGAAAATTGAGTGACATTTTGACAAATAGTCGCTTTGACAAGAATTTCAGTATCTAATAGTACACTACTGGACAATGAGATATCATATTTGAAAAACGATCGTCACCTTCGCGCGTCTGTAACTTCCTTGTCTTTACGGTATTTCTAAATATGAATATTACCATTGTGTAGCCCTTGAAAAGAGCTTTCAGAAAATGTATAACACTAATAGTTTAAACTCAAAGACAAGGGAGTTACAGACGCGCGAAAGTGCGAAAGTGTTTTTTCAAATATGATATTTCATTGTCCAGTACTGTACGTCTAGTCGAGACAACTAACATTTTCGCAAAAAATAAAATCGCCTAACAAAGGCATAATAAATCTAGAACATTTTAAAAAGAATCATAAATAAAAACCTAGATCTTGTTCTTTTAAATTGTTCTTTTAAATCGATTTTGTGCTCAAAAATTGGACTGGATTCTTTCTGGCATCTTGAATTTGTTATCTTTCTTGCCAGGTCAAGGATAAAGTGCACCAGAAGAGATGTGTTTAGAATAGAATATGTGTTTTGAGCACAAAGTACACAAAAAGAAGCAACTAGAGTCACCTATCGAAAAAGCAAAAACAATAATAACAAAACAAATGGTAGGAGGAGGTTGAAAGAATTGCTTAAATTACAATAATCATGAGTATAACAAACGCAATGAATTTGAAATCCATTATTACGACAACCATCCATTTCAAGAAGGTAATCTCTAAAAAGGAAATTCTTGAGGTGAGATTGAATGAGAAGAGACTATTTCATATTATTATCTTATTGAATAATGTGTTTTTCTAAGAGGTGAGCAATTTTTTAAAAGCTACCGTCACTCTCTATTCGAAACTGACCTTGTTTCTGTGGGTAAACATGTGAATGCCAAATATCCATTACTTTCCGGATCGAGATTCACAACTCGTGTACAACCAACGCCTACAAATCGCATTTAATTCATAGGTGACTGTGGTAACTTTATTGTTAACACTTGATAACAATTCAATCCATTAACATAACAATTCAATTTCCATACCATAACAATTCAATTTCTTTCTCTCTACCTTGACATTCTTTACACGATGCATTCTGCTCACAATCGAGCCCCTCAAAACAACGCATCGATTAGAGGAATAAATGAAGGAAATTGTAAAGATGTCGTGAGGAGATTTTGCTGAAATGGCATCGATTAGAGGAATAACTTAAACGAAAAGCTTGTTTTGAAGAGAAATGAACACCAAAAAAAATGAAAAACCCGTAAAGCTTATAAATGGGTGTTGTTTGCCGCAAAAAGAACCCAAGAATTGATCATGAATCGACAATGAGAAAAAGGATGGATAAAGAGGAAAAGAACAAAAGAACAACAATAGAGAGAGATGAGGGGAAATCAAGAGGAACTGCCGTTGATCAATGGACAAATGATATGATGAGTAGAATCCTGACAAAGAATCAGTAAAGATTACAATCTTTTGTTGTTTTGAAAATTTTCCAAAGATCTTTATTGAACATTTTGTGAAGTGAAAACGTTAAATGCTTAACTTGTCATCTGTACTACTCAAATTACATTATACAATGTAAATCCCAAATAAAAAAGCTTTATTATGTATTTGGGTAGGTTTAAATTGTCAAAAATGGATTTTTCAGCTTAACACAGCCCCGGGACGTTTGTTAAAGTTTGCAAAGTGAAAGTGAAAGCGAACATTTGCTGAACTTCAAGGAAAAGAGCGCATTTTTTTCCTATCAAACATAAATCCTTTCAATAAATGAGATCTCTTTGTCTAAACAAAAAACAAGACATTTCTTTCATAAGAGATTTGACGAGAGACGGAAAAAGGAAATGGAGAGGATGAAAGCCGTGAATTCCCTTCTTTCTTTCCTCTATATTGTCTATTCTCCAGAATCGGATCAGATTTCATCTGATTTCTCTTCTTTTTTGTTGTCCATGTTTGGAAGAAGTTGTTCAGAAGGAATAGAAAGGAGTTAATCTTTGAAATTCTTATAGAAAAGCTTTTGGAAAGGCAAGTCAGGAGGTCAGGATGGTATCAGGAGATTGTACAATGATGCTTATTTGCAGGGTTATTCCAACCGGGCCAGGCTCACGAGTTATATTTAGTGAGCCAGCCAGACAACACAAGGACAACACAAAAGCCATTATTGTTCTGACTCTGTCCTAGCAAAAGAAAGATCATAGCCAGATCATGAATGTTGTTCCAGGAATGTTATTTCACTAAGAATTAGAAGAGTTACCGATCAATATTGATTGATTGATGGATACAATGATAACTTTTACTTGTCAAAAGTCAAAGAGATGCAGAAATGAAGATGATGCTTGATGCTGAAGTCAAAAATGAGACTCAATCTGATGAGATCAACAAGGGAAACGATACAAATTTCCCGCAAAAATCCTTTTGACTTAAAACTAGAGGACAAGAAAAAGAAGAAAACAAGATGGAGAAAGGAAATTATTGGTGGATGACAAATGGGATACAACGAAGAGAATAATTCATCGGATATCTGCCTCAAGCCTTCAGGAAAAAAGGAAATATGAAAAGAAAAGGGAAAACGACATATTTCGATCATCTTTCGATGAAGAGGAATTTATTTTCGCCGTCCTTTTTCATACAAATTATTATTGGTGTGGAATTTGTGGACATTTTGATCCACTTTCAAATAGATAAACAAGTATTTATTTAGCTTCTTGTTTTAGAGTTTTTAGAGATTCCAATCTCATCTTTACTTTACTTCAAAATGAAATCATTTCTTATCAATTACTCAATAAATATTATCAATAAATATACAGTACTGGACAATGAAATATCATATTTGAAAAAACACTTTCGCACTTTCGCGCGTCTGTAACTCCCTTGTCTTTGAGTTTAAACTATTAGTGTTATACATTTTCTGAAAGCTCTTTTCAAGGGCTACACAATGGTAATATTAATATTTAGATGCATCGCTTGTTTGTAAAATGTATATAATCTCAAACCCAGAAACCTAGAAATCTCAAAAATTCAAAAGCATCTAGCTAAAATTCTTCTCGATTTCTTGCAGATCTTGAATTCTTTAGCATCCAAACATCTATCCCATAGGCTATTTCTTGGTACAAAAGTCGAACATTACTAGGACGATGTTTTGGTTTAACTTTTAAAACAGGGCATCCCACCAGTCGTTTCACGGCAAATCGTACAAAAACGGGATGTGAAAGTGCAAGGAGGCGTCAAATCGTTTACCCTAGATCTCTCAGAATTTACATACGGTGTATAGGTGAATTTATATGCACAAAATAGATTTTTGGTTTGTTTTGGCTTTGGTCAATGAATTATGGTATTTGGAATTTGTTTCGGTGTTTCGCGCGTCTGTATTCCGTAGTCTTTGAGTTTAAACTATTAGTGTTATACATTTTCTGAAAGCTCTTTTCAAGGGCTACACAATGGTAATATTAAAATTTAGAAATACGGTAAAGACAAGGGAGTTACAGGCGCGCGAAAGTGATGATCGTTTTTCAAATATCATATTTCATTGTCCAGTAGTGTAACTCGTGAGCTCAGACAGGCCTGGCCCGGTTGGAATAACCCTGCACATAAGCATCATTGTACAATCTCCTGATACCTGATTCTTATCAATCAAAAAAAATCTTAAAATTGAAGGCTGATCCACGAGAATTACCCAGAAAATTCGTGAAAAATAACAAAGCGAAAATTTGGTGGTTCTTCAAAAAAAAGCTTTTCTTTTTTGATTCTCTTTTTTTGTGTGTTAGAATCTCCCTTCTCCTTTCCCCTTTTTTGGATGAAAATTGGTCTCCTTTGTCCTTTTCGGCAATCCTCAAAAGACCGACAATTTTTCTCGGCTAAAAGTTTTTTCAATCTTTCGAATTTTTGAGTTTTTTTTTGAGGCAAATTATCGTCAAAATACTTTAGCCACAATTGCATAAAGACGAGGAAATGCGAAAAGTCGACAAATTTTCATTTCTTTCGAAACATTTCTTTTGAGGAGACAAATTTTGAGTTTAAAAGTGAGAACCGGTTGATGCTGCTTCTTTTTGGAGAGACTCTAAATAACTAGTAAAATATGAAGCTATTTTGAAGCTCTATGAAGCTATTTTGAATTCAAACTAAAAATAGTTAAAGTTAAACTTATGAAGTGAAAAAGTGCTTAACTTTAAGGAATTATTACACTTTGAAAGAGTCAGAAAGGAGACCAAATTCTTCTTTTTTTTTTCTAGAGAACTCACCCAAAAAGCAGCTCGATTTTCTAATTAGAAAGGGCTAAAGAAAAGAAAGAAAAGAAATGGAAAAGAGACGAAAAGGGGTCAGATTTGGAGGAGATTCTCTTCTCGAAGGGAAACAAGTCTCTTCAAAACATCAAAAGCAGTCAAATGAAGGAAAATGATAGGAAAGGACAGGGAAAAGATTGAGATAGGCAACGTGCTAATTGAATGTCATACACACGGATTGCGGATGGTGAAGTTGAGGTGAAGTTCTCGGAAACAAACTTTAGCAAACGTCCCGAGAGCTGTGTTAAGCTGAGAAATCCATTTTTGACAACTTAAATCCACCCAAATACATAATAAAGCTTTTTTATTTGGGATTTATAATGTAATTTGAGTAGTACAGATGAAAAGTTAAGCATTTAACTTCAAAGCTATCTACCTCTTTCAAAAATTTGACTACTTTTTGTGGTGGTCTTTTCAAATTCAATTTACATATCATTTCATCGAATTCCTACCCTTTTTTGGGGTTAAAAGCCATGATGAATAGGCAATTCAAAGGGGAAATGGATATGAAAGGAACCGCTCAAAAATCTACTCAAAATGAGTTTTGGGAAAAGTTAACGAAATAGTTTTTCAAAGCAAAACAAAAAGGTATTTTTCCTTTTTGTCACCTTTGGTCTGAGTGGCAAGTCAACAATGAAAAGTGACCAGTTTTTGATTGAGAATGATGAACAACTGACAAAGCGAGTTCTTTTGATTTTTGTTGGAATAGAGAACAACGAATGGAGGCACAGTAGATCAGATTCAATATCGAAAGTGACTGAAACGATACGGTAGCTGGGTTATCATTCAAAGAAAAACACTGTGCTCACGATAAAATCAATTTCAAATAGGTAAGCAGAATTGAAATCAATCTGTGAAATCAACAATGAAATGGTTTACAACGAGATGTGATGTGATGTGAAGATGTGAAGTGATTTCATATCCATTTCCCCTTTGAATTGCCTATTCATCATGACTTTTAACCCCAAAAAAGGGTAGGAATTTGATGAAATGATATAAAGTGATGTGAAGTCGTGAAAATGAAAACTTTTTATCAGTAAAGAGCTCGATTAATTAAAAACTGAAGTGACAACGAGTAGAAGTAGCTATTTGAATGATTAATTCATCTGAAAAATGGATAGATTTGAAAAGGAATTGAGAGGGCAATTTTCGTACAAAATGCCCCATCGAAAAGTGGGGAAATGAGAAAAGATGAAAAGATGAAAAGAGACGTCAAACCTTGTAAAGAATGAGAAAAGAAACCGAGCGAATGAATTGAGTTTCGCCCGTTTTGGAGGAAAGGTTAAAGAAGGGAAAATGAGTGGAAATGAGAAGAAGCTATTGAAAAAGATCAGGAGAAAGAGACAATTAACCGGTTAAGGGAAAGAATGAAAAGAAAGAGACTAATTGGAATGGAGAACCACCAATTCAGGAGGGGAGATACATGCAAAGCATCCGACAGCCATGTTAAGCAATGTTTTTTCATCAGAATCGATATCTTTCGGATGTTTTCGGTTTATTAAGTAGATCAAAAAATACAATGGAAATTAGAGCTGATAGCTTCTATGAATATCTGAGGCTATTAGTTTTCGTTTGGATGAGGAAGGTGAACAATAGCACAGAACAACAGCACAGAACAACAGCACAGAACAACAGCACAACAACAGAACCTGAAGTATTAAAGCAAACGAAATTCTTTTCTTTATTGTAAAAACAAACGAGCATAAGGTGATAAAATAGGTAACACTTGCAAGTTTGTGTTCATTGATGTTCATTAGTTAAAAGGGGATGAGGGGAATGACTTCAAGAGAGAGCATAAAGGAGAGGATGGCCCGATTTTGGTGCTGGTTGAATGGAAAATGAAAGAGCAATGGGAAGGGGACTTGAAAAGAGAAAAAGAGAGTAAGGGAAAGAATGGAGAATAGATCCCTGGGAAAATCTCAATCATAAAGTTGATGACTCAAAAGATCATTTGTCTCATTTGATTTTAAGGGTTTTGAGTCAGAAATGAGATGGAAAGAACCTTTTGAATCGCGTTAAATTTCAGTTGCAGATTGTTAACTCTTCTGTAAACTTGTACATTGTATTTGATTTATCAATAAAAAACAAATAACTCTTTATTATGCTTTTTGAAATGAGATCAATGAATGGAGAGATGGGGAAACGATCAAGGAATTGCAAAACAAAACGACTAGTTCCACAAATTTTTGGCTTATTTTGAAACAAAAATTATCAAATTTTCTTTTAAAGCAATAGGCACCTCGATTAGCGGTTTGTAAAAGAAAAACTTGTGAAAGAAAATGATTTTAAAAAGAGATAACTGAATGGATGGAATGCATAGATGGATTGACCGATCATCGACCCCAAATTGGCGCCATTCGTTCCCAATCGTTTTGCTCAGCCCTGAATAAAGAAAATTCAATTGTTTATGTAATAGATCAATATGAGTTAGTGGGATAAAGTCATGAGTATGGTTATTGGTTATTGGATTGGATAAAGTTATTGGTTATCTCTCCTCCCCCCTCCCACTCGAAAATTTGCATTTATCAATTTGCATATAACATTCTGATTTTCGCAGTGGGGCTCCCATCTCTTGGTAAGTAGTATTAAGCAATAAAATTTGCATAAAAATTAGAACGATAGCAATTGTTTTTTGAATAAAAACATTTTCTATATGTTCTATATTATCTATAATAAAGTAAATAGGAAATGCGAGACCAGAAATCAAATTAGCATATGCGCGAAATTAGTATTTAACTGCACCAACGAAGCGCAGCGGAGCATTGGTGGGGAAAATTTCAGTCTACTGAATGGTTGGTTTCTTTTTTTTGCGGGGGGGGAATAACCAATAAGTACCAAGTCATGTATTGATTAACTTTTATTTGCCTCATCCAGCCCACCTTTTCTCTCTTTCTTCATTCACCAACGCGGAAAGGTATCGTCGAAGTCGTATTCGGTGAACCGTCTCACGCAATTCGTGATCCAAATCTCTGAAAGCTATTTAATTACATTTTCTAAGTAAACATGAATTCTTTTTGTTACCGTAAATACTGTAATTGGACCCCACCCCCCTCGTACAGTCGTGTAGTCGCAAAGTTTTTTAGTGTTTCATTTTTTTCAAAGCGCCCGTACTTTCAAAAAATGCGTCTTTGGTATCAAAAAATAGCTGAAATTCAGGGCTATTTTTTGATACCTAAGCGCGCATTGTAGCATAAACCAGTGTCGAGACAAAACTGTTCAAAGCTAGACTACACAACACTCCGCACCGTCATTATCGGGGTGGGGTACTATTACAGTATTTACGGTAGTTAGTTTTGCTGCTTTGTCATTTATCTAATTTTCTTCTCAAACTCACTTCAATGACTCAGCTGAGTGTAGTGGATGAGCTTTATAAAGAGAAAAGTGTTGGGGTTGATTGGAAAGAGATGATTGGGATGCTTGGAATGATTCTTGAGGCGAATTGGGTCTCGTTTGTCCAAGAAGAAACAGGCATGACATGATGGAACACAGGAAATAGCGCCGAACACCCATTGAACCCTTCTGAAATTGAGGTGGTTTGATGAAGGAAGATAAAGAATTTCGAATTGAACAAAGAAGACAGAAGACTTTGACCATCTCTCTTATAAATCTCGAAGTGACAAAGTTTGCAACATTTACAATCTATCAACAAGATTTATCGGGTAAAAAGAAGATTTATAATTTACCGTTCTAGAAATCAAAGCAAAAGATTGAAAGTGATAAAATGACAAAAAGAAATTGTTCAAAGTAGAATAAAGAACAGACGATTATCGGGAGTTTATGATCAATTCTCGGAATAGACAAAATGCGACAATTTATTCTGAATCAGTAGGTCAAAGGTTTAAATAGCGATTGAATCCGAGTAATTCCCATCACAAAAACTTTCTCAACTCACTCCTTTCCCCGCTTATTCTTCAGAAAAAAAGTTTTCCCCAAAATTTTCTGCAGAATACTGATAAGAGAACGGGAAAATCTCTTAGGATTTTAGGAATTTTGACCAAAAAGAGTTTGAAGTGACCCCAAGCTACAGGAATCCGTTCAAAGCAATTTATCAACAACTCTTTGAGTAAATTAATCCACTAGACACCAAAATCGAATTTAGACCGACTGGACTTTAATATTATATATATAGCTTGATTTAATCTAATCATAGCTTTGAGTAGATCAATAGCTCGATTCAATAGCTCGATTCTTTACGTTGGTCAACAATAAATTTCTTAACAATTTGACACGTTTGTTCAACCATCTGTTCAGTGTAAAATATCAATGCCACTACTCATTTTTCTGGCTACTCAATGAGAATTAAGCTGTACGATTTGTAAGACCTATCTTGCAACAAGTGTAAACTTAAAAGTATCTCTATTTGAACATAAATCACTCGTTTCCTTGATCCTTTACTTCTGACTTGATGTGATAAGGACACACCCGAAATTCACCGACAATTTTGGGGAATCCCCTTTCTCCTGTGCCAAGAACAATGTTCGAAAGTTGAAAGAAAAACAATTTCCCGGTAGAATCTCCTCCAAAACTGATAAACGTGCAGCAAATGAGGGAACTTTAGTACTTTTTGAAGTGATTTGAAAGTAGTGAAAGTGAAAGAATCTCAGAATGAATCAATTCAAGATTTGTAAGCAGTTAAATGTAAAAATAAAAGGATTTGTGAAATCTTTAAATGCTAGAAAATCCTCTTTTTATTTGGATATTCTCTTCTACGTGAGATTCTCTACAAATGGCAGCACCCATTGAAAAACAATGACAACAGAAAAGAACGAAGGCCAAGAAAAGATTTTTGGAAAAAGTTAGAACTAGAAAAGAGTTAAGAAATAGATTTGAAAAGTATTGTATTTGATTTTCTATTTGAAAAGTATTTGAAAAGTATTATTAAGAAATAGATTTGAAAAGTTCGGGGAAGTTTTTGAACCTTCAAAGGAATCGATGTTGATCAAGATCTTTCTGAAACTACATAGAATTTGCATTTATTTAAAAGGCAAAGATTGTCTGAATGTGAAAATGAAAAAGAAATTTCAATAGATTAAAGATAAATTTATTTTGTCTTCTGATAAACAAGATCTGTTCTGGTTTTCAGAGTCAAAAGTCCCCAAAAGAAATTGGAATGTGACTCAAATCATTTCCAATCATTTTTCTGTAATACTGTAGGCAGAAGAAATTTTCGGAGATGGGCAAAAAAATTGGAGAAATTGGAGTCGACAGCCACCACAATTTTTCTTAACCTTCAATTTGTATAGTAAAAGCTTTGATGTATCGATATAGATATAGTGTACTGTAAAGTTGACTTTTTGACTACATTATGCTGCTATTTTCAGCTACATTACCCCGTCTGGTTACAGAATGTTGGAATTAAACAATTTCGGTACTGCAGTAAATGGGTACTGCAGTAAAAATGGGTACTGCAGAATGGGTACTGCAGTAAAATAACGTAAAATACTTAACCAGATCTTTGAAATAAAACGGAAACTTGTCTCAAAATGAGAACTGTTTCCAATGAATTCATTGGCAAATCCCGATTTGGATGAACAATCATTACAACCCTCTCATTTCTTTAAAAAAAAGATTTTTGTTCTTTGAAATTCTTTTTTGATGAGAATTCTCTCATTTTTTTTTCATTAGAATCATTCTGAACTCTTAAATGGAATTCACACGTGAAAATCCTCAGATAATCGAAAAAAATGGCAACTTTTTCCTTATTGAGACTGTTTCAAAATGATATCCTTTTTTTCTGGGAAATAATCAGAAATCGAAAATGACAAAGACTTCAAAGAACGTTTCAAAATGAAGCCTAAGATCAAAATCTTGATGTCTAGCTTAGAATTTTAAACGCGTCAATCGAAAAATCATCAAAATTGTGGAAGACAACGTTTTTATTTTCATTTCTGTTGTAAATGTGATTTTAAGTGAAGTTTCCCAGGTTTTTTAAGAAATTCATAAAGATTAGTCAGTCAAGAAATTCGCTTATTCTTTTTTTTCGTTTGACCACGAAAATTGTTAGCGAAATGAAAACAGAGATCAAAGTGAAAGCAGATATTATTTTTGAAAGAAACAAATAGAAAAACAGACTACAGATGGATACAATTAGCGTTGGAAACTAAATAGAATTACGGTAGTACTTATGGGCGATGTAATCGACTTAGTATACAGGGTACGCCAAAAGTTTTCACACTGTAAGACAGACAATAGATATATTGGAACCATATTGGAACCAGTTTACTTGTATTTTCTGCATTTTTGGTAATTTTAGATAAAAAATACGATTTTGGAAGTAAGAAATTCGAATTCCACGCGAAAAACTGATTTAGAAAACGTTTCTGGTTAATTGATAAATGCAACGCTATTTAAGACAAGTGATTGAGAAGAGGGTCCGCTCAGGGGCGCTTTGCTCGCACAGTTACAGTTATTTCCTTGGTCGCTTTGCTCGCACAGTTGCAGTTATTTCCTTGGTCGCTTTGCTCGCACAGTTACAGTTATTTCCTTGGTCGCTTTGCTCGCACAGTTACAGTTATTTCCTTGGTCGCTTTGCTCGCACAGTTACAGGGCACAGTTACAGTTATTTCCTTTGATGAAAATTTGTTTGCGAAAACCAAGTTCTAACCTGACTTTCGACTCGATCGTTGACGAAAACTTTATACACCCAATATAAAAAATGTCACATTTTATGTCTAGTTTTCGAAAAACATCTTGGCTCTTGAAAATCTTTTGATCCATAAAAGTTACAGGCCCTAAAGCCCCAAAAAAATGTGCGACCAAAGCGACCAAGGAAATAACTGTGCCCTGTAACTGTGCGAGCAAAGCGCCCCTGAGCGGACCCTCTTCTCAATCATTTGTCTTAAATAGCGTTGCACTTATAAATTAACCAGAAACGTTTTCTAAATCAGTTTTTCGCGAGGAATTCGAATTTCTTACTTACTTTTAGAATCATATCTTTTATCTAAAATTACCAAAAATGCAGAAAATACAAGTACGGGAACTTTTGGCGCACCCTGTAGATGGCAATTCGTATTGGAAAATGGATCATTTGAAAACTGGTTACTAGATGAGTACTAGAAAGCGAAATGAATCAAAAGATGAATCCATTCCAAATCCAAGCCCTTTTCTACCCTAAATGGCTCAAGTTGATCATTTCAAATGACGTCAGAACTCATAAAAAGGAATACCTATTACGACTGAGGCTTAATTTTATGATTGTGTTTTGAGAACGATAACATCTTCAAGCTACAATTCAAGATACAAATAAAGGTGCAATGTATTAGCATTCATTTCTTTCTAAAGATTAATCGTCATCTTTCTTTTTTGCAGGCAAGGCACTGGGTTCATAAGAAAACCAATTTTGGCCCGAATTGACCTTTTTGATGAGTGGAATATGGAATGAGGAAAGTATTCGGAAAGTAATCCTCAGTAATCTTTACAGAAGCGAAGCTTCAGCTAAATATGGGGAAATCTTTGCAAAATGTGATCTGATTTGACTTGGTCGAGGAACACTTAGAATTAGAAGAGGGGATCTCTGAATAGATTCCTTTCTGCATCATCTATAATCATTTTTTCCAGTCGATCTTGTTCTTTTTGTTTATCCTTTCCTTTAAGGAAAAAGTCGATCAAAATCTCAAAAATTCTACAGAGATATTTCAGGTAGAAAACTACTCAAAAACAGTTTTTTAGCCTTCTATTCCCCCACGTTTTGCCGATTGCCGATAACGAGGAAAATGCCGATAACAAAGTGAAACTTTGACCGATTTTAGGGGGAATTTCGACAGGACAATGTGCAAGAGACAAAAGAAAAAAGATTGGAAAAGATGGAAAAGAAAGAGAATTTTTGGAGTATAGTAAAGATCTCTGAAGAAGTCTAAATGTCAGATAAATGTAGTGCCGAAAAATGTAGCCCTAAAAATGTAAAAAATGGACAAAAACATATTCCACCAATTTCTTTTATCATTTATTCATCGACAACACGATTTTCTCACCTCAATTTTTCTTATCGGTTTATTTTTGGGAATGGATCTGATTTTGGGATTTCAATAGGAATGGGGTTCAATTTTTGAGAGAACTACTCGAATTTTAATGAATTAAAGAAGATTCTCATTCATGAATGGACACTTTTGCACAAAATGTGTCTATGTCTTTAAAGATTCAGGAAATGAAACACTTTATGTGGGTATTTTTGGGTAATTCTGTGCTTTCCTGAGTTCTCCCAACTCCCAAATTAGCATTCTTTTTATAAGGCTCAAGGAGATCTATGAGATTCTGGATTTGGAATAGATTTTGCTAAATAAAATGATTGGTTGATGACTTGTTCAACTTTTAGAGATGCATTTTACATAAAGAACTTTTTGCTAATGAACAAATGAATCACTTGGATGATATTTCTTGATTGTTCATCATCGGAATCCGAGTATATGTAGACCGAATGGGCGAATTGCTTTCAATAATTCATTTCCATCTCGAATTCCTTCAATTTCTTTCTCTCCTCCTACTCAAATCATCACAAAAAAACAAAAAAAAAATGAAATCCCAATCATTCAACACATTTCTTTCATTCGACATTTGGTTTCATTCCAACAATCGCCGTTTTTTTGTGGATGAAAATTAGGGAAGGAGAATTTTTTACCGATGTTTCATTAATGATCGTTCGTTTAGTCGGATGAGGGTTGGGAATGCAAAAATGAAATGGACAGGAAGAGAGAAATCGAAAAGTCGAGTCAAATTTAGAGGAAATTTCGTCACAGAAATTCGAAATCCGATTTGTTCAAATTTGTCAGAAGTAACACATGTTATACGAACTTCTGATCATGAGTCAAACTGAGCTTGTTCCAACTGTACAGTTGGAATAATTTGGAAGTGAAACTTTCCAAATGAAAGTGGATTTTTGAAATTTCCTAGACATGAGATACGAATGTGATGAAAATGGAGGGGTGATGATGGGTGAAATGATGACGTCTCTGGTAGAAGTTTCCTTGAAAACGGGAAGGAAAAGAAGCAATTGAAAGAATTGGATGAAATGAAGGAAAAAAGCGAAAAGAAGGGGGTAATTAGTGAGGGGAAAAGTAAAGAAAACCCGTGTTTCTTTACTGAACCCGAGAAAACCCGAGTACTGAAGGCTAAACTTTTTGCGGGAGAATTCACGTTTATTTTGGTCTTGGCTCGTCATCTCGCTGATCTCAATGTTTTGTGTAAGTGATGATTAGCAGTAATGGACAAATATTACCCTCCCTAGTAACCTCCAATTAAAATGAGTGGTTTGAGGCGAGAAGCATGTTTTTGTTGAAATCGGCTTGTCACCTTTGCGAAAATAAAGTGACTTCCAAAACAATACCCATTTACTCATCTTTCGTTGTTCCTGGTTTCACTGTTTTTTGTCACTATTTATCAAGGATAACAAAATTTAACGGTAACAATAAGTAAAAAGTAACAACAAAGTGCAACAAAGGAAAAAAAATCAACAACTTTCCTCAATAGGGTTTATAACGTCCGCCTCCAAGTGTCGATGGCTTGCGGTCAGCACCCCCGCCGCCACCTCTTCCACGAGTGAAACCTAAAAATAAACAATTTTAATGCGTAACAGTGTATAAAAATTAAATAATTTTCAAATATATTATTTTACCTCCTCTCTTTTGTCCGAATTTCTTGAAACCACCTCGATCACGAGGCGGTCCATAATTTTCGTTAAATTCTAAAGAATACAGATTATCGTTTTTCATCTGAAACACTTAAGTAGTAACGTTAATTACATCACAAGAAAGTACAAATTTGTACAGGCCCAAGTTAGGCAAAGACTAAATTAAAGCCTTAAAAATTGCCTAACTTAACGAGAATGTACTTTATAACATGTACTTTTACCTCTATTTTGCCCAAAATTCCTAAAGCCGCCTTCATGTCCATATTCGTCGTTTCCATTTGATTCTATAAATGAAAACATTAACATTAAACAATCACGTTTAGTACAAATATTTACCTCTATGTTGTCCAACTTTGAAATGACCACGTTCACGAGCGCCTCCTCCTCGTTGATCATCTCGATTGAATCCTAAAAGTAAATTTATTGGTTTGCTTATTAGAACTGGGCTAAGCAGCTAATCATTAAACTTACTGTTAAAACCTCGGTGATTCCCTCCATTACCACGACCTCTATCATTGAATTGACGTCGTTGAGGGAAGTTTCTAAACAAAACAAAATTGAGATATTGGTTTTAAAAATTTACCTATATGGGTCCTGTCCTCTTTGTTGTGTAGTAGTATCATCTTCAAATGAAACAACTAAACGTGAAATGTTATACAGTTCATGCTACTTGAATGCTTATATTCTCGTACTACCCACTTCCCGGCTCCTTTTGCACGCGATTTTCGTTAAAATTATGTTGATGAACACCACCACGGCCGCCGTTGAATCGATCCTTGTTGAAAAACCTCGGCTTCATCTCAAATGAAAATCAAAATATTAACACTCAAACTGTATAAAGTCCAATATTTTTATACGGGAACTCTTCTTATATCATTTCAATTAAATTCACCCACTTCTCCTTCAGCATTCTCTTCAATCGGCTTCTCATCTGCAATGTTCCCCTCGGCATGCGTGATGTTGTAAGCACTCCAGTTTGCCTCGCAATCCACTGCACAAACCACGTTTCCTTGTGCCGAAACATATTGAATCAACTAAAAAATAAGATACAATTTTCCAATTGAAATTTTTATAACCCAGCAGCAAGAAAGTTGTTGAAGCTAGCCTTCAAAAAAACTCACATCTGGATGTGTGTATGATCGAACGAGAAGCTCGGCATTTTTGCCCGCTTCGTCGAAAGCGGTGATTGTCACCTAAAGGTAGCCGGTTAACTAATAAATCTTTCAAGTATTTTAGCATTTAAAGATGCAACCACAAATCAAAAATGTTCGTACCTCTCCGCGTGAATCGGCTTCAACTGCAGCCACTGGTTTTTCATCGTCTTTTCCCGGCACCAAATCGATCAAGAAATGTCCTCGTTTCATCACTCGCCTAAAAGGTGAACTTTGGCCTTGATTTATAAATAAAATATGAAACAAATTGACAACGGTTATTCAGTTTAATATTTGCATTTAACATAATGCTGGCAGCCAAAACAACCAACTTGTGCAAAACATCAAAGTCGTCAGCCGCATTCTTTCGAATCAATAGCTGTTTGTTGTCGTCGGTAATAATGCCGAAAAAACCATTCTTGAGTGGAGAAACCTTCGAGATCGAGCTGTCTGCCTAAAAACAAAATTGAAGTTTGGAAACTTTGTCTTATAGATCAATACCAACTAAAAACTCACCATAACCGTTGTCTGAATAGCTTCATCTTCATCCACTTCATTCACGTCTAACACATTGACTAGACCGTCTTCTCCACCTAAAAATTTAATGATTTGATCAAGAGAAAACTTTTTGTTATGGTCTAAATTTTAAATTTGGCATAATTTCCTATATTAGGTATAAAATGTTCTACCTGTTAAGAGAAGGTTATCGGAGAAAAGCATTGAATGGACGGGTTGTGAGTGACAATCTTCGAAAAAAGCTGAAAGCTTCGCCTCGATTTTCCGTTCCGGAGTTAAATGCCATGTCAAAAGAGCCACTTTCTCCTCAAACTAAAAAAAACGTCGCGTTACCCAGAAGATGGATTCGTTACCTCTTCATCTTCACTAGCCGGTTCTTCTTTGATCTCTTCTCCATCTTCATTGTACTTGTCTTCGCCCCTTTTTGCCTTTCTTTTCCGGTGTTTTCCATACAAATCTGAGCCGGCTTTGATCGCTGACTAAATAAGAAATTTTATCCAAAAAACTAAAATATAAACAACCTAATTACCAAAGTTTGCAATTAAAGTGTTTAAATAAAATTAAACCCTGACCTTTAGAATATCTCGATCGCATTTCACCGCCACAGCCACAGCCAATCCTTGATCTTGTCGACCTTCACCTTTTCGCCAAACCGCACCAGCCGTGATCTCCCATTGACGATCCTAAAATAATAACGTGTACTTTGCCACTCTAGGCGTACTTGTTCCAATTCTTACAATAATAGTAACATCTTAAGACAAAAGCTAAAAAGAATTACTTTCAAATGTTCAGAAGTGAGTTGAGTCGTTTCAATTTTTCCGGTGGCAATGCAAATCTCGAGCAGCGTGTAGTCCTCAGTGATTAGGAACACTAAACAAAAGATTAAAAAGTTGAACAAATAATGTTTCCAACAAGCAAAGCAAATAAGTTAGATACTTGATGAATTCGACTTCCATTGAATGTGTTTGACTTTTGTGGGAGTCGCTTTGCGAAAGGCCGGAGCACCAGTATCTAAAATAAAAAATTTTACTTACTTTTTGTTCATTTTTCTTAATTCCCAGCTAAAACCATGCTTATTATTAAGACTTTTCTAAATTTTTACATAAAAAACTAGTAACGCTAACCGATATTGAAGACAACAACTTCATGACCAGCTTTTCCCGTGAGCGCTACGGCGAGCTTTCTGATGTGATAGGCGATGCAGAGGACTCGCTGATCATCTTTCCTCTTCAAATTTCCACTTCGGAGGACCATTCCTGTAAATAATGAAATAAAATAAGTCATTGATTGCTAATAAACAAAAAAAACATAAAAGAGAAATAGAAATGAAAAAAATTCTTGAAGAAAAATAATGGCGGTTTGAAATTTTCCGATTGGTTTTACCAGAAACAGGTGCAATTTAGAATCGAGCAAACATGCGCCGTAATTTGTACTTAAACTTCCATTTTTCTTAATTTTGCTACAATTAGGATATTTTAATCGTTTTCCTCACTGTTTCTTTATCTTTTCACGCCTCACTGAAAGAAAACCCCGTGTACTGTATGTAAGGTGTCTTTTTAGCGCCCCTTCTAGGCTTAATGTGATCTAACTGCAAAACAAAGCAATATTAGTTGAGTCTGAAAAATAGAGTAAACCTGAACGACTGAACAACTGTAACTTGGTTCAGTAAGGTTGATTGATTCAATTTCAACATTAACACGCACCTGTCTGTGTGATAACCCACTAGAAACGAAGTTTTAGGGACTCGATCGAACGAACCGGAAAAAGGCACCCGAAACACAAAAAAAACTTTTGTCGGTGGAGGAGTACTGTATGGATATCGGATATTGGATTCTGGTATCTTTACGTTAGTGAACTACAGGCCTGAGTTTTACTTAGTCCATCCTTATCCCGATCTCGTGCTTTGAAATGCTTCCGATATGAAGAAAAAGAATTTTGTTCATCTGCAAGTCGCCTAATGCTAATTTTTATCGACAAGTTTTATCCCCTTCATTCTAAACTCTAACAACACATACTTTCACCGTAAACCATAAAGCATAAAGCTTGTCCGTGATATCTCCATCGGGTGGAATCTCGAAGATTCTCACTTCGATATCTCCCTGCGTTTGCAAGTTGTGTCTGAAAATTCAATTACTTTGTCTACAAAGGTAAAGCTATGCAAAGTGTTGAGGCAATCAATGAGTCAAAAAGTAGCTTGCGTTGAAGTCTAAATCAACTCTCTTACATTGCACGGCCCATGTACACGGCAATGATCCATTCAAAGGCCAGTGAGTGCAAATAGCGGAAAAATTGAAACAATGTGACATCGTGAACTAAAACTGAGAATTGCGACTGCTGTGACAACCTTTTACAAGAAGATCCAAACCGAACCGGGGCTCAGCTCCAGAGTAGGTATGCAAGTCACTAGTCAAATTCGTCAATTTGCTAGTTTCCAGGATTGCGAGGATAACTTTGTTAAATCTAACATTTTTGCTAGCTGCTTTATCTTTCAGAAACTATGATGAATTCTGAAAGAGTTTTCATAAAAATTAATCAAAGAAATTGAGTAGATAGGAGAAAGTGATAAATTTCATGAACAGGATGGGAGAAAATTTGTATCCGCTGGGTTTTGAAGTCGAGACATCCGAGACATCCATCATTATTTTTGCGATCTTTTCCTTTATCATGTTCAAAACAAGCGCGTTTTGACTGGCCAAATCTTTTGTTACCAAAAATGGCACGAATAACATGGAAATTTTTCAAGGGTGACTTTAAAATGGTTGATTCCAGGTCGATAAACGATTCTGTTTACACAAAAAAAGCTCTGAAATGACATTTTTTTCGTGTTACTTCCAGTGTGCAGATATCCAAGCCAGAGCCAAGGTTTTTAAACCAAATCAGCTAATCAAAGTTTTATTGTGCTAACGTAAGAAATTCATTTGAGCAAAGGATATTTCAGGAGAATCACAATCATTTCGTGCAAAAAAATAAGAATTCCGTCAAAGCGATGCCGGCTAAAAGGTTTCCACTCTAAACAATGCAAAATTTTATGATGTTTTTGAAAAACAGATATTAAATGGATAGGAAATTCTGTTTTTGATGAAATGAAAAAATGAAAAGAAAAGAAATGAAAATGATGAAATGGAACCATTCTTGGCATTGCAACCTAGATAATTCATCGATTTGAAATCTATAGTACTAAATCAAAGCCCCCAACAGACTCTAGATTTCCTGAACGAAATTTAACAGAAATCGGCGGATTATCCGGGTCCGGCGGATCCGGAAATTTCCAAAAATTCCGGATCGGATCTGGATAGTGAGTTAACAGTTTTTTGTTGATTGCATACCCTTTAAAGAAATCTTTGAGGCTATAAAACGCGACTTGCCGGCGAAAATTTCATTCTTTGCCATTTGCTATTTGCTATAAGCCGAAAGCTGCCGTTTTTTTTTTTGCGAATTTGTGTGTTAATTTATTCTTGCTAATGTGTTTCATTGTTTGTCGAATAAAAACTTATAAAATGACAATAGGTTGACTTCTATTAGAATCGAAGCGGAAAAAACTCACTTGCACTTGCAAGCACTTGGAAAACTTGCAAGTTACTGTAGTGACTTGCAATATTTCACCAATTTTTGCTAAATTAACATGGAAATGTAATTAGTTTACTGCAAATTACTGCTAGTTTACTTTGTCGTTAGTCGTTTCGTTAGACAAGTCCAACGGTCTCTACAAGCTGGATATTCTTAATCAACGCACTTGATTACCCCAGAAAACATTAAAGTTAATTCGGAAAAACCTTTTGGTAAAGCTTTTGGGTACATGATAAACCTTCCTAATCTTCCTAAACCGATAAACCGATGAATTATCTTGGCACTTCAAATAAATCCGGAAAGTTGCAAAAGTTTTTTCGCGAAAACAAATAAATTCTGCATATTTGTTGACTCTCCTCCATCCGGCTCTATGTCAGCAATTAGATAGACACAGGAAATTTCCGATGAAATCTCTCGTCGAAAGAAAGCCACACTTTTATAAGCATTCAGGTAAGACTTCATTGTTTTACCATAACGAAGTGGAACAAAATCCAGATCGAATCGTTGAACACTTTCGTAGAAATATTTTTGTAACATCCAAGCTTCAATTGAATTTGGATCAATCTCAGAGGCCCGGTTACTACAGAACTCTGGCCCAAGTTTCGCACAAAATATTTTATAAAGCATTTCGAATGACAGTTCGTCTTTTTTATGTGGTAAATAACCTGCGTAGTTTCTCCGGGATGCCAGAATGAACCCACTTTCCGTACATTGACTAGGTATCCCGAACTCGAGAAGTTTTCCAATCACAATTTGTATTGCTTCGAGCATTAGGCGGACTTTATAATCAATTGTGCAGATAATGATTTCGGCTGAAGACTTCGAGAAAAGTTCGAAAATTTGATCCCAGTAATCTTCTGGGGAAATTGTTTCTTCAATGTAATGGTATCCACTTTGTGCTACTATAACTCGAAAATCTGGGGCTTTCTGTAAAACCGATAAGAAATGAGGATCATGGATACTGTTTGGGTCGGGGCGTACTATGAGAATGTTCCCAATCTTTGGGATAAACTTTAGAAATTCCCGAGGTGAATATCGATGGTCCATTAAAAGATGAAGATTGGCAATTGATTGGCAATTTGAAAGAAAACGAGAATTTTCCAATTGTCTTTTCACACATTGTTCATTCGAGATCTTAAAATTTTCGTAGTTACCTTGTAGAAAAATTCTCAACGATTTCACTTTTTGAATTTGATCAAATAGACGGAAAGGTCTTCGAATGATGATGGGTGGGTGGTCTTTGATGAAGATCAATTCTTTGGTTAAATAGATTTCCTTCTTAGTCTTTTTGTAGAAGATACGAATATTGAACTCGATTATAGGTTGTTCAATTTCGGTTGTTGTATTCTCGAAAGTGATCGAAACTTCTCGGAG